GGACTGGATGGAGGCCATGCGGGGGAAGACAAGCGGGGAGCCTGCGCAGTGAGAGATCATCCTGTGCCGTGAGAGGGAGTCGCGGCGAGGATGGCTCCCTGCGCGTCCGCCTCCCTCCCTCGGCTCTCGCCGACGCGCGCGATCTCACGCCGTTTAACCCTTCATATATCGCGCGACCTGATAGGCTCCCTCCCGTTATCCCCTCGGCTGCCCTAGTCTGTCTCCGGCGATGCTTAATGGGGCAGGAGAAACGCACACGTCTTTCGCGGAGTGCAAGACGCACGCGACTGATGCCGACGATCGTGATTTGGAGAGCGGTGCATTACAAATGGACTGCTGTCCGACGATAATTATGAGTTGCTTGCAATCGTCGCGTTTTCGAGATATCGCACATTCACCGCCTAAGTAGGCAGTGGTCGGCGTAGGTCGGGGAAGCACTCCCACCTGTAAGCAAATCCCCCAGCCTCACAATTCCATCCACACCCTCCGGAATGCCTATCACTGTTGCCCTGATGCAGCAGTATCATATCCTTGTCGTCTAACTTCAGATAGCAGTGCCGGGCATACCTCTCCCTTCAGTACTTGGCAATCCATAGCCACCTTTCGTTGCACCCATGGTTCCAGCTGTCCAATTGAATCTGAAATGCTGGGCAGCCCGGAGCCGGATGACGACTGTGCTGTATGTGACCATGATATATGATATTTCGATCGACATCGTACTTCTCGGAACGTATGCAGTGCATATGATATCTTCGGAACTTATGTGCCTCGCGTATCACGGATGCGCGCGGTGTGATCCTCGAGATGTATTGATAAATGAGCTGTGTGCTACCAGCAACAGGTGCAGGCTTGACACAGTGCAGTGAGGACTTAGTGGGCAAGGCTACAAGACTCCCAGTTAAGGGGTCGAGTCTCTCAGTGGAGAAGTCACTATAGATTGTGGTGTAGCTACCTAGTATATATACATGTGGGTAAAGACCCCATATACCAGTTCTAGGACCTCTGGTATCTACAGCCACTGTCTACTTACATAGATGAGTAATACTACAGTATCTAACTGGCCAATGGCATATTTACTCAGTGTCGTATGATACTCTATGAATATCCTGATTGGTCAATGTCCTATTGTATGATCTCTTGGTATTATATCATTGGACATTGTCCTTCCATACCCTTCTTCATATTGTGATCTTCGTAGATTACTTGGAATGTATTATTCCTTCAACATGTATACCGTTTGAATCACCCACCTCGTATACTTGAAAAGTTAGGCATTCTCACAAGCTTGGTATGATGAATGTCGTCGTCGTGGTCCAAATTACGCACCAAATCCTCATCACATCAATTTGTTTGCAGTATATTTAAATTACCGACTTTAGCCACTGACAATCTCCTGGAAAACGGCATAGAAAGGTGACAAAAGGCGTTAAAAAGGAGAACGTACATTTTGCTTATGCGACGAAATGGACCATCTAACTCGTTGCATGGTGGAACATTTGACCGTTCGACGATGTCGTCCTTCCAACATATGTCGTGTGTCCGATATCAGGGATTCCCGATAGGACGTGCTGGGACTCCATGTGAGCAAATGAAAGCTATGTGATTGGGAAGCTGAGCCGTAGAGCACGTCGATGGTGAACGTCTGAGCCTTGAAACAGGCCCAACACAGCTCTTACCTGCATCGCAGACATGGCAGGTCTGCATGTCAAGCTCGACCCGAGAGACACGGTGCGGACCTACCATTCTGCCGATGACTCCTGCTGGCGTTCAGGACAAGCTAGCATTCATCCTGTATATTCCATGCTTCCGCCGCCATGTAGACGTGAGGCCAATAGAAGATGCACAGCCCGCTTACAACAGCACAGGAAGCTTGGGCCACTGTCTCCATATAGACCACGGCACCGACCACTTCCCGAGGGGGACAGGGTAACATCACTCGCTCGTTCACTGAACAGGCTTGATCCGATCATCCACGTAACCTTCTCGAGATGATGCCTCACGTCTGTTATCAGGAAGTACCGATCCGTTACGTTGAGGACTGAAGAGCGAAAGGGAGCCGCAGGATTGATAGATTGGACCGCAGAGAAGTGTCTATGGCGAACGTTAACCTTGGGAGAAGCCGGGCGCAGCTCTCGCACGCGTCACGAACATGACAGGGTTCGTGAGCCTGGACCCCCTGCTCGACCAGAGAGATAACGCGTTGGCAACACACCACTTCCAACCAATGGTCGTACCTCCTGTCAACACCCGGGGCCTTCTGGTCTCCATTCTCCATACCAGCCCGTGTCTCCGCGCAGCGCTAAGGCTATGCTGTGCAGCCCGCTGAAGGTGAGACAGGCACCTGTGCAGTGTGCACAGCTCTCGCGTAGGAACGCTACGCTTGGTCGTCAACGGAACGCGTTCAAGGGGTTTGCCGACGACAATGCACTGGTCAGTCCTGAGTTTGCTCATCGAAGGACAGAAGAGACGGTCGATGAAACGCACCGTCTGGCGCCTTATCTGACGCGAGCCTTGACTACCCCAACTAGCTAGTCTTGAGCTTGCGCCCCGAAGCTCAGAAGGGACGGTCGATAAAACGCACCGTCTGATGCCTTGCCTGGCGCAAAGTCTAAGCCACCTCTTCTCCCTTCGGAGGCTTACCTTTCCCGAACGCTGATGTGAAACGGTCCCAACACGTACGTGTGTGTATTTATGCTTGAACTGAATGTGCCGCTTGACCGACTAACGTTCCGAAGGTTCCTGAACGCATCGAGTCATATATCATCACTTGCGTCGGATGCGGTCACGCGAGCGCCCATGCGGTTGAACTCCGCCAGAATGTGGTCTGCGCTTTGGCAATTCGGAGCATGACATCAACTGGAAGCCTCTCGCTTCACGCCCGCGCAAAGGACGGATCCCACGCGGTACTTGCTCGTCGACGTGCTTTGTCCTGGTATCCTGCAGCGAAATGCGGTGAGACTGCCCCGAAAATGAAACCTTTGCAGTGATCTGCGGGTAACGAACGCACTAACGGCACGCCATTGATCGCTGGCTAGCCTGAACGAGGCGCAAATTCACAAGAAACATCAAACAGGGCCGCATCAAACCAGATCGATCCACCGTGGCGGTCCACCTTGGGCGGTGCCCGACGCAAGGCGCCATGTGGTCCGCTCTGGTGATGCTGACCCATATGCATCGCCCTCTCGCAGATATATAAAATGGCGATGAGGATCGCTCATCCACATACACTGCTATCATAACTGCATCTGCCTGTCTGCACTTCATCCGCGTATTTTCTCTTGCGTCTCGTTTTGAGCCGGAAATCCGTGCGCTTATTGCCTTAACCATGGCTTCGTCCTCGTGAGTGCATTACAACAATAAATGATACTGTGATGGCTCACAGACCCGGCTTATTCAGATCAGAAGAGATGTTCCACACCGTCCTCGCAGTCTTCGAGCAAATGAAGTCGGTGAGGATGTCCAGCTACATACAAGCCAACTCGGTCATGCAGGAATTGGAGAAGGAAGCGAAGGAGAAGGAGGAGGCCGAAGAACAACAGAAGAGAGCTGAGGAGCGGAAGCGTGCTCAAGAGCACGCCCAGAAAGTCAGAGAGCAGCAGAAGAAAGCCGAGGAGCACAAGCGAAAAGTCGAGGAACAACAGAAGAAAGCAGAGGAGCAGCGAATCGCCAGGGAGCGTCAGAAGAAGGCCGACGAACAGCGGAAACAGAAACAGAAAGCCGAGGAAGAGCAGAAAAAGGCTGAGGAGAAGCGGAAGAAAGCGGAAGAGCAGGCACGTAAGACAAAGGAAGAGGCGAAGAAAAAGGTCGCGGAACCGGCTGTCGGGACAGCAAAGCAGTCCGCGGACCCCGTGGTGGTTGTGGAACGCGCACTCTGCGAGAAGAGAGTGGAAAGGGTGGTATTCATCAAGGAGAAGAGGGAAGTACGTACGAGCACGAAGGAGGTTATCAGCGGGGGCAGGAGTGCGGTCGGAGAGAAGAAGAAGTCGAGTAATGATCAACAGAAGGCCGACGATGAAAAGAAGACGGTGGCCGCCGAGGGGCGCAAGAAGACAGCTGGCACCAAGCGTGCTACTGGGGAAGAGGCGCGCTCGTCGAAGACAGTTCTTGCAGGGCCTTCATTAAAGTTGGAATTGGCACTCGTGCCTTCCCTAGTGGAGTTCAAGGAGACCAAACGGCGTCTTGGGTACCAGGAGGGTTGGTTCCATTTCGCTGTCGCCGGCGTAGCTGGGAGCGGCAAATCGTCGTTGATAAATGCCGTACGCGGTCTTCGGAACAATCAAGGCACGAAAGCCGCGCCCGCAGGGGTCACTGAGACCACGACGGCCGTCACCCGCTACCCCGATCCCATCCTCCCTGTCGCCTGGTACGATATCCCGGGCGCAGGCGCCTCGGATGTCGGAAATCACGACGCCTACTTCCAGAAGCAAGGTCTCTACATCTTCGACTGCATCATTGTCTTGATAGGCGATCGCGTCACGAACAACGACATCGCAATATTGAAGAATTGTGCAGGCTACCACATTACGGCGTACATCGTGCGATCCAAGTCCCTCCAACATATCCGAAATATCGCGAACGACCTGGATGGGAGTGGCAGGCGCACGGCGTTGGTTCTCGAGGAGGCGCGGAAGAAATACCGCGAGGAGACCTGCAGAAGCGTTGGTCACAACCTCGACAAATACGACTTACCGTCGCGGGACGTGTATCTGGTCGACAAAGACACGATGGTCGAGGTCAGACAAGGCCAGCAGCCTTCAGAGATCCAAGACGAAGTGCGGCTCTTGCGTGATCTCTTTGTGGAGACTTACAATCGTCGAGGCTCCAAACGCATAGTGGGGCTGGTTAATTGAGATCACTCGTAAAGACTGCTGAATTGATCGTATCTCTCGATGCTGGAGCAGTGGTGCATCAGGAAAACTCAAATCCGGCTCATGATGCTTTTATCCGCTTGCCATCACCAAGAAAGACGAGTCCGAGAAAGTCTCAGGACCTCCTTATTTTGAACTTTTCTCCGGGTTGGGAACTTCGTATGGTGTGCTAATTGGCTTGTACAAGCTGAAACTAGCAGAAACAAGTCAAAAAGGAGGTTCTCGAACCACAAGCCGATTTGAGTTTTCCTGACGCAGTGGGATCGGCTGGATCAACGGAATCAAATGATATGTAGTCTAACTTTTCTCAAGCGGAGTCTGGAACTCGCTTCCGGGTAAGATATAATCAAGAACACGAGCCAGTGCAGTCGCGAGGTTGATGCTGTTGCTTCCAGCTATCATCCTTCCTATAGAACGGATATTTCAAGTACGCTAAGGAGGATGCGGCGCACCGGCGGTGGCGGGCGGCTTACATAAGGGAAAGGTTTCGTGCCAAAATTATTATAAAACACATCTTAGAATCATCAAGAATGTTGTCATGCACATTGTTACAATGTTGGCAGCAGAAACATCTCAGATTTAGTGTAGTACTATAATGCTATCGCAGTGATATTCAGTTGATAATTATTGGCACAGTTGAAATGATTCCAACATATCTACAGCACGAACATAGCAGTATTATCTAAACTGTTATCGTCATGCTTTCGAAATGTCTCTGACGGCGTCATGGACTCATGATCCCGACGACATTTTAGAGATGATCTGAAATTGTGATATATGAGCAGCATACGTCCACCGGCAGTGGCCTTCTGTGATATTACACTGTCCGAAGATGGCGCAACGAAAATTCAGCGAGAGCCCAAACAGAACCAGACAAGTGAATGAATGCACCTGATTCGTGTCTGAACTTGGCATGTTCACGATGGTCGACAAGTCTTGCTGTGTCTTGCGAGTCCATCAATTCGAGTGAACTTGGCGCCACATCTTTCGCACTTGCACCGGTTGCATTCCAAATGCACGGTGGCTACGTGCCGCCCATATTGGTTTTGATACATCTCCCTCCCGCATTTCACGCCCCTTTCTGGGTACCATTCGCAGGTACCGCGGGGGCGATGCTCACCTGGGTTGCACAGAGGAAGAACATGATTGCTGCTGAGGTGCTTTTGAACACCAGCATGAGAGACGTCTGTGAGAAGCATGCCGCAAGGGGTTCCCCAGCGACATGGCACCCCTACTCCCGCAAATGTCTGCTCGTTCGATGGGTCTGATGAACGGCCTGGTGATGGAGGTGGGACGAATGGCACCTGATGCGCGGCAGCGGGCAAGAACCCTCCCGTGGCGGTGATATGGCCACGATACATTGAGACAGGTACTGCAGTAGGAGCGCTGCGAGAACCGTGTCAGATGTCCTACCGTTGGTGCATTCTGAATATAGTAGGCTACTCACGATTCTGCGCCATCGACTCCGAAGGGCAACATGCCATATAAGGGCCCGTCAGCATCTTGCTGAAGATACTCGCTGTTAACCAATAGATATCAGTCATTGAGGGCTTCGCAAAAGGATATGAAACTTACTTCATCAATTCCGGACGAGTCCTGAGCGATATTCCAGCATTCCATGCATCCTCCATTGACGGTACGATACCATAAGTGGATGAAAAGTCATTCGCAGGAATCGTCGAGCTATCCAGAGTCAAGGCGGCATAGTCGGAGCATTCTGAGAATAGGATAGAGACATCGTTGCCGGTATCGAACGACATGCTTCGCAAGCTGAGCGCGATAAGAGCAGACCGGTCTGCTACTGGGCCATGTATAAGTACCGGAGGACTCCTGTCGTTTGCAGACCTTCTATTTCGAACATGCCGGTGAATGTACTTGCCATTGCGCGCGACGCGAACCATGAAGGAGGAAGGCTTACCAGAATCACCGGGGAGAGCATCTGATGCACATTGATCCTAGCCGAGATTACGGCGTTTTAAACGCGGGTTTGCAGTTGACAGTAGAACAGTGGAGTCTGTGGAGATGACTGTCTCGATCGTAAACGCACGTTGTAACTCAGCCAGTAAGATTCGTGCTTTGAGGGCAACCGGCAGAAGGCTTAGAAGCGCCAAAGGCTGGCCGTTGTTTCATGATTGCTGGCGCTAGTCTGTCCAGTCGGACGCATAGACATTTCGTGAATGCTGATTATGCCATTACCTCCAGGCTCCGAATCGGGCCGAATGAGTGTGTCAACCTGGAACTATTGAGGCAATATTTATTTCTCAAATTTTGGTAGTCTTCGTCCATGCTTCCTGCCAGCAGAATCATGAACACTTTAGAGTGAAAAGGTCTCATGTCGGTGACATACCTTTGGTAACGTCGACAATGACAGAATGTAATGCTCGAACACTTCCCAAGCCAAGTCCGGCAGATTATTGTATTTATCATTCGCATACGAGATCGTGCGAATCTTCGCGATCGGCGACGGCTGGGAGGATACCACATAGTCCAGTAATGCTGAAGATCTCTAATTCTGATCCTCTGATGTCTAGGCAATCAACCGGACTGGATAACTGCTTGCTGTGCAAACAGCCATTGTTAAACGTCATCGAAGAAGTGAAAAGAGAAGGAATGAAGCAATCCTATTGCTTTCTCTGGTATTATGGCTTATCATAGGTATCGTCAGAAACAAATAGCGCGGAAAGAGAAAAAGCCACCTATCCCTGACGCCGCAAAGTCATCAGCAGAGCTGTCCGAATTCTGTCTTTACAAAGGAGTAAAATGGTCAGTCGAGGAACGTGGGAAGTTGAACACCGTAAATTCCTTTGTCACCGAGGAGGGAAAGGATGATCTACAGTCAATCGTAAAATTTTCAGTGTGCCATGCCAACGTGGTTCCTAGCGATGAATGACGCGGGTTTTCTGGCCTTCTTCGCGGGGGGGCTCTACTGGCAGCCTCCCAATCACCGGTCCTGTGCACGTTGACCGGCATTCCCAATTTGGGAATCTCTATGGCATTTTCGTAGTAATCATAACCCACTCTTCTCAGACCTACAGTAAGTTGGGCCTCACGCGCTGTACAAGGAGTCCATTATTTGCGGCATTGCAACCCGAGTCGACTCGGAAGTCGTCGTGCAAGCTGGCAGTTTTTCAAATCATCAATCCGGTCGAATTCATCCGCTTATGTCACATATTTTAGGTCCGAACGCGAGTGATATATCTCATCACACAGGTGAGTATTGGAATATTTTGGAGTTACTTAGGAGTTACACTCTTACAAATACTCCGTGATATATGTCAAGGACCGGCCGTAATAATCATGCTGATGCCTACTTTGTTCTCTAAGACGCGGCTTTACAGTACGTAACCAGGACAAAGATTTCGGATGCCATGATCGCAGGATATACTCACCTCTAAAGCTTGCGCTGGAGAAAAGGCAGCCAAGTGGTAGGCTCACGATTAGACGAGCCGGGACTTCCATTCCCGAGCCCGAGCCCGAGCCTTCTGCCCGGGTGGGTTTCCAAAGAATGCGGCTCTTCCGCGTTTTTCTCGGACGTACTCCACTCTGCATCAATGGACAAAATGCCCCGATAAGGGTCTGGGCAACTCTGATCGGGATTGAACTCATCCAATCGCTTAGCTGCTTCAATGGCCTTCCCATCCGTGCCTTACGGCGTCAATGACTGTTGAGAAAATATCAGAAAGCGTTGGCACTCACACGCTAAGGATACAGTTGTGACAGTCAGTTATTGCTTCGTGCAACATATTTTGGAGCCTACATTTTCGGAGATCCGAACAGCCGAGAGATCTTGTGAGCCCATGTCGTGAAATTGAGGGTCAACGATCTATGTTTCAGCAAGAAGATCTTCAACCATAAGCGGTATTATCTGAACAGGTTGTCCACCAGGCGGCCGTTATTCAAGCTTCCTGCAGGCTGTCAATGACACCCGAGGACTTCGATTGGTGACGAGAATATTGACAGCAGTGCGTATGCAGACTCGTAAATTCTGATGTGGTGGAGAAGGAGGTTGTATACCACGCGGTACGTGAAATCCGTGTAGCCACGAGGTTGATTGCTTGCAGTTGAGACGTGATGGAAGTCACAGTTAACTATCATCTGACTTGCGCTACCAGCTATGTTCAACCTCATTGTGGAATTTCCTATAACTGTGAGTTGTAAACATGCTGTTGCGCTCGGCCTGTCATCGGCATCCTCTTTATAGGTCGAGCGCGATATTTCCTGGTATTCCGGAGCACCGAGCGCGGAATTCTCATCTTTTGATATCTGCGCAGCGCATTCTGTCGATGTTTCCAGAACCTGAAAGGGATGTCGTCACAGAATTTCACAAGTAACCCGGGGCCAGCGTCAGCACATGCTCTGAATATCTCGTCATATGCATGGAAGGTGTACTCACTGTACCGTAGATGACAGGTAATCCCCGATTTCAAATACCTCACGAAACACGGCAAGTGCTTCGGCGTTGGACTATCATTTCGCTGGTTTTCTAACGCGATTCCAAGCTAGGTTTACGTCCTTTGACGTTCGCGTAACAGAGACGAATTGCTGAGATCAGCGAGACAATTTTGTTCATACCTGAGCATTGTATACTAGCAGGACTTCGCGGCTTGGATTGCAGCACTGTAATGTGTATCGTGGTATGAGCTGTTTGTGTTATGCAGAGATTGAGGTACGTAATGGACATTTAGGACTCTTGAGGCCGCCTAGAACAGCGCAGACGCACCGCCCATCATCGTGTTCATAATATAGAGCAAGCAAAGGTGAGCCTCTCCTACGCAGCCTTCCATGCATACAGCAAGGCCGCAGGATATAATTATAGCCCAAGTAAGAAGCTGTATGAAGTTGTAATGGGTGGGTGCTTGCGACTGTCGGACAAACCCAGCATGGACAGTCTAGGAATGCCTAGAGCTGACGGGGTATCGCATCACCGGCTCTGCGTAGCGTCCAGAGAATCAGAAATTGTGCATTACCAATTAGTGGTTTTCCAGGATCAGTCCCTGCCAAGATTGCCTTCATCATCTCATCTCCTTGGGTCAATAGTTTCTCCTAGAGTCCGTTGAGTGGACAGAAACGTTTCTACTTGCATTTGGAAATGTTGGCGACCATACAGCTAAGGACTTGCCACACGATCAAAACCATTGACTTCTTCCATGACATCGGCTAGTCGAGACTCAAACGTTGAAGTATCGCCTGTGCTTCACTGCTTGCGCATCACCATTTAACATTTCCGCAGCACATGTGGTGATAGATAAGGGGATAAAAGCCGAACCATTTTGGCTAACCATTTCTGACACAATTCCGCATAGACGGTATCCATGTCTCTGTTGAAGTGAAACGAATTCGGTTAGAACAAGTCCAATGACCATGTGGACGATTGAAAATTGGGCTTCCGCAACGGTGCCTGAAGGTAAATTTTTGATTACAGATGTCCATCCGACAGGAACGCAACTCTGCAAGGTGATTAGCAACGGCGGCCCGGGGCCTGCCACTCACGCTACAGTGAATACCACCGGTAGCGGTAGACACAAATTGGCGGAGTGCAATCACCGCGTCGCCGCGCACTTCAGGGCAAGTGGCGTCGCTCGCTAACCCGGCCCGTCGGCTACGCCTGCCAACAGGTGATTCGTCATAAACACATAGACAGCCTGAGTTGAGGGCTACGAGGACGATGTACTGTCGATACTCACAGGAGACCATTCTGTCCCTGTTCTCTGACCGCAGCTCTCTTGTTCTTCACCTCGAGCTCTGTCACACCACAATCCAGAAAGACCATGTGGCTGCTGAATGTGAGGCGTACATAGGGCAAGAAGCAACGTACAAAGGAAAAACAGCAATCGCTCAATACACGGGACCGACGAGAAACGCGTTTGGCGACGACAGTCACCGCGCCACCTGCGTCGAAGGTGGACCTGAAAACCTAAGCCTCCGGTTCCTTGACAGAGTCCGGAGAAACCGAAAAGCTCCTGCGTTGCCACGAGGGCTGGGCCACCTTCTCCGAGCGCTGGATTACTCAGCCAACGTCAACGACAGGAAGCGGCATCAATCCACTGGTTCATGGGATAATACATAAATGGCGGATCATTCAAGGACGGATGCCGATTCTAGGGGCTGAGCCGAGAGCATTGGCCGCTTCTTGATCCCGCCTTCTCTTTCAGATGTGAGGCCAATGCAGGACATTGTAAGGTCAGTAATCAAGAAGCCGGCTCCCAGAACAAAGACTTCCACCTTTGCTCGTATTATGATGTTGATCGGCGATTGCGCCACCAATGATGCTTCGCTTCCAGAACACTGCGAGTGACCTAAATGGGACAAGTGACGATCCGTAAACCGATATGCAGGAACGTAACGTTCAAACCGACCAATCCGGATGTCACGTAACGGGCTTTCCCAATGAAGGCCGAGAAGCTTCTCCGAATGTCCATGTGCACGCTGGCGAATTGAATGCATCAACTCCCCTCACCCAGGCCATCTGTCATGCTCTCTTGCAGACGAACAAGGTCTTGCGCACAATGCTTGCAAGGCAGACACGGCAGCTTTTGACTTTTTTTGTGGGAATCTTCAGTCTCTAAATTTCAAATCGGAGCGGGCCCTTTTGTTGACTGACCAGGACGATCGGTAGTTGCCTGAATTGATATCGTGGAGATGCAGGGAAATCGGATGAAGATCGATGATTATGTGAAGGAAACTGGGAAGGGGATTGATGTGAACATCCTAATGAATGATGTTGAGCCCTTAGCTTTTAATGTGACAGTGTGCACCAAAGTTTGCCTTGATTACATAGTTTATCCCTCGGATTGCTAAGTTGTGTTATCTTCCAGTGTGACTTAATACTTATCTGCAATCAGTCCTCCTTCGTAATTCTTGCGAGCCATTGTCCGATTGGAAGTTCATGGTTGCGAGACGGGCCACAACAGTTGATCATACGCAGGAGTAAATGATGAACGCATCGTGCTGTATTTTCAAGGAGCTTCGAAAGCAGAGAACTTCGATTGGTTAACGGCAAATGCCGCGATCCGTCGATCATACCCGGGCTATTCTCACACCCGGACAAGTTTCTCAGATAGCAAATGTGTTCAATGTAACTGTGAGGATAGATGGGCTGCGCATATGTGTGAAAGATGACCGGCGTAATATTCCTAACCCGATCTAGTTTGTGGCAGCTTTCATTATTGTTTACTGTGCCAACTGAGTTTGAAATGAGCTGAGTTTGAAAGTGGTGGCTGAAATGTGGCTGAAACGGTTGAAGTGGTGCCTGGTAGGCTGAAGCATGATGCATGAAGCTTTGCAATTGAAGTCCTATCCCATAAGAGACTTTCCGAACTCCCGAAGAGGATGCAGAGGAATCTGGAATATACTAAGGGCCATACACGCTGAACTTCCTTATCGAAAAGGGATCAGGTAAGCACGCATCGAGAGCCACCAAGTGCTCGCCCCAACAGACATCTCTCGCTAGATTCTTCGTTGCTGCCGTTCATTAAACACTGAAGGCGCATGTGTTCATAACACTTGTTCTAAATACACAGACCAATATGAATGCGTTGATCCCCGCAATATTTACTTAAGAAGGGTCCATTGCATCAAACAAGCACTAGTACTTAGAGTCCTTTGCTGTAGACTAATTAACAGGATGTGCAGGCAGACATGCCAGCCAGACCTCCCCTCATATATATCAATTTCCTTCTAATCAAGCTCAACAACCACTCGTGTGGCAGCTATGCTATACGGTTGCCTTAGGCAGCTTCAAATCTTTCCTCTCATACTACTTGATATGCTAGTATCTAAGCCTGTGAGCACAGATATGTACACATAAAAGATATTAACATCAAGAGCGAGTACACCGCTGCGCAGCGGCAATGGCGAGCGCAACGACGACCACGCGAGTCGCTATCGACGCGGGCGCTTGAGGGTACTCGGATCCCTTCCTGATAAGGAAGGTAGTTTATCCGCCAGGCTCCCACTACAACTTGCATCTGCCTCACTCGCGGGCCCGTCCCCCCCCCCCTCGCAGAGAACGTACAACCAACTTCAAAAAACTCCTCTATACAGAATTTGGTCTTCCTAGGGTTACTGAACCGTCTTTAATGCGCTCTGATAGTGATACGCGTGCAGCGCAATGCCAACCGATGTTATTCTGACATCTTTGATATCCGCCATCGCCGTGAATTAAGAACCTTTGCGAATCGTTGTGTACCATCACACAAACATTCAAATGGGAATTTCAGTTGCGATCTCTTCCGGCCGGTTTCGCAAGGGCATGATTGCTCAGTTCTCCTGTGGAAGATTACCGCTCGGAGTCTGCTACCTCACTATTTTATGCCAGACATGCTAACATAGCGTTTAAGGGCGCTTGGTCGAACATCGAGTTGTTATCGTTCCCGACGCGACCTCGCTTCACCGTATGTACACGTCAGCTGCGGTCGTACTAGCCTGCTAACTCCCCAAACAATAAATGCAGAACCGCCTCGGATGCCCTCAATTCAGAATCCAGTGTGGCGTCCAAAGCTGTGACCCCACTGAAACGTCATCTCCACCACGTCATCGTCAACGTTTGTATGGGAACATTGTCCCCCATGATGCCTCTCTTTCATTCCAGACTTCATCGCTGCGGTCTCCTTTCTTGCAGCCGCCAACGCCGCGTTAGCCTCCTTGAACTGCCTTTCGAAATGTCTGGAACGATCTTCCTCTTCACGTATGCGTTCGCGGAGACTCTCCCGCAAATCCCTCTCCGACCGCAATTCGGCCTCCTTCCTCTGTATCTCCTTCGCCTGCCGCTCAAGCTCCGCGGCACCGCGATAAACAGAGGCAGTCTCACTTGCCAGACGCTGTTCGATTCCTCTTAATAGCTCGAAGACCTCCTCTCGTTCGCGTTCTGCGTTGTCCTTTGCCTCGGCCGACGTTTTCAGTTCGTACTCTAGCTGGTGCAGCTGAGAGGACTGCTCGACCTGATCGTTCTGCAGAAGGTCAATGGTCTTTGAAAGGTCGGCGATGCGTGCAGAATGTCTCTGGCAATCCGTGACCATAGCGTCAAAGCGTGTTTGTAATCGTACATGTGCAGCTGTCAGTTCCTCGTGCTGGACTTCGAGGCTGTGGAGCTGTTCCTCGGCGGCAATCCGAGTTGTGCGTTCCTGGCGTACGTCTGCGGCGGCAGCCTCGAGCTTTGTGCCAAGCTCGGACTGGGAATCTCTGAATTCTTGTTTCTGCGCCTCCATCAACTGCAGTCTCTCCTCCATCTGGGCGCGCCGTTTATGCTCTTGCTCTAACTCGGCATCCTTGGTCCGCAACTCCTCGACGATGAGCGCGTGCTTCGTTTCGGTCTCGCGCTTCTCGCGCAAGAGCGTCTCGTAGTCGTCTTGCGTCTTCAGACGTGCCTCACGCTCCGTGTTGAGCTCGGTGGTCTTGGCCTCGAGGCCAGCCTTAGTGCGGGCGGACACGTCCTCGAGAGCCCGTTTCTCCCCTCTCAGTATGGCAAGCCGCTCTTCGGCTTCAATGCGGGCGTGGTGCTCTTCATCGGCCTCGCTACCCTTCTTCTCCAACTTGTTCAGCATTCCCGCATGCGAATCTTCGAGGTCGCGCTTCTCCTTCTGCAGAGCTTGTAGCTTGTCTTCTAGCTCAACACAATGGCCGCACTCCGCGGGGATCTCGGCGCTCTTGTTCTCCAATTGTTCTTCAAGCTGTTGCTTCTGGTCTCGAGCGGAGAGGAGCTGGAAGTTGTCACGTCAACTCGTTATTCTGCGACAGCCTCATACCATAACGTACCTCCTGCCGCAACTTTGTCAGCTCATCTTGAAGCTCAGGCTGCGTAGCCTCCAGGCGCTGGTCCACCTTCTTCTGATCGCGCTCCGCGCGCTCCTTATCTTGTTGCGCGCGCTGCAGAGCAGCTTCCAGTTCGTTGAGCTCTTCATCTTTCTTCTTCAACGCGGAAGCTTGATCGTTGTCACGTTCTTCCAGAAGCAGCAAGTAATGCTCTATGGTCGAATCGTCATACTCGAGTTCTTCGAGCTGGTTGGCATGACGTTAGCAGATGTCTGGAATCACAGTTGCATCATGGACATCTCCTCACCTTATTGCGCAGTTTGGTGGTTAATTGGGCGGTGGCGTCTCTGCGACTCATCTTGGAGGCTAACAACTTCGACAGAGAACACCGATGACCACCGGTTAGCCAACATAGCATCAACGCCTTGGTAGACAAACTTACCGAGCAGGAACTTGGCTGTTTAGTTGCAGATAGCACGGCAAGGAGGGGAATGGTGGGTTTTATCCGTCAAGCTTGTCGATGTAGCTGAATTTTATATCCCGCTAGTGAGTCGTGTATAGGGCGTGGCATCACATTTCTAGCCATCAGATCAGAGCCTTGTGGCGACCCTGTGCATTTCATCAAGCATTCATGCATGGAAGCTGCAGCGCAGAGACCTGCTTGGGATATATGAAAATGGTGCGTTGAGGGCGTGCAAGCACTCATGCCCGTGAAGCACATCTCGTAATCGGAGTCATCTCGTAATCGATGCAACTCATTCACATCAGTATCCGTTCGACTCCTATCCCATTCGTGTATGCGTGGATGTGCTCGATAATACTGACAAGATAGAGAAACATGACTGATGAAGAGCGATTGTGAAGGCATAGTGTGAGTGATTGTGAAGGCATAGTATCAGGCATGCGATGATAGATGACTATGTCACTGTATAGAGCATGAGCCCTCCATGCGGAATTCTGCCAGAGTCTCGTCTACAGTCTCTGGGTTCGTGCCTCGCTGATGCGCCTTCTTCAGTTCCTCCCTCAACTCGGGCACTCCCTCTGCTCTTCGCATCAGGCTGTAAAGCGCTGTGCGATCGCTCTCCAGTTGACGCAGCTGCTCAGGATTGTTCGCCCGTCGGGAATTGTCAATGTTTCCTATGCAGGGAGTGCTGATGCGTCTCTCGAGATCTGCAATGCGAGCGAATAAGCTCTCCCTATCGACCGCTGCTGCGTCGAGAGTCATGCGCAACTGCGCATTCTCCTCCCTGAGTGCCGCCTGCTGCCGCTCGAGTGCTGTCCGAGCAACGCGTTCATTCTCAGCTTCAGCGTTCTTCTCCTCTAAAGCTTCTTCCATCTGACCACGAAGCTGGCGCAACCTTTCCAGCTCGACCTCCTTGTTCTTGACGTCGGAAATGGCACAAAAGTGCGCAATGTCGAGTTCCTGTTTCTCTACAATCAACGCATCGTAATCGTTTTCGATCTCCAGACGTGCGCTGCGTTCTTCATCGGCTTCAGTGGCCTTCGCCTCTAAGCAAGCCGTAGCATGTGAGACCTCGTCTTCGAGCTTTTGCTTCTCCTCGCGGACTGCGCTCAGAGTCTCCTCAAGCTGGGTGAGTGTTTGTTGCTCTTTTAGGAGTTCTGCCATCTTGTCATCTAGGTCACTCAACAGACGTATCTGTTCACTTTCGAGGCTCTGCTTCTCTATCTGGAGGACGCGAAGTCTGTCCTCCATTGCACTCTGAGCTGCAGATATCTCGGTTTCTCTCGTTTTGATGTCTTGTTCTAACTCTTCTCTGTCCGCTTGAAATGAAGCTAGCTTTGATAATCAATCAGATCATGAGGAATGGGCAACAGAAACTCCATACCTGGCTCTTCAAGGTCTTCAGTTGCTCTTTAGCAGCACGAAGCCACAGTTGAGTATCCTCCAGGCACTTTTTTGTCTCGACGAGATCATCTTCCACACTCATTTTGGCATTTCCTACGGATTCCAGTGTAGCTTTCAGCTTTTGGTTTTCTTCAACGGCCTGATGCAGCTCGGAGGTGAGGACCATATAGTGCTCCTGCAGTGATGCAAGAGGTTGCTCAATCGCGGCAAACGCGTAGTCTTCCTCAACGAACTTTGCCACACTTCATCAGCCGATGTCCGTTTCGTGCATTGAGAGGATCTTACCTGCTGGAACAATCCGGTGATCATTTGTACGATGTCCATGTCTTCAAGCTTGCTGGGCCTGTAGAAGAGCTGGCATGTGAGCAAAGGTTCTCGTGAGTCCCAATTTCGAGAGAATGTACTGACTGGTCAGCCAAAATACACGATGTATGTGTATGATATGGCATAGTGTGATTTATCCACGGTCGTCCTAGCTGTCTACCGCTCACACCAAGCGCATTATATACTACTGTTGAGACTCTCCACGGAATCAGTGTCAGCCTTTGAAGCCGGTGGGAGCCCATTGTCGGCCATGCATGTACGTATCACGAAACTTGGCCATCTTCTCAGGCTTGACTATACTTCGAAGCTTGCCTGGTGAACTCATCATGATACATGCTACCTGCATGTGGTGGCAAAAACCAATGTGCATCCGCAAGGCATCCGTGCGGTGCCCTCGCTGTGGCACGAAAGGCTCGGGAACACACGCAACAGACTACACCATATATGTTATCGATGGATCGTAGATTCGTAACTAGTGTGCATTAGAATCAGAGACAGACGTGATGAACCACAGCAGAAGAGATGACATTGGCATGAAAAACTACAGTAGACGTTATCATTACCTAGCATAAATGTTCCGTTCCTGATCGAAAAGAGTTCGGGGGCATCCTGCACTTCCCGTTTACATGAGCCTCTGCACGAGACGCTTTTGATACGACGCACGTTCGTCCCAGGCTTCTTTAGTGATGACCCGACTTGTTTGCTTTCCTGCGCCGCTGAGCACGTTTCACCTCCTCTCTCAGAACCTCAATCTCTGTCTGCGCAGCGACCAAAGCTGCACTTGCTTCCTTCAACTTTTGCTCGAGCTGTAGACCTTGTTCGTTCGATGTTTGGACTGTGCGCAACCTCGCCAGGAGCTGATCAGCAGTTCGTCTCGATATACGCAGCTCGTCCTCTTTCTTCCTGAGCTCGATATCCTTCTGATGCATCTCAGCCGCGCTGCGCTGGACGTCGGTCGTCTGGTTTGTGAGGCGCTGCTCGAGGCTCTCGACCAGCTCGTACACCTCGACACGTTCGCGCTCCGCACTCTCGCGAGCCTGCTTCATATCAAACAGCTCTGCCTCGAGCTTGGATACCGAAGACGACTTTCGCTCGTTCCTGTTTCTCAGCCGCTGTCTCTCCTGTGCTAAAGCCTCGAGGTGAATGGAAAGACTGTCAATCTCGGCCATCTTCGACTCCAGCTCTGCCTGAGCCTGCGCATGCGCGGACTCGAGTTCTCGGATACGCATTTGCAGAGCGCAAGTGTCGTCTTCGAGCCTAGACTGAGCCTGTATCGCTGCGTGCACTTCGGCTGACTTCTCCGCGGCTTCAGTCTGGCTGAGAGAATACAAAACCTCGAGTTCCTCCTGCTTCGTCCGGAGTACGTGAAATTGCTCTTCAATTCGCATGCGGGCATTGCGTTGCAAGTCGGTCTCGGTAACTTGGGCATCAAGTTCTGCACATGTGCGGGATCTGGACGCTGCAAGCTCCTGGTGCTCGGCCTGCAAAGCCTTAAGCTCTTGTTCTAGCCGAACGCGCGCTTCGTACTCCCCAGCGATAAGGGTGGCTTTATCTTCAAGCTCAGACTTCGTGCTTAAGCATGACGATTGGAGTTCCTGCATCTCGGCAAGCAGACGTTCGTGCTCCTGCTCGAGCTTCGTCCGAGCCTCGACCTCTGCGAGGACCTGGGCTTCAAGTTCGGCTGCGCTACGCGAACGGGAGGATAACGTCTCGTCATGCTGCCGCTGGAGTGACTGCAACTCCTTCCGGAGTTCATCGAGCGATCGCTGCTGCTCGTTCCTCTCCAAGATTGCAGCATCAAGCTGCGACACTGCCTGTGAATGCGCCGCCTTCAGCTCCACCAAGCCTGCTTTGGCCGCGTTCAGCTGGTTCTCAACGTTCACACGAGCAGCGTGCACTTCGTCCGCCCGCGCCTCAAGTTCCTGAATGCTCCGCGTATGCATGCTCTCCACCTCTTGCACCTCCGTCTGCAGCCGCTGAATCCCGTTCTCCAGTTTCAAGCGCACTTCGTGCTCGGTACGGGCCTCAATAGCCTTCGCTTCCAACTCGGCCTGTATCTGAGAGACATCCGCTTCCAAGCGCTCGCTTTCCGCCTGCGCATGGGCGAGTGCCTGCTCTTGCTCGACACGTGCACTGCGCTCCTCGGCGGCCTCGGCGACCTTGCTATCGAGCTCCTCTTGCAAGCGCGCATGCTCTGCAGCTGCTAGAGAAGTCTTTTCCTGGAGCTCCGTCTTGGTGTTCGAGTACACAACTTCGAGATTCCGCTTCTCCGACAGGAGATGCTCGCGTTCTTCCTCGAGTTGGACTCGAGCGACGCGCTCAGCAGCGATCTCGGCTTCGAGCTCTGTCTGACTGCTTGACTGCGAGGCAAGCAATTGTTGGTATTCTCCCTTCACCGTGCGAAGTTCCTGCTCCAGTCTAGCATGGTGCTCGCGCTCAGCGTTCGCCTCGGCAGTCTTCTCCTGGATTTCGGAGAGAGCCTGCGCATGAGCTTCGTCGAGCTGGCGTTTGTCGGCTTGAGCTGTTCGTAACGAGTCCTCGATCTGGAGCTTGGAGGTGCGTTCCTGGTCGATCTTCGCCTCAAGCTCCTTGATTGACTTCGAATGCGAGTCCTCCGCAGCGCGCTTCTCCACCTGCAATGCCTCCACCCTTGCTTCTGCCTCGGCACGCGCCCTAAGCCCTGCGTCAACTTCCGAGGCTTTCTGTTGAAGCTCGTTGCGAGCGTGCGACATGAGCTCTTCCAGATGCTGCTTCTCGGCGAACAACGCGTCCATCTTCTCCTGTAGAGCATCTCGAGAGCTGCGCGCCTCGTTGATCTCAGCGAGCTTCTCCTCGAGTTCTCGGTTGACCCGAGAGGTTTCCGCGACCGCAGAAGCGAGCCTCACAGTAAGCTCAGCCTGCGACTTGGAGGATGCGTCCTCAAGCGCCCGTCTCTCCTTCAACAGAAGCTCGTGCTTTTCCTGGAGTTTGACCAAGGCATCGTGCTCAGCAGCGACCTTGGTCTCGAGCTCAGTCTGAATGTGAGAATGCGAGGCAACGGATTCTTGTTGCTCCCTCTGGAGCGCCTCGACTTGTGATTCCAGCTTCACACGGAGTTCGCGCTCTGTGTCTGCCTCAATTATCTTCTGCTTGAGCTCGGAGAGAGCTTTCTCGTGAGCGTAATCGATCTGGCGCTTCTCAGCCTCCAGCCGCTCCTCGAACTCCCGCCTAGACACGCGTTCCTCGTCGATCTTCGCCTCGAGTTCCCGTACTGCCCGCGCGTGTGATTCTTTATCGCCACGTTTCTCTGCCTGCAGAGATTCCAGAGCGCCTTCGACCTGCTGACGTGTCGACCGCTCTGCTTCGAATTGTGACTCCTTCGCCTTCAACTCGCGCCGCGTCTGTGAGAGCGCGTTATCGAGCTGCTGTTTCTCCGCAAGCGCCTCGTCCAATTTGCCTTGCAGGGCATTGCGAGCGGTGCGCTCGTTGTCAAGCTCAGCGTCCTTATTTGCGGAGTCCTCACGCAGCCGCACATTCGACGCGCCCAGCTCGCCCTTCTCGACCAGGAACTGCCGAAGCTGCTCCTCCGCATTGACTCGTGCGCTGTGCTCGGACGCTGCCTCGGACGTCTTCGCCTCCAACTCCATTAGTGCGCGCGAACGCGCCGCTTTGGACTCTTCGAGTTCCGTTTGCACTTTGACAAGAGATTCCTCCGCAGCGGCTCGTACGCTCCGCCCTGCTTCCTCTTCGGCTGTCTTTGTCTCGATCGCAGCCTTCGAGCTGTCCAGCTGTTGTTCGGATCATGCGAGCTGAGCATTCTTCCATGATGAAATGCTGACGCATGCTCACCTCTTGCCGCGCATGTGACAAGGCACTCTGACAGCTCTCAAGCTCCGTCTGCAATGCCCTCAGCTGCTCCTGCACGTTCCCGCTATTTTCGGCCTGAGCGTCTTGCGCGGTTTGTAAGGCAGACTTTTGAGTTTCCAGCTCCCGTCGCGCATCTTGTAAAGAGGCGGTCAACGCTTCCTCATGCTTCCGCAGAGTTACTATGGATTCCTCCTTCGCGGCGATAGTAGACTGAGCAGTGGCAAGCTGTAAGTGCAGCGTTTAGTGCGCGCCACACAATATTTAGTTTAGTGACAGACATGACGCCCACCTTCTCGCGCAGCTCAGCAGCCAACTGTGCATTGCGAAGGTCTTCCTTTGAATTATCCGACCCGCTAGTAGATTGAGGAAAGGATATTATAGACGACTGCCTCTCGATAGATGTTGTGCCATTTTCTGTATGAGCGGGACACGTTGCATTAATATCGGTAGCATCTCAGCAGAGTAAAAAAAAAGTCTGCGCTCACTCTTGGCGGACCGCAGTGAGCCTGTTTCAGCTGGTTGGCTCTTCAGCAAGCCGGCGACGCCAGAACCGAGCCGCTTTAGTGGGGACGAGTGGGACGTCTTATTTGTTGTTTTCCTGAAAGACATACTTGCGCGCGATCTGGTTGAGGATGCCGCTGGCTACCGTGAGGCAGAGGATAGATCGCCGAGCATTCTGCGCGGCATTTTATTGCTATTTAAGCTGGTCTCGGCACAATGGTGCAGCATACACATTAAAGCGTGCGTCAAGTTGCATGCGGAATACGCGGACCTGATGGCTTCATCGGCTAAATGCGTCCCATGACATAGAGAAAGGCCGCATGGCAACCGCATGTTGGGAGTGGTTGTCGTAAGATACATTCACGATGATCATCTAGCCGAAATGTGGCGAACGACTGCGAGAGAATTGAGACAAATGTTGCAAAACCGGATACGCAGATGAGTATCCATAGCAGATCGCTGCTGAGTCCAATCGTGGACCCTGAGCTAGGCCACATACTGCTCATTTCATGCGTTGGATCCTCGTGTGTATGTTCCCACCGCAACATTAAATGAACGGTTCGTCGCATCCGTGATGACATCTCGTCTCCGCTGGGCGCGAACAACGTCGCCTTTGTCCGGATGACCTGCAGTCGGCTTCTGGGCTCAAGAAGATGTTGTTAAACAATCAGATTTCGTCATGCTGGGCGAGGGGTTTGCGATATGTTCCCAGATGGGTGCCCATTGTGAGAAGTGCTGTGCGTTGTCACCGGAGATGGTCGATGGCAGTCTAAGAGTCAGCGCTTCCGCGTATTCAGTGCTGAGTGCACAAAGTTTGCGTTCAAGCACCGCACGAGCGCCAATGTCTTGTCTCCTCGCCGTGTGCCACCATTGACTATCGCTGGATTCATTCAATAACGCGTCTTTGATGTTGTATTCTTTGCCCGCGAATAGCAAGATGATGCAGGGAAGTATCGCCCGCATCGAATGGTCTACGTCAAGATCAATCTGGTCCGCTCGGTCGTCGCGTGCGGCCCGAATGGATGAGGCCGTTATGACACAACGCTCGGAATAAGTAAATAAATAGTACACACGACTACTTGTACACAGGATAAAAGTCACGTAAGCTTCAATTTTCGTTTCTTCGATGCAATCATTAAAGAGGACCCCCCATTCTCAAAAGCCCACCATTCCTTCTGGCCTTCGTCTCCGAGCGCGCTTCAATTCCCCTTTCAAGACGTCAATCTCTGTCTGTGCAGCAGACAGAGCTGAACCTACATCTCTCAGCATCTGTTCGAATCTTGAAGCTCGTTCTTCCCAGACGCGGGTCCTGCGTCGTTGAGCAACCAGCTCCTGACGGGTCTCCCTTGCGAACAGCAATTCGTTTTCCAGGAGCACTGCCTTCTTCTTGAGCTCCGCAGTGGAGCGTTCGGCCAGCTCGGTTTGGTATGCAAGACGCTGCTCGAGGCTCCGAATCTCTGCGCTCCTGCGCGCCATGCTGGCTTGCTCTCGCGTGATGCGATCGAGCTGATCCTGGAGTTCGCAGATTCGTAAAGACTTCTCGTCGTTCTCATTGCGAAGCTTGGCTGCGTCGTGCGAGGCTGCGTCAAGGCGAGAAATGACGCTTTGGTTCTCGAGGGCCCTCGCTGCGAGCTCTTCCGCCATCTCCGTGCGCTTTGATAACAGTTGTCGAAGTTGCATCCTCAGAGTGCCACAGATATCCTCTAGCTTTGACACAGATTGGCGTGCTGCATCTGCCTCGGCGACCTTGCTCACGATCTCCGCCTGGCTTTGCGAGTGTTGCCTCTCAACTTCCTCCAACCTCGAGCGAAGACTTGTGAGTTCCTCTATCGCCGTGGCGAAAGCGCTCCGCTGTCTGTCAATCTCAGCGTCCTTGGCCTCAATTTCCGCACGACTACCGGAGAACGAGGCATTTAGCTTGTGATGCTCGTCTCGAAGCGTCTGTAGCTCTTCCTCAATACAAGCACGAGCTGCATGCTCCGTCGTCGCCAAGGCAACCTTGTGCTCAAGCTCAGACTTGATGCCCGAGACGTCCGCTTCCAACCTCTGCTTGTCATCCAACAGACGCTCGCGCTCTTGTTCGAGCTGAGTGCGTGCTTCGTGCTCGGCGGAGACCTCAGCCTGGAGCTGTGAGTATCTGTGTGAATGCGCAGCTTCCTCCTCTTTCCACAACCTATTTAGCTCCTGAAGGTCTGCTTCAAATTTGGCCTGCATGCTATGCCTTGCGGAGAACTCAGCCTGGAGGTCTGAGTGGCTTTGTGAACAGGCGGCTTCCGTTTCTTCCAGCTTCCCTTGCAGCATCTGAAGTTCCACCTCCAGTTTGGTGCGTACGCTTTGCTCCGCGGCGACCTCAACCTGGAGCTCCGCAAGGCTGCGCGAATGAGCGGTTTCCATGTCTTCCCGCGCCTTCTGCAGCGTCTCAAGCTCTGCCTCGAGTTTGACATGCGCATCACGCTCTGTGGAGACTTCAGCCTGGAGCTCTGAGAGGCTGTGCGAATAGTTTGCTTCAATCTCTTCCATTTCCCTTTGCAGCGCATAAAGTTCTGCCTCGAGTTGTACGCGTGTATTGCGCTCTGTGGAGACCTCAGCCTGGATCTCTGAGCGGCTGCGCAAATGGGCAGCGTCATTCTCTTCGAGCTCTCTCTGCAGCGCCTCGAGCTCTGCCTCGAGTTTAGCGCGCGCGCTGCGCTCTGCCTCCATCTCGGCTGCCTTCGGTACGAGCTCAAGCGAAACCCACTCGTACTCTCTCTCGAGCTCTTGCTTGGCTGCGAGAAGCGCGTTCAATGAGTCTTCGGCCTTCACCCGAGCACACTGCTCTTCGTCGACCTTCGCCTCGAGCTCCTCGATCCTCTGCGAATGCGACTCATCCAGCTGTCGCTTCTCGCTGTGGAGCAGTGCGGCCTGCTCTTCCAAGACGATGCGCGCACTGCGCTCCGCATCAGCCTCGGTAGTCTTCGTCTTGAGCTTCGCGAGAGTGTACAAGGCCTCTTCTTCGACCTCCCTCATCCTCGCTTCCGTCGACTGTAGCATCTCTTCGAAGTCGACTCGAGCTTTGAACTCCTCGTCAAAACGGGCGGTCTGCTGCTCGAATAGCTCGTTTAAGCGTGCGCGCGAAGACTGAAGCCTCCCATTCTCCATGAGAAGTGCTTGGAGCTGCTCTTCAGCCTTGTCTCGAGCAGTGTGCTCCGCAGCCGCTTCCGCGACCTTCGCCTGCAGATCTTCGAGCAAACGTGTCTGTTTGTCCTCCAACGCCTGGGCCCTCGCCCGAGTCCTTCGGAGCATTTCCTCCGCTTCATCGTGAGCACTGCGTTGCGCATCGGCTTCGGCGGTCTTGGCCTCCAGCACTACTCGGTTCTCCTCGTGCTATGGATTCGAGTCGTGTTAAGGACCTAATAGCAGCGTAGACAATGGAAGAAGGCTCGCCTGTCGCTCCATGTCCGCGAGTAAACTTTCGGTCTTCTCGAGTCCCGACTGCGTGGAAGCTAGGCGCTTCTCGAAGTCCTCGCATTTCTTCTCCGTGAGCACTCGTGCCTCTTCAGAGGTTTGTAGCGCGGCGGTTTGCTTCTGAAGGTTCTCCTGTACCTCCTCCACCGTGGCGTTCAAGGTCCTCTCTCGCTCTTGCAGGAGTGCCACGGACTGGTCTCTCGCCACAATTGTGGATTCCGCCTCATCGAGCTGAGATTCGATCAGCTTGTCAATGATGTTGTTCAAGGGCGATCACAAAATCTGTTCACACCTTTGAGCGAAGCTCTTTGATCAGTTTTGCATTGTAATCGATGTCTTCGGCGAGAGAAGGCAAAGAGCCGAGGGTGTCAGTGAACGAAATCACGGAGCTCGCCGGACTCCTGGCGGGCGTCCTTGTATCTATCGTTTGGCTCCAACGTTAGCGACATATCATCGCGTGACGACGGGCTTGATGCGATTGCCCGTCATGGGACGCACCGGTTACGGGAAAAACGAAAGCTTCCGCATCGCTTGGCTGGCTCTTGAGCAAGCTGACCATGCTGGTGCTGAACCTCTTCAGAGGAGACGGACGGATAGCCTTGCTATCACGTCTTCTTGGGAGCATCGTCGACTTTGTTCCTGGGCGACTCTACAGTGATGATGGATAGATATCTGCACGGGGGAGATGTGTATGGCTGCCTGCGTCGTGCTATATATTCGCTGTTGTCCCTCAGGCCACGGCGTGGACACGCAGCGGTCTGCCTTGGCGTGTGCGATGAGCGCGAACGGCATGTTGTGAAACATGCTTGTATCTTGCTCTAAGATTCGAAGTCTCATGACATCAATTAACGCGGAGCAAGGGAGAAGAGCCGTGGTTCCCGCGCGCCAGCGCTGGTTGCTACACGAAGACGCTGGACTCTGCGGGTACTCTCACTGCAGGCATGAAGGCATTTATTCCTGCTGCAAATGCTCTGAAAATGTGTTCTAAAGTGTGACCTATGCAACACTATGCCCTAATTAGGCAACTTTATTTCCCAAAAAGGCAGTCAATTACAATTTAGTGTCATTAAATAATGGTCGCAAATGCTTTCATGTCTGCGGTGTCTGCGGCGAATTGGTACTCTGACTTTGTGTGCCTGCTCGACTGCCGTCGGCAATGTTTCATGATCTAGCCGGCAGCGGACTTTGGCAAGGACTCTCACAAATATACCTCAACCGGAAAGGTGATTCGTCGAGGGAGTGACGGCGTGAAGTTGTGGAGCAAAGAGAACGTCACATCCAATTCTGCTCGCACGCGACCAGCCCTCTTGTGGTGATGGACAGAAATACTTCATTTTGGATGCAGACAGTTCACTGCTCCGTCTATACTACCATTTATTCTATACTGAATCAAAGAAAATAATGACAATAGTACGCCAAACTTCATGCTTTTTAAAAGATTAAGAGTCCATGCCTGATGTAAAAGCACCTGCCTGCACCAATAACCAACCAATAGATAACCGAGCGCCGAGGAAGCAAACAAATCGTAGACGGAGAAGGAGCGGGGAGATGGGAGAGCATATGATTGACGATGGTGTTCGCGTTTAAAAGGCGATGCGGTCGGAGTCGGCGTGCGGATACTTGAGTTTGAGTTGCTCGATGGCCCACCAGGCGGGGGTGGCGTAGGTGACGTGGTTGCTCCCGCCTTTCGGCATCCCAGAGTGAAGAATACCGACCATATGACCCTCGCCATCGAAAATGAGCGAGCCTGAGTCGCCCTTGGCGCGGAATGGGCCGGACTGCTTATCGTAGTTATGGATGGCGAGTTCGATGGACTCGACGCCCAGGTCATCGCAAAGGTAGGCCTCCAGGCCGGCGTAGCGTCCAACCGTGAGGTCGGTGGTGTTACCGTCCTTCATGACAATAAGGCAGGGCACGCCGTTGCTGTCGAAACAGTCGGGAACAGCCAGGAAATCGCGCGTGACACAACCCCTGATCCTGAGCTGGCGATTCGTGGGGAACTTGAACGTCGTCCTACTGCCACTTTGAGGGTAGAACATGTCGGTTAGTTGCCGGGGAGTAAACTTGGATCCTGAAGGTTGTTTTCATTAGACGAGGTAGATATGAGAAAGATGAGGCAGAACGCACCTAAATCGACGACGTTGCCCTTGAACTGGGCCTTGAACTTCGCCGCATCTACCTCGAACGTACCAATGTCCTTGGTTACTTGCGACCCTGGACGTCGACGAAGATCTCGGGAGCCCAATCGACGTGGCCGATGTTTCGGCGCGCAATATCGCCCCACTGTTTGTTGGTGTCCTTGTAGAAGGCCTCGGGTACGCCGATATCCTTATTCACTTTGGCCAACTTCTCCCGCTTAGCCTCCGCGGCCGCCTCGTCCTCCGCCGCCTCCTCCGGGTCCTCGCTCTTCGGCTTCGCCTCCAACTCAACAATCTCCCTAGCCAAGAGGTCGGCATCTGTTCCGTAGCCACCGATGCAGGCCTTGATCTCGTCGAGGTCGCGCTGGAATCGACGGAATTTGGCAAGTCGAACGTGCTGGGGAGGTGCGCCAGCGTCCTTGAGCTCGTATTCGACGGTGGTATCCACGTGGAGAACGTGGCAGTTGGTAACGCCGAGGACCTTGGCCCTAGATATGCCGCACTTGTCCTTGTTCTCTATGCTGTTCAAATTGTACATTTGTTCTTGGAGCATTCGGCGGCAAGAAGTGCCCCACGAGAATTAAGCCCCAAACGCGTTAAGGTTAACGCGCGCGTTAGGCCCCAAACGAGTTAAAATAACGAGTTAAGAATAAATGTACAATTTGAACGTCATAGCCGAGCGCAGCAGTGAGGAAGCGACGAACATAGTGGGTGAGGTTGGTGTCGTCGGGGACGCGCAGAAGGTGTGAACCTTACAGCTTCTCTACGGCTCCCTCGTACCATTCGACCACCACACCCTCGACTGCATTGGCCTTGAGGAGAGCGAGAATGTCCGGGGAAGCGTCGTGCGCGTTCTCGGCGGTGGTGGTAGTGGGATGAGTCGCAATCCAAATCACGACGGGACCGAGAGTGTCCTTCCCGTCCTCGCCGTGGGTGACGAAACGAGCTGTATTGATGGCTGAGTAGCGAATCTTCCGAGCCTTCAACAACTCGCAGATCTGGGGAGCGACAGTGCCCCAGACAGCGTTGAGCGGCGTGTTGAAGACACCATGGACGGTCTTGGTAGGGAGATGAGGGTGTCTGCCCTTGGGGATGGGGAAGGGATTTTCGATGAGATCTGAGCGGAAGAGCAGCTCAGGATGGTCGGGAGAAATACCGTTGTAGTAGGTGGTCCTCTCCCAGTCCGAGAGAACGTATGCGGTGGCATCCGACATCGTCTTTGCCCCTTTCGAGCTTTTTCGCAGAGATTTCGTCCGCAATAGGCGTCAAAAAAGTATCAAGCTGGGAGAAAAGAATCGAGATCTCCTTATTTTTCCTTTCCGCAAAACGTACATAGCGCCACCAGGATCGCCAGTACTCTAAGGCCCGAAAAAAGTCGGGCGACGCGAGGAGCGAGGAGCAAAGAGGATAGATAGGAAGTACGTCGAGTAGTTACTGGCGTTGTACCTGCAACGATTCCTAGTGAATCGATGCAGCTTTTATACATGTGGAATGAAAGTATTACTAAGGAAAGATATAAGAGTGATATCGTAAGCGGCAGCGGATGCAAGAGTCATCTGAGATGAAGGTCGGACCTATGGGGAACCATCCGCCGGATCCGGCGGATGATGCCGGATCCTTAGGCGCCCATGTACGATCGGGTATGGTACACGGACGTTCGTGAATTGTCCAGAGACCCGGTGGCCTGCAGCGTCTGCAGTGTGTGCAGTGCTTCTTGTGAATTGTTGCGTGCAAGCCCACACTGTATATCACTTCTCGTGAATGATTCCGTGCAAGCACACATTGTATATCACTTCTCGTGAATGATTCTGTGCAAGCACACATTGTGCAGCACTTCTCGTGAACGGTTCGCATACAAGCTGCAGTTTGCAGCACTGCTCGTGAATGATTCGCGTGCAAGCCTGCAGTGTGCAGTGCAACGCAGAGTCCCAGAATCGCTGCGTGCGTTATTTTCATGTGCGCACACATACAGGAGTTCTGACCAATCACCGAGACGGTGTAAGTCAGCTAGACGCGCACATGTGATTACTTTGACCGGAGTCCGCGCATCGCCAGCGCGTCGCTGCAGGCAGCATGATACTACTTAGAGCCCACCTGAGTGCATTGCTACGCCGTCGTGCTAATCGGCGGTCCGATACGCCCAACGGACCTGGCCTCACCTCGCCCAGTGACGACTCATGGCGGTTGGCTGCCTTTTTGTGCAGGATGGGCCAACGGTGTTTGTAGGAAGGCGAGCAAGTAGGCCAGCATTCATGGTGAGTTATAATGCTCTCGATCATGCTTGAACCAGTGTTGATTATTCTTCATACATCTTTCATTACTAATTGCCTATGATTCACTGGGCACATGTATACCCTCAACGCCGCACACATCTCGTTCGCACCTTACTCGTGTCCTACCCGCCCGGATCCCGTGGCTCTATTCTTGACGAGCCATATGACTAGGACATGTCCCAGCACAGCATCTGCAACGATCCGTATGCCGACAACCCTGTTGCACCGCACCGTCGCCACAGTGGACCCAAACCAACAAGACCATGCGCAGCCACTGTTTCATGGGGACAGCCTACACCAAATCCACGACATCGCTATGACCCACTGAAACACCTTCTACATCGGTTATGACCATGCCAAGCCCTAGTACACCTCGCCGCCTGCCGGGTACGAAGTACTGAAATCACGTACTATTACGTAGCTACATTATCACAACTACGGCAATAGAACACCATAAGGTCTTTGTCCTTATTGACATGCCCATTGCTGAGCAAGGACACCACCACGCAAGGTGCCATCACCCCATGAGAAGTCAAGATCATATTTTGCAAAGCTCGAAACGCAGATGCCACGGACAACACAGAAAGGTCCATGGGATCACTCGTCAATGACTGAGCAGCCACGATGCTGGCTACCTATCCATCCAGAGCTGCCAGCTGGATGTACTCGAGGACCAGGTGACCAGCTAGTGATAATACTCCTTGTTCTCTCATACATGATGCTTAATCGTTCATGACAGCAGACGTAGGCTAACGTGCGCAGATGGCCATGTGGGTATGACCCCTGTTCAGTACAAATCATGAACGATTTGCATTCAAGCCGGTAGCATTCACATCGTTATCAGAGGTACGGCGCCATTTCATTCCCTCATACATAATGCTGATTCGTTCACGATAGCGCCCCATAGGCAGATGATATGCCTTTTATTCATGTGCAAGCCGCTATTGTTCGCACAGTGCCAGAGTCCTTCTCGTGAGTCGTGAATCTTTGAGGATCAAGCGGAATGATGACATCTTTCACTCAGTCGTAGGCGGAATCATTCACGATGGCATCCGTAGGCTAACGGGTGCAAATGGCGATGTCGGTGACGTCGGTATGGCTTCATACATGAGTGGTTCATGTGCATTCCTGCAGCGTTCGTATGGTGTAAAGCGGGTATTGTTCGCACAGCGCTGGCATCGCTATCTTTTCTAAGGCAGGTGACCATCTTGATAACGATGTACAAGTGGGTAGCGTTCGCACAGCGCTGGCATCGCTATCTTTTCTAAGGCAGGTGATCATCTTGATAACAATGTACACGCGGGTAGCATTCACATAGCACTGGCATCGCTATCTTATAGATGCCTTCGAGGACAGGACACTGTCTTGACATCTTGACATCTTTCACTCTCATATGTGGGATCATTCACGATGGCACCTGTAGGCCAACCAGTGCAAACGGCGATGTCGGTATGGCTTCGTACATGAGTGGTTTTATGTGCAATCCTGCAGTGTGTTCACATGATGTACAGGCAGGTAGCGTTTGCACAGCGCTGGCACCCCGTCGTTCAAGGGTTGCAAGCTTGATGGTCTTCGAGGATGGGCGATAAGCCAGGTATGAGATACTTCTCGTTCTATGATATGCTGAATCATTCAGGATAGCACCGGTAGGCTAACGAATGCAAACGGCGAGGTCGGTATGGCTTCATACCTGAGTGGTTCGTGTGCAGTCCCGCAGCATTCACGCGATGCAGGAGGGTAGCATTCGCACAGCGCTGACATCGCCTATCGTATCAGGACAGGCGACGAGCTAGTGGTATGATGATATCTCTTGTTCTCTCATATGCTGATTCATTCACATAGCACCGGTGGGCTAACAGATGCAAATGGTGATGTCGGTATGGCTTCGTACCCGAATGATTCGTGTGCAATCCCGCAGCATTCACACGATGTACAGCTGGGTAGCATTCACACTGAATCGCACTACGCCAGCATGCCCGTCATTCAAGAGTTGCAAGATGGATGTTCTTCGAGGTTGGGAGACAAGCCAGGTATGAGATACTTCTCGTTCTATGATATGCTGAATCATTCAGGATAGCACCGGTAGGCTAACGAATGCAAACGGCGAGGTCGGTATGGCTTCATACCTGAGTGGTTCGTGTGCAGTCCCGCAGCATTCACGCGATGCAGGAGGGTAGCATTCGCACAGCGCTGACATCGCCTATCGTATCAGGACAGGCGACGAGCTAGTGGTATGATGATATCTCTTGTTCTCTCATATGCTGATTCATTCACATAGCACCGGTGGGCTAACAGATGCAAATGGTGATGTCGGTATGGCTTCGTACCCGAATGATTCGTGTGCAATCCCGCAGCATTCACACGATGTACAGCTGGGTAGCATTCACACTGAATCGCACTACGCCAGCATGCCCGTCATTCAAGAGTTGCAAGATGGATGTTCTTCGAGGTTGGGAGACAAGCCAGGTATGAGATACTTTCTCATTCTATGATGTGCTGAATCGTTCAGGTTATCACCAGTAGGCTAACGAATGCAAACGGCGAGGTCGGTATGGCTTCATACCCGAATGATTCGTGTGCGATCCCACAGCGTGAACGCGATGTACAGGCGGGTAGGGTTCGCACAGCGCTGGCATCATCTATTGTTCAAGAGTTGCAATCTGGATGTTCTTCGAGGACAGGCGACAAGCCAGGTATGACGATGTCTCTCATTCTGTCATATGCTGAATCATTCAAGATAGCACCGGTAGGCTAACGAGTGCAAACAGCGACATCGGTATGACATCGTACCTGAGTGGTTCGTGTATGATCCCACAGCGTTCGCGCGATGTACAGGCGAGTGGCATTCGCACAGCACTGGCATCGCCTACCGTATCAGGACAGGTGATGAGCTAGTGGTATGACGGTACCTCTCATTCTCTCATATGCTGAATCATTCAAGGTAGCACCGGTAGGCTAACGGATGCAAACGGCGATGTCACTACAGCTTCGTACCTGAGTGGTTCATATGCAATCCCGCAGCGTTCGCGCGACACATAGTGTCAAGGTCGAATCATATTGGCCGAGACAATTATGGTACGACAATGCCAGTAAGTCTTATTTTCAAGTTCGAGCATCCATACATGATTGTCGATTGTCATTTCATGTTGAACGTCTCGCCATGCTCCTCCGTGATCTAACGAATAATCTTTCAGTGTTGCCATTCTATGAAAGCTTAACACAACGGCAGCTGGAACAATTTACAGCTCTCTGCGCACGCTTATTACCTGTAATCGTTCTAAAATCCTCATTAAGCTGTTCCCCTGCCACGCTGCAAACCACATTACTGCCAGACAGCATATGTGATCTGATAAGTCTGTTCACGCACATTCCTGCGGAAAACGTGCAGGCGATCTGGCTCGCAATCCATGATCTTATCCTTGAAGACAGCAAAGTGGCCACTGGTTCGGACTTGATGGCAGAGTTAGACCGCTTGCTATGTGAACAGAGTCTCCAATATAAACTTGGTCAGTCTCATTATGATTGATTTGCAGTGGTTTACGATGTCTGAATCATGGCGTGCAGGTGCAGAAATCATCATTACCGACAAATGGGAGTGTGTCAATCGCTCGTGCACGAAATTCGGCCATAAATTGCATGCCGAGTATAAGGAGTATATGGCTCGTCTTTATACCCTGCACCGAGGCATCTTGCCTGCACAGATCATCATGCTGTATTGTTGTGGTAAGCAATACATGGCATTATATTTCTGCGCATGATGTTATATCACGTCTCTTCCAGAATGCAAGACAACCTATCGGCCTAACTACTCGGTCTGTTGCGCTGAATGGGATGACTCATGTAGATGCTATCTATCTTGCATGCCTCGCTATCTTGAAGTGGCGGAACACTGCTACGTAGAAAGTGAACTCGCACAGCTTTTTGCAACACAAATGGCATTTTCGCAGTATGTCATTCTCTACTCGAGCTGTGAGCGTTTGCATGGTCTCATTCTTTTGTCGATTGTATGCAGTGCATCAGGCGAAGCCATTGCGAGAATATACAACCTGTCGATCAACACTCAGCATAATGACGATTGTTTGAGCTCGGAGACCATCTGGAACACATTCTATCTCTATGCCTTACTGCGAGACTGTGTACGACAATCTATCGGACTAGTACTACCTCACCGTGGAAGCCATAAAGATCGTCTAAATGCTCGATTGCTTGAACGAAACTTGTGTGTGGCTGGAACAGGGCAGGAGCAGTGGGCGCATGTGTGCAGAGATTGTGTGAAAGTGATTGTCGAGCATGATGGCTCCTGGTGTACGTCCCTTTGTTTATTATGATTCGCTCTTGCCTGATTAATTCTGTCACATGCAACGTAGCTCGTATCACTGCATGTGTGATGGATGGTGTCACTGTCGGTCATCCAAGGTGCAATGTAGCCAACTGCATTGAGTCGCTGGCATCACCGCATGATCGCTTCTGTCCCATCCATGCCAATTTGCATATGCGATGCGTGATACATGGCTGCAGTGCAAACACATGTCAAGGCTTTCGCACTTGCGACAATCCCGTTCATCGTGGCATAGAATTGCGTCGACGTGAGCAGGGAAAGGCAATCTTCCGACTCAAAGCCAGACTAGCCTGACATTCTGGCATTGCTGACTTGGCAGAGCCGAGAAATGCGGCTGGCTACCTTGATGAGCTTATGATGGCTGACACATCTGCCACTCCATTGGAGGTGCCAGAGACAGAGACTTTTATTGAAGGCTCAAGTCTCATTGTATCTGATGCGTCAGCAAATATTGCATCATCTGCGCAAGCGGATCCAGCGATCGGAGGTCTGTCCTCACCTCCAAAGCTCAAGACGTCCTTGACGCGCAAGTGGACGCATAACGAGCAACTCATGGTATGATGCTGTGGAATTATTATATCACGAGCGACATTTTTCCACGCAGAGTCTCTTGTCAATGCCACGGTGAGTGAAATGCCAACCTTACGCTTGTGTGGCGCTCTAACATGATCCAGAATTTCATTCTTGCCACTTTTCCAGCTCGCTTCCCCCGCGCTCGTCCTTCCTATCTCTTTTTCGATAACAACTGTCACCTGCTACAGCACCTGATTGCCGCTGGTGAGCATCAACTGGACACAATAGGATTTCCTGTTGATGTCTTTCACGCTATCAACAAGCACAAGGACTCCGATGCTTTCTGTCAGATGCACTGCAATTCAGCAGGTTTCCCCGAGCTTTACGATGAGCACAACCAGTGGACATTTAACTCTTCAGCTGCCGAGCAGGCGAACGTCTGGTTTAGAAAGTTCCAATCCATAACGCGCAAGATGACGGAATCACACTACAACTTTTTTCTGGACGAGATGATCAATATTCGAAATGCATTTCTGGTATGTGAACTTCGGAAGCGAGGACGTGTCCCTCACATTGTGCCGACCGATGAGCTTGTATTGTGTGTTTGATGGTGACGTTCGATGATTGACATACCGTACTTGTACGTACATCCTGTCACTACGAATGAGAATGTACATGCTGATACAGCATGAGTATCATCTCGCATCACGACGCTGACTCGGAGTCAGAGCCGATGTCTCTCCCAGACCCCTCAAACAAATCATTCCTGCTGTTACGATGGTGAGCGTGATTGTCCTTCTGTACCTTCTGCGATATGATATCTTTTAGCTCGTTCAGCAATCCACTAACCCCCATCGTCGTTTCCCCCCCGCGGTATGAAGTTTCTTGATTTTAGGTTCGTCTGCATGATCCTTAATCAGAGCTGCCACCTGCAAGCATTGACCCACCCATTTAGCTTGACGCCACACGAAGTCACTGATTGCATGATTCGTGGGTGTTACTTGAGTGCCGTTGTTGGTTGGATATTTCGTCTTGCTGATCTCCCAGATGATGTCGAGCTGACTGAGTAGGACGTTCAAAACAATGGAGGCCTTGCGATTTGGGGCATGACAGATCGAGAGAATGGCGAGGTGATTTTCAAAGTGGCCACCATCAACCTCAGCGAGGAAGCGAAGCATCTCAGCCCTCGTCACCTTCTCTGATTTCGGGCGAGTAGGTTCCTTATTCGCGCATTTTTTGCCTTTCACTGAATCTGCATGGAGGTTGGCAGGAACGTCGTTCTGGATAAGCTTGCGCTTCGTGCTAGGCTTTCCATCAGGTGCAACAAGCTCTGTGAACTGCAAGATCATTAGCGGGACAGATAGTGCGTGTGAGGAGGACCAAATACCCATTCCACCGCTAGGTCCTCACAACATAATTGTGCTTCTCTGATTGATTCATGAAGAATGATCAGAGGTATCTCCAGCTCGCTGTCAGAGAGCTCGAATTCACCATTTGCATTTGTGACGGCAATGCTTTCCAGCCAGGATATCCCTCGTAACTTGTCCTTCGCATCCAATATCATCATGTCAGAGAAGTTCAGATGACCTGTAATAATAGCAAACACGCATGAAAAATAATTTCGAAGATCCTTAAGCAAGCACGTACAGCCTCGCAAGAGTGTCGTCTCTCGTAGCCTGCTGATGAGTGCGCGACCCCTCACAAAGTATCAGATCTGTGCTTGTCCACGCATCGCAGAGCGGTCCTCCATAACAGGCATGTCTTTTAGATAGACAAGACGTCAGTGGCCTGGCCCATTTGCAACTTGCTCGCCCACTGCAACTCGGCAATCTTGATACTTTACCACAATATCAGCGATTCCATCAGCCGCATCTACGTCCTCATCCATGTCCCCAATGGCAACGTAAGGCACTGGGCGCAGTGCAACAGAGGGACCACACTTGGATGCATGAAGCATGTGAAGCTGAGTTGAAGGTGGTGCGTCGAATATATCTTCTTCCTCATTCTCGTCATCACCGCCTTTCTCGTTGTCATCCTTGTTGTCCCCTTCTTCCTCATTCTCATCATTATCACCATCATCATCATAGTCATCCTCGTTCTTCTCCTCGCCTCCGTGCTCATCCTCGTCTTTGCTGTCGTTCTTCTTATCATTATTTTTCTTACGCTCATCGTCTTCTCGCTGGACTTGGCTGCTGACATCTGCTGCCTCAGTTTCTGCTCTTTTTAACAGCTAACAGTGGGCGATCACATATTTATGCGATGTCAGAGCAAGGTGGAACTCACATATTCTTCAGGAACTGCAATGCGACCCTCTTCGATAGCGGTGCGAATAATCTTCTCTATCTCCCAATCCCTCTCTTCGTCTGTCCGCTTGCAGTTCAACTTCTTGTTTGAAAGTGACGCAGCTGTTTTCGCAATGTTCGGAGCTGACTTTTGAACTGCAGACCAGTTTATCATCACGCTGTCAACCTCGATACGCTGCCAAACGGCCTCCTCGCCAGTGCCTTGAAAATCGAAGCGGGGAGCTGTTAGTTTGTGCAGGTCCCACCATATGCGCAAGATCATCTTTCATCGCAAGCAAGTGGTCAATATTTTTTCTGCCACGATCGCTTAGAGACATAGAGGCTCTTACCTTGGATTCAGACCCACTCAAGCCAATTCTGTGCAGAAAACGATATTAGCAAGTTTTATCTGGTGGCAAGCAGATAAACTTACAGATCTTTTGCCTTGAGTGGAACAGCCATCCTGGCACAATTGTTGTGAAGATGAACGACCGTCAGTGTCAGTGAACTAGCAAAGTTTAAGTTCACTCGGCAGAAGCCAATGTACTGCGTTTCAGGTATGCCATCCAGTCTCCTGTCTCTTTCATAGGCTCCCCCCCTTTTGCTATCGGCTCTGGATGTCGTTTTTTGTCGACCAAGATCATTACTTAACGGTGCTGAATTCTTAAATACGACCTATTGTTTCACAAGCGGGCTGACAATCGGTACCTCACCATCACAGCCATTAGCACACTCAAGGCCCTCAATGGTACGTTGACCTAATATATTCACCTCGCCAGCTGTGATCCAGACACATTGATGAGACATTTTTCAAGAGCGCTATATATGCCCTATCTACGACCTTGTCGCCACTGCTTCATGAAAGCTCGCCACTCGCCCTGAGGAGTCCGTCCATATGTGATCCACCGTTGAAGTTCTGTTTCACCACCAACTTCCTCCGCCACTCACCAAGCTCGCTCGTTGTCATTGAAGGTAGAGCTGCGGTAGTTAGCACCGGTGAAGACAAATGAGAACGCATTTTCATGGCTCTGCCCATCCCCCTCCAATGTCTTCATGGTGGCGAAGCCATCTGCCATGTCAATCGTATACTTCAATGGCCAACCGTGACGGCCTTTCAGCGTAGGAGTCTTCGATGGTGAGCTGATTCAGCTAGAAGAAGGTGAGGACACCTGCGACTCGAAGTTTCTCATTGGAGTCCTTGGAGGAGATGCCGCACTAGTCTGGCTTGGTGACATGATGGGCGCAGGATGGCTTGGAGTGCTTAGCCATGCATCAATGTCGATGACAGTTTGAGATGTCTGAGGAGGTTTGCGGGGAGTGGCGGGCAAGCTGGCAACCTGTGAGTCAAATACTCCATTACCTGTGATACTACAAGCGAACATACCTAGAAGGCCCACTTATATTCTCAACGCTTTCAAATGAGCTCATTGAGCGATGACGCTCTATGCTCTCATCTAAAACAGCCTTCGAGGTGGTACGCTTGAGGCTAATCACAGGCATGCCTGGGCCAGTAGTCACTCCATCGCAGCGATAATGCAATTCAGTTGCAGTCTTGATATTGATGCACGGTGAGTCAGGCGAACCGTAGACCCATTTCTTGATCTTCCAATCATAATATTGAAAGTCAGCTGTTCCAAGCGCAAAGCGCTTATACAGGTCTTTTGCCTGCTTGGGATGAAAGTACGGGTAGTCTGGAGCCACGACAGAGAACAGGTCCGCTGGCTCATCATTCTATGCCTGTCACGGTTTTACCTGACAAGTCATTAAAGGAACAAATGCTATTAAGAAGCATATCATTTTTCGTCATTTCTCGTCGCACTAGAAGTCACGTGACCTAATGAGATAAGATAAACGAGGCATCCAGTCACATGACCTCAGATCTCTCTCGGCATTGTCACATGACACTGAACTCCTCGGCATGGCATCATATGTCGCAATCGCCATGATGCCATATTGCGTGCTCAAGAGAAGCTCCGTCTCTGTGGGTTATTATTAGGCAGCCAATCAGGATAATTGGGACACATCGTACGATTGTAGCACCGTCCAGTAGAATAGCGTGTGACTCGCTTATGTAGTACTGTACAGTAGCTAGACAATCATGTATATAAGGACCAGCGAGACGAGGAGGAGACCTCAGTCTTATTCTCCTTCGTCCACCACTACCATCACAGAGGGGTCTTACCAGACACTCTCAGTGTGCTATACATCTCATTGCATTCTCACTTGTGTGATAGCGCCTCTAGCATCGCCAGTAAGTCTTGCTCTGCAAACTGCTACTAGGCCACGTCAGTGGGCACGTCGTACTGCCACAGTTCGTAGCTGTCAGCACTTAGCCAGGGGCCCTCAAGGGGACCCTATTTTGGTTGTCTATCTTTGTCATCGGCTTGCCGTGACAATGCCCATACATTTCAGTCGGTTGCGTCTATGATAAGAGAGTTCATCATGCACCTGTCGCCACCAGTAGACCATGACCGTTCTGTCCCCTTCACATGCAAGGCGAGTCTCCATCTCTGCTTGGCGAACCCTTTCTAAATCATCCCTTTCAAGCTCCCGGAGCTTCTGCTGGTATATAGGCAATATAGAGAGCTTGTAGGATTTCACCGTAGGTGTCTGGATAAATGCTGGAGCGGCAAGTAGTGGCTGAGGCTCTGAGGCCTCCGCCATGGGACCACTCTGAAGCAGCAGCCGATATGTAGCTGTATGTTACGGTTTCAGCGCTTCATGGTCACGTGACAGTTTACGTTGCACGTGACACTTACTATTTATGGTTCATAGGTCTTGTGGACATATGCTAGGGTTAGCAGTTTTCGTTTTTACAATTTACTCACTCAGGTCATGCAAACGAGACCTTCGTGTTTCAGGTTTCTATTTCACCTGTACTAACATTAGCTCGCCAAGTACTTGGCTCGCAGCGGTTAGTATTTGTCTCAGTCTATTTCATTTACTCTATGAATAGCTGTAGGAGACCCCTTGTACTAGTACCCCAGACTATAGGTCTGCGACTATATAAAGGGGCGGAGCAGCAGCTGGAAGATAACCTCTTCCACCTGTGACTCTGAACGTTCTCAGTTCTAGAACCCTCGTGCAATCGTACTCGCTCTCAAGAGGTAGTAAGCTCGTACGCTTGCTAGAGTCAGAACAGCGAACCTAGTAACCTGCGGGTGAACGTGCAGTAGCTGTAGCGGCCAAGGCCTAGCAAGGGTAGAGTGAGGACCTCACTGCTACATCGTCTACTAGGCTTGACCACACTATAAACCCTGCTAATAGTCTGCCTGACTATTGGAGACGTTAGGTATATTTGGTATCTAAGTCTCTGTCCACGTTGTGGACTAGTACGTGTGAGAAAGCACACGTGGTTCTGAACGTTCTAGCAGGGAACGCTTCATAACACTGTAGGCACTCCAGATCGCGTAGAAGAGTTATTTGAGCAGTTATGCTTCGACACCGCACAACTGCGCACGCTCGAAAATTGTGCTCGTGTGTCTTGGCAGCATGCCTGGCATAATCCAAACGTACAATCAAGGTTTGTATTCGTCACGAAATTCGGGTGAGCTGCTTTGCAATGATGTCCAGGGCATGGCACAGAGGGGTGTGCTTGCTTGCCCTTCAGCATTGTCCTCACCCACTCAAAATGATCACATGCCACATGTGACAGAGGCTTGTTGTCAAGGCACTGATTCATGCCTCGTATTTCAGGGCAATGAAGGAACAACAAGTTATCACATAACACACCTTCCGGAACCAGTAACCTTTATTGTCAGGATCTGTGTGCCCAGAACAGAGGACTGGAGCTGTCAGATATTGTGCACTGCATTTGGGACATTGCGGCAGATGAGACAGAGGATGGCCAGCAGCATTGATGGACATAACAGTGCACTGTGTGTCCTTGAGCTATGCGGCAGCACTACAAAGTCCGAAAAGAATCTCAAGATTGTGTGCCGCAATAATCTGTACAGTTCTTAGTCATGTTGTTGCCATAGATAGACTCAGTTATAATCTCTGAATGATACAGGATACATTGTGAGGGCTATTAAATGTCGGAATCATGAAGCAGCCTGTTTGTGGCCGCGTTTCATTGACAGATGGGTGTTGATCATGTGACTGGAACCTTAACAGGAGATTCATTCCTGTTTCCTGATTGGTGCCGGAGAATTCTCTGATCAGCCCCAGCACGGTATGGCACTCAGATGGGGTTTCGTCCCGAGGGGGTGGGAGGGGGGATTGGGTTTAGGAAGCATGGCAGCTTCACAGAAAATCATTATATTCTTCTAGCAATGTCGAAGCGAGATGGAACCCCACAATTCGACTGAACTGTGGTATGATAAAGGACCAACCGGGTTTGAATACCTCTCGACATGGCAGCGAGGTGGCCTTGCATGATTCCCGGATGCACGCTGATTGCATATAAACAGGGAATCATAACGCATATACTTACCGCACAAGAACGTATCACCGACCAACTCTTTACGCTTCATGCTTCATGCTTCATGAACATCACGGTAGCCTACCCGGACCATCCGGCTAATCCACCAGATGGTTCCCCATAGGTTCGTTGTTCTCCATCTGAGGTGAAGCTAAGCATACACCCCAGACATGGAACCATTTTTTACAGTTACATATGCAGGCTATATCTGGTTTGGTATTTTCTCTTTACAACATGTATTTGCATGTGTTGCATTTGGCATAGTATATTCCAAGTTTGGCACTTGACTTGCTATAGTGACAAATTGGCATCATATATTTTATCCACATCTCTGGCAGAAATTTGAAATAATGTGCATGAGGTAATGCAGCATAGCATATTCATTACAAAGCAGTCTCTTGCCCCTCAGATAACAGCATATAGATACACATTCGGAGGAGGGCCACATTCTGTGGCCAATATTTACAATTTGTACATGAAACATGGATATAATATGTAATGTTACTTTGCCACCATTGCAATTTGAATGCTAAATTTGCAATGTACAATGCTGCATGCAACGGAAACAAATTTGTTCTCTAAAGCCAAAATACCAAACCAGATTTAGCATGCATATTGTACTGTGAAAAAGGGCTCCATGTCTGCGGTGATACTAAGAGTAACTCCTGCGCCATCCGTGCCCTAATGCAGAATACCCGCCTCGAGGCTATGCGACTGCGAGCGGTCCGGAGCGCGTGACAGGCGGATTGAACTCTTGAAGAATGGAGAAGGCTGAAATAGGAAGGATTGAATCGTCGAGGAATGGAGAATGAGAGCGGTCGAGAGTCTGGAACACGGGTGCGGTCATGTGTGACACAGGAACGCAAGACTGAGACTTTGCGGAAGCCCATTAATCCTAGGTGCCGTCCTTTCGTCCGCTCGTTTCTATCCATTAACACGTCCCTGCTCAGGTCTACGAGGAAGGTACGTTCTAATGCGTCTAGTATACATACATATGATAAATCCCAGGTCAAACACGTCCAAGATTGTACAACATCGTGCTCTGTGTCGAACTTCAATTTGTGGAAATATGCAACATATTTGCTACCCTTGCGACGTTTCATACAGGTGAATTTTCTGTCCGTTCACATGATAATGCAATTGTGCCCTTCCTTCGCCCCCTTCGCCGCCTTGATTGCACGTTCCAAGGCATCCCTCATATCCTTCTCCGCCTTCTCCGCACGCTGGCGCTCGATCTTCACCTCTGCCTCGAGTTTCCTTGCCCTCTCTCTCGCTTTCGAAAGCTCCCCATTTGCCTCCTTGCATTTCTGCTCGAATTGCCTAGCGCGCTGCTCTGTGCGCTGGATTTCTACCTGGTCTCGGTCAACCGTAGCGGTTTCACCCGCCAACTGCTGCTCGAGGTTTCTGACTAGATCCAACGAGTCGGCGTGCTCACGCCTAGCATCCTCCAATGCCTGCGTAGACTTCATGAGCTCCTTCTCGAGCATGCTGGTCCTCTCAGACTTCTCCTCGTTCTTCGTCTCAAGCTTCGAAATGGACGTCTCGAGATCGGAAACGCGAGCGGTGAGACTAAGGTTCTCGGTGACTTTGGCGTCGAGCTCTGAGCGAATGTGCGAGAGGGTACTTTCGAGGTTGTTTCTCCGTGTCTGAGACAGCTGCAGCTCTTCTTCGGCCCTAGCGAGCGAGAGGCGCTCCTGACCAGCTTCGGTCGCTGTGGCCTCGAGCTTCGCTCGAAGTTCTGTGTTAGCGGCTGCAAGTTCTTGCTTCTCTTGCTGAACGGTGTGTAGTCTGTCTTCGAGCTCGACGCCCACGCTGTGCTCTTTGGCAACTTCCGCGGTCATCCCTCGGAGCTCTGTTGCAGTACGAGATAGCAAAGCTTCAACCTCCCGTTTCTCCGCCTGGATTAGGCTGATCATCTGCTCGACCCTGACACGGCGTGCGTGTTCTTCCTCCAACCTGGATGCTTTCCCTTCCAACTCTGCCCGTGTGCGCGATAGCACGCCTTGCAGTTCGTGGTTACTGGACTGAGCCGCAGCCAGTTCCCCCTGCGCTATTTGACGCATCTTCATCTCTGCGTTCACTTCAGTGACCTTGGATTCCAGCTCCGCTCGGGTCTGCGAAATAGTGTCATGAAGACGCTGACTCTCCTTTCGGAGGTCCTCAATCTCTCGTTCTGCATGTGTTCGAGCGTCATGTTCGCTTTCTTCTTCTGCGGACTTGCGTTGGAGAGCTGCTATGGTCTCCGCATGCGAGTTCTCGAGAGTCGCCTTTTCGAAAGCTAGCTTCGCCATTTGGTCTTCGAGTCTAACTCGGGCGTCATGCTTGGTGGCCGCCTCTCGAGACTTCTCCGTCAGCGCTGCCGTACTCTGCGCGTGAGACGTTTCGAGCTCATCTATTCGCTGACGGAGCTCTTGGAGGGCTCTTTCGGCTTCAGCTCGTTCGCTGCGTTGTCTCTTCAACTCGACCACCTTCGCTTCGAGGCTAGTTCTCGTCCCTTCAAGCTGAGCGGCCGTCAGTCAAGGATGAGCAGAAAGGTGAGAGACTTACTTCTCTCCGTACGTCCCCTATCTCGTTCTCACTCTTTCGAAGGTTTGCGAGTGTCGCAGCAAGCTGCTGCCATGACTCCGCCCGCTCCTTCTCCACCACTGCTTTGGCCGTCTCCACCGTCCTTTTTGCATCTGCAGCCGCTTGCAGTGCCGCCTTTTGGAGCCCGATTTCTGCGCGAGCCTCGTCGAGCGCGGAGGACAAGGACGTTTCTCGTTCTTGCAAAGAGGAGATCAACTGATTACCATTGTCAATCGCCAGCGCAGCCTCCTGGAGCTATTTAATTCTACATTGTTATGTGCTGCTGCCGAATCATACACGAAAGAACTTACCTTGCCATGCAGCTCTGCGATCTCTTGCTCTTTGACTTCATTATCGATATTGACTGTTGCCGGCTCTGCAGTCATAGGCAGCGAAAGCATGGAACTATTGGGGCTGTCGGTGATCGTTCGGCGGTCTGGCAAGGTTCGGAGCATTCGTATACAACCCATATAGCCATAAAAGCCAGAAACAAAAGGAGTACGTACCATTACCATTAAGAATCGGTGCCTGTGCATCCTTCTGCGGATTCTTGAGCAGGCTCACCATACTGGTACTAAAGCGCGTCAGGGGAGATGGGCGGGCAAGCTTCGACGGTTGTCTCTTCGGCGGCATCGTTGGTTACAGCGGACTTACTGGATGGATCACGACGTAGAACGGTGGACTGGACATGCGAGGGCATTCGTGAATGATATACCGCCCCGCACGCTCCTACCTTCTATGAAACACGTTGTGTCACAAAGTGGCGCATCGCTCGTTCATACAAGACCAGGGTCTTAGACCGCACCTGTTCCACGCGCATCCTCGGCGAAGCTTTTCGACACCTTGTGCTTGTACTTGAGGCTTATCTATTTTCGGCGACACGTTGATATACACACTTATTTCCCCAGGCCCTGCATGTAGTCAGGTCATCAAAGGTTCGTCATCGTATCAGGAACGGATCACAAGCGACAGCACTCGACGGCGAATAGTGCATTGACACTCGTGGTCATATGCCAGCATCAGAATTTCCCCGTGTCGGGGATTCGGCGCGTACTGCCTAGGCTCTCTTCACACACGGCTGTTGTGCTGGAAACAGGTCGAGTGGCCCACTGTGAGGTGGCTTCTGAATGCAGGCCGGGTAATGAAGAGTGCGTGAGTTGCGCAACGGTGGCTTTACCTCTTCCGAGAGAGGGGTTTAACGTGGCTCTCCTGTAGTTCAATGAATGGTTTGTTCCTTACCAAACATCCTCTGGACTCGTTATACACAGGCTTGAAGGCGTGAGATGACGCGGAGCAAATATCTAATTTCCGTGCCTTCTTGCCATCAGCGCTCATTCAGAATTTGACCTGTCAGAAGATCTAGAAAGACGTGCTCTTGCAGCGTCAGTCGGTCAATATGAGTGCTGTTTCATGTTGGCGACAAATCATGCAGGTATTGCGCGCAGATGCCGCCCTGCCGTTCACTTTTTTTTTTTCATTTACAACCTAACTCGGAACTTGTGTTCTCATGTGATACGTGTGACGATGTGCTGAATACGTATGATGCAAGGTAATACATGCTGTGAATGGAGTGTTTCTCAAACAAAGTTCCTGGTGAGGGGTGGTTAGAAGTAGTACCAGCTTGCAGATATGGGCGTCGGGCAATCAACGATCACCGGCAAGCCACAATACAGCGTCTGCGCTCAGCTCCGCAGAGCCCGGTAAGTTCGCAGATTGCTCTAACTTAGTTGGGGGGGAGTGCTCGCGGAAATAGATGTCCCCTTATTGGACTACGCACCCACTCTCCTGCGTCCTACGCCTCGCAGCCTCCTCAAGATTCGTCGCGTGCCGACTCAACACCCTGAATTGGTCCCGCAGCGTCGAGAATGCTATACGCGTGCTCACCAACTCGCTCCGCAGTTGGAGCACATCCGGATCCTCATCGCGTGCTTGCTTCATCCGCCTCCGCGCCTCGTCCACTGCTCTCTCCGCGGCAACAGCGCGCTGCCTCGCTTCGTTCACCTGGGCCTTCAGCATCTCGCATTCGTGAAGGGCAGAGTTCAAAGCTTCAGACGCGCATTGACGAGTCTTGTGGAGCTCTAGCTCGAGACTCTGCCGGAATTGTTCCGTACGATCGGCCGCTGTACGCATTTCTTGAAGCTGTACTTGCAGATCGTGTGCGATGTCCTGTGATACTCGCAGGTCTTCTTCTCTTCGCTGAAGTTCCTCCATCCCTCGCCGGACCGCAGTCGTCTCTTCCTCCAGCTGCCCCTCGAGGGAGTGGACTTGTTCCACAGCCGCAATGCGCTGTCGGTCGATCGCTTCCCGCTCTTGATTGGATGCCTCTAGATCCACCTCAAGCTCTTCTATCCGGGACGTTTTGCGGTCGCTTTCTGCTTGCAGTGCTGCGAACTTAGATGCGAGATCTTCCGTCTGAACGGAAAGGTTCTGGAGCTCAGTGATCTTCGCGTCGAACTCGGACTGGATCTGCAGATTCGTGGCTTCCAGCCCGCGTTTCTCCGCCAGGACCGCTTCAAGCTGTTGCCCCACTGTGATGCAAGCAGAGTGTTCGGCTTCCGTCTCCGCCGTCTTAGCCGAGACATCAGCCCTGGCATCGTCACGCTAAGTCAACGAGAGTACGAGAGTGAGCAGATAAGCGAAGAGCATCGGTCACGCTGCACATACCTCTCGTCTAGCGTCAGTCAACTCGACGCGACACCGTTCAAAGTCCTCGTGAATGCTGGTCAGCTGCTGTTGAATGTCCGCACGGCTCTTCTCCACAGCGCTTTTTTCGTCCTTCAGAAGCTCCACTGCCGTCTTCTGCACCTCAACCTCTGAGCGTGCCTCCTCCAATGACGCATTCAGAGCCTTCTCCTGTTCTTGCAAAGATGCGACGGACTGGTCTCTTGTAGCGATGGTCGCCTCGGCGTCTTGCAGCTGAAGCTCGGCTGAGTATACAGAAAATGTGACCGAACATCCTCCCCGAGAAAGCTCACCTTACGACGCAGTTCGACGACTAACCTAGACGCGACATCGTCCTTTTCCTTCTCTTTCGGCGGTTCGGCTGACGGCACCAGTGGCAGAGAAGTGACAGAGCTTGTTGGACTGTCGCTTAATGGTCGGCTCTCTGTCGTCGTCGTGAGCAATTTTTTCTTATAAGAAAACATGAGAACGCGGTTGAAGGTATGCCTCACCACTGGCAGGAAGAACAGACGCTTCGGCTTCGCTAGGCTGCGCCTTGAGCATGCCAATGACGCTGGTGCTGAAGCGAAACAGCGGTGACGGCCGGTAGGCCTTGGCAGCAGGGACCGGCCTGACATTGGCGTTGGCGTTGGCGTTGGCAAGCATTGGTGTCCACAGTTACTGGGACTCAGAATGCCTCGCGTAGTATACGTTTAGGTGGTGAGTATGCTCTCGTGTGGATGGCATCACAATATATCTAGTGTCGTATAGCTTAACGCACCCACGGCGCTGTGCGAGCAGACGGCCTTTCAAGGCCACTTTGAATGAGGCGTACACGCGTTCGGTGCATGCAAGTTAGAATTTCGACGACCTATTTCATAACAGACGCTCGTGGAAGGGCTAGCTGGGAAAGCCGCCTCGTGTGCTGGTTGAGGATCTAATGGATGCCTGAATCAGGAATGATAGCGGGAGCTTCGCCAATTACGCTTGGACAGAGGACAGAGCTGGCATGTGAACGAAAGTGGCTATATCATCCGAGTCTCTTCCGTGGACTTGATTCTTGGGCGCTCCGAGGTGTTAAGTTCCGATGCCTGGGCAACCTGTGGGAGCGTCCAAGGTCCATGTCTTGTGAGCTTTGAACATCACGGTTGAAGTAGCAAGAAAAATCAATGTGCTGGTTGTCTCGACTCATCTCACACAAGAACCTACATTCCAAACTCAAGGTTCGGCGAAAGTTGCGTCAGCGGGCGCCACACTGTACGCGCTATATCCCCGTCAGGCGTACTCTCCACACCGCGCAGCTCCAACGTTGCCCGTTAGCACAGACACAAAGCGCATGACCCACATAACAAAAAAAGCCCAACCTGGGCGAGCCAATCCGAACGAGACAGGATCCGGATGATGTTCCATGCTGCGCAGAAACACTTCCGTAGCATCGTGGCGAACTCAATTGGGGCCCAGTCCCACGAAGTGGGTCCGTGCAGCAGGCAAGACACAGCACCGTGAACAAGATGATGCGATGATGTATACAAGACGGCGCAAGGCGAGGCCACATTACATGAGCTTTCCGTTCCCGTATCCATGCGCGCCACCCCGGTGCTTCAGCGCGCGCGTCGTCGCAAAGAGCACACTGTCGAGGAGCGACGCGATGGTTAACACTCCACCGACGATCGCACATGTCCTGAATTTGCAACAGCACAGGCATTGGCAATACGATCAGCAAGAAACAAACATGGCGGGTGATAGCGTACGCACGATGTGAGGAAATGCGCAAAGGACTGCCGCGTCTCGGTATGGACAATCAGGATCGGCGAAATGTCATAATTGAAAAACGCGCCTGGCACGGCACGCATACGTTAAGTCAGCTGCAGCCTGGAACATGTTTAACCGCCGCGCTGCTCACCCGGGATGCCGGTCGATGTATGCGCGACGTGGACACCCTCCTTGTTGTCCTCCTGGTGCCCCTTCGTCAGGTCGCGCTCGAAGTGCGTGGCGCTATACTGATGCGTCTTATACTGCGGGCCGAGAGGGTCAGTCAGGTGGAGACGCCTCGCCACGATGGCTGCGCGCTGCGACATACAGATTTCCCCTGCAACGTGTTGAACTGCGTCGATACGACCTTCAGGAAGTACTGGAACATATACTGCTGTTTGGACGTCTATCGCCCCGAACAGGCCACGATCAGCGCCACCGTGAGATTGCCAATCGATAAGCAGATCGCGCAGCTCACTGACCTTCTTCACTGTGCCATCCAGCGGATTGCCTTCTGTGCCCATCTTCTCCTTGACCTGCATCGGCAGTTTCGTCCTCCTCTCCTGGTCGCTCTCGAAAGCGAACTCATGGATTGTGTGGCTAAAATCGTGACGATTGTTATCGTCTCGCAAGTATGGCACCAGATCGTAGATGTTTTGTGACGCCGATCGGAACGATCGCCCAGGAGACAAGTGGATGTTGCCTACGACCTTGTTTACGCGCACCTTCCCCGAGATGTTACACCCTTCATCCGCCTGTTCCTTCAGCTTGTCTGACCAGCCCTCGCTCACGCACTGTACACAACCTCGTTCGGTGAGCATTATCCAGGATTGAGCACATCATACATACCTGCTCAATGGATTCCGGCCGGTTGAAGCTCCAGCCACGGTCGACGTACGCCTGGCGAACCTGATCGCAGGTATTGCAACACCCGCTTTCGGGAGGCTGCCCTCCAAAACATGAACCGCAGTAGTCAGGACCACGCGCAGTGTTCAGCTTGTCCAAGTCATTCTGTAGGTCCGTAGGAGTGTTGAGACCACTCATTGGCTCGCCGTTCTTTCCGATTCGCTTCTTCAGGATATTGTGTGATATGTCAGATTGTGTCTCTCCGGAGATGTCCATCACATCTAAGCTAAGAACTACGCTGCGATTAGTACAAAATTGGGAATAGCAACGCGGCTCAAAAGTAATATCGAGGAGGTCGAAAACACTTCTGCACGACTATCAACATCGCGCATATATTTGAAAGCAACGAGGTTTAGGCATTCGTTTGACTAAAGGAATCGTGACATCGCTATTGTCGGTCATTGGTGCAGCTGGCGACAGTCGCTCCTGTTCTGCTGCGTGAGGACATCGTAAGCGTGCAGGACGCTTTCAGTGTTGGCCTCCAATGCACGAATGTCGGCTTTCCATATCTTCGATGTCAGATATGCCAATCCTCAAGAAGACAGGCAGGACACGATGTCTCATGCAGACCCCGTCCGCAGTACAACATGTTATCGACCAGGCGACACTTGCCGCAAAAGAATACTCACGGTAACATGGTACCCTTGGGAACGTTACGTTCATTCGGAGGTTTAGCTTCTCGCCTCTGCTCCTGTCGACTACGATGGATGTGTCCACATAGACTCTCCTGTAGTCAAAGAACTCCATAGTCGTGAAAGCCAGGATGATCGCCGCGGAGATGAGGGTCACTAGCATTCGCGACAGTTGCCACAAGCGAGACGATGAGCTGCAGACCACCTCGAGGATGCAACGGCAACTCACAGAACGCGCCTGTGCGCGTCTTGACCTTCACATCCTCCATTGTCTACGCAGAATGTCTTCATCAGCATTGCAGGAGACGAACACGCCAAATTGTGCGAACTGACCTTACCGAAGGCATCGATGCCCTTGAGCGAGCCGAAGAGGCCCTTTCCTGGCATCTTGGCGGTACAAGTCGCCCGGAGATTACCAGGGATTAGTCCAGAGTATTCAGGAAGAACGACAGAGATGAGAAAGAGAGAGAGGGCTTGTGGTTAGCCCGTCGGTGGCGGAATCAGTAGAATACAACGCGAGAACGAAGGCCGGGACACGGACGACGGACGTGGCCGAACGCGTGTAGGCGCGGTACACGTGTGCATACGGTCATGTGACTATCACGTCGTCTTAGGCGCGCAGACCTCTGGACTCGTCCATCGATGCTTCATTTCTCCCTCTCTTCGGTTCTGCGCAGCTACTCTCCATGAAGTCTCATATATAAAGCTTCGTGATGCCTGCTGAATTATTAAATCGCGATCATTGCGTCCCATTCATGTGGTACTACTTTCCGTAACCCATCCGAGTACGTTTTACGCGCACCGCTCTTCAGACCTACAAACTCTGCAGAAGACCTGGAAATCAACACTTTTCAGATAGGAGAGCATAGCCAGCAAAGAACTTTCTCTACCTCGCGAGACAGGTCTTTCCATAGACATCGAGACTCTTCTGCGAGGTCTAGCCTGCATGGATCCCTACTATTCTTCAGCTTCGCAAGACTTGCGCGATGCGTGCCGTATCAAATGAAGGTGTCTTCGACTGAACATGTGCTAGGGCTGCAGCCGCTTTCATATCGCGACGATCGAGTGCAGCGCTTTGCTTTTCTGTCCACTAGATCCGCATTGTGGATCAATATCAACCATCGATGCCTATCCGGACATTCCATTCACAAGCCAGGAACGAGATGCACAGCCTTCTCTCCATGCTCCTCCTCGCTGTTCACCAGCATGCTCATTATCTGCCTTCGTCAGCCTTCAAGCTTGCTAGCACACGAGATCCGGTCCTGGTGGAACTCCACACATGCACGAACGCAAACGGCATGCTGAGAGTGCGTGGAAGTGTTCTTCTTCCTCAGATCCGATGTAGAACACTGCCCTCCTGGCGAAGCTCGTCGAATTATGAATGAACGAAGGACGTATATTAACCATGGGCCCAGGTTACTGTGCCTGTCCACCATCGCACCTCTCTGTCCCATTACGTGCCGCTTATACCAACTCGATCGTAATTCACGATGTTGAGGAGGAAGCAATCGAAGCCCGCTCGCCCGTCACCCTTGACGCGGTTTAGCACGAGCGTGGTGAGCTTGCTCAAGGGCCAGCCAAGCGAGCCCCGAATTTTGGTGTTGCCCGATAATGGTACGTGCTTCACCACCTACCAGTCCCAGCCAATCGTCATGAACTCATTGTGGCTCACAAAACCTTCATCCCCCCCAGAGACGCGAGGGATTACAGACAGCCCAACCAGTTCGATGCTATCCCTCCCACTGATAGAAGAGCCTACGAGCATCCAGCTTACGGATGATAGCAAACAGCAAGAGATTGCAGATCTCCATGGGAAGGTGCGATACTTCTCATGAATGGTGGGCTTTCTCTGACCTGGGGCGAGCTAGCTCCAAGAAGCCGCGCTGGCGATTGAGAGCCGAGCTCAAACCATGCATTCCCTGGAAGAGCGGATACGTTCATCATCAGCGACGATCGAGCTTCAAAAGTCAGCTTTGCTCGAGGCCGAAGAGGCCAAAGCGACTGCTGAGGCAGCGAAAGTAAGGGCCGAGGAGGAGTTATCTGGCACACAACAACAGCTCGCTTCAACGCGAGCTGAGCTCCACGAGACGCTGAATGGGTTCGCGGCCGTGCAAAGAGAGGTGAGTATCCTAGTAGACGATGGCTGGTGCTTGGACTGATGAACGCACGTCAGTTGGAGAATGCAACAGCTCTGACAGAGTCGAAGGTGGCCGAAGCGGATGCAGAGCGTCGATCTCGGGCTGCAATCGAAGAGGAACTATATGACGCCCACAAGCAGAAGCAAGAGCTGGAGACTGCGCATCTGCAGACCGTGAGAGCGCTCGATGTGAAGACAGCGGAGATGGAGACGGAACGCACAGCACGCGAGAAGATCGAGCGGCAATGTACGGAGCTCGAGAGATCGCACTTGCAGACCACTGTAGAGCTTCAGGAGAGAATCGCCGAAGCTGACGCCGCGCGCGATCTCCAAGCCAGGCTGGAGCGAGAGCTATGCGCGGCGCAACAAGACAAACAACAGCTCGAAAATACTCTCGCGAGCGTTCGAGCGGAACTGGAAGCACAGATCCGCGAGACAGATGCAGCGCGTGCTGCTCTCGCAAGCATCCGAGCGACGCTGTCTACCACAAAGTCGGTCAAACAAGACTTGCAAGACGCGCTATCGCGCACCGCAGCAGAGCTCGAGACCAAGTCGTCCGAGCTGGACACAATACGAGTTTCCCTGGCAGGCATCCACCAGACACTGGCTGCCACCCAGTCGGCCAACCAAGACTTGCAGGACACGCTAGCGCGGACAGCGGCCGAGCTTGATACCAAAACATCCGAGCTAGAAGCAGAGCGCATCGCGCACAACAAGCTCGAGGAGACGCTCAGCACGATGCAGGCGGAACGGCGAGAGACGGCGGCGACGCTGACGCGCATCACCGGAGAGTTGCAGGCACACCTCGCCGAACTTAAAGAGGGACGCAGAGCGCGTGCCGCGATCGAGGACCAGCTGCGTGCCCGCACTTCCGACCTCGAAAATACCATTCTCCAGCTCCGGAAAAACAACGACCAGCACTGTCAACGGATTACGGAGCTCGAGGCGCAACTCCAGCAATCCACGCAGGCGTTGCAGGATGCCACGCGCGAGCATGCAAACGCATTGGCCCACGTCGACGGCCGCACGGAGCAGCTTTCGCGCGACCCTGCCACGACTCGGGAGCTGAGCACGATGCTCCCCCGAATGATGCGGGAACTCAATTCTAACTGGCGGCTGCCGGCCATAGCTGGGATCATCGACCTGATCCTCACTGGAATCGGTACGCTCGTCTTGGCCACAATGCTCACCAATAGCATATTATATTCCTGAGCCCCGGTTCGAGGTTAACGTTATGCTTCAAGGTCCGTTGTGTTTAACTTATACATCGGTTCATATTGGGTCAAGTTTCCTGCCGGGATGTTGAAATGTTGGACAAGTTATTTGTTATCCAGTGTTCGCTGTCAGTGTTCAATTTTATAAATGCGCTCGTGATATGCCAAGGTTGCGTACCCGCCGTCTTATTGAAGCCCACGTTAAGCAGAAGCCAATATTGGACGAAATGAGCGCCTAACGCTTTATATGCCACTTCCTGGGTCTTCTGCATATTCAAGTGTCCGAGCTGATGCGCCTTGAGATCCGGCCTGGCGAAATTGCAGAGGTGCGCGGTCGAAGAGCCGAGATCACATGCTGGCTGTGCGGCGTGCAGTCTCTCCATGCGTCGGGTCTGAGGTTCGGTGCAGGCACTCCCCATTTGTGCATTAGTACGTCGAGATGCTCCCAAAATCATTTAATAGTCACGGATTGGTACTTCCGACGGCCACCGCGTCCCTCTATCCCATTACGTGCAGGACATACCCACCCCATCGCATCCACAATGTCGAAGCGAAAGCAATCGATGACGTCCGCTCGCTCATCTCCCGGCTTGAGGCGCTCCAGCACCAGCGTCGTGACCCTTAGTCTCAAGAGCCAGCCAAGTGAAGCGCGGGTCCTCATGCTGCCTGACCGCGGTATGTATCCATCCACGCCATGATCAACCATAACTGGCCTCTGATATGGAACATTATTCGATAACGTTTAGAGACGCGAGGCATCACCGACAGCCCAAGCAGCTCAATGGTTTCCCTTCCACTGGCCACGGAGTCCGTAAGTCTGCACGCCGCGGACGATGGCAAAGAGCAGGAGATCGTCGATCTCCGTAGCAAGGTGGGTTGTCCCGCCCCCGTCTCTCTTCGCCTTCTGTCACTCACATTACACGATTGTCACAAAACACCAGCTCCAAGAAGCTGCACTCGCAATTGAGAGCCGTGACCAGACCATCTCGGCTTTACGAGAACAGATACGTTTGTCTTCAGAAACAACCGAGCTTCAAAAGACCTCACTGCAGGCGGCCAATGAACGCAAGAAAGCCGCCGAGGCTGCGAAGGCGAAATCCGAGGAGCTTTCCAGGACACGGCATAGGGTTCACGAGCTGCAGAACGCGCTGGCAGCTGCACGAAAAGAGGTGAGCGTCTGAATCTGTCCCATATATGCTTTCACCGACGATATAAGCGCATCAGCTGCAGGATGCTCAGGCTGTCTCACGTTCGAATGAAGCAGAACTAGCTGCCGAGCGGTACGCCCGGGCTGCAGCCGAAGAAGAGCTTCATGCCATACGTGCGCAGAAGCAAGAGCTGGAGACTGCATATACGCGGAGCGCAGCATTGCTCGAAAAGAGGATAGCCGAGACAGATATGGAACGTGCGACGCACAAGGAGCTCGAGGGACGGTGTGCACGGCTCCTAGAAGGGAAGACCTCCCTCGAAGCCTCGCACGCTCAGACGCTGGCGGAGCTCCGGCAGACGGCCAGAGAGGCTGCTGCTGAGCGCGATCTTCGGGCAGCAGCCGAGCGAGAGCTCCGTACGGTGCGTAAAGAGAAGCAACAGCTCGAAACTGTTCTCTCAGGCACGCAAATAGCGTTGGAGGCAAGGCTCGTCGATGCAGATTCAGCGCGAGCTATTCTCGCGAGCGTCCAAGAGACGCTGACTGCCACTCAGTCGGAAACGCAAGGCTTACTGGACGTGCTGTCGCATACGACGATACAGCTCGAGGACGTTACATGCGAGCTAGACGCAGAGCGCGTCGCCCGTAACAAACTCGAGGAGATGCTCAGCGTGACACAGACGGAGCAGCGAGAAACGGAAGCAGCACTGTCACATAAAGAACAAACGCTCCAAGAGAAGACCGCCGAATGCGCGGGAGAACGTACAGCCCGCGTTCGTACTGAGGAGGAGCTGCACGCGAGTCGCCAGGAGAAGCAGGACCTCGAGGCTGCTCATGCGAAGACCCGTGTATACCTCGAGATCTCGAGAGACGAGACGCGTGAGGAACATACTGCCCGCGTCGTTGCTGAGGAGGGACTCCGCCTCCTCGAGGCTGTTCTTGAAGCCAGCATCATTGAACGCGATGAGCTATCCATCCGCGCCGCTGATCTTGAAATCCAGTTGCACAGAGAGAAGGACGACAGGTCTCGAACGGTTGCGCGGCTCGAAGCAGTACTCTTGACATCAACGCAAAATTTGAAACGTATCAAAGACGAGCATAGCGAGGCGTTGGATAGAGTCAAAGACCTTGAGCAGCGACTTGCGCGAGAGGCGGCTATGGTGCAGCGCGTAGAAGGGGAGAAAGCGAGTGCAATTGCTGAGCTTGATCGGCAACTGGAGTCCACCGCGGCTGAAAGTCAGCGGATACAGTCAGCACTTCAGGACGCAGAAGCGGCACTCAAAGCTGAAAAGCACCTCGTCAAGGAAGCGGAGAAACAAATAGAGCGAATGAAGAACTCTCCTTTCGTTTCATTCTTTATGTAAGCATTCGGAAACCAGCATTTGACCTTCTACTCATGCAGCACCATCAGCGCGCTGGGATCCACCTGAACATGCGGACTATGTCTCTCTCAGGAAGATTTCTGACCTTATTTATGTATTTGAATTTATCATTGCGAGAGAAAGTCATTGTAGCTTTTCAGATCGTGAGCGTGAAGAAACGAAGGAGCAGTTGCATCTCAAGAAAGTCCTTTATTTAGAGTTTTAAGTATGCCCACTCATCTATTCGTACATTGCGTGAAGTCCTCCTCAGCCTGGCCAATCCAAGCAACTGCTCACGGATAGATTGAGCTCTCGTTCGCCGTCGTGCCTAATGCTGACTCTTTCGTGATCCTCACGTCCTCTTGTTTAGTATTCACCTTCCGTGCGCCCCTCTTCAGCCCACGCGCCTTGTAATCTGTGGTAGTCTCTGCGGGCTCGTTCTGCTCTCACTCGTCAGGCACGGTGCACGTTCGCGCCATGCATGTCATCATCATCGCTCACGTTTGGTGGGTCCCGGAGATACTCCTCGTTTATGTCGTGGTCAGTCACAGGAGGCCGGTCAACAACCTGGTACTGCTTCTTGAACTTCTGGTCGTCCTTGATGAGCTTCTTGCGGATATCCGGGAAGTCGTACGGAGTCGTATCCATGCCAAACCGTGACGGAAGATGGACAAGTTGAGAGGACGATTAATATGCTGAACGAGGAGATGGCAAGACAAGACAATATCAAGGGGTTCTGATATATTTCTCTGCGCTCCAAGATTGGATGCGTCATTCTGATGTCAGTGCTGGCATGGTCTACGGCACCTTTCTGAGGGAGGCAATATTATAGCATCGTGTCGCTCCGCTTACTATGTGATCGCCGGCATATCTCACTGGGAAAAAAGTCGTATATTAGGCCAGGCGAGGGCCATAAATTGATGCATGGTATATTTCGTCCCATGAATCCAACATGAGCCGGTCGATCTGGCTTACCTCTCTAAGCCATAAAAATATCTGCATCAGTTCTGCCAGTGGTCTAATATGCTGCGGCGCTGAGCCTTATCCTGCCCGCCTTCCTCCACCTCTCCATCCAAGCCATCGCTCTGTTTCTGGACATTCTTCTTCCGATCCGGCCACGCTCCAAGACTGTCCTGCACGGACCTCTGCACGTCCGACAGGTGGACAAGCAGCCGCGCTTGTGCCGCAGAATGCTCAGCCATAGCCTTCTTGAGGCACTCCAGCGTCTTCGAGGGATCATCATCATCCTTCTCGGGCTGCCACTGCGAATTCGCGCTCTCAGAATCATCGCTATCCTGTGATGATCTTTCCTTCTTCTCTTGCTCGAGTTTCTTCTCAATGCCCTCCGTGAAAGCCATCAGTTCCGTGGCCAGCTTCGAGCCCGCCCTCAGACGGCCCTCGTTGAGTAGCCCATCGACAGTTGCCTTCAAACGAGGTATCTCGGCCTCATGGAACGCAACGTCAAAGCTCCTGCGGCCGGTATATTCCTGCAGACCCTGGCGCAGCGGGTCGGGCATCCTGATCTTGCACGGGAAGTCTTGCCGAACCCGGCGTAGCAAATCGCGCTGGATCGCCGTCTCGAGCGGCGTGTTTCCGACGCTATCCTCCATGTAGAGTGCCTCCGCCGGTGCTGCACCGAGCAGTAGCTCGGCGATCTTCGCATTACCGTTCTTGATGGCAATGTGCAGCACGGTCGACCCTTCGACATTGCGCATTGTGATAGCACGAGTGTTGCCTTCGAGCAAGAGCTGCACGATGTCAAGCCGGTGGAATTTGCTGGCCACGTGCAATGGCTATGCGACCGGCATGAGAAACAGGCGGTTGGACAAAACAACCACCGGGCTTACCGTATCCTCACCACTCTTAGTGGTCTGCAAGAGCAAACGTTCGAGCTCATCCTGCGACAATCTCTCCAGAACATGCTGCAACAACTTGAAGTGATGTTCAGTCTGTCCTTCACACAACACATGCAGCAGATTGGACCTGCAGAGCGGAGATTACAATACATCGCGTAAAAATGCACAAGGAATCGCACCTGCCCATGTCCACGTCTAACGGTGACAGTCCCTTCTCCACCAGCCAGTCGAAGAGCTCGGGCTTGACGCCATATTTCGCGGCGACGAGGAGGTGGCTGTAGCCGCGGTAATGGACCCTATACTCAAGTCATCAGACCAGTCCTCCATACAGGGATCACAGCCGACATACCTGAGAGACAAAGCCTGCTGCATTGGCTTAGGTCGAAGAGAGAGCAACATCTTGAGTGCCTCGAGGCTCTTGCCGATCACCGCTGCGGTCATCGCCGACTCGTTCAGCACATTCGTCGACCATCCGAACCACTGCGGAAGAACTGCCGCCAGATCGTGAGCCCGGCGAATGAATCGCGCACGCTCGTCACTATGTGTTGCCGCATAGTACTTATACGCGGCGAGCGCTCGCTCGCCCGCCAAATACTGCATGACGCCCTGCGCATCGTACCTCGCCGCAAGCCATACCACCGGCGGCACGAAGCTCTCCGTCTGCGGCACAGCATTCGGGTCTACCTTCTCCGCGAGATCCTTGCGCTTCTTCCCATGCACATTCAAACCGAGGTACATCTTCGAGCTCGGGCTCTTCTTGTGCATCGCAGCAGTCCCCGGCTCGTCCACCTTCTCCTCTTCCTTCTCGATGTCGATGCCCTGGCCCGTGCGCCGGATGAACTCGTCAAGCATTTCCGGCCGGTCACGCTCCAACAACCAGACGAGCGTTGCCTCCGGAAGCGGCTGCGACTTTGGCAGGCTGCCATACAGGTCGGCAATCTGCACGAACGCCTCGAAATCGTTCTCATCGACGGCACGGAATAGGATGCTCCCTTGCTTGTACCCTTCCTTACCATCGTCATCGCAAAGCCAGCTGATACTTGAATCATGCAAGAGGTTCGCCGGCGTCGCTGTCGTCTGCACCTCAGAAGAGCGTTTCGCGATGTCGATGAAATTCATGGGTTCTTCCGTGTCCATCTCATCTTCATCGCCTTCATTCTCATCCGAGGCATTATCTTCCTCATCATCTATGGATTCATTCAGCAAGACCCTACTGTGACGGGGAGTGCTTCTCACCTAGCACAATGTTACGTGTTTGGAATTTTCCCGCCTTGTCTATTTCAGGATGATGTTGTGCAGCGGCAATAGCCAGAATGAGCCTGGCAGTAACCCAATGATGTCCTGCCACAGCCAAAGACAACGGGTTACAGACTGAAAGGCAATGTCAGCATCATCGACAGTCCACGCGCATTCGTACTCACTCATCCACGTGTTTGTCAGCTGTGCCACAATCTGCAGCGGCTGTTCTTGCGACTTGTTGCCCTGCTTGGGAAGACACAGCTTCTGGACCTTCGCATTGTCGCCATTCGCGCACGCCTCGAACAGCTCGTCGTAGCGCGCCGTCAAGTGAGTAAGGACTGCGGTGGTTTGCCACGTTCCTTGCCTGCGTTCGTAGTGAAGGTCTGACGAGTTCTGCACGTGGAGAATGTACGAGGAGTTGTTATTGAAATAGTCTCTGGCCCCCAAGCCAGCCTTATTGTCAGGATAGAGCTCATCCCACGTCTTCGCACCGTGTGAGACCATGAGATCCTCAACTGCTCCGAAATACTCCTTCGCCCTGCGCAGGCGCTCCTTATCCGCCACCGGGTCTGGCTTTTGCAAAGTCGCGCATTCCTGTTGCGCTCTGAACTGCCGTACGATCTTGCCAACTTCAGCTTTCCAGCCAAGTGTTGATGCCCATTTGTCCAGCTCGTCCGATGCAACAGACTCTGCACGCTTCTCGAGGTGCTGCAACTGGTCCTCGATCGCGCGGATGGCGCAACGCACCCAGTCGATCAGGGTGATGCGACGATCGGCAGCCCATGAGTTCTTGGTGTTCTGAGCTGCATCTCTCGTCGGAAGGCTGACTGCAGCACCCAGTGCCATGACGAGAGCAAGCCATTCCAGCGAGTCGTCCTGACGCCCGAGAACAGATTCCACTGGCATCGCGACAAAATGCAGAGGGTTCTGGTCGCCCATGTGGTTCTTGTGATGTTTCCTACAGACGTTGGTGAGCAAAACTCACGCACATACCAAGGCATAGCGACCGCACAAACCTGAGTTCCAAAAACCGACTGAATTCTTCCTCTGTAACGTTGAGCTTGGCGCCATATGCAAGCAGAAGCGCGAAGATGGAGTACGACCCTTGTGTGATGGCAGACATGATAGGATAGACGGCTATGTTCCAATACCGTCCGAACGCCGGCGTGTTGACAACCGCTTTTGCGTTTGGTTCATACTGCAAGAAAGCGCGAACGAGCTCAGTGTTACCGGAGCACACTATCTTGTGCAGTATAGTGAATAAGTCTTCGTCAGCCTCAGAGGATACCGCGCCCGCGGCGAAGAGCTTTTTGGCGATCTCCTTGGCTGTCTCGTTGTTCTCGTCTAACACAGTGGCGGTAAGCTGGCGGATGTCTGGAATGTCATAGCCTTCTGCTTTGGTGACCAATCGGACGTCGGCGCCTGCAGCGATGAGCTGGTCGACAACTTTTATAGACCCGAAAATTATCGCATATTGCAGTGGCGTCAAGGCAAGGTCCCAATCAGGTACATTGAGGTCAAAGATGTCCGGTTCGTCTTTCTCGTCCGGGATGCCATCATCGTTCACGGGAACCTTCTCCTCGGCCTTCTTCGACTTCATTTGCTTCTCTTGGTTTTCCTCCTCATCCATCTCAGATGACCAGTCGTCTTCGCTGTTGTTCTCTTCAATGTCCTCCTCGTCGTCAACGTCCATCTTGCTGTCATCTTTCTTTTCGTCCGCGGTGCGCTTCGCCTCTTCCTCGGCCTCCCTCGCCTTCTCCGCACTAATCTCAGCGCGATCGAGCAGCTTGCGCACCACGTCCGGGAGGTTGAGCTGAGCCGCCAGGTGGAGAGCGGTTCGGCCATCGACCAGACGAGCCGTCATCCGCGCACCAGCATCGATTAGGTCGCTGGCAATATCCACGGCCTTGCAAAGGATAGCCATCTGGAGAGGCGTCCGGCCGACATAGTCTCGGCGATCGATCTCAAAGCCTTCTTGCTGCATGAGCTGCGCCACGGCGGCTCGGTCGTTGGTAGCGATTGCGCGGAAAAGTTTCTCTGTCGCGCCCATGTACGCCTGCTCAGCCCACTCACCATCGTCGATCGGGTTGAAGCTGCCCGAGATACTTTGACGTCCGGGATCTTCTTCGATGAAACTACGGTGACACCAGCGGTATAAGCAGACGTCATCATCGAGACACCTACGACTTACTGGATTCGTCCCCTGATGTAGCTCTTGTCTTCCTCCTCCTGTAGTTTGCATTCCTCTTCGCCCTTCGGCTCGGGACAATACTAGCCAGAAATTATATCAGCTTGAGAGCACGTTCGATTAAGCCTGATCGTACCTCACAGCAATCCTCAAGGCACTCTTCCATCGTGCCGAAGAACGCCGGGTGCCGATGCAGACGTCTGCCTTCGTTCTTGGGATTGAAAGGAGCTATATCGGGAGACGTTGCATCGGTCATGTCACATGAATGGATGTATGCGAAGACTCACAGTTCATTCCGAGATCCTGGCCACCGACGAAAGGTCAGCTGAGGAAAGCACCAGTCGCTCAGCAAAATACTCACAGTTTGGTAAATGAGCCTCTCGATACGCCGCGCATCCCAGCCAGGCCCGTAGGGTATATGCAGCGACACGACGTCGTAGTCGTTCATCTCCAATTCACTGAAGTCAGTGGCGGCCTTGAGATCGCCCTTGTACTTCTTCTTCTTGTTGCGCTGGTACATCCGCTCGGAGTCGGGGCGGCCACGCAGCCTTCTGCGATCAATGAGATAATTCTGCCGCTGTTCAGCGCTAGTAAGCCTTTCCAGCACAAGGAGGCGCGCGAGGCCTTGTATGCGCGCGATAGACCGCTCAAAGATCTACAATAACGTGAGCATCATCCGATGGTCAAGCGAGGCCTGAATTCGCACCGTTGGGTCGATATCCTCGCGCTTGAGCGTAGGCACGTACACTTCAAAGTCGCGGAGCGAGTACTTCGCGAGGCGCACTTCGTACGAAGGTGACCTGCGCGTCACGTCAACGGTGTTGCACTGGCGCATCATCGCAGCGATCGCACGCGGACTGGCCCAAACGCGCTCTCCGTCGTATGCGCAGCATGGCGAGTCAACGTCGAACCCGGCGAGGACCTCTGCGGGCGACGCATACAAGCGCAGGACAATTTGCACGGAGCGATACGGGTACTGCGAATGGATCGACACTGTGTGCTTCGTCCTGACGCACGTCACATCCCAGGGGACCGAATCGCGGACGGCCTCGTAAATGGCATTGATCTTGACCTCGGCTTGCGCAGTAGTCATTCCATATAAGAAGAGATCGACGTCAGACGTAGGATATGCATTATTGTGAAAGTATTTGCGAAATGCTCTCTTGGATACCTTCGCCAACTCAGGCAACGGATTCAGACATGCTTGACAGAGCCTCCGGCCGCGATCACATTGTTCCAGTCTGTCAATTGTGAGAGGAATCCCTCCGCGAAGATCGCCCAATTCTTCTTGAAATCATCCAAGCTTTGCACCATCGAGGGCGTGCCATCCTTGCGGCGATGATCGTCTGATAACGGCATCACGAACTTGCTCTTTAGACCATCGTCGTCTTTCACCACTCTGGCTCTGGTGGTCCTGATGCTTGCTGGAGCGTTGAACACATCAATAAGCCCGACGTGAGGGTCCGATAGGCGTCCATTGTTCTTGTCGGTCGCAAACAGCTTGCGCAACGCCGCCTCGTCGTCGAGCGACGGCTTGAGTGCCTCTGAGATCGCATCGAACGCCGTTGGGCCAGGCGCTATTTGAGCGATGCGCGACAAGAATGCTTCAGTCCCAGGAGTCTGGGACATAGTCGAACCACGATGTGAATGAGGAGTATATGAGATTTGAAAGTCTGGCCGACGAACGGTGCCCTGAGTGCGACATAGTGACCGCCTTTATATGCAACTCGAGCATGCGGCCATCGGTCACCACCACAATACGCTAAGCGCATCCTAAAACAGCGTCGTTCACATAGCGAGTCAGTTTGGCCATACATGCCATCAGTGTATGCATCAAAGTACGCGTGTCGAAAGTCGAGACAAGGTCAAGCGCCAAATGCAGCGCGGACACCCTGTGATCGCAGATGCTATATTTGGCAAATCCCGACTCGCATAGATCGCACATTTGCCCTCGCTTGAGTCAGAGTGTTCCATCAATGAGTTTAATAATACGAATGAATAGATGTCCGTAGTAGCTCGCCACTATCTAGACAGTTGCCAGAGCCTCACGCAGAAGCCCAGCATCAGCGCTCGAGAGCATACTTGGCATGCGGGGATGCGCGACCGCGTGGAACCATCGCAGACATTGCGCTCCCGAAGGACGTCGGGTAAAATAGTCGGTCTCACGTAGAGTCAGAACAACCCGACGGGTACAAGTTCACGACCTGTATCAGGCACTACTGCCGCCTTGCTCCCGTAATGGAAGCACCGAGCCATCTGGCGAGACCGACCTTTCTTCTTCCGCATCAGCCCGCGCACGTCTCCGTGTGTTCTCCGCCTCGATCTCCCGCAACATCTTGTCCAACCTCTCTCTGTCTTCCTCCCGCCCAATCTCCACCTTCCATGCGTCCGGGTTCTTCAGCTTGTGCCCCAGCATCTTCTTCACCTTTGCAACGTATCCGACTTCGCTCACGCTCCGCGAAATTTTGTCCATGCGTCTCTCCTTCTCCGTCATCGTGGCAAGGATGTGTGCAGGAGGACCCTTCCGCTTTCTCTCCAGCGCTCTGCGCGTCATCTCTCCTCGTCTCTCTCGCTCGAGTTCGCGTGTCTTGTTCGCGATTTTCTCTATTCTGGCAGCCTTAATCTGAGCTAGCATCTCCGGAGGAAATGGCCGAGCGGCGCGCTCATTGTCGCGCTTGAAAGTCTCGTTGATTTCGTCTAGCCTCTCCACGATAGGTTGTTCTAGTGAAACAATGGACCTTGAGCTCGAGGCTCAAGATGAAGCGGTGAACGACGTACTCCACTCTTCCATATTTCTCACGAAAGCACCCTCAAATGGAACACGCTGCTTGTTTGCGATCTTCAATAGAGCAACCTCAAATTCGTTTTCCCTTTCGAGGTCCTCTTTGAGAGAGCTCAGCTTAGCATATTCCTCCACACGATGCTCTCGTCGCTGACGCCGCGTTCTGATAAGCTCTCTCGCATGATCTGGTAGCGGCTTCATCCGTGGTAGCGGTCCATTGTACCAAGTGGGTCGCATGTACGATCCGGTCAAGATGGTACGATTTCGTAGTCTGTTCCGCCATGCCTGTGACGCAGTCAGCAGCGATAATTTAGAGGCAACGGTGTGGGGCACACTTACGATATCTTCGAGAATGTACCGCCGCATGCGTCGATTGTTCTCATGTGCGACGAGCAATCTGCTGTATCGCTGCAGAACGGCTTGTGATCGCGCGTCGCCTTGCTTTGCACGCGTGAACATGTCTGCCCACTATGAATAGCAGGCGTATTAGCAACGACGTCGAAAATGACAGTCCCATATACCACACACCTTGTGATACATGATAAGCCTCTCCTTTACATCCACTGCTTTACGCATGGACTTGTCACGATGAAACATTTCCTTGACCCTCCATCTGCCTTAGGTCCTCTCAATCAAAAACCACCTTGGAGCGTTTTCCATGACGTACCGCACCTCCCCAGTCGGAGAGTCTCTCAGAAGTTTCCGATACAGAGTCCATAGGGTGGGAATGCGGTGAGCTGCTAGATTGAAAACAGACGTGCGCAACCGCGTCGGCCGGAGGGAAGATACGAGAGAGGAGATCTGGGCTCGGTGAGCGAGAGACTCTGGAGACGGAAGAGGGATAGACATCTTGCTGAGACAATGGTCGTTAGTTGCTTATAAGCGGAGGATGCCCAGCCTCGAGAGGAGTCAATTGTACAAAATACTCTTAGTGATGGGAAGCGTCAATGCGCATGAAGGACTATAGACAGGGAAGCGTCGAGCTGCGGAAGCAAAGCGAACGAGCTGCGAAAGCAAAGCGAAAGTTGGCGAGAGCACGTGCAGCGAGCGCTTGAGCGCTCGATCGCGTTTTGATCGATAGCCTGTACAGGGGCGGACCGACGGCGACGATCAGATCCTGCGCCAGTGGACTCAGGACAGCTCTGAGTTCAAGCCTATTATATATTAAGCACCTTGGTCTGGTTGGTATTTCTTCCAACGCTCATGTCGTACCGTGATCAGTCACGGAGTGCGTCACGCACATGCCACTGGCAAACTAGTAACATCGTCCGAGCAAGGGAGTCGGGACGCACCAACCCTCATTATCAAGGACACTCGAACCGCTCAGATGTCAACATCGTAGGAATGATACAAGAACACCCATGTTAGGAATGCGAAATCCGGTACATACGGTCAGCCGCAACTTTTAAAACTGCAATAATATACGACTCCATGACTGCATTACCTTGATGTGTTCGCGGCACATCGTATGACATATGGCATCTTGATCATCGAGAACCGTAACTAACGGTAGGATACTCATTACGGCTCTTCCCAGCCATCCTCTCCTTCATGCGTCAGACTGTAATCGTGGAGTTGTACATGAACTGTACAATTATAGATCGATGCTACAATTGTCTACCTGCATTTATGTGCCGTCAGTATATGCCATTACACCCACTCGACGGGAATGTCCTTCACTCACGCAAAACACTCTCACCGCATACGGTACCGCCGTACGACCCCATCGTCCGCCGCGACCCACACATCCTCTTCCCGGACAACCCGCACCGCACGCACCGGGTCACAATCAGGGCCTACCAACTCTGCACGCACGTTCGGTCCTCCCGGGCGCACGTCCGCAACATAAGGCAGTCCGTCCTCAGCTGCGATCGCTAGCCCAACATCTGAAGCTTCTGGCATGTTCGATGTTGCGCCTGACTGTGACACTGCCTGTGGTAGTGCGAACGCTTTTGCATCGAGCGATAGGAACTGCAAGTCCTCGATCGCCGCTGTATTCCGCCGAAATGCCGTCAATGGGCTCTCCAATGTACGTATGTCGTATAGCGAGACGATGCCCGTGCTCGAACCCGTAGCCAGCATCCCATGCACTGAGGTATATGAGATGGCGTGCAGCGGGGATTGTGTTTCAGTGTCAGCTGTGGAGCGGAACACCGAGTGCTTGGTGCGTAGATCGAACACTTCGAATGTCCCGTCTTGCAACCCGCAGAATGCTAGCTTGTCCGCTGTCTCAACCTCTCTAGGGTCGATGTCATCTGGAGCGCGGCCTTTCTCGTCTGTGCCATCCTGTTGCGAGCCAAGCACCCCCTTGCCGAGACTGAGCGCAAGCACAGGCACGTAGCTGTGCCCGCCTGCTACTAGCGTGCGAATCTGGGCACCCGATGGCACGTCCCACAGCCGCACAGTCCCGTCCTTTGAACCAGACAGCACGTTCCGTCCCCGTGCAATGATGGCAATAGATGTGACCCCTCGCGAGTGTCCACGGAGTACGCGCACAGGAGAGAAAGACGGTCGAGGAATGGAGGAGGCATCGGGCTTATCAGCGGGGAGGATTGACAAGGAGAAATCCGACCCGGCGGTCAGGAGCACCTTGGAGGATGGAAAGAATTGTACAGAAGACACTGTGCTGAGGTGCGGTTTGCAGGTCGTGGGCTCTGCAAAACCCGAAGTCTGTCGGATGCACACTGATCCGTCGTAGTAACCGGTGGCGAACTGTGTTCCGTCGGGAGACACATCAAAAGCTGTGATCTTCCGCGGCTAACTGCTTATCAGCTATGAATTGTCGTAGGCTTTATAGACGTGAAACATACCCGTCTGCCCTGCTCTGCTGCAGGATCAACGTAGACCTTCGCGGGAATTGCGAGACGCGTCGGTGGAAGATGCAAGGAAGGACATGATGCGAAGTAGGTATCCTGCAAGAGATGTTATATACTTCGAATGCTCGATCCCGTCACGAGGGAAGTGTACAATGAGGAGTATGTATGTCACTTACTCCTCTACGAGAGATCATCTCCACTCCATCCCTGCCTTCCAGACGCACGAGGTCACGGTCAACGTCGTCCAATGTCGCATGTACTTTTCCATGAATGGAGGGCTCTTCATGCTTGTAACATGACAACCAGAATGTTTCCTCCGGCACAAGCCCATCCCTCACTTCAGAGAGGGAGGAAGTGAAATCCGGCTGGACTGCGGCGATAGGCAGGAGAATCGGATCGACTTTCATTCAAGAAGCTGAGAGAGCAGTCCAGGTCGAGGAATATTCCGCGACTGTGGCACAGCTACGCGATGAGCTTATACTGACAGTACTTGTAAATCTTTGTATAATCAGGAGCGAAGACGAGCCTGAGAGAGGTTACCGCATTTAGACGCTCAAACGGGTGCATGCTTGGGGCACCACTACCTCCCGACTTCAGGACGTTCGACGCGTTTAACTTGTAACGTCCACAGTCCAGCGACTCTTCGCCACATGGCGACGGCGGTGGTGACCTCGACGGCCATGACAACCTCAACCATTCTTCACCATGCTTCACAGACTGTTGCACCAACGCAGCCGACAAGCCCGCCCATTGTCCAAATTGTTGAATACCTGTCGTCATCGTCTTTGGTCGTCATATCATTCATTGGACGAAGCCTCACAGCGCTCCTTCGCAACGTCGTTGCGCCCTTCTCCGCAATTTTGGTGTCGATTTATACCCCTCTCTCATTCATCCTCGCACCTCTATTTCTGTTTTTGAGGATTGCGCTCAACGCGCTCATCTTGACTCCATGGTCCATACTCGGCAATGTCCTCGTATACCTATATCCATTATACCTCTTCGTTGGCACATCCTGCATAGCTGCAGGTCTCGTGGGCCTTGCAGCGCGTCTCGTCGCCAACTTCATCAAATCTGTCATGGTCTCTCCCGAGCCTCCCTCGCAGGCGGTACCGAATCCACGCAAGCACGTGTCAATCAAGGAGGAATTCTGATTCTTTGTGACAAAAGTCTCGCTGTATGCTCCGTGTGAGTACGGTTTCGTCCTTCGACGCGCTGTTGAGCCGGCAGGCAATCAGCGAGTTTTGATGTGTCATTGTTGAACTGCATACATTATTTGTTTTTGATTTTTACTGATGTTTGGTTGATTGGCAGTTGCTCGCGCATTTCTGCCTCCCAGGATACCTATGCAACCTGTTATCTATATCAACTCAAAACCAGTCCGGTCTCAGTTGCCCTTCGTAAGTTCCGATGTACTGGTTTCGACGGGATTCTGAGTCCTTGGCTTTCCTGTAGTTCTTCGGAAACTCTGTCCTTCATTGTTCATCGGTATCACTCCCGATTGTGCATCCTGGCGCATGCATGCCATATCTATCACCTTGCCGTTTCGTATCATGTACGGTCATTCAGCTGTTTCCTCGGTTGTTGTACTCGGTCGTCCCACTTCATTTCACTGATGTTACACGTCTCGTCGACGATGTATGTTCATACTCGGCAGCTGTGTGTGCAAAATGTCACCTCGGTGATTATGTTCACACTGGCGTGTGGAGGAGCTATAACACAGGTTTGTGTTACAGATCACTGGACTGACTTCATTGCGAAGGGTAAATCGCTCGAAGCTGGCGCTTGAGCATGAAGCTGCTTGGTCTGTGCGCGTCCGTATGCTTGCGAAGGCTCTGCGTATGTAGCCCGCCATCCGATGTTAAACGGCGGCCCGCCGTTGATGCAGCAACAGCAATCAAGCGATTGATTGAAGCATGTGTGTAACCGTTCAGGCTTAAACATAGATTATATTCAGGATGGAGCAAGCTCCGTACCGGTCCTGAGGCCTGATCCGTGAATCCCGCCGTTTGGCAGATCCCCGCAACAACGCTGCTCATAACTGTTGATGACGGTTGCGACCACGGGAAGCATGTGATGTCGCTGCGCTTGGCAGACGCATATTAATCTCAGGTGAGCAGAATGTGGTTGTGAGTGCTTTTGATGACAGTTGCTATGCTATATTAGCTCACTGATAACACGGATCTGTACCACAACGTACAGCATTCGTTTTCGGGGAACCTGCGACGCGTCTCGGATCGAGCGCGCTATGCACCCGTACGCTCATGATGCTGCGTAGACTGCCGAATTCGAACCGCACCTCTGCAAAAATCCCGAGGTGACACTGGAAAAAGAACCACCCAGTCTGAAGTGGATGTGCTGCCTTACTTAAAGACCACGGAATGCCAGAGCTCCCGTAGACTCACGGAACTGCACGAGCACGCGCGCACCCCCCCTCATCCCCCGGATCTATTACCTTACATATATACACTAAATCCCTCGCAATGTCGGCGACGTTTAACCAAACAACCGTTGTTGAGCAGACGATTGCCACTGTCACACAACTGTAAGTCGTCGTACTCTCCAGTCTCCGCAGGGTCATCGTTCATCTTCTACTAGTAATATCAACAATTATTGCAACACCGCTGCAATCGGTAAGTTCCCCCATGAGGACGTGCTTCATCAAAAGATGACGGCGCCTTACCTTCGACTAGCACTCATACTATTCGAATATTGGATCACCTTTCCTGATGAAATCTATCTAATTTGGGATGCTGGAAGCACCCTTGTAACAATAATTTTCTTCGTCAACCGATATCTACTCGTGTCATTCGGAATAGTTCTCGCCCTTGGCCTTTTGTTGAACACGCCGCTGGTGAGCTGTGCTTGCTCCTCCAGTTAGGTCTAATGCGTACTATCTAGGTCTAGAGGTATGACACGGAGACTGTTGTTGCATGAAATAACGTTCATTCTTGTGCAATAGTTGCAAAGTCGTGAATATGCTGATCCTTGTTCAGAATACGGCCATCTGTGCCCTTGTAGCAGGTGCGACTTCATGATTGCTCTAAGGCTTCTCGTGACATGAGTTTGCAATGAAGTGTTCTCCGCTTTACGCATGTATGCAATCAGCGGTCGCAAGCTCACGCTTACTCTGCTTGTGCTTCTTCTTGGGTCGGCGCCATTGGTGATAAATCTAGTTCGTGAACAACTACTGTGCATGCGTGATGCAGACTAACTTATGCATGACCAGTACACAAATGCAAGTCTATCATACGCTTGTGTCGTATCATTGAACGGTCCTCCGGTATGCAGCTGGAGGCGATCTTTTTCGCAGAATCTGCATCAAAGGTGAGCACTCGTATGTGATGAAAGACAATTATTATGCTGATAATTGCTTGACTAGACGTAAAGTCATCCTCTAACATGGAGTATATCCGTTGAACTTACGACTTTGCAGTGTTTATCCTTGCAGGCGCATGCTCCGTCGTTTCGGATCTTATCGTGCTCGTTACTACGTGGCTCCGCACGTTCAACGTTGTCAGAGAAGTCGGCCGGTTTAGAACTTCAGCATCGTTGGGTCGACTTCTGTTACGGGATGGTTAGTCGTGGATCCACTACGAGTTCTGTCTCAGCTGAAGATGAGTTTTCCTGATTCCTCAGGTTCCGCATATTTCATGCAAGTCATCGCTCGTAAATTCATCCCTAATAAGTCCGCTGACACTTGATCGCTGCTGATCATCAGAGTTATGACAATATTGGGTATAATGGAAGTGACTATCGAAACTTTGAACACCAATGCTCAGGTTCATACGGTTACATTAATATTTTCTTTCGAGAATGCCTTCACGCGAGTATTGATACTACTTCTTGTTCCCAGACAGATTGGCCATATCTCGGATTCTTACGTTTATCGTGAGCTCACACCCACTGATCACAGAATACGTCGCTGACGGATCTCTTTTGCGTATAGGCTTTCGTCAATCTTAATATCGCGGTTCATCCTGGGTCTACGACAAATCAAAAGCAACGCACGCAACAACTCCTCGCAAATCGCGCCCGACGTTTATGGTACAAATAGCCATGGGACACGATTTATTGAGGAAACGAGTGCCGATCTCCATTCTGACTCTTTTGGAGGCTTCTCTACTGTGATCGTATTCGATGATTGGGGCGACCAAGACGACGTGCTGGGCAATGATGAGATAGAGGAGGATGCTGGGCCGAGCTCGTAGAGAGGTAAGTCAGAACGATACGTGTTTCTTGTGCTATATCGGTCTCCGCGGAGCTATTCAATAACCTACCGATAGATTCAATCATTCGTCCGGTCGGAGACTCCGGTATCACCTATGTGCATGGACTTCGATGTCAGGCAAGGCGCAGACGAGGGATTAAAAATGTACATGAGGATGTTGTCGTGATTGTAATAGTCCGCCCGCGCGCCCGCGCGTAACGTTTGTCCAAGGGTCACACTGTTGTCCGGGCCTTGGGGTGGTTAAGTGATTTCTGCGAGTATTGTGTAGGTGATAGTCAAGAGTGGGATTGGCACAAGCGGACAACGTGATCGAGAGGAGCAGTGAGTCGTCCCGCAGTCGATCATGATCGCAGCTTGGAGCGATCCATGGCTGGGCAACGAACGCTAAGATGTCTCCGAGATCTTCCGTGAATGTGCGCAGAAATGTCCATGTCGACCGCAACCGCCGCGCTCCGACGTCGTCGAGCTCGCCTCGCCAGCAAGCTGCCTGTCTACGCTTCATCAATCACGTTTGATACGTCGCCAACAGTGTCGTAATTGTTTTTCCCGCGCGGGTGCCATGGCTCCTGACTTGTAGAATGAAGCAGAACAGGACGCAAGGCCGGTAGGCTGCTCTGGTCGCCGTCGAAGATCACGCACCTCTGCCTTTCAGCCACTTATTGATGGCGTCGGGCTTCCGCGAGGATGCTAGGAGACCGAGAGAAGCCGACGGAAAAGGCAAAGTTCCTTGACAGTGCCTTAATGCGATCTATCACCTGCGGCTAAAAGTAGACCTTCAGGGCAATGCGAGGTAATAGGTCCTCAGTAAAGCCAGAGGTGCTACTGACACTGCTGCTGCTCCTGGTGACCGCATCTGCGTTTCTCGAGACGTTCTTCCCAGCGAAGATCCTTGGCCAGCAGGCAGGCATGGCTCGCTTCAACAGCTCATCCACGGCACGTTATCTCAGAATGAAGATCTCCATGCGGGGTACGCGGCAGTCTACAAATATGCCCCGGGATCCGGGCCCGGGGAAACCATATTAGTGTCGCTTAGTGGGCGCCTGCCCGCAAACGCGGGGCAGATGATGCGCAATCCTCGCGGGGCGCCAGCGCCACCCCTCCGACTATTTATACTGTATGCTTTTCCCCCAGATGGATCCGTCCGAAGCTCTCGTCCATCTCTCGTCCCACGATGGCCAGCAGCTTCGCCCGCAACGTCTTCCAGGGCCTGATTCCTCGCCGCGAGAGGACTGTCGATAGCCAAAGCCTGTGGAATGCAATCAAGAGCTTGACGTGGGTGCAATGGGGTCATTTCTGGTGCGGGTACGTGTTTCAGCCGCAGAGCCTCGCAGATGGCAGCTCGATCGGCTTTTCCACCACTTGCAGATATAAAGCCCTGCGTGCTGATTGCCTCTGACCATATGTATAGATGGTTCGCATGGATATGCGATTCGTATGATTTCTTCAGCGTGTCACTGAGTGTGACCAATCTCGAAAACCAGTTTGGCAAAAGCGCCAAAACCATTGTGAGTCGCCATCACTTCCTTCACCAGACATCACCGAGTGACACCATGCATCTACATCCGTAGACAACCGCGATCACTCTAACGCTGCTCTTCCGCTCCCTTGGTGCAGTGAGTGTCCTTGCTTTTTCTTGCTCTATCCTGCCCGTTCCACTGCGTATATGCGCCTGATTCACCATGAAATGCCAATATATGCGGTCCGAATGCCGCAATGGCAGCATATCCTCGGCGATAGCGCGGCGTGTTCGTGAGGTCGTAATGAGCGTCATGGAGACGTTCTCGCGCCCAGTTGCTCATGCAAATGCTAAATGGCCTCGCATCATGCTATGAAACATTGAACCTGGAGTCTCTTCATTCCAGAGGCCCAATTCATGCAGATGATACCGCACTGACCTCTTATATCCTCATGCTCCGACACCTGCTGATCTCCGCGCCTTGGTAGGCCATCTTCGGCATTCTTTCCGACCGGTACGGGCGCAAATGGCCCTTGGTCGGTAACCTCCTCATCGCCGCCGCGTTTGAGCTCGGTTCAGGCTTCGTACGAACCTTCCCACAATTCCTTGCCGTGCGCTCGCTCTTCGGCGTCGCGATGGGCGGTATCTGGGGCCTTGCATCCTCCACTGCGCTCGAGAACCTGCCCGTTGAGGCGCGCGGGCTGGCAAGCGGCTTCCTGCAAGAGGGCTACGCTGTCGGGTACCTCATCGCGGCTGTGGTGAATCTGACACTCGTGCCCGAGACAAGTACAGGGTGGCGTGGATTGTTCTGGCTGGGAGCGGGCTTGTCGATATTGGCGGCGGCGTTCAGGGCGATGTTGCCTGAGAGCGAGGTGTTTGAGCGGGCGAAGGCTTTGGAGAAAAGGAGTGGGAAGAGCGCGATGGAGAAGACGAAGGTGTTCTTGCGTGAGACGAAGGTGATGCTAAAGAGGCATTGGATATTGTGCTGCTATTCGGTTGTCTTGATGACGGGGTTCAACTTCCTCTCGCATGGATCCCAGGTGCGCCTCATCAGCTCAGTGGGACCCTTGGTCTGACTGACGTTTGTGCAGGATTTGTACCCGACCTACCTCACGGACACGAAGGGGTTTAGCTCACACGACGCAACAGTTGCGACGATCATTGGGAACTGTGTACGTCCTCTATTTCTAGATCTTTTGTTCAGATTGCTCATGCATGCTCCATACTCAAGGGTGCCATCGCGTAAGTGCATCTATGCGCGTAAATTGGTCTTTCATGACAGCATAACTCATCTGTTTGCATTTGTGCAGTGGGGGCACGATTGCCGGCTGGGCGAGCCAATATATCGGACGCCGGCTTACGATCATGTACGTATCGCCTATCACCGATTCGTGACCGTAAAGCTAAACTCCGCACCTCGTTTGATAGTATCTGTGTCGTCATCGTCGGAGGTGCGTGATCTTCCCAAGATGCTCCTGAGCAGCTGACCGACATCAATCGTAGCGTTCATCCCTCTTTGGATCATTCCAAACTCGTTCAGCGCGCTCGCTGCGGGCGCGTTTTGCGTGCAGTTCGGCGTACAGGGTGCTTGGGGCGTTGTAAGTGACTACTGATCTCCGGACAGACTCCTGCAATACTGATGGGGTTCGTAGATCCCTATCCAATTGGCAGAGATGTCTCCTCCGGCGTTCCGTGCCACCTTCCCTGGGACATCATACCAGCTTGGGAACGTTAGTATCATCACGCATGCATATCCATCGGGTTCCTTTGACAGTCATTTCTCCTCGTAGATGGTATCCTCTGCATCAGCGCAGATTGAAGCCAGTGAGTAGAGCGTCTGCAGTGCGACATATCTCATGCTGAGCGTGCTGTTCGTTCAGCGGGAGCTGCACATTTGAAGACGACAATCATCGAGAACGGCCAGACGAAAGTCGTCCCGAACTACGCCACTGTACGTCATCACGGTCTTCTCAATACGTCAAATTATTCAATGACTGACTCAACGTCATTAACCAGGTACAAGGAATCCTTGTCGGTGTCGTTGCCGCGTTTGTCGTGCTATGTACGATCGTCGCGCCCGAGTGAGTAATCCATCGATTTTCAGATGGCGGCATCACAGGCTGACCGTGCGCATCTCCGCAGGCACCATGGCTCGCACTTCGAGAAGTACAAGCCCGCTTTTGAGGAAGGCGCCGGACGCGACGAGGAGATGATCGACGGCGAGGTTGCGGGAGGCAGTCCTGTGGAATCTGAAAAGGTGTCCCGACCGCCAAGTGTGCAGGAGGTGCGCGAGAAGGAGGATGTTTGACGCCTGGCGTAGAGTGCAGGATGGGCGGATGGTGACATCAGTAGATAACGACGTGATGCATGATTTATTAATGAACTTAGGACTATCTCATGAGTGTATTGTAAGGTTCCTCCCGCGAACATCGCTTTCTCAACCTGGGTATATGAAGAGAGATTGAAACGGGCATGGCGGAGCGCACCTACAAATCTAAGAAAATGCTATTGATTGTCCTGACCTTCCAGTAATCATAGGCTCATTGTGAGATCAGCTTAGGAACCGCACCAGGGACAATGCAAGTTGACGTTTCTGCAGTGCTCGCAACCATCATAGCATGACTGCAATCAGAATATCTTTACTAATGCCTACACTCACAGCGCGTACAGCCTCATTATGACCCCTGCTGTCGCCTCGCACCCGTTACACGGACCTGCATTTCTATGAGACTGCCCCGATCTCTGTCGCAATCTCCCGCGTCTCCCGTTTGTTCCCGGCCAGAATCATCAATTTCAGCGGATGACTCGAAGTCTAGGTCAGCACCCAGGATGTCGATAAGCCTGGATCCGAAGCTGGCCATACTGAGGCCACCAATTGAGCTCAGGTGAATATCAACTTGTGGTATCAAGCTATCTGCACTGTTGTGGACGCGACGCAGGTTTAGGAGGAATCGAGATATGAGTATTGAGGAGAACCTAGGAGCGGCTCATCATCTCGTCTGTCGGCTGCTGGAAAGAATCGAGGACTTACGATAACCGCAGTGGCGACACATAGGTACCGTCAGACTAACGGTGAATACGTTGACATTGACATTGCAAACTCGAACTTCATCTTGGCTTACGTACCTCTGGGTCCGTGTAACCGTACTCGACAGAAAGTTCCAGTATATTCACGATTAGAAGTGCTCTGATCAATCGTTTAATGACCAATGTCCTAGAGTCTAGCTGATTCTATTGTTGAACTTGCTTACACGAAGTAGAGCGTGCCTATACACATCGGGAATCAGCATAAATACTAACGCACACGGCATGTGGGCTTTTCACCCACCATCTCGCAGCAACAATTGTACTAATTTTGCCTTTGTGCCAAAGCGACGGGCTTCTCTGGCGAGTTTAAAAGTACTGGCCCATGTGACAAGAAGAGCGACGAGATCAGCCAGCACTGAACAGATACATACGGCCATAATGACTGCAAGAACTGAATTAGTAATGTACGTCAGGAAACGCGCGAGAAACTCTACGTCTGTGCCAGTTTTATCAGCGGTAAGATCACGTAGGTGATTTTCAATGCATACTTTTGCTGCGTCTCTGGAGGAATCGGTGTGTGCCCCACACATGCGGCAAGACCATCTAAGGCTCTTACAGACGCTTCTGACGTCGTCGATAAGACATACTACCACTCGAGTTAGTCGTGCCACGGTAAGCCATGGAGCCACTGATTACTCACAATGATAATACCTGTCTGGGCGATGCTCAAGAGAAAGACCAGCGAGGCGAGTACCCAATTATGGATGCTGATAGCGTATACACGCAAAGCAGAAAATACTCCAGCATGAATTAGCGTCCATCCAAGAAGGCGATTCGAAAGAACAACTTACTTGATATGACCACTACCGTCGCCAACACTACGGCATCTTCCAGTATCGCGATAAGTTCACAGCTAGCAGCTTGGTCATGACACAATGAAAGTAATAAATAGACACGGCGAACCTCTAAAGTCCTGAATGATCTGGTCTATGTTGCTCAACGATAGATTGGCTCACCGCTTGAGTGTCCCATGACAGGACGTGCAGAACATAGGTGAACCCGAGTATGACGAGTAGAGAACGATTACACATGAAGACTATAGTAGCAGTAGTCCATTTGCTTGTCCAGACCAGATTGACTTCGTCGGAAAAGGTTATCCAATGTTCGTAGAATATCAAAGCTGCACGTAGAAAGGTGCTTATGAGTCACAATATCGAAAGGACACATTCCTTGCGCTTACTAGCAGCAGCGGTATAGCAACACTTGTTGGCAATTCTGCAAATTCTCGAGGTTATTGTTCAGTTAATAGAATGATGGAAGTTATGAACACGTACGCCTCCTGCGTGGTGGAAGTCACTTCTTTTACCAAGATAACGACTGGCATTCCTGAACGGCTAGCCACGAGAAAGTACCTACCAGTGGACGGTCATCACATAGAAGTGGTCATAGCAGAGTTGCAAACCGTTGTGACGATATTTACGTTAGTATGAGCTCGGCTACCTCCCGTGAGAAGAGAAGCGACGTATACAGGGAAGGTGTCACTGTTCAGTACGTGGCTGAAGACCTCATTGGTACATCCAGAAGTAGGAGGATCACAGGTACCAATTCCACGCTCCTCTAGCAGTGTGCTATTCGCGAGGCCATAGGAGATTAGGTGAGGACATGCAAAGCTTAGAATAATCGTCATTCTCACCCATGGGAGATTATTTCAGGTTAGGTGACAGCAGTTTGACAGTCGGAGGGAACTCCATTCGGATTGAACTAGTTGCAATAGCCGAACGATCAGTATATAGTAGCTCTCGGCGCGGACCTTCCGGCGTGTAATCGTGTAGAAAGAGGTGACACCTAAGACTGTCAGGAAACAGGATACAACCCAAGGTGCCCTGAAGTTTCTGTATCAGCGAAACAGGCCTAGCGATGTTAGCAGTGACTGATCTTCTGGGCAGTAACAGATCCAAGTTGAGGGCGCGTAGGACCAAATAAAGATAGAAATAATACCACCATCTTTCGGGAACGGTTATGGCCCTCCAATTTTCCAGAAGAGTTTCCGGTTCACTATGCGACAGGTCAGATAGAGTCGGCCCGGAGAGGCTGAGACGCCCGTTACGACTGGGGCCACAACATGGAGATCACGCGGTCAGCGCTAAACTGTGCACTCTTCTTTGGCGTTCGCTAAAGACACCCATTTTCCTAATCCCCTTAGTAGTAGAGCTTTCCTGGGCCTGCTCTATTGTCCTGAGAATCGATCATCCACTTGTGGGGAATCGTCTGATTTTTCCGGTGTCAGACCTCTCTTCATTCTGGGTGTCCTTCGAGTCCTGGTCCATTTGCATCATCATTTGTACTCTGCATTTCAGATTTCCAATCATACTTGCTTCAACATTCTCCAGTGCTCGACTCCGCTCGATTGTCAGATACTCTTTTGCATCTCTTGATAATGATTGAGAGCGCAGACTGCAATACAACTTGCGATCGGCTCAGGAACGACATCGGGCACAATGCAAGTTCACGGTTCTGCAGTGCTCGCAACCACAGCTAGAGCGCAATCAGAATGTCTTTAATGACTACACTCACAGCCCGAACAGCCTCATTATGAACCCTGCTGTCCCCCCGCACTCCTTACAGGGACCTGCATTTCTATGAGACTGCCCCGTTCTCTGTCGCGATCTCCCGCATCTCTCGTTTGTTGCCGGCCATAATCATCGCTTTCAGCGGATGGCTCGAAGTCTAGGTCGGTACCCAGGATGTCTATAAGCCTGGATCCGAAGCTGGCCATACTGAGGCCACCAATTGAGCTCAGGTGAATATCAACTTGTGGTATCAAGCTATCTGCACTGTTGTGGACGCGACGCAGGTTTAGGAGGAATCGAGATATGAGTATTGAGGAGAACCTAGGAGCGGCTCATCATCTCGTCTGTCGGTTGTTGGGAAGAATCGAATACTTACGATAATCGCAATGGCGACACATAGGTACCGTCGGACTAAAGGTGAATACGTTGACATTGACATTGCAAACTCGAACTTCATCTTAGCTTACGTACCTGTGGGTCCGTGTAACTGTACTCGACAGATAGTTCCAGTATATCGACGGTTAGAAGTGCTCTGATCACTCGTTCATTGACCAATGTCCTAGAGTCTAGCTGATTCTATTGTTAAATTTGCTTACACGAAGTAGAGCGTGCCTATACACATCGGGCATCAGCATAAATAGTAAGGCACAGTGTGTGGGCTTTTCACCCACCATCTCGCAGCAATAGTTGTACTAATTCTGCTCTTGTTCCATTGTGACGGGCTTCTCTTGCGAGTTGAAAAGTACTGGCCCATGTGACAAGAAGAGCGACGAGATCAGCCAGCACTGCACAGATACATAAGGTCATAACGACTGCAAGAACTGAATTAGTGATGTAGGTCAGGGAACGCGCGGGAAACTCTACGTCTGTGCCAGTTTTATCAGCGGTAAGATCACGTAGGTGATTTTCAATGCATACTTTTGCTGCGTCTCTGGAGGAATTGGTGTGTGCCCCACACATGCGGCAAGACCATCTAAGGCTCCTACAAGCGTTCGTGACGTCGTCGATAAAATATACTGATACTGGATTAGTCATTGCACGGGTGAGTCATACAGCCACCAATCACTCACAATCATAACACCTGTCGGGGCGACGCTCAAGAGAAAGACCAGCAGGGTAGGCACCCACTTATGAATGCTGATAGCGTATACACGCAAAGCAGAAAATACTCCACTATGGATTAGCGTCCATCCAAGAAGGCGATTCGGAAGAACAACTTACTTGATATGACGCTACCGTTGCTACCACTACAGCATCTTGCAGTATCGCAGCAGTTTCACAGCTAGAAACTTGGTCATGATACAATCAAAGCGATTACTAGACACGGCGAACCTCTAAAGTCCTGAATGATCTGGTCTATGTTGCTCAACGATAGATTGGCTCACCGCTTGAGTGTCCCACGGCAGGACATTTAGTATGAAGGTGGCCCCGAGCATGACGAGGAGAGAACGATTACACATGAAGACCACAGTAACAGTAGTCCATTTGCTCGTCCAGACCAGATCGATTTCGTCGGAAAAGGTCGTCAAATGTTCATAGAATATCAAAGCTGCACGTAGAAACGTGCTTGTGAGTAATATCGAAAGGACACATGCCTTGCGCTTACTAGCAGCAGCGATGTAGCAACAATTGCTAGCAATTCTGCAGGATCTCGAAGTTATTGTTCAGTTGTTGATGGAAAGCATGAACACGTACGCCTCCTCTGTGATGGAAGTCGCTTCTTTTACCAACATAACGACTGACATTCCTGAATAGGTAGCCACGAGAAAGTATCGAGTCAGTGGACGGTCGTCAGATAGAAGTGGTCGTAGCAGAGTTGCAAACGTTGCGCCGGTGTTTACGTGAGTATGTGCTCGGCTACCTACCGTGAGAAGTGAAGCGACGTATATGCGGTAGAGTGTCACCATACATGGCTGGAGACTTCAATGGTAGACCCAGCAGTAGAAGGATCATAAGTATCAATCCCGCGCTCCTCTAGCAGTGTACCATTCGCGAGGCCATAGTTGATTAGACAAGGACATCCAAAGCTTACAATAATCTTCATATTCACCCATGGGAGACTATTTCAAGCTAGTGACAGCAGTTTGACAGTCGGAGGGAACTGTATTCGGATTGAATTAGTTGCAATAGCCGAACGATCAATATACAGTAGCTCTCGGCGTAGACCTTCCGACGTGTACTCAGTATAGAGAGAGGTGACACCTGAAATTTGAAACGTCAGGAGATGCAAAAAATACAAGCCGAGGTGCCCTGAAGTTCCTGGATCAGCAAAATAGGCCTAGCGATGGGAGCAGTGATTGATGTTCTGTGCAGTAGCAGACCCAAGTTGAGGACGCGTGGGATAAAATAAACATCACCATTTATGCAGGAACCATGCTGGCCATTCACTTGCAGAGAAGAATTCCCAGTGCACTATGCGACAGACTCGGAGGATCAGGCCACTCGCACATTGAATCCGAGACGCCCGTTACAACTGGGCCACAAAATGAAGATCACGTGGTCAGCGCGGAAAAAACTACGCGCTCAGATTTTGGCGTTCGCTAAAAGGTCCCCTTAGTAGTACAGCCTGCTCTGGCCTGCTCTATTGTCCTGAGAATCGCTCATCCGCTTGTAGGGAATCAAATAATTATCCTGGCATCAGATCTTTCGTCATTCCGGGTGTCTATCGAGTCCTGGTCTGTTTGCATCTTCATTTGTACTCTGCATTTCAATCCTACTTGCTTCACTCTCCTGTGCTTGACTTCATTCATCGCTCTTCTCCCGGGGCACAAGTACAACTTGGTCCCAGAAGCTCGTAATCTTCAGGACCGATGCGCAAGCAACTCGATCCTCGTCTTCCGATATTGATCAATAACAATGTCAAGACGAACCACCGCTCCTTCATAGTCCTAGTTGGTGACAAGGGCAGGGATCAGGTATGTCACTGACTAACTCATCAATTTGGAATGCTGAAACGAGCATCCCAGATTGTGAACCTACATTTTCTACTCTCCCAAGCTCGTGTGTCTGCGAGACCGTCAGTACTGTGGTGTTATAAGAAGGATCTCGGCTTTACGAGGTATGTATCAACGATTCAGAAGACTCATGCTGCATTTTGACGTCGCTGACAGTCATCGGAAGAAACGCGAGGCCAAAATCAAGCGGGAGGTGAAGCGTGGATTCCGTGAGCCGAATGAGCAGGATCCATTTGAGATCTTCATTACCGTAACCGACATTCGCTATACGTGCGTTTTTCCTCCATACGAAGTGTGTCTCCTTGCCGAGAGTAATATCTAGGTACTATAAAGAATCGCACAAGATACTTGGTCACACGTATGGAATGTGCGTGCTACAAGACTTCGAAGCTATTACTCCTAACCTACTTGCGCGCACGCTCGAGACGGTGGAAGGTGGAGGATTGGTTGTCATTTTATTGAAAACCATGAGTTCTCTGCGACAATTATATACGATGACCATGGTGAGCCTCCCGTTTATGGTGCCTGCATGCTCATTTCTCATTAGCATGAACCAGGATGTGCATGCTCGATACCGTACCTCCGCACATGATACCGTCGTCGCGCGCTTCAACGAACGCTTCATCCTCTCCCTCGGCTCCTGCGACGACTGCCTTGTGCTCGACGACGAGCTCAACGTTCTTCCCATATCCCGTGCCAAGGACATCAAGCCGATCACTGAGGAGCGCGGCTTGGGGAAGGCTGAATCTGAGCTGAAGGAACTCCAGGACAGTTTATCCGACACGAAGCCTGTCGGCGAGCTCGTCAAGCTTGCCAAGACGCTTGATCAGGCGCAAGCAATCCTCACGTTCATCGATGCCATTGCAGAAAAGACACTATCATCAACAGTCACTTTGACAGCGGCGAGGGGACGAGGGAAGTCGGCGGCGTTGGGCCTCGCGATCGCCGCCGCGCTAGCGCATGGATACTCAAATATATTCGTCACGAGTCCAAGCCCGGAGAACTTGAAGACCTTGTTTGAATTCGTATTCAAGGGTATGGATGCACTTGGATACGAAGAGCACCTCGATTACGATATCGCACAAAGCACGAACCCGGACTTCAACAAGGCCATCGTCCGGGTGAATGTCTTCCGTCAGCATCGGCAGACCATCCAGGTGGAGCTTGTCCTTTCATTCTCGCGAGCACATCTGACGCATGTCCCCAGTACATTCAACCACAAGATGCTCATGTCCTGGGCCAGGCGGAGCTCGTCATCATCGACGAGGCCGCCGCGATACCCCTTCCCCTCGTGCGCAACCTCATCGGGCCCTACCTCGTCTTCATGGCCTCCACCATCAACGGCTACGAAGGCACGGGCCGCTCGCTTTCAATCAAACTAATCCAGCAACTCCGCGAGAGCACCCGTCCATCGCTCACAAAAGACGCCGTCGCGTCGGAAGAGGCCGCCGTCGCTTCCTCGTCCTCAAAGAAGCCTGTCGCCAAGGCACCGCCGAAAGCACGCACACTGCGCGAGATCAAGCTGGAGACCCCTATCCGGTACTCCGCGGGTGACAAGGTGGAGAGGTGGCTCAACAGCTTACTGTGTCTCGACGCGGCAATCGTACCGAAATCGATCATGCACAATACGCCGCATCCGTCGCAGTGCGAGTTGTTCTACGTGTCGAGAGATACACTGTTCAGCTACCACCCTGCATCTGAGGTTTTCTTGCAGCGCATGATGGCGCTGTATGTCGCTAGCCACTACAAAAACCAGCCGAATGACCTGCAGCTACTGTCAGACGCCCCTGCACATCATCTCTTTGTGCTTCTGCCACCGATTAAGGATGATGAGAGCCATCTGCCGGAGCCTCTCGTTGTGCTGCAGGTCGCGCTAGAAGGAAATATTAGCAGACAAGCCATCATGGACGGGCTGAACCGTGGCTTCAGAGCTGGTGGGGATATGATTCCTTGGCTGATTTCGCAGCAGTTCCAAGAAAGCAAGTTTGCTCTGCTCTCCGGTGCACGTGTTGTTCGCATTGCGACCCATCCAGACTATACGAATGTGAGTTCATTTCGCGCATCTATCTGACGTCTCCATGTTCAGATTTGCAACAGATGGGCTACGGTGCGCGTGCACTGCAAGCGCTGAACTCTTTCTATAGTGGAGAGTACTTCAATCTGGACGAGGACAACCGACCTCAGCCGTCATATCCGGATCCGGCTGCCATTGACGAAGTATGGAAATGATCTCACAAAATCAGTCACGTTTCTGACGATTTTCTGTGTATAGGGGACCACACTTCTTAATGATAAACCGACCATTCGCTCTGCGACAGCAATGCCCCCGTTGCTCCAACGGCTCACGGAGCGAAAACCGGAGACGCTTGACTATCTGGGTGTTTCGTATGGCTTGACGCCCCTGCTCCTCAGGTAAGCTTTTGTTGCATTTACGTGCATGTGAGAGGCTTCAATGCTATGATAGGTTCTGGAAACGGGCCGGTTACATTCCCTTGTACCTCCGACAAACCACGAGCGAGCTAACCGGAGAGCATACATGCGTCATGGTTCGCGGCCTGAACACAGCCACCGATGCCGAGCTGGAGTGGCTAGGAGAGTTCGCGAAGGGTACGTCGGTAGCTCATGAGTGGTCGAGTCCGTTGACGCAGGTGTACGCTCAGATTTCCGGAGACGACTCCTGTCACTGTTGTCTTTCAAGTTCCGAGAGTTCGGCAGCGTGACAGCGCTCAGCATACTCGAGGCAGCGAATAAAGGCGTGAAGAAACTGCCCGCAGACCGATTCAAGGGTGCGTTTCTCGCCTCTCTTCGTTGACTCACGCTCTGACCCTATGTCTGCAGAGCTCGACAACTCCGAGTTGTCGCTCCTTCTCTCTCCATTTGACCTAAAGCGCTTGGAGTCGTATGCCAACAATATGTTGGACTATCACGTCATTCTGGACTTACTACCCACCGTCGCCACTGTGTTCTTTGAGAAACGATTTGGCGATGAGGTCCACCTGAGTGCCTTGCAAAGCTCGATTTTGCTCGCTCTTGGCCTTCAGCGGAAGACCGTCGAAGAAGTCGAGGTATGCTTCCCATTGTCATCTTCCTCAATACTATGCACTCATGGCTTGCTTATCTAGGCGGAATTGCAGATTCCGGTCTCCCAAATCCTCGCCCTCTTTGTGAAGGTGGTCAAGAAGATGAGCAAGCGGCTGCTCGACATCCAAAAGTCAGCCATCAGTGCCGAGATGCCTGAGGAGCCTGCGGCCTCTCGCTTGGATGGCACAGAGAACGGGACCAACTGGAAGCCCGTAGAGACAAGTTTGGAAGATGAGCTGAAGGACGCGGGTAACGAGGTCACGGAGGCGCTGAGGGAGAAGCAGCGGGCTATGATCGACTCGCTGGACCTGAGCAAGTAAGTGACCCCGTGGTATCTGCCGCTGTGCATACGAGGCGATTCGATACTGATAGGATGTCAATTGTGAACTAGATACGCCATTGACGACAGCTCGGCGAGCTGGAGTGTGGCCGAGGCGCAGGTGGCGAAGCTGGCCAGCGGCGTCGGCGCGGCGAAGTCGACGGTAGTGAGTGTCAAGGCTACTGTTGTGGGCCAGAAGAGGAAGGAGGATGTGATGGTGAAGGAGAATGGAGGGGAGAAGGAGAAAAGGGCGAAGAAGCGCTCGAAGACGTCGAAGCGGTGAACCACGATACATACTCGCATTTCTTCGGAGGTTCTCTCCTAAGCTCTCGGATTGTGTTACCCATGCTTGTTTGCGTATTAGAGGTAGTGATGGAGGCATTCATTGAGCACTGTCAGTCCGAATCCTTAACTTGACGAAGTATGATTCGATCAGCGTCCTGGATGCAGCGAGAACGCTCATTGCCGGTATGTCAAGGTCGGTCATGTAGATTATCGAAGACTTGTTTTCGCCAAGATAAAGATTTACAGAGATAAAAATTTACGAAGGATCACCCACTGCGAGTTGGCAGGTACAGGGTTTTTCTTGTTAGCTGCCGCTCAGACATCGCACTCCATCAAGTGCATGACTCGTCTGGACGATCATGGATTCTATGCCTCTGAAACCGAGTGACTTGCGATAGGCAATCTGGAGAGCCATCCCGGCCAAAGTCTCTCAATCGCGGTGAAATGGTCTATGCTCACCCGACTTTTCTTGGATCATGTCCTCTGTGGTCGTTCTTACTCGACATTAGCATTCCAGCTGTGCATCCTGGTGTGTCCACGATGCCGTGTGTTGTCGTTCTGCGAGTGTACTCTTGCGCCTCATCCGCTGCACCCGACGTTAGTACGGCCACCCTGTTCGAACCCGGTGACCGTGCTACCGATTTGGTCGTGCGCTCGCCGACGCATCCATCCATTACCCCTTATCGTACGACCGCTCGAGATGATAGCGGGTATACACTGTGGTCCAGCATGCGGGCGCAGGCGGGCACGGGCGTCAAGTGTTATCATCACCTGCTCCTGACCCGACAGCAGCCTGTTTGTTTCCGTACAGCCCAACCGTGTGCGTATATAAGTGTGCTGCCAGCGAACGTCCCACCTATACAGCCATGTCCCAGGACGCAGTCCTCACCCAGATCCTCGTGCAGCTCGAGGCCCTCCAGGTCTCCCAGCAGACAACACAGGCCAAGGTGTGTTGGCATTCGCGGTAATCAACAATCAACACAGAACTGATGCGTTGACAATAGCTCGATGCGCTCACGAATACTGCCAGCCCGCTCTCGTCTCCTAGGAGCAACGGCGTGCCCCTTGCCGACAGTCATGCTGACCCTTCGCTGTCTGGTGTAGTCTCTACTGCGCTATCTACCTCTTTGACCGGAGCGCCGGCTCCCCCTTTACCCAGCGCGAACGGACATGCCTCGGAGAAAGACAAAGGAATAAGCGACAAGGATAGGGAGAGGGTGCTCTACCCCGGCAGGGTCCTGCTCACCAGTAAGTCGGTCATTAACACTAGAGTCGCGTCCCAGATGCCTTATTTCCACACCAGCCTACCCTGACCAGTCCGGAATCAAGCCATACCCGCTCGTTTGGGGCGCAGCTGACCCCTCTGTGCGTGGGCCGGTAATCTGCTCGCGCCTGCCTTCGAGCATCAAGCAGCGCAACGCGATCGGTGCGCACTCGGGCTCGTACTCGATCTACCGTGCGCTCGCGATCGCGATGGGCACGCTTGATCCCTCGCACAAGCCCGATTACTCCAAGACGGAACCAGCAGTGCCCATCCCGCCGCAGCCCGCGTGGTCCGACCCGACCAAGATCGTCTCGTTCGACCCGTGGGGGCACGTCGTGCCGCATGTGTTCCGGCATGAGATTGAAGACCTCGGCTTGGACGTGCGCCCGAGCATCGCCGTGACTAAGGGCCATCTGAAACTGAGTGAAATCGACGAGGTGGCGCGCAAAGGCGGCCTGAAGGTGGATGGAAAGATCCTGCTAAAGAGCAGTCCGCTGCTCAATCCCGACGGTACGGAGAGCACTGCTGACCCTGGTGTGGAGATTGCCATCAACAAGGCGGCAGTGGAGCCTGTCTGGTATCTGCCTGGTGTGGCAGCGCGGTTCGGCATGTGAGTGTCCTTACGAGTGGCCTTTCATATATCAGACTAATGTTCTGCCAGCTCCGAGAGTCTGCTGCGTCGGGCGCTTTTTGAGGACACTGGAGGAATGTACCCTGAGCTCATTACTCGCCCGGACATCAAAGTTTTCCTCCCTCCCATTGGTAACCTGACAGCGTATATTTGTGTGTTCATATTTCCTTCTCGCTGCGTACGTAGCTGATATTGTGTGAAGTCGGAAACCCTGCCTATCTCTCCGATGAGACGAAGGAGCTGACTGTGCGTGTGCACGATGAATGTGAGCTCGTAAACATGTTTCAGCATTGTGCGATTGCTGACATCAGGAAGGTAATGGCTCCGACGTCTTCGGCTCCGACATCTGTACCTGCAAGCCCTACTTGACGTATGCAATTGAGGAGTGCGTCCGTGGCGCTCAGCGCGGCGGCGTAGGCCTTGTCGTGTACTTCCGCAAGGAGGGCCGTGCTCTTGGTGAAGTCACCAAGTGAGTATTATGGTTTCCGCGCGGAGTGAGACGTGCTGATTGCGTTCGCGCAGATATTTGGTGTACAACCTGCGCAAGCGTGGCGGCGATTCCGCCGACAAATACTTCAAAGCGACGGAGCTCGTTGCTGGCGTGAAGGACATGCGCTTCCAGGCGCTGATGCCCGACGTTCTGCATTGGCTCGGGATCAAGAAGATCGACAATATGGTCTCGATGAGCGACATGTACGTAGCAAAATCCGCATCGTTGCATCGCATTCAATGCTCACTGTAACATATCGCAGGAAATACAACGCTATCGTGCAGTCCGGTATCCCAATCCTCAAGCGGTATGATATTCCAGGTACGTGCTAGCCAGGAACGCGTGGTTTTGTCTATCACAGCGATGCTTATCCGGTGATTTAACTATCGCAGAGTATCTCCTTCCGCCCGACGCACGCGTCGAGATCGACGCCAAGATCGCGTCCGGGTACTTCACGAGCGGAAAGCCGATCACGGAGGCGGACCTCGTTAAGACCATTGGGAGGACTTGGGAGGAGACGGAACATTGATGGCCACCAGGTTCATGTCCTAGACGTTCTACTCAGTGCGAACAAGGTTGTCGATGAAAAAGAGAAGAGCAGAACCCATGTAATGTGTCATGCTGTATATTCTAGAAGTACACATAATCCGTGTGCGCATTCCTACGTGTGGATATCTCCTGGTTGATAGATATCAGCTTGAGCGATGAGCATCGTAAGGTATCTCCAGGATATCTCGCGTGCACCGTCCAGTTACCAGTCATACTCGGGCACATTGCCCCATCCCTCATCCTCCTCTTCCGCATCCTCTTCCTCTTCCTCCTCGTCCACCGGGAGCACGTGCAGCTTCTTGATAGCCTTCTCAGCAGCCGCGAAACGCGCTTCTATCTCACTTGCTTTGCTATGGTACTTCCGTGTCTCCGTCACGATCTCCTCTCCGTCTATCACTACGGTGCAGCTGACGTTTCCGCCGGTCTTCTGAATGTCCAGCTCGAGTTCGTGGTCAATCTCCTGCGTGTGGACCCATATCGCCAGGCGAGAGACGGGGTGCAGGACGTCGACCTCGTCTTGGACAATCCGCTCCATCAGGTCGATGAAGCCCAATGTCCTGAGTACGCCACGGACAGCATCCAGATTGCCCATCGAGTCGATGAATACGGCGCCGAGCAGGCTCTCTACCATGTCACTAAAGAATTTCGGCGCCTGGAGGCTCGTGAGCGCAGCCCAAGGGTATATCATCCCCGTCTTGAGCGCCTCATGAATCGCCGAGCTAGCCTTTTCAAATCGAGTAGTTGCGACCTCCTGGTCTCTCAAGATTTGGTTGCTCGAGTGGAGCAGACAGCGCCATAAGCCGATCTCATGTTGCTGAGATGCGACCGACACACCAGCGCTTGGCGTCCAGGACGGCATCTCAGAGCTAATGGCAGTGTGCGTCTTGAGGCAGAAATATGCGAGGAGATGCTGATTCACGAGGGACTCCTTGTACAGGTGCATATAGCCTGGTTTGAACTTCTTACCGGGGGCGTGGTAGAGGTAGTCTGTCACGATCATATCTAGGGTGCAGTCACCCAAGAACTCTAGGCGTTCGTATGACATCGTTTCGAGCTCGCCAGCATAGCTTGCGTGCGTGAGCGCCTGTATGAGGAGCGCCTTTCGAGTGAACGTGTAGCCTAGCATCTCTTCCACGAGTGCGAGCTGCGGAGGCGGGTTATCGATGTGCTCTACCGTTTGCAGAATGGCATCGATGTGCTCGGGGATCTTCTTCCAGGTAAGGCCCAAGCCGAAGACTACAACACAATCCACAGCCAGATCGAATCCATCATGCTCGTATGCTGCTCCTAGTAATGCCTCGACAACGTCCGCCAACACCTTGGTGGACAGCTCCTGCGTCTTCTTTCGCTTCTTCGTCTCGTTGGCTGCAGGAACGGCGATTTCATCCGTAATTTGTTCTTCTTCGACGACAAAAACTTCCTCATCGTCCAGATACCAAGGCCGCCATTTCTTTGGGGAGAACCGGTCTCGGATGACCCAATTATAGAGCTTTTTGGAAATAGCAGCTTTGGCCAACTGGACATTTGAGACAGCATGATCCTTCCTCCTGGCAAGGTAGCCTTCGTGCCAAATGGGATGATCTGCGAACAGCTGTATGCTCACAACATACTTCAACACGCAATCTCCCAATGTTTCGAGGCGCTGGTAATGTTCCCGCACTTCGGAGACTGGGGCAGTGAGAGCGGTCTTGAGAAGGGAGAGAGAAGTACGATAGGCGGGACTGCCAACCAGTAGGTTCTCCCGGAATGAAGAGACGGTGAGAGATCTGGCCAGCAGCCTCAGAACGGATGGCATCAGCAGCGCGTATTGGAAGTCATCATGGGACAGCAGGTCTACGATTGCAAGCTCGGGAAGAAGGTACTCCGGTTCATCACGTGAAAGACCTTGCGTCTCCGTGTCTAGAGGCTGGGTAAAATCAGTTCGACGCGGCAATGGCATCGCTTGCAATACGGGATATTTGATGCCTCCATCGACATAGCCTTCGTATCGCTCCAGTATCTCCTTGACCTCGTTAGCTCCGAGCGGACCATGACACCAACGAAGAAAGCGCATGGGCTTGTCTACTTTCTGGTTGGATCGCACCAGGCCCACATCGTCAGGATATCCGAATCGCTGTCCGAATACTCCAGCGTTGACTCGGTCAAGGGTCTCTAGTCTCCGCACTTCCGAGCTGTCCATGCGCTTCAGCATCCATGCCCGCCTTTCTTCCCAGGCGGGTTCGTGCTTGCCGGTTTTCTGAGGAAGGAAAAGGTATGCAAACGAAGTGTTGTCAGGTTTCATGCGTCCATGATGGCGGCATGCAAAGATTCGGCGCGTGAAAATACGAGCGCGCTCGAGATACTCCTCATCATGCATGAAATCGCCGAGCGGGTGCAAATGGATTGGCACCGCACCCATACCAGGAACATACACTGCGAGATTGTCGTTCAGCTCTGAAATGGCGTTTTTTGTAAGCATGTGTAGGGGCGGCAGGCCTTCAATGACGAGTTCAGTGCGCCACCATTTCTCGCCTTCACGTGTCGGTGCCCATGGATTCATTTGAAGTGGTACCTTCTCCAAGCCCGCTCGCTTCTCGATTTCCTTGATCAATAATTTCACTTCTTCCCCGTGGTCAGGTTCAATAGCGCTTGTTAGCGGCAGAAGGTTGTCATTTACGAGACCAGCTTGGTGTAACGCGACATATGCTTTGAATGCCGCGTGTCGTTGAGCAGATCGCTTCGTCTTATGCACTCGATCAGTGGAATAGACACGGAATCTGGAAATTTATTGAATATCGAATTGCTGGGCCATTCATCACAGAAATATGGTACATACTCTTTTGGCATTGAACGGGGTAATGTGACAGTAGCTCCCCAAGGGCCTTCATAAGGGGGCATTCCCCTTGCCCGATCCTGTTGGGAATGCCAATCCTCGGGATAGTCAGGAGGGTCGAGATCATAGACGGCGTATTGACCACTATAAGAAGCATTGGGCAGTACGGAGCAGAAATGATTGAGGTGACTGGTGACGGAATCCAGCGTTAACGTGGCACTGGAGATATGATTGACTAGTTCAGCGTCGTGGTAACGTTACACCATTCGAAGACGTACCCGGTAGACGCGACTGTATATTTCAGATCACCGTCCTCTTCATCCTCCTCCTCGTCTTGTCTAGCAACTCTGCTTGGGTCGGTGTACAGGGCCATCATACGCCTTTCTGCGTCCTCCCATTGAAGGATTTGCTTTTGATGACTGCTGTCATCCTGGAACATGAGGATGAAGCTGCTTCGTCGGCGACGTGCTCGTCCTCTGCTCTGCGCCCAGGCGACGACGTTGTTAGGAAGATCAAAGCGTATCACGCTGCCGCAGGCCTGGATATCAAGCCCCTCTTCTGCGACAGCGGTAGCGATGATCAAATTCTTCTCCCCGCTCCTCAGTTCGCTGAGCGTTTGCTTGTGAGTTTCTCGAACCATCTCACGAGTGATGTCGAGGAATGAGTGACGGCGCGTACTAGCTGAGCTTCCAAGCAGGCAGCCAACACGGAAGAGCTGCGCTGTTTCCGGCAACCGCTCGAGCAACTCAGCCAATGCAATGACTGCATCCCTGCGAGTTACGAAGACAAGGCCGCTGTATAATTCTTCTTCGGACCGAAAATCTGCTTCCTCAGCGACCAGGGTATTGACCAGAGCCCACACTTTCAGTGACGCGCGAATATCAGAAGGGTGATAGGATACTGGAGTAAGCTGAACGCGAGACAGAACCTCCAGTAGATATTTCTTCTCGCTCTCTTTCCAGCTGGTCATGATGTTATTGTACGGATTGGCAGCACGTTGAGCCTGCTCTATCACCTTGATGACATACCAATCAGCCGCCCATTCACCGAGGTCCATGCATATCTCCGCTGCTGTCCTAGCGAAATCCTTGAGGCCTCGATGTGTGAAGGTATCCTGCTTGTGGATGGTTTTGGACAATGTCTGATCAACACGTCTGCGCTCATCGCCCGGCTGAAGCCTGTTTAGCTGTGCCCGAAGAGTCCGCACGTAAGGATCATTCTCGATGTTCATCGAGTCCACCACAGCTTGTAGAGCATGACAGTTGCGAGAAGGAATCGATTCGTAATCATACTCCGGTGCCGCATATAGGACGTGTTTGAAGACCGGTCGGTGGACATGTTGTGCAAGTTCGTCGCGGTTCATGCGCGAAGAGCGGATTGTGCAGTCAAGATTCCGTTCCAAAGCCCTAAATTGTTAGCGTGAGTGAAATGCTTATATCAGAAACCCGTGACGCACTCGAAAGAAAGCTCGACGTTGCCTCCGTATATGGGACTGGCGGTAAGACCTAAGATCGCGGGGCGTACCCGGTCGGCTGAAGTTACGCTAGAAAACCGACGTGGCAGAGCGAGATAGAACTGTTGCATTATCATGTTGTATGGGTGTTTGGCTGTCGCATGATGAGCTTCGTCAAACACCATCAGAGCAATGTCTCTTCCGAGGTCGATGTAACCCTAAAAGTTGAGAGTCCTTGAATGGCTGCTTGTAGGGAAGACCCTTGTGTCAGGATACTCACATGAAGCAGAGCGTCTAGCAGGACTTGAGGGGTTGACACTATGATTCGATGCGTGGCTAGAAGCGTCTGCCATAAAACCGCATCCTTCCACTGATTCGGCTCCGATGCGCCAGATATCATGCCGACAGCGACAGGTATAGCTTCATCTATGACAGTGTATTGTTGCTCGACCAGAGCCACCGTCGGCGCCAAGAACCACGATACCTGTAATCCTGAGTAATCATGCAAAATTGATACAAAGACACCATCCCTACCCTGCTGGCTTGACGTTCTGTCTCTAATTTCATCCGGAGCACGGCGATGTGGGTCTTGCCAGACCCTGTATCGAGCGCGATGATGATGTTTTCACGCAAGCTCTCTTCCAATAACTCTTGCTGATACCCTCTTGTGCGCATCACCGGAGAAGTTCGCGCTGTTCGCCCTGCATCCCCCATGATGCTGTACTTCCCTTTCTGATGGAACAACGCTATGTCAACATCGCCGAGGGAGCCACGACCAGCGCGAGATGAGACATGAGATCATCAAACTGCAATTCGATAGAACGAATTGATTTAGATGGTCTCGATCTCTATCGCGCTCCCCAGTGGAGGTAAGTTCTCCAAGCGATTCGCGGGAAAATGCCAATCGTACAAACAGTCTGACTCACCGTATTGCCTCGGTATGCCGGCCTAGCTAAGCTGGAGTGGAAAGCAACTCGTCTCCCGTGGACAAGTGAATCAATACCTTCGGACCTCCGCAAGATTCGGAATAAGAGCAGCCTGACTGCGTCGTTGGACGAACGATTCTGGTGGTGTAGGAGAAGAGCTACAAAGCTCAAAGATAAGGCCCTATATACTGTGTCCCACGCAAAACATCAGATAGACGCCTCTCTGCGGTCACGAAGCTTTCCTAAACTCTCTGACATTCTCCGGAAAGTTTGAGAAATCAGGCAGATGGTGCTCATGTGAGAAATGCTGCCTCAGATCGACCTGGACCACACTGAAGTAGCATCAAAAGACACCCATTGCTCCACTCAAGATGATTTCACTCATACAAACTTGTATGAATGAGTTCATTTCATAGAATATAAGTCACCGTTTTGATAGGCATTAATGGGGTAGTGGTAACCTGGGTCGTTGCCATCCTATCTCGACCCGCCGGGGGTTCGATTCCCCCTTAATGCATTGGTAGCTTTTTACTTTGCATAAATCACGTAATCTCAGGCTCCGTCTCAAACTCTGCAAATGTGACGATACGTACCGAAACCGCGTAGCTTCAATTCCATGCTGTAGCAGTGTGCACTCAGCGTCTGAACTCCTGCAAAGATGGAAAGATGGTTCAGCCACAGCAGCTTCTTGGTCTCCAGAACCCATCGCACCGAGGTCGTTTCTTGTGGAAGAGTCTTTTCAGATGTCTGAATCTATACCGTTGGCACGTGTACGGTCCCCAATATCGCGCTCGCATCACTCTCCAATGAACACACCAGCTCTCGAGTTAGAAGACTTGCCACCAAGCACTTCCCTTGACAGTATCGACGATGAGCATGTCAAGCAAATACGCCCTCTCTGGAAGCGCAATCTGTACATGCTCCTGGAACGGCCCACATCGTCTCAATCTGCATTTCTTGTGCACGTCGTCACGACTTCGCTGATAATACTCTCTGCTATCGTTACTGTTCTCGAGACGATCCCTTCGTTCCATTCCATCTCTCCAAGGATCTGGTTCGGTTTCGAGACGACCCTTGTCGTTCTTTTTACTGCGGAATATGTTGCCAGGTGCATCGCGCACTCCACGGGGCTGTGGACGTTCTTGCGTTGGTTTGGTTGTGAGTACTTAGTACGGTCTCCGTTCATGGACTCATTTTGACCGCCGCCCAGCCTTCTTTGGTATAATTGACTTGCTAGGTATATTGCCATACTACATAGAAATAGCACTACAGCAGGACACAGTAGGTTCTCAGACAGCAGGTGTTGATACGCGGCTAAACACGCGTTAGGCAACGTTTTTCAGGTTCACGATTCTGCGCACGTTCCGTCTCTTGCGGGTTTTCAGGCCATTTAGATATAATAATACCATTCTTTTGTACGTCCTCACTAGATGCAACTTCCGTGGGCTAGACAAGCTCACCGCCTTCGTGGTATCATGCAGGACCATAGAAGTCATGTACTTGTCTTTCAGACGCTCACAGCATGCATTATTAGCTCTTGGTTTCTTCGTCGGGATGGTTTTGATCGTATTTAGTACACTCTTGTGCGTGTTGCTTTCACTATCCCCACTTCGTAAGTCCGTACACTAATCTGTCGCTCACGAAGGTATTTCGCCGAACGCGGCACATGGGACGAGATGCTTGGGACGTTTATCAATTCTGACGGGGACCCCAGCCAATTTGCAGTAGGTCTTTGATTTCGACGTGTCACTATTGATGTCCTGAAGAGCCGTGAACCGTAGTCAATCCCCGCTGCTGCATGGTATGCTCATGTTTTCTGCAGGATGCCATCCTGTCTGACATCCAAACATTAGGTTTGTGCTAGTGAGTGAGTAATGTCAACCTTCGTCAGGAACATGAAGGCGAAATTGTGACCATTGTGGAAATACAGCAATCACCACTGTCGGATATGGCGAGATCACGCCTCGCTCGTTCCTCGGAAGGCTCATAACGCTACCCTTACTCGTCTTCGGCTTGTTGCTTATCGCTCTTCCGACATTTGTGTTGGGCCGTGAGTTCAGTATGGTATGGGAGATGATGAAGGAGGATCAGGTCAGCCCAACCACTATCATGCTCACATTTCTCGCTCATCCTCTGCACAGAAAATCCCTCGAGAGGAAATCTTCAACGCCCATGCAGCCGACCCTCTCGCCTCGCCCGTGCTCGTCCGCCAGCACTCTTTTACCTCCATCCAGTCAGTATGGCGGCATCCCCAAGATCAGCCGCAGGTAAGCACTGGTGCTCAGGAGAGCTCAGACCTTCGTGCGCAGATGGCGGAGCTGAAGGCGACGGTTGAGACTCAGGGTGACATGCTCCGGAGGCTGCTCGAATTGCTGGATGAGAAAGGGAAGGGAACACAACGAACTCTTCGATAACGTGCCGGTCCCTAGGAGTATTGCTTTTGTGTGTAGACCGTGTAGACCGTAACGAGCTCTGACCTTGAGATACTATTTTATAAGGGTGGCCGGCATCGTGCATGTGGAAAACCTCTCTTGGTCGAGAGCCTGAAACATATTTGGCCACCAGTTTGTCCAATTCGCTGTTCTGCGTGCTGAGAGCGATGTGATACCGGGCGTCCTCCATAGCATGATTATGGTAGACGGTTCATGGATACTCGGGAGGCGGTTGATAGGAAAAGGTGTCCACAATGCACATAAACAACGACCAGCTAAGCATGGATTGCTGAGAGAGCTGAGCCCCTCTTCTCCCCGACAGGTCGAGGTAGAATGGCAACGACGTAGGTTACCACTACCCCATCAATGCATTATACTATGTTGGGGCCTTTCTACTATACCATGAAGTTTCACCGTCAATCAGCTAAAGCGAGAGGGGAAGAATCGAGTAAATGGGCTTAGCAAAGTGTGAGGTTTGTTACTCGATCCCACCGACGTCGACACGATCTCCTCGTAGGGAACGGGCGCCTGACGCGAACACCTGCATTCTCTTGCCAGTGTAACGACGTTGCTCGACGCTGTCGTCTGATCTTCTTTAACGATGCCGCCTCGTTCTAAATCGCATGCACACAAGGCGAATCAGCCGGCTCGGCGGCATATGGAGCTCGTTCCATCCGTCAGCAGGAGTAGCGGACTCGACAAGGACGGCGATGCGTGAGTGGCTATCTCTCAAATCGATATCGTGCTCTTGATTCCGACGCTGCATAGGTCTACAGGCTGAGAGACTTTACCTTGCAAGAGGAATATCGTGAGTTCATCCAGGGGAAGGTATGCATCATCATGATTCATGAGTGTCTGTGCTACGCGATTAATCGTACATTGTATATGAATATAGGTCGACGACTTCTGGAAGCATCATCCGTACCGTTCCTCCAACAAGAATGAGAAGCGGCGGCAGAATGAGCAAGAAAACATCTTGATTCTGTTTAGTGAGTGAATGGTCTTCTCATATGTTGTCAGTCGATTTAAGGTGCCCCATATTTGTCAGGGAAGCTACGAGAAGGCCTCTTGTCAACCAACCGCAAAGACGCGTTTGCATTGGAGGGTACGTCCACTTTTTCTTTTCTTATATAAAAACTGGTTATGGATTATACTGCAGTATATGAGACGTCCCTTTACCTCTCGGTACTCTTCCGCTCCTTCAACCAAACCACCTCAATTATATCGCACCTCCTCCCGCACCTTTACATCACACCCTCTGCACCATCTCCTTCACCTCTTCAACCTCACCGTGCCCTCGGGACGGCTCTGCTGTCGCTCCTGCACTACCTCGTGCTAGGCTACCCTTCCCAAAGCCGCTACTATGAGCACCTCCATTCGCTACCTCGCTCCTTCCTCCTGCGCGACTCCGATGCATATCAATGGTTGAGCGACCTAGCGCGATGTCTATGGACCAGGGACTACACGAGGCTAGAGGCATTGACGCGTCGCGAAGCGTTCAAGCCCTTTGTCGGATCAGAGGCGGATCAGATTCCTGCACCGCAAGATGCAGCACCAAAGTCGAAGGGGGCGGAGAGAGAAATCAAGCAACGGTCGGCAAAGCAGTCCGGAGCTCCTTCAAACCTCGCGCTTGAAGCACTTTGCACGCTCATAGACTCTCTCCGAGCAAAAGCTCGCGAAACAACCTGGCGCGTGCTTCGGAGTGCCTACCGGGAGCTCCATTGTCTTCCACCCAATAGCACTTCCAAAGGACCATCGAGTACCAGCGAGTGGCTCGCACATTCCCTCACGTTGGCATCCATTTGGGATGACGATGCAATTGCTGATGATAATTACGTGGCGAAGCTGGTGGACGAGTGGCTCACTCGCAAATGTGCGGAAGGTGAAATCAGGCAGAAAGAGGGCGTAGAGGGGAGGTGGACTGTGTGCAGGATGCCAAACAAGACGTGAGAGTTTCATCGGTGTATATTACAATGATTGTACAAGGGTGTACCTAGCGGTGATATGCAGGATCTGCGTGCAACGGCAACAGAGAGCAGGGTCATTTGGGTCTCCAAGATATGTCAGTGAGTATCAGCCTTGAGCTACAGATGCTACGAACGGTCTCTTCACCAAAGCGAACTTGTCAAGGACAATTTGGACAATGTCTTTCCACTCGATCATGGCTCCCAATCCTGTAAACGTCGTAATACAATAAATATCAGATCCTTGCGTCCGATCTATTTCTTGAAAAGACGCGCCTACGTCCCCACAAGCAAGCTTTTTGCCAATCGGGCCAAGGACCTCATATCCGATTACCTCCCGCAAAATATGAATATGTTCACTAGTCAAGGGATGCTCGTACATCAGTGTGTTCATAGCGGGGAAGACGTAAGTTGGAGTGGTAGGAGCGAGTGCGCGGAGGAGTGATGTCTGGAGAACCGATGGTGGACATGTCAGCAATCACACCAGATAAGATGCACACTGTCAGAGACGTACCACCAGGTTGTCACAAATGCCATGGGCAATCTTAGCGAGTGTGTTGGCGGAGCAAGGTGCGACGAGGACGACGTCCGCCCAACGGCGCAACTCGATGTGCAGAATCGGATCGCCCATCCTGTAGCCTCCCTGGAGCCATCGCATTTGAGTCAGTCCGCCAAGATATGAAACTGAAGGCACATTCACATCCTCCGCCCACTCGTCTTGGTCTATCCAGACTCGGGCGCCAGCCTTCTCAACTGCAGCTGCGTCGAAGAAGGCGATAGAGGCTTTCGTCGATACGACTTCGACCTTCACATTCGCGTACTGCCATCAATGGCGCATATAATGCAGCGAGATGGTCCGTCATACCATCAGCTCAATCTGTATGACCTCGCAGAGAAGGGAGACACCGACAGACAGTAGTTCAGAAACAATAAGAGGGGCTTTGATAGAAGCCACACTTCCTGTGGTCATGAGAAGGACGTGCGTGAAGCCTTCCTTGCGCTCGTCCTCAGCAACGAATACCGGCTTGGCCATGCTTGGAGGTGAGAAACGGATGGAGCGCAGTGTAGGGAGAGCTCTTAAGAATTACTTAGTCGTAATTCGATCACTCGAACGAACGACTTATGACATCATTAATTCGCATAACATCAAATCTAAGATATTCTTTTCAACAGAGTATTGCTGCAATCCATGTTGCACATTCTAAGTACTGTCACTACATACTGTTCCTTCGGACGACCCAAATTAAAACGATCAAACTTGTCATAACAACGCTCATTAAGAATGGAATAGAAATGCTACGTTACTGCACGCTTGCTCTGCAGGCGCAGTGGAGGTCCAACATTCTACCTCAGGAGACGGATCATGTCGCATTAAGTAGGAGGCGAGGCCCGCATTTGAAAGACCGTGATTTGATGAAACTTCTCGGTCTTCTTACGATTCGACTTCCTCGACTTTTCCAGCAATGTTCACCCGTTCCATGTTCTCATCGTATAGCGCAGCCTTGCCTTTCTCCATAGAATTATAGAGTAGCGGGGATCCAATGAAGGATGGCGTGTCACCAGATGGCGTCAGCAACTCTTCGTCTTCATCATCGGAACCCTCATCTCCATCGCATGTGTCTGTGGGCTTCAGATCTTCCAGTTGACAGTGTCGCATGGAAGACCCTGCTAGAGTGTCATCTGATTGTACGATGCTTAGTTTGGATTGTGGCTCTGTGGATGACATGGTCATGATGCCACACGTTCGCTTCACAGACAACGTCAATCACGCACCGGTCTTCCACGACGGACTTATCTGGAAGGAATGGCCATCAAACGTGGCCGGAGGAACCTCCACATCGGGTGCTGTCAAGACATTCATCTCAACCGTCGAGCGCAGTCTCCGCGTCAAGAGCACCAGGTCAGAGTATCGCGCCTGGAACGATACCGGCGGCAGAGGGTGGCACGTATACTGAGACTCAGTGGGGTTCACGTTGGCAGAGACAAGTGTAGAAGTCAAAGCTGACTGCAGAAAGGACACATTTGCGTGGTCGGAAGTGATAGGATGATACAGTGGGTTGAGATTGCTCGAAGGTTCCACGGGAACAGGAACAGGTGGTACAGAGTTCGTCGCATCCAGAAGTAGCTGAGACAAGTACATCAAACTGGGGTCGACATACTGAGCAGGGTACTGTTGGTCCATGTTCCAGGATGTCGCCGGCACGTTAGAAAAGGCACCTTGAGGACGCTGCATCACGGCGTCAAGCTGGGCCTGAGATATGGGTTCAGTAATACCAGTAGGCTGATGCATTTCGCCCTCCAGAGGTGCAAGAGCCCGGTCATAAGCTTGTTCAGGTTGCCATCTTTCCGGAGGCAGCACGGGGAATACCGAGGTCATGTAGTCGCAGCGGCCAGTTGGGCCCTCGGAGTGCCATTCTGCGGTATTGACAAGCGAAGCAGCAGGCGATGGCGCGACAGAGCGATCAATAGGGATAGCACCGGGTCTCAAAGGCACAATAAACGAAGAGCCCGGTTCTGCTATCTGCACTGGAAAGTTGTCTTGGCGAGCTGGGCCACCAGTGAAGCTGTGGCTGACTTCGGCCATCGAGGAGGAGCTTTCTGGAGTAGGCGTCCGGACAGTAAACATGTCTTGCAGAGGAGCGCCTTCAGAAGATACGGTCGACCCCTCGGATTCTCTCGCTCGTTTCGCCCTGCGCTGGCGCTGGAGCCAATTGCGGATCCACTTCTCTTCTCTACAGAGGATATGAGCGACATCTAGCAAACAAGCCTGCACGACATGTCAGACAGGATTTCACGACGTACAGTCCGGTCTCTCGCATAGTCTTCTCAATATCCTGCTTCGAGGTGATTGGTCCTGTACGCTGTAGGAGGTCGTTCAGAGCTATGACTTGCCACGGAGCGGCGATAACCCTTCCGCGAGGCACCAGGAGATTTTGATATTGAGAGACATGGGAACTTCGCTGCGTCCTATCGCATCCGCCTTCCATATTGCTTCCTGTGACCACAAAGACTGGCTGAGAGATTGAGGTAAATTGAATGTCGAAGCGACAAAGTTCTGAGCAAGTTGCGAGGTCGAGAACGACCAGGCGTTCAGGCTCCGTCTCAAAGCTCAGTGGCTGAAATGACTGTGGTCCGGGAGCAATGGACCACCATGCAACCGAAGAAGAATTAGGGCATCAAGAAATCGAGTATAGTACACTATTCATACATATCCAATAATGAACACTGATGCGAACCTATCAGATCTACATGCCGTGGCCAGCTCTTCCGTCTACGGAATGCGCCGCCTTTCCCCAAGAATGGGCGAATGCAGTTTTCAAGAAACCCAGTTCTGTAACTTGGAACACTACCACCGTCCCGCCATCTTTCCACCAGCCCACACAACGCCTCCGCCGCCAACGGGGAGGAGTAGCACCCACACACCAATATCCCATATGATCCTCCGCCCGAGACGTCGTCGCTGCAGCGTACGTTCCTTTCGTTGAAGCAACTCATCGAGTCGCGAGTCTCTCTGCTCGGCAGAGCGTGGATTGTCAGGACTCGGTGGCACAGGCGTAGTTGGCGGGATAATAATCGATAGTGGGCGCCGGAAGTTGTGCAGGATGATGTGGATGAATGCTGTCGTGAAGGTTCTTGATCAGCATCTGTGGAGAGCTAAGGAGATGGTGAACATACCGGGGAGCGTATACGTGCTGAGGAAAGCGGAAAGCCACAAGACGTCGCTTAAGACGCTAGAGAGTGACTTTGGCAGGAGCGAGATGGAGACGGCTAGTATGTAAACGAGTATTTTGGATATCGGTAGCTTGATGGCCCGACGAATGTACGACGGGATCGGGATGCTAGATGTCGGGATGAGAATGGACGGAACCGCTAGCAGGAGCGCTGCGGCATTGAATGCGGCCGTAAGCTGAACAAGAGTCTGCGAGGCCGCTTCCTGCGACTTCAAGCAATAAGGATGAGCTACGTAACAGCAAAGTGAACCTTCTCACCCTTGGCATATCGGATGACTGAAAGAACACAAGCGGCAATATGCACAGTATAGCGATCCCAACAGACATAGCAGACAGCAGCTTGAAGGACTGCGACCGGCGTGGCCGAGGACTCATTGACGGCTGGGCATTGCCCTTCAAGGCAGCATACAGTGGGATAGTCGAGGACGTTGTGAACGCAAACGCAATGGTGGCTGCAAAGACTTCAGTCGCCACCCTCAATGAGGGAATGGAGAAGGCACGTACATGTTCCCTGCCATAGTGTTCCTAATGAGATGGAGCTCGCGTTCGAGGCGAGTATTCCGTGTGCATGCGCGTATGCGATACAGATGAACCAAGCGGCATAGGACGATATCGAGCCCCACGTAGCGTAGATGATTCTGTTGGCGGCGACTGTCGGGGTGAAATACAGTGGAGCGATGATTACAGAGAAGGCGAGCGTAGCGCCGAGATAGGATGGAAGGAGGAGCTTCTCAGGGAGCAGCGGTAGGAGGACATCGACTGAGGCTAGAATCATAGCAAGTCAGTGAAGGTGCACATGAATGTTAGCAACAATGTACAAGGAGACCTCAAGCTGGGGGATACGTTAGTAGCATTCAAGAGATATAATATTCCTATTCCAAGTGCAATTCGCCGTCCCTGCGTGAATAGACCTTGCCTATTCAACATGAGCAATGAGCATTGAGGGCACCTGAGGGCTATAGAAACGTGGCTGTTGACTATATGAGACGACATGCCCTTCCATTCGCCACGGTACCATCGAAGCCCATGCCGCGGAGGAGCTGGGATCTAACCGGAATAGACACTTCAAATGGGAATTGTCCGCCAGTGCAATGGATCTTGCATAACTCATATGCGAAGTCCTGTTCGGACGGCCAACATACACCGGCAGCATGAATGCACCACGAGAGCTTGACATCGACCACCCTTGACGACTCAGTATCGCTGAAACCGTTTGTTTAGCTCACCTCTGATATACATTGCAGACAACAGCACTCTGAAGATGCCAGACCCGACCCGGACCAACTGCCGCAACAACCACCGTCTGCCCTCTTTCGACCTCTCCCTCGCAAAGGTCTCCAGCACAATTTCCTCCATGTCCGCGCGCCGCACGTACCTGGCGAGCATGTACCATATCTGCCTTGTGAATGCCGATAGACCCGCGAAGAAAAACAGCACCGGAACCGCGACCTTCAACGGCAGACCGCCGTCTGGTATCAAGAAGGTGCCGAGCTTGAGATAGGGCGAGAGCAGGTAAAGAAAGACAGTGACCGAGGACAATGGCGGAACGGAGGACGCCTGTATGCGCTCGGAATGGTCGGGAACCTCGTCATCGGTGTCGTCGTCGCTCGTGAACTCGAACGACGCATTCCCGGCGGCGTCCTCGGCGTCCGGTACGAGAATGAGCGCCGCGGAAGAATCAAAGCCATGTATTGGGGAGTCCCGCCCAGAGATGAAGGAGTCCGAGCTCCTGGCCGAGCGCGGGCTCGCCGTCGTGGACATTGAAGGCGGTTGGGATCGTCGTCAGGGGTGAAGGAGCGTGTGGAAGCAACGAGGCCCAAACTATTAGCTGAAGCCTGGCTACGCTGGTGACGGCGGAGATCTGCGCAAAGTAGGCACGGGTTCATGTTAACTCTGAGCTGACTCTGAGCTCTTCTCACGCCTCCGTGCGCAGGACCCCTCTTCCTCCGAATTTGATCGAATGACTCAAACGATGGGGTGCGACACTAATGATGTTCTCTTCGGGTCAACAATATGCAAAAAGACAGTGCAGCGTCCGAGATGTGCAGTGTTATATTACGGATCATTGTAACAAACAACACATCGCTCCCTCTTTCCCTCCTTCGGAGTTTGGCCACTCTGGTGACCAACCCATTCGCAGTTCATCATGATGAGTGCAATGATGGTCTCATCGTACACTTGGACTTACAATTGCCTTCTCCCGGACGTTGCCCAAGTTGGTCCGGCCTCATTTGTCGCCGCTCTGGAGGGTTCCCGTGTGCGCCGTGCCGGGCTTTTCTTTCTGGTCAGGCGTTTTCTCTGCCTCTTCGATCCCGCCAGGCGAGCCAGACGAACCCTTGGCCTCCTTCTCCTCGGCGGCCTGAGCGTCAGGAGGGAGGTCTTCGTTCTATATAAAAGTTTAGGCAGAGAATGCGGCTGAGCGAACGAAAAGGGGAGGAGACAACCACGTACAGCAGCTTGTTGTATCGACTCTTGGACCTCCTTGCCAGAGACAGTCACGCCTTCCGCGTCAGTTATGGCGTCCTTGTCTGCTCCCTTGGCCTTTCCATGATTGAGCGGGAGGAAACCTTGAAATCATGGTTATGGCCTTACCTCGCTCTCTTCAGCGGCTCGCGCGTCCTAGTGCATTAAGTTATTATCAGCGGGATAACTGTATAGTTAAAGATACGCACAAAAGCCTTCTTCGTGGACGCGTCAACTTCCTCCGCAGGAACCTCGGTTCCCTCATCACCCTCGACAGGGACAGAGGGGCCCTTCTTCTCCGCATGACCGTGCGCAGGGCCATGGTGATCAGCCTGCTTGGCCGGCGGAGACAGTAACCATATTGCCTGAACGCGGTGATTAGCCTCTCGTAAGTTATAAGAGGCATAGCGCGTACCAGAGGGCCGAAGACGACAGCAGAGCCAATCTATTGCCGCGCAGAATTCGCGCCCGCCATTGGAGTCAGTCTACATTCCACAGCGTCAGGTTCTGGCTCGGACATGGACGCACAATCCATGGTTTGTCACTGCCCGTCGAATGTGCGCCGTGCTCGGCGGTGCTCATGCATCTTCTGCCTGTGCTGCGGCCCACGCGTGCTGTCGGTCGCAATGCCTGCGCAAAAACACGTCGTCCTGCACGAGAAGCCATTGAGGGGGTAAGGTAGCGTGCAAGAGATGTACACTGGTTTAATCACAGCTTGTAGGGGATAGGGATTCGACCGTAGCTCGGAAGGGACCGGTCGAGGTGCGCGTGACGTCAATACTATTGTGACTATAATAGTTAATAAAATCCTTTAATTCATTAATTTAAGCCCGCCTAGCTCAATCGGATAGAGCGTCAGACTTTTACGGTCGGGTCGGTTTAACCGATTGTGTTATCTGAAGGCTGCGGGTTCGACCCCCGCGGTGGGCTAGTCGATTTTATCTTGGCCATTCTTTTTGGTCTTTGTTCCTTCCGACCCCACTTTAGTCTATGTACATGTGGAAAATATGACGGTAAGCTATTCATCTCCCTCGGCGTCATCGTTCCCGAACTCGTAGTCAGCGCTCACACCTTCCTCCCTATTATCACCTCTGTCGTGAACCTCCTCAGGGATTAGTCCGTCCTCGAGCTCAGCGCCGATATTCCCAATATTCGAGTGGCAAATTGCATGCTGCGAGAGTCGATTGTACCGTTATATGGATTGGAGCTCGTCACTAATGTCCGATCGTTGACTCTGCGGAGATTGAGAATGAAACGAGACCCAAGCATGGATGCAATGCTTTTGGAATCTCAGCTCTACTGCCTCATATAGCGAGAGTACGACTTACGGAGCAAAGAAGGTCGCTGGAACTGCGACGGTAACATTGCTGCCCTGCACATGTGCATTTGAACATGCCACCTCGATTTGCTTGGAGGGGTCTGACTGACCTGTGATCCCAGATACTTTCCCCACGCCGTGACCTCAATCAGACCAGCGATCTGCAGTGTCATGAAACATGTTAACATTGGATGTATAGAAAAGCACAAAATATAGAACTAACACGAAGTATAATGCACCTGAGATGAATTCAGAGCGGGTAAGTTCTTGAACTCGCAGCATTATAGCGGTAGAGTGAACCGTCTCTTATAACCAAGCTCATACGTGGTGTCTTCAGACCGACTCTATGTGACTCCCGGGCTATGTGGTATGTCTTGCGCCATGTGACGCAAAGCACAACGAGAGCGGAACACACTGTGCCGATACGATCTGCCACAAGAACTACAGACAATGTACTTTAGTATAGTTCGCTACAACTGCCATAGAAAGTCACATCTGAGCCGAAGATAGTCATGAATGACACACGAGTAGATGAAGTAGTGCATATGACAGACCTTTTTTCCACAGATTTTGAGCGAGACATTTTGTAAACGCAGTTCGAGCCCTGCGTGACGTCTGCTATGAGAAAGGGAGAAAGAATTATTTGTCCATAATAAAGCTATAGTGTCAACTGAATTCGTTGCATGCGAAAACTGCATCGCTTACAAGGAGTGTGATAAGAGGTGTCAAGCCCAGGAAGAGTGCTAGCAACGCTGGTATCCACTTGTGCCCGCTGATGGCATACGTGCGCAGGGAGGAGAGCGCTGAACACACTGTCAGCGGCAGAAGTTGGTCTGAGGTCCTGAGCACACTCACCTGCTGTGACGGCCTGAAGAGCCATGATGATGACCGTCCTAGTGACGATCAGAAACTCACATCTAGAGGCATTATGAGCACCTTCTAGATGAAAGGAAGCGAGCGAAGTGACGATCATACCTCTATTGACAACTTAAAATACCATTTGTAGCGTAACTCTACCGGGACTCACCCATGATGTATCCCATTGGATAAGGTTCAGCATATAAATCAACCCCAGAGCGAGGAGCAGATAGCGGTTCGAGAGCAGAAGCACTGTAATCAGCGTGACTCTGCTCCAAACGTACGAGATTTCGGCTGGTATGGTAAACGCATGTTCATAAAGCATGAGCGCTGCATGCTCAAGGTGAGTCAGGGTCCATGCAGCCTGCGAGACGTCACGATGAAAGTTGTCACCTATAGATGCAAAGTAGGTATAGTTCGCGACGTATCTAGGGATGTTCATCACCCTGAGAGTCCATCAACAGTTCCGTAGATATGTACGTACGCATCTCCCGCCTCGGCCTCGATCTGAGGTGACATACGGTTTTCGCCAGCGGACGACGACATTGCTTGCATGGAGCTCAAAGATAGACGAAGCACTCCTAAGGTGCATTCATAGAGATGAACACAGAAAGCCAAGCGGGCACAGGTTCAGATGAGCATCAGGCTGTATTGACAGCCGTGACTCGTGAGAGGATACTATCTCATGACTGTCGCGCAAGAACTCCTGGAGCCACCACTGCCATCTGACATACGCAGCGAGGTGGTCGCCAAGGTGATAGTCACTGCAATATCTGTGCAAGTCCAACAATATCTCTGCAGCGGTCAATGCAAGCATCAGGAAAATATCGAGCCACTTGTGATCACCAGACCTACTTACCGACTTGGAATTACTTGTATAAGCAACTACTACATAAGATCCGAATAAGTCTGAATACGTTCATCACAAGTCATGTTTCAACTTACTCGGAGTTTTCCTGATGGAGAAGCCTGAGAAGATCTCAAGCCGTCCAGGCAACTTCATATGACAAATCGCGAGGAATATCATGCAACAGCAGAAGCAATTAGCACACGCCGAGAGATCAAAGTAATCTGCGCGGAAAAGTTGCATAATTAAATCGGGGAAGGACATCGTCGGAGCTTGGACTCAGCAAAGGTAAGGACTGACACAGTCTGACAGTGTAAAATGTTTCCGAGAATTGAAGCCGGAGTTCAAATGTTGCTCTACTTGATAATAATTGATCCTGTCGAGGTTCGGTCGTTAACGAGAGGAAGCATGCCGAATGCTCGGAAGTCGCATTCGGTTTGCCATCTTTGGAGCGCGGGCATGTGACCGTGTCGGATCCCGTGGGGACGCGTCTGTGGCGTGCCTCGTGCTGTTCGCATGCCGTGAAAGCGAGCTTCGAAATCAACCCTAGGCACGTTTCGCCTGACCCTTGGCCCGCTTCGCCCTTTATTGCTCTCGGAAATTATAAGGGTATTCATCGTAGCTGCTCTTTCATCCCACGATGACCTCTCGACAACGGCAACGAGCTGCTGATGTTTTCTCCATTACCGATGACGTCCTAGCGGAACGCCTGCAGTTCATTGAAGAAGTATGTCATGCTCGGCTAATGTACGGACTTTTCCTACATCACTTGCTGCATATGTACAGGTGGGCTTTGGCAACTGGGGCAGCGTTTGGTTGTGCCGCCCAAAACCAGACCCGGCATCGCCGTCGTCACAGTCCCAGTATGCTCTTCGCGACGCGATGATCGCGGTCAAGCTCGTCCACCGCTCGAAGTCGTCAACTACAGCGGCACGTGTTAAGTCTTTGTTAGTGTGCTTTGTCGCGTCAGTGTACACTGCTGACAGACTGCTATAGGTGGAACGAGATGAGAGTGATCAAAGCACTCAAATATGAACCGCATCCATCTGTCATCCCCTTTTACTCATTCATTGTGACGCCCTCATACGCCTTGATCACGATGTAAGCTACGATATTTCCGTTTGCTATCGATAATATCGAGACCAGACAGTTCACGTCGGCTCACTACTATTCGCCAACAGGCCGTACCACTCGCGACCGATCCCCGTTGAAGTGCCGGAGGCAGGCTCGAAACAGTGGTTTCGCTCTTTACTGTCTGCCGTCGAATTTCTACACAAACGCGGCGTCGTGCATAATGATATCAAGTACGTAAACGCAGCCGTTGACGCATGTATCGTGTAATGATGCGCATAGACCGACGAATATCCTCTTGTCACAAGAGAATGTCCCTGTACTGATCGACTTTGGCTTTGCCGAACATCACGACGCCAAGACAAACAAAGCATTCCATAGCAACCTCTCATATGGTACACCTGAGGTGCGTTGGGCTGGAACCATATGTCCAAATTAACCGTACTATCGTTCATGATTGTCAGTACCTATCACCAGAGCGTGCCAAAGGGCTTCAACATGATACCCGCAAGTCGGACGTCTGGGCTCTGGGTGTTACGTTCTTCGAAATCCTCGTGGGCCGCACCCCGTTTGAGCATTCCGACCAGGAGCAGTTCGCCACCAAGGAGGACCTAGAGATCTATTGGGAGAGAACGGTACGTCGGGTTTTGAATTTTGATGAACATTGATCAGACTATGGCTGGCAGCTCCGGGGAGAATGGTTAGGAACATGGAACATGTCTGAGGGCCTTGAGCAATTATTGAGGATGATGATTCTGCCAAATCCCGATTTACGTTGGACGGCCTCAAAAGCCATCGCACACGGCTACTGGGATAGGACGGACGCGATGTTCATCTTCCATGGTGAGTGTGTTTTCCGCTTGTCGATCCCATCTTCTTGAACACTCGCGGCAGGGATACCTAGTGCTACGTCGCATGCATCGTTGCTTTCGACAGAAATCGAAGACGAGGTCTCCATGAGTTATTCCCAGGGACGGTCCTCGTCAATCCATGAGGATACAGAGGAGATTGAACCTGAGCCTTCCGTGAAGCCTACGAGTATGCAGGAGAACACACGGGCACCTCAAATTCCGTGCGAGAAGGAGAGTACCACACGCCGGTCGAGCTTGATTCCTATAAGACATACAAGGTCGCAATCGCAACCGAAGCTATTGGACTCGAATCGTACGTTTCCTCCCCGTCAGCTTCGCACTCATCTTCTGACAGATCAGATTCAGACAAGGCAGTGCGCCAAATCACCAAGGAACCGAGCGTACAGTCTAGCCTTCTCCTTTCTGACGAGCACTCTCGTTCACAAACTCATCACGACTCCCCACGTCTCCTCGCAGCCTCGTCGTCGAACGGGAAAGAAAACAGCCGGATCCCCATCCGCAAGAAGAACGCAAAGACGCCCGTGAAGCCGCTGGGAAGTGGCCTGCCTAGCTCCACACGTCCTCTGACACAGAAGACCATCCACGGTCCACTCGCTGAGCAGCCTTCCATGCGTGCCAAGGCCAACAACGGCATGGAAGCTCGCAGCCACATCGTGCTCAAAGACATCACGCCAGTAAATAAAAATGTGGCCAAACCGTCCTCGATCCCCAGGAACACCGCCAGCGCAAAGGAAGGCCTATCGGACTCGGTTCGCCTCAGGATGCAAGAATGCGAGCGGGAGCGAGAGCGGCTGAGGGCGATGCAACGGGACGAGGAGAAAAAGAACGTAACGGAGCCGGAATCCCAAAGGCGAGAACGCCAGATTAGACGCCCCGAGGACAATCTCCTGCTGCAAGAGTTGTTCGTACGTGACGAAGATGAACACGTCCAAGCAGAGCTTGTAGGAGCCGGGGACCAAAGCCAACAAGATTCAAGGGAAATAAAAGGCGCCCAGTCCTTAGAGTACGATGCAGATCGAGCCGCATCCACGACGTGCGAGGACGGTCTTTCTACAATCGGAGCCGTTGAGTCTGCAGAAGGTGAGGGAACATTCTCCAATGCACTGCAGGAGACTGAGACCGTCTAACTACGTCACAAAATCTAGGACCAGGCACATCGCTCTCAGACAAATCAACGAGAGACTCGAGCTTGAGTCTCCTCAAGCAGAGCCTGAAGTTGTCACTCCGTGAGTATCTGGACTTTTCCCATAGTCCGCTCTGAAGCTAACCACCCAAATGTCCCAGGTAGGGCCATAGCGCCGTCCAAGGCCTCAATGAAGGCTTTGAGACTACGTGATGCAACTAGCTGCTTGCCTTCTCAGCCGGACAATGAAGGTGAATCCGAGAGCAATGGTAAACATACCTCTTTGTAAAGTGGATGGAATTCCACATATCATTCTGGCATGAAAGTCTTCATGTTCGCTGACGCGATTTTAGTGTATTCGTCCCTATCGAATATGCGTGACGCCCCGAAATTCGCGCAATCAGCATCCACAAGCCACCTTGATCGCATGACCAGTTGGATACGCAGCGTTGAAAGTGCGCGTGATAGACATCTTCGCTCTATCATTTCTCACACTGACCCGTCGGCTCGCAGAGGTGGTAGAAGATGCGCGACAGAAATTCGCCGTCTACCCAAATAACGCTGTTCCACTTCTGTCTCTTCCCATTGCGCCTACCTCGAGGCGCACTTCGATTACCCGCTCTGCCCCATTACTGCGCACGCCTCGCAATATTCCCGCGGTCAACACGATCTTTATCCACCAGCAGCATGAGGTGCACACGACGCCTCTGGAACAGCCGAGTCCCACGACCGCTAGCTTCTGTGAACGAGCAAATAGTGTGTCCGTGGTATATTCTACGAATGATCGATGCAGCACGCCTCCCACGAGTCTTCCCAACTCTCCGTGCTCTATCGTCGCTTATCAGAACGATGACTTGCCCGAGAGCGTTCCTGGAAGACGGCGAGTAGCCTCAGAGAATCTTATGTCCAGACCAGCCTTCGCAGGGATCCATTTGGACGCCTACTCCGACTCCCTATCCAAGCGTAGGGAGAGGTCAAGATCACAGAATGACCTTGCCGCTCCTATCACTCCGGTGAGCAAACTGGAACTCGAGATCGAAAAACGTAAGTTACTGCGCTCAGTGCATACGTTTATAGTACTGATGTATGTGTGACGTCGCAGTTGCCACGAACCCTCGTCCTCGCCGGCTTTCCGAGGTAGTCGACAGGAATGTATTCATTGCCTCTTCGTCTAAGGCTATTCTGCAAAATTCGGATACGCCACATCATGTCGATTCATCGAACTCCCTTCATCCACCTGCAACCTTTCGAACAGATGCTGCTAACGGGCATGATGATGAGAACCCCGAATGGTAAGTCAACAGAACTCTGCCTTATTTGTTGAACACCGAGATCGATGACATATAGCTCCCATGCGTCGACGGTTGAGGAACGTCAGCCCTATCATACTTGGTCGATCAAGGACACATCATCACCAATCTCTAGGCAGAGCCAGCAGCTTGTGTCTCCAGACGCCACATCTAAGCTGACAACGCCCCCACCGCATTCCAGCGGCCGCTGTTGGGGGTCTGGCTCCGCAGAGCATAGTATCTCGACTATGTACCCAAGCAATCGAAACTCTGTCAACCTCGATACCCCGGGCAAAAAAGTTGCTATCATGATGCGGAAAGCTTTCAAGGCAATAACCCTCGGGAAGTCTGGAGTTGGAATGGTCAGAGATGCATGATCCATGACTAGACCGTTTTTCTTTGATCTTATACCGCTTCTCCGATCAGTCAGCGCCTACCTTGCCTTCGGACTCGGACTGTTTTCACACTTTGTCTGCGCATGCTTGCTATCGTTGTCGTGGATTGGTTTTATTTAATGCTGTCTGTGTTCTCGATTGCCTTGACAGCCCTGTACTGATGCTTCTTTCACTCCGAATCCGATTTCCATTTACGTATAAGAATGATGGTAGAGGATAGAGGAATATCATTCAGAGGTAATCTGCCGTCGGCTAGCAATAATGTACAGCGAGCAAAGTCCATAACTTAATGTAAGTGCGTGATAGGACAAGATGCGTAAGACACAATGTAACAAGACAATCATGAAGGCGGTGGGACTCTATCACGACGCAGAGCCACTGGTTTGCTAAGGCCCTCTCCGGGTTTAAGACGCTTGGCCAACGAATCATCCGATCCTGCCTCTTCATCTCGACCGCGCTTCGCTGCCGCCCCAACAATTGAAACACCTGCTACTGCGGATTCTCCGGTGGTAGAAGTAGGCGAAGGAACATGCGCACCACCTCGTCCTCTCGCAGTACCTCGGATAGCCAGCGGCGCACCCCTTGCACCGCCTCGAGCAGCTCCTCTCCCACGACTTGATCCTTCCCCAGAAGGTGACCGCGGGACGGGTGGCTTATGAGGCAAAGATTTTGAAGCAACAGTGCCCGTTATATTGGAGCTCGGGGCTGACTTGGGGGGAGGAGCAGTTGCTGGAGCTTTCGTGGCGGTAATTTTCTCTTCGTCAAGGATTCCGTTCTGACGCCATTCCAAGATCTGAGCTTCAAGTTCCTTCAACTTCGTCTGCGCTCTCACAAGCTGCTGGTCTTTGAGCTTGCTCTTCGCAGCTTGTTCCATGCGTCCCCGGTCAACAGCAGAAGCGATTTCTTGCTCATGCTGTACCTTCAACCTCTGCTCAACCGCAGTCTCAATAGCCGCTCTCTGCCCACCACCTGGCGTTGCGAAGCTAAAAGCCGTTTCCCCCCTTGCCTTCAGCACCGCCGCATCCACTGCGGCCCTCAGCTTGTCTCCGTGCACTGCGGTCAGCCGTTCCTCCAGCTGTCTCAATTCTCGCGCGTGTCGGGCAGCGATCTCATCCGACGGAGCAGATGCCTGCAGCTCCTTCCTCAGCTTCTCCACCGCAGCAGTCACAGCCGCCTGCTGCTGAGCTGCAGCCTTCTCACTATCGGCCACCCTCGCCTTTGACAAGTCTTGGATTCTGACTTGGAATTTCTCCTACAATCGAAGCAATTGAGCTCCGGTCACAATGAGCAGCCTCCAAACTCACATTGGCAAGTCGGATATTCTTGGCTTCATCGGCGGCCTTCTGAGCTTGCTCCTTGGCCAGCTACGAGATTGTGAAACACGTGAGCTTTTGCATGGTGCGAACATCACCCAATCCTGACCTGAACTTGGGCCAACGCCTCATCACGAGCCTTTATAATTTCCGCCTTTTCAGATTGCCACTGAGATTCTGGAGCGACTGCAGCTGCGTTGACGCCTGGGGCCACCTTCTCGGCGAGCAACTTATCCCGTTCCTCCCTCAGAGAAGCCTGGCGCGGTCATTAGAGCAGCATAACGGCACGGAGCGAGCCATGACTTACAATAATGTTGTTCAGTTCGTCTATCTGAGTAGACGATCGCTCAACACGAACGTCACGCTCTTCCAGGAAACTCTCCAAAGCAGCCTTGTCGGAACGCAAGCTCTCGAGCTGCTGCGACAATTCTTGCTCTCTTGAAGACGCGGACGTAGCACCACCGCCTGCACGAGCTTTCAGGTCGTCTCGCTCCGCAGTGATTGTGCGCAGGTTCTCTTGTAGTTGACCGATTTGCTCCTGCAATTGGGCCTTCTCGGCATTAAACTGAGCAAAGCGCGCGAGATACTTCTGATTGTTCTTTTGTCCGGTCTCCTTATGACGAGTGACGATGTTCTCCAATGCTACCACCTGCGTAGTGTCCTGTTAGCACACTCTGCCATTAATTAGAAAAAGCGAGCTGTAATACCCGTTCGGCCTGGGCAGTAATACGTCCATCACGCTCCGTGATGGCTTCTTTGAGTTGAACAATTTCCTCCTTCAATGAGTCCACTTCCGCTGGATCAATGCGATCATACTATCAAACAATGTCACTTCCCTGATCGATCTCATGCAACATGCCAACACGAACCTTGCTCAAGAGCTGCGAGTTCCGCTCTTTCCATTTTCGGTTCTCGTCCTCCAAACGACTTATTTGACGGTCCTTGGCTTCGAGTTCGGCTCGAGCAACGCTCAGATCTTCTTTGGCAGGATCGAGCTGGGCAGACAGCTCTTTCAACTTGCTATCCAGCTCTTGGACCCGTTTCGCAGATGCCTCGCAATCAGCACGAAGGGTAGCATTACTTTCACGGAGAATATTGAGCTGGTTGACTCTCTCGATAAGTTCTTTGTGTTGAGCTTCTGATGGAGCGGCACTGGCAGCACGCTCTCGTTCCTGATAGAGCACGCAATGAGCGACCACATGCAGAGCAATATCGGAACAGTATCCCTACCTCCGATAGTTCTTGGTGGCATTCATCTAGGCTCTTCGTGAGATGGTCAATCTGAGTCTTCAGACGCAGATTCTCCTGTCTGCTAAGTTCGAGCTGCATCTCGGCGATATCCTTCTCTCTTCGCAGGTAAGCGATTACAGAGCGCAGCTCGGCCAACTTCGTGTCCGCCTCATCTCCGGAATCTGTTTCTGCAACTTCCGCGGAAGATGCTGCCGCCTCTCTGATCCTCGCAGCCTGCGAGGTGACAGAATCGAGGTGCTGGTGCAGAAGACTGTTCTGCGCGTTGAGGTCCTTACACCTGCGGATGATATTATGAACAGTCGTCTAAAGCATCTGACCGCAATGCCCACCTAGAGTTCAAGTCTGCAATCTCCTTGTCTAATGCCTCCTTCTGCTGCTTCCAACTGGCCTCAGATGCTGTCAATCGAGCTTGCGCAGTCTGCGCCGCTGAGGAGTGATCTCTGACCAACGATTGAGCCTTTGCAAGTTGCTCTCTGAGGTCCGCAACACTCTTAAGTGCTTCAGCATGAGCCACAACTTCGCGAGCGTATCGTTCCTCGGCCGCCTATTGCAATGTTTAGCACACTATGTACCACATGTTATACAGTAGCTTGCCTTGGCTTGTTGCTCGATTTGTCCGATCTCCCGTTCGCGAGACTCGCGGTCGTTTTCAATGGCTCTCTCCGACGTGCTCATCTCGACGATCGTATCCTCGAGTGTCTTCCTGTCATTGGCCCAAGCTACACGCTCAGTGTCCAAGCTGCGCTGAAGCTCTGCATTATTCCGCGTGACCTGTGCGAGCTCTTGCTGAGCGGTTCGAAGCTTTTCTTGGAGGGCCTCGATCTCGGACTGGAATGCACATAAGCGTAAAGAACGGTATATAAGGACCATAACACCCACATTTTGACGAGCGAGCTCAGCTTCAGTAGAAGCTTTGTATTCATCATGAGTCGCATTCAAGGTGGCAAGGGCTAACTCGTTCGCTTGGCTGATGTCTTGGAATTGTTGCACATGGCTACGAGCAGCCGCCAGGTCAACTTCCGCGACCTTCAAAGCAGACCTGGTATGATAGCTCAGAAGATGTCACGACCTAGGTAGAGCACTACGAACCTGAGCTCAGCAACTTCTGCTTCAAGTTGTTGCTCACGCGTCATGTTCTCATCGCTACGTGTAGTGGCACCGTTAGCACCAGTTGCTCGCCGTTCGTAGACAGCAAGCTTCTCTTCGTTGGCTTGCAACTGCTTAGTCAACTGCTCGACGCGTTCTTCGAGGTGCTTCTTGCTTGTCTCTGCAGCAACCAAAGACTCGCGAGTCTTGGCAAGCTCTTCCGCCTAGACGAAACAATTGGTGGTCCGTCAACTTTGCAGATGGAAACACAGACACTCACGCTTCTCTCCACGCGAGCACGCAACTCCTTCGTTTCAAAATTATTCTGCAGAGTCAGATGCCGAAGGCTGTCTCGCTCTTGAACAAGTTGCAACCTGAGATCTTGTCTGCAATCGAACGGTTCAATCTAACAAATCGTGATGATCTTTGCAACACGTACGTTTGGTTCTCGAGCATCTGAACCTGATTCTCCAATCGTCGACGATCACTCTCACCAGATCGATCAAGGTCATTGTGCATCTTTTGCACATTAGCCATGAGATCGGTGAGGTGGGAACGCTCCAGCGCTAGAGCACGATTCTCCTCCATCAAGCGAGCTTCGACGTCCTGCATATACAGCACCATCAGAAATGGGAGAGTGATATACCGCTGATGCTACAACCTTCCAAATCTTTTTCTCGGCACGCAGGTTTGCGCTCTCGGTCCGGAGACGTTCTACAGTACCATTGGCAGTGCTCAAGTCGTCTGAGACGCGTTTACATTCGATGTCGATGCGAGTGTATTGGCTCAATAGCTGCTGGTTGCGATTGGAAAGGCTCTCCATCTCTTTCGTCTGCATCTCCTTCTCGCCTTGTAGGACACGATAACGCTCTATTGTCGAAGTTGAATGCTGAGTGACCAATAAATATAACGTAGAGACTCACCTGTCATGTGCTCCAATCTGGCATTTGCCTTTGCGAGAGCAGCGCCTAACTGGTTTGCCTCCGTGCGAGCAGCCTGAGCTTCATCTCTGAGGCGGCCGCTGTCGATACTCATCTCGCTTCGATATGCCTCGAACTGGCTTTGAACCTCCGCGAGTTCGTTCTCCACATCCGTCCGCTCGACGGCACGCTGCTCGTCATGTACTATTCCACTCATTGCCAGCGACGCTTGAGCGTTCTCCCTGGCAAGCAGAGCCCGCAACGAGTCTCGTTCCTTCATGTATGCCTGAATTGTGATCTCGCTGCTCTTCTTCTGGCTCTCGAGTTGCTCCTGGAGCTGCTTGATAGCGGCATGTGCTTCCTCTATCGCTTCACTCTGTTCTTTATCCAAAAACTCGCGATATTCTCGTTCCTCGGACTCCAGTTTTGCCCCTAGCTCACGCGTAATTTTGAGCAGCTTCTGATTCTGCTCCTGAAGCTGGGGAATGGACCGGAACAGCACCAAGTTGTTTGTGATTACAGCATCGATGGTCTCAGCCGGTCTTGTGCTTTGGTCAGCCTCGAGCTCATCATCAGGTGGGATAGAGGGATCTTGCGCGCGGCCGAGTTCCTTAAGGAGTCTTCGCACTTGGCGGCCAAGATCATCCAGCTGTTTCTGTAGAAGGCTGTTCTCCTTAGAGCTCCTCCTCAGCTTCTGCTCATTCTCGTGTGCACTTGACGCATAGGCTTCACGCTCAGCAATTGCCTGCGCGAGTTGTGAAGCGAGGTCAGAAGCCTCCAACTGCAGACGCTCATACTCCGCGCGCTGCTGCGATAGAATAGGTGCCTGTATGATTTCCAGGTGAGCTCTCGGAAGGTAGTCGGCTGAAAGAATAAGTACGCGCCCTTTCCTCAATCTGAGCCAGGACAGCCGATAAAGTGCGGTCCATATTGTCAAACTCGGCCGACTTCCTTGCGTACTCTTCTTGCAAACGGACGTAATCAGTATAGACTTCGGTGAAGGTCTTTCCGCCCTTCTGCGCTCGGCTCGCCATAGCCACAGTGGGGCTCAGCATGCTTTGCGACAGGAAGTCCGGCGTGCCGATATTAGCCATCGACGGTGTTCCTGGGCCACGGACGGGTGTGCTGAAGCTCTGGCCACCAGAAGCGAAGGATGGCATTGGGAACTCGCCGTGCTCGACGCCATGCAAGATACGATCCAGCTCCGCCGCTCTCTTCTCTGCCTCCTCGGCCCGCTGCGTCTGCTCTAAAATATCCTCTCTCAGCACAGCCTCACGCCTCTCTGCCTTCGCATTCACATCATTCCACTTTCGATCAATCTCGTCAACGATCTTCTTCGTCGCCTGCTCACGCTCTTGCATCTTGGCCACCAAATTCCGCAGGCTTGTCGTCTCAGTAGCAAATGACTCTTTCTGCTCAGCAAACTGTCTTGTCACTTGGTTGAGCTCCGACGTCGCCCGTTCATGCCTGCGTAGTTGGTCAGCATGCTGCGTCCGTAGCGTTTCAAGCTGGCTCTCAGCCGTCTGGAGTCTTGCAGCGAGCGCATCACGGTCCCCTTGCAGCTTCGCGACCTCTCCCAGTTTGTCGCGGCGGTATGCGGCGAACTCATGGACCTTTGCCGCGAGTTCGTCCGAGGTACGAGCGGCCTGCTCTTGCTCAAGAGTGAGCTGCTGAGTGAGCGTTTCAATCTTGAACTACGCGGAATCAGCGAACACAACCAGCATCACAGATAGGACAGTACGTACCTTAGAAGCTGTCTCGTTGGACTTGAGTTCTCGCAGCTGGCGCTCGAGCTCTTGGTGGTCCTGACGCGCCTGCTTGAGGCTGCCCCGGAGCGTTTGGATTTCCGCTGATAGAACGGGATTACCAAAATCGCCCGCAAGAGAATGATGGAATAACTTACTTTCCCTCTGAGTGCTATCATCCTCCATCCTGCTAACGACGGTTAGAAGATCGCGCTTTTCGCGTTCCACATCCTCGATCTTCTGCTTGAGTAGCACTACTTCCGTAGACGCGGCCGACTGCGTCGTCGAGATCGCCGTGATCTGTGTCCGTAGTGCATTCCGCGAAGTGGCTGCGTGCAATTGTCAGAAGATAAGTGCTACTGAGGCCTCATGTCCGAACACACCTAGTTCCTCCTTGTCGCTTTTAGCTGTCTGTAGCTCTGCTCGCACACTCTCCAACGCGCTCTCTAGATCCCTCGTAGCGGACTCTTTGTCTTGGAGGGCCTGATCAAGTTCGACATCCTTCCGCTCAATCTCAGCACGCGCCTCCTCCAGCTCTTTCCGCGTTGCGTCATTCTCAGATGCATGAGAGAGCAAAAGGCGATAAAGTGATACAATCGCGCTCGGCGAAGGAGAAGAAGGATTCAAATCAGGTATCAATTCCACCAATGCATTCGTGTCAAGTTCGTTAGGAATCGTGACGGAGAACGCTACGTCCTGGGACGCAGCTGGGGCGGGTGAACTGTCTCTGGTCGACGCCTCTGCTGCTGCTGCTTCCGCGGCAGCAGCAGCCGCTGCCTTGCTTTTTCGACGAGTCTTCATCATTTCCAGGGCAGGAACCCCGACAGGAAATGTGGTGGGAAATGGTATGGTTGAGGTTGGATGGTGTCGTGCTTGCTTGCGGCCTAAGTGAACGTTTGACGATGTTTGGCAAGACCCTGGGAATTAAACATGTCAAAACATACATTGAGGATATGATATGTCCCAATTTGGAGCTTGCTGCTGGTCAAGTGTCACCAAGTTCCTCGCCGAGTATCAGGTCTTTAAAGGGCTTGGTCTTGTACAGCCAATCTGCGTCCATATCATCGACTCCATACATAACCATACATCAAACTTTGAGCGCTCGGTTTCAGCATAATGTCGTTCTTTAACTCGTTCGGGTTTGTGTTTGCTGTCCTTCACTCTGTTAGATGTTAATTTCACTATTCTCAGAAGATCTATGACACGGGCACCTCGCCCTCCGAAACGCTCTACGACACCGACCTCTTCGTCGTTTCCGTCCACTGAGTCACTACCTGGCACGCCGACAATGCCAGCAGCTCCCAAGCCACTTTACCTATGTAGCCCGTTCGTGGAGGCGGCGCTCGTCAAGGGGAATTTCAAGCACATTGTTATGCTTCCGAAGTATGCAGACGTTATGGAGTGGGTTGCTGCCAACAGTGAGTGTCGCAATGTTGCCCGCGTCACGGTCTGTTGAGCTGACTGACCGTCGATCACCCGCCGATACTTCGATTCTTCACATCTGAAAGTTTTTGATTTCTATCAGAACCTCAACTTGTTCTATGGAGCGCTCTCTGAGTGCTGTACTCAGCAGTCGTGTCCCACTATGTCAGCTGGACCATCGTAAGCCAACATACTGCTCCAGCGCTACTTAGCGCCTGCTCAAACCGTTCCTGCCAGTTTGAACTACACATGGATCAATCAGGACCGGAAGAGTGTCCAACTGCCTGCACCCACGTACATCGACTACGTGATGACCTGGGTGCAAGACTTGCTTGACGACGACAACGTGTTCCCCACGAAATCTGGTACGTGGCAACCATCTCCCAGTTCCTTTGATCGCTTTGCTTAACGATCTATCTGCAGGGCGGGAATTCCCTCAAACGTTCCCATCGACCGTGAAGCATGTATATCGCCAACTGCTACGCGTCTTCGCGCACTTGTATTACGTACACTACCCGCAGATCCTTCATCTCCGTAGTGAACCGCACTTCAACTCCCTGTTCGCACACTTCCTCGCGTTCGGCAAGGAGTATGAGCTGCTAGATATCAAGGATGTCAAGGGTCAGCCCAACTCGCCCGTCGGCATCGGCGCGCTGTGGGACCGATGGAAAGAGATGGGCATCCTGGAGGCATGAGTTCATTCCGATTGATCAGGTGCCAGTGTATGAACTGATCCTGGTGATACTGCATTGACATGGGGGTGAATCATTCGGAAGTGGTTAATAGCTCACAAATCATGGATACGAACGGAGGCGACAGGATCGTCATATACCTCGTAATATACCATCATGTTTCCGGGTTGCTTTGTGGGACGTATAATCGTTTAAATCATATACATAGATTTTCGCTCTGACATGGCGTCTCATCGATTGCGAGTAGACCTCTAGACAACGTGATGATTTGCGATGGACGGCCAGGTGCCATGCAGCCGGCCAACGGCTTGGTCGACCTCAGATTAACTCATCCATGAGACTATTTGTTTATAAACTGCAGGATTGCGGTTATGCCAGGATCTCAACACTGCGTTGACCAAGATGATACAAATGCAAAGTAGGGCCCGATGCGACCCATAAACATGGACCCATGTCGGTCGATAATACCTGCATGGCTGCGATATATCCGTCAAATGCTCTGTCAAGCAGTGGCTTTTGCTCGATGCATGCACAATCGGCCGGTGAAATGACTCGCTGCCCCGTACGTAGAGACCAGCTGCGTACAATATGATCTTGCCCTGCTGCAAAGAGGAAGTCCTCCTGTGGATCGACAGCAAGTCCCTGTTATGATCGAATGAGGACTGTTCATGCAGAACAGCTTGCAATTAGAACGTACCAATGGGAAGCTATACGAATTAACGTGTCCATGAAACTGCATAAGCGGCGTCGCCCCGCGCATAAACCGCATGTCATGCGTTTCTAGCTGTCAACAGCAGCTTCAGATTCGCGTACGTCCCTTTTGTGCAGACAAGACTCACGTCACCTCGGATCGTACTGACGAGCAGCTCCCAATCATGTACGATGTTGAGATGGGTGATGGAGCTCGTAGTTCTCTGGAATCTTTGGTCTAACAATGTTTGACGAGTTCGCGTGTTTATGCGTGTGTCAAAACGATTGATGAGCCCATGTCGAGTCCCAGTATAGGCGAGGTGCTACCATGTCATCAATCATAAACGAAACCACAGATCCAACGGCGGCAGATGCACCTACATTATCCAGGTGGACAGCCAGCACGTCGCTGCCCGTCTCAAGGGTCTGCGATCCTCGTCCAATCTCAATATCTAGCAACACATACGCCTTTTTCGCCGCGCCTTCATTCAACTGTATAAGCGTACAGTTGCGCATGCATGGCTTCCGGACGCACCTAGCAAAAGCCTACGGTCATACAAATGTGCATTCCACACATCATGGCATGTGCGTTCTGAGAGCCCAAATATTGACCAGGCCCTGGCTGTACTGATTAGGAAGACTCCAGACAAGGAAAGGCAGACCTACTCTTCAGGGTAGCTGTTCCGAACGAGAATTTTTGCTGGTGCTCCAAACGACGTGGCACTGTGCGTGAGAATCAACGAATATGTGGCCATCGGGAATTATGATCAGCATACACGTAATGTGTGCCCCAGGAGCATATAGAAGATATCTGTTGGAAGGTTGTTGAAGACATGATTCCATCAGTTGAGCTCGACATCTACCGAGGATCCTAGATTGATCTCCATGGAGCAGGACATGCGTTCAGGGTCTCCCTCGAGGTAGTGAAGCCACCCCCGAGCATCACCCGCTAAGACAGTGGTTGACCCGTTCCCGGATGACGTATTCCCCTGCAAGCAGTTTAATCCGTATTTTCTCATTGAAAGCCGATGAAATGACGTACGGTAGAGCAAAAGGCCGTAATTCCTTGTGTAGGGATGTCCCGACTGCAGCGTAAAGAAGTTCGTGCCATCGATATTGCTGAAATATCACTATACGAATATCCCGTCCTCAGATCACATATATGTCATGTATCGCACGCAACGCACTGCAACGCTCTACTTCGACGCCAAGGGGCACCTGTGGCCCGCGATGTCTCCGAGGCATGCCACATATTATGGACATTGTCCACTATCCTCCGCTTAGCTTCAGATTTTTCCGAGTTATTTCGCATCGATAGAGGGCGCAAAGATTGCTGTGGATATGCGGATGGGTATGCATGGGGAGTAGAAAGAGCCGAAGAGATTTTCGGCTTAGAGGACAGCGGGAAATATCGCTGCTTCTCTTCATTCCAGTACAGTCCAGGTAATTCTCGAGGCATATCGGGTTTATGCAAACAGTCTTCAGTAGGCGGCAAGAAATGGGCACGACAAGCAGGATGGGTGGAAGTTAGAGCTAGTTAGCGGCGCCACTCAGACTCAGAGGTCGGGCGTCGCGCCACGGATGCGTCGGTTTCGCGCTGCAACTGTATTTCGCCTTCAGGGGCTTGCGACGGCTATCTCTCTTCCCGATGTCTACAATTCTGACTGTGGGGTGGTAATATGCTCTATATGCCACCTTCGCATGAACTGTGCTGGCTGAACAAATTTCGGATACGAGAATGCTGGCTCAGATGGAACTGCATGGATCCCAACGTTGCGACACCGTCTGACACCGTTTCGCTCAAATACGGCATAAGGCCAGCGGCTTGCATAAAGCAAAATTCGTGCGTACGTTGTCGAAATCTGCACGACTTCATTGGTCAGAGTCTAACTGGGTCTATTGTCAGAAGGCATGTTAAGTTGGTGTCCACGGCGAACTTTAGCAGATTCCCCGAAACTTTGCTTTGTATTGCCGCCGTCACAAGCTAACGTAGAGTCCCTTCGCAATTGAACGTCCGACCTATTCTGCCATGAGCATGTGCACTCTTGGACTGAGATGAGCAAAGTGGCTGGACTCCCTTGGGGTGAATATCTGGCTTAATACTCGCAGCCGCGAACCGTCGTGACCGGACGACGAAGTCGAGTGATCGTATGGGCGGGTAGCCTTTTTTCCACCCCATGGCGTGGTCCGATCTACTCTGTCGTATGTGGGATGATCACCTTGGGATGGACGCCGTTCAAGAATGACTAACCATCAATTTCTATATCATGACAGTGCGCCCATTTGCAAAATCATTCGCTACTCCTGAGCGCATTGCCTTGCCGGCGCAATTCCGAGCTCAATCGGACAATTACAGAAGACCGATACGCACGCACGCCTGCGTACTTGCAGTATCTAGATTCTGTGTCTTCCCATGCAAAGCGCCGACTGTCGCCGGCACCTTGAAGGAGGACGCAGGATTGCAACAAGTTGAGAAGCCAGAATGTCCAGTCGCTGTGACGCAGCGGCGCCATCGAAGGCGAATAATCTTGTACTGAGCTGGGCGATCGATCTGCTTCACCAATGCGCGCGCTCTTCGATATTGAGATTGACTCTTGACGTGAGTTAAGCGGACTGTTCGCCGCCTCATTTGGGCGCACTACACAGCTTACGGAGGAAGTGGCGCGACTGATTAGAGGTGAAACGGCGTTCATGAACGCACAGGCACATTCTTCGGTTGGTTGAACACCCCGATGGTTGTCTTGGGAAAGACAAGGTGCGCTGTCAGCCTGTCTTTAGTCAATCGTGATCAAATTTTGACATCTTCTTTTTCTTCATCTTCCCAAGCACACTTTGATGACACCCGCGGAGCGGGCGACTGACTGCGAAACTGTGCGCTTATACCAGTCGGTGTGGTTCCTTGTACATAACGGTGAGGTCACCTGAATTGAATGACGCTGCTACCAGCGCGCCGCAAGGTGCTCCCTTGACGTCTACCTGCACATCGCGAAGTGCCAACATGCTGCTACAGAATATTCGAAGTGAATCTGTTCTGATGGTGAATTCTCTTATGCATCCTCCAGTTCCAGGTCCTACGCATTCCAATGACTCCATGGCGTTCCTCGGCCATCCGACGTGCGAGCCGTCGCCGCGGAGCAACTCATCAATCCTTGCGATTGGATGAAAAACTCCGCACATCATTGGCGCCTTCAAATGCTACCCTTGCACGCAAGGGTCCAGACCTTGTGCGGTAGGGAAAAGAGTTGAAAACCGGGGTGAAGACTTTCTCGTGACATGCCGGCAATCCGGGGACTGTGCTTCGCTGGCGCTGGATTGAAGGCGTTGATCATCGAGAAGTAGTACCGCGTGAGGTTACATTTAGACTACGCTGATGATGAACAAAATATTCACAGAAATGAGACTCTGCTCAGCGAACTCAAAGACAAATGGTCGAGTAGAGGTCGAGCACATTCTGCCTTTCCTTCGCCCGTGTGGCGTGACAGAGGGAACACACTGAAATGTGATGTCTGTGACAATGGTGTGACCAAACCCGATAGCCGCTGCAGCGCCCCGTTTCAGACCTTCAACTCGGACATCCTCACCCCTGCACGGGTTTTTCTTGGCTTACACTTCTACGGGAAATTCGGAAACATTCATGGACACAGTCGTCGTTCCCGCGCAATCTCCATCGGTTCTCTTCGCACCCACTCTCAGCGACCCGCTATACCAGCAAGCCTGTGTCGAGGCACTTTGCGCTGTCCTGATTCGGTTGGCTTCGTCAGGACACGAACTAGCGGAAGAGATCTTGCGGTCCCACTTGGGGATCAACTCTCAGGTTCAAAGACCGTTGCTTGTTCCAGGTTGTGCACCGGATGGCCTCGTATCATCGGTAAGCCCATTTCCGTTACGTACTCTCCTTCGCGAAAAAGCCCCCGTGATCGCGCGTGTGGAACGTATTTAGGGGAACAACTCCCTTGATGGACGCTCACACCGTCCCGGTGTACAGCGTCAGACGCACGCCGGCGATAGCGTGGCGCACACGCATTCTTTACCTCGACGTTCATTTCGTACAATGTGCAGGCAAGGCATCCTGACGAACCTCCCTTGCAGCATCCCTACTGTGCAACACTCTCCTGTTCGGACGTTTCGCGCTACTCGGTTGACCTCGTCGCCACACCCACTGGGAGACAGTCAAACTGCAGCACTGAGCTTGTAATGTCGAGGAAGCGTCGGTCGTTGACAAGCATATTCTCTCCCACGTTCCTGCAGATCCCGTTGTCTCCGGGCGCGTCGTCGTCGTCGTCGAACAGTGCACGTTCAAGCTCTGCAGTTGCTCCTGCCGACTATGGGCGGGACTCAATATCATCGTTCGAGAGCGGGAGCATCTCTTCGCTTCCCGACCTCCCACTTCTTGATATGCCAATGTCATCAAGGGACTCGCCACCCCCTGATCTCCTCGACGAGGATCCGTTTGCGAACCTGTCACCAGCGCCTTCTATCCGACGGTCGCGTCCCCCATCACTCGTGATTCCTGCCGTCAATGCGCCTCTACTCGGTGATGATGTGCTCGCCAGTGACACGCTCTCCCTTCCGCCGCGTTCTCCATTGTCCATGAGTGCATCGCCGACGCGGGAGTCATTCGCATCATCCACGTACTCCTCTTCATCATCGTTCGTGTCTCTGCCCAGCCTGCCGTCTACGCCTCCTCCGACTCCAGACAGTTCTTTCATGTCCCGTCTCACTCGACCAAAGTCCTCTGTGGGCGGCCAGCTGCGTCCAGCCTATACCCGGCCCGCATTCGCACCGCGGCCGTCACTACCCTCATTGAATACCCTTGCTCGGACTCACATCGTTCTTCCCAAGGTATGTCTGACACAGCGCGGGTCCGTGTCCCACGTAGGATCTGCGAAGCTAATTTGGATACTGCACAGGTTCGCAGGGGAAGAGTTGGGGCTCAGTTACCGATAGAGCCCTGGAGCCAGAATGGGAAAACCTCGCCCAGAAGCCCGTCTGGTTTTCCCGAGGCACGCCGCCGGAAGCACGTCAGACGTCCCACTGAGCTGGCCACTATCAGGGATTCCCGCATGATTCTGGACGGCCAGCCACCTTTCGTGATCGACGACTTCACTGAGAGCTTGGGAGCTCATTCGATGGCAGAGACGACCAGTATTCTATCGGAATGTCCTTCGCGAGACACCATGTATTCGCAACAGATGATCATCGACGGCCCTGACCAATCCATAACCGTGCCACAGCTCCTGCGAGCACACACGGAGCCATACATTCGCCGATCCGAGTCTCCGCCGTCGATCGTCCCTTCGCTTTGCCCATCGTCTCCTACCTCCACATCCTCCTCGGCCGACCACTTCACTCCATTCGAGAGCGGGCATCCGGATGGAACCTATTTTTCCTCAAAAAGGGCAAGTCGGTACCCGTACAGCGAACTTCTCTCGTCGCTTGACTACAATTATGCTGATGCCGTGTCGACGCTCGAGCGGTCTCCGTCCCCGGAGGTAATCATCGCCCTCGAGGCACCAGCACGCATCTCTGACGGTAAGCCCGAGCCGCCTGATCAGTTCAACCCGGGAACATCCGCGGATACGGTTCGCGTACTCTCCACAAACGTGTCTCAGCATTCTGTCTCTGAGGAGCCGGAGCTGCCCCTCTCGCCAAATTCATTCAATTCAGAGTTCTCAGCCAGCACCAGCACGAGCACTAGCGACAGCGAACACTCGCGTTCTAGTTCGGCGCTGTCGACTGACTATGGCGAGGAGTGCATCCAGCGCTCAGATCTCATGTTGCCTGATGCAAGCGAGCACTTATCCGCGTTTGGCATCCCGTGGCCAAGGTTCCGTCCTGGTCGCACTCCTCCTTTCTCGTGCTACGGAGAGTATTCGTTGTTCAATACTGATCCCCACGCATTTGTCACCATTGACGACCTCAACGAGAGACTCGTCCAGTCAAACAAGAGAATGTCCTTCTTCCGTATCGAGCCTGTCTCAGACGATCCTATTGACGGCGGAGAGGGCGTCTACCGAAGCGCAACCACGGGTCGCTCGGTTGGGTCTGGCCATTCGGGCAACAGCAGCGGACGTTCGAATGGTAATGCTAATGGACATTCTTCCGGTACCGGGAACGGTTCCGCGGGGCACGGTGGCGCAGGTGGTGGTCGGCGGGGACGTGACGATGACCACAATCGCCGTCCTGTGCGCCGACAGGAAGCAGCGACATCATCCGAGTCGGAGTCTTCCGAGGAGGAAGAAAGCTCAGACGATGATGCAGACGTCGCAGACACTACGAAACATAGCCGGTCGCCAGGTTCACACGATGACGATATTCCCCTGGCGCAACAGATTCCCACCGCCTTGAAAGCACAGCGCACCATTCGTCGGCAAGTGCGAGATGAGATCCATCGGCGCCGCCGCGAGAGAACGATTAAGGGTGACGATCGTACGCTCAGAGCACAGTCGCCTGCTGATCGTGATGAGGCGTTGGCCCGCAGTGCGTCTGCCAGAGCCGCTGCGGCGACGGAGATCAACGGCCCTCGCACTTGGTCTGGCACTGCTGCACGTTCGCAAGCAAAGCCCGATTCGTCTCCGATTTCAATGAAGCGTTTGCGTACAAAGACACTTCCTGGCAAGACCAGCAGCCCTATTTCCATTGGCGACCTAACCAAAAAGCTCATGGGAGTGCAGATGAGCGGAATGCTCCCTACGGCAGTCAGTCGATCCCGACATCCCTCTATCGAACGGAACGTCGAGCAGTCTCGTGTCTCGCCCTCGAAGACTCAGTCAAGAGACGTTAGTGTCAGTCGGGGACAGACCTCGAAGGACACTGATCGCTCTGGATCATCTCTGTTCAGACGACCATCGCAAGCCGCGAAGGAGTCATCCGACACGGACCACGGTCGTGGCAGGGTTCTGCGGTCTATGCGTTCCTTCAATCGTCCTGGTACCGCTAACGCTGACAATGTACGAAGCGCTGGTCTTTCGCCGAGCGGTCCCTCCTTAGGTAGGACTCCGACACTAGGCAAGAAGCAGTCTTCACAGGAACCACTTGTCTCCCTCCCGACCAGCATCTCTGGACCAAAACTTCCGGAGGAGCACCGTGCTCTGGAACGTGCACGATCGACGAAGCAATCGTCCCGAAAACCGAGCGTTGAACGAGACAGGCCTCCTATGCCATCTGCGGAACCAGAGAGTATTTCCGCTGCCCTGCGCCGCCATCGCAAGCTGTCAGTGACTGCTGTTGATGTTGCGCATTCTCCTTCTCACGCTGTGGTGTCGCCTTTTGCGCCGCTTTCTACTTCTTCCCAGGCTTCTGCTCAGTCTAAAACACAGATTCTGTGGCAACAACGTATCTTTGTCGGCACCATGCAAAAATACGTTGTCGTAGAGATTGGCCCTTCGACCATTGCAGGGGAAGTGTTGCAGATTGTCGATGCGCAAGGGATGCTTGAGGAGGGAGCGGCGGCTGGAGGATGGATGTTATGGGAGGTTGCTCAGGACTTCGGAATGGGTAAGTCACACTTTTATCAGAACCAAGGAGGGATTTTGATACTGTTATAGAGCGTCCCGTCCGAAGTTTTGAGTCTTTGGCGGATATCTGCAATTCATGGAATACCGATAAAATCGTCAATTTGTTGGTGATCAAAAAAACGCTATTGGCGCCAGTACTCAGCCGTTCAGTGCGTCAATATCATTATGCGCTGTGGTGCCGTCTCATATCCTCTTTAGGCTGTTCCACGCAGCTCCCCCATCTGCAGTGGATATGTACAATATGAACACAAGCGCGGCAAGTGGCAGAAGCGTTGGCTGGATTTGCGGGAGCACAGCTTGTTCCTCTCAAAGCGTGATGGCGTACGTTCGTCCTACAACTTGTACTAGGATATTCCACTTAGCCTATGCACAGGGCAAGGATTCCGTCTTTCTCTGTTCCTTGAACAACTTCGACGGCTATTATGTCACGCGCCCACACAAGGCTCCAAAGCCTTACGTGTTTGCTGTGAAATCTACGGACAGTTTGACGTTCTTCGAGAACACTTCTGATTATGTTCACCTCTTCTCGTGCACTGAAGGCGAGGGCAAGAATTGGCTGGAGAAGATTCTTCTCGCCCGTGTACGTTCTGAATAGACTCATGCTCCGAGATCATTCTCACTGATATGCCGTTGCAGTCATACGTTCTCTACCAAGAACGAAATGTTCTTTCTTCAGCTACGGCCTCAAGTCTTATGCGTGCAGGAACCACGCGAGCTGGCCAACGCCCGGTGCAACCTCTGGTCAATGTCAGCGCTCCTAAAGTCGATCCGCCTTCCATCGGTTTCGAACCTGGTTCTCTACTCGCGAAGCGTCAGCCCGCCTGATGTGTGCAATCCTCCATTTCCTTGTGATATATATATGGACCGCAACAGCTGTCGCCAGTATTTCCCTTCCTGTACATATCTACTGTCACCCTTTCCTCTCAAGCTGATACACTCACTCGCTGCCACACTCATTTGTATTACATCTTATGTATCGCGATAGTAACTGGAGTTCATCATGGGAATACATTACTAGTTTACATACATAGCATAGGTCAAATAGATGCACATCAGACGTACGAAGCATTGACAAAACAAGCAGCTCAGTCCGCAGATTTCTTGTGCTTCTTCTTCGCTGGCCCTTCCTCTCCATCCTTCATCTTCGGCTTCGGCTTGGGACGTGGCTTAGGACGCTCTTCGTCGATGTCCATGGCATCCTCTTCCTTTTTCTTTGGTTTCGCCTTCGGGCGAGGAGCAGCTTTCTTGGACTTCTTCTCCTCTTCCTCTTCATCAGCGTCGCTTTCGTCCGATTTACTTTTCTTCGCGGGTGCTTTCTTTTTCGTAGGAGCCTTGCCCTTGCCTTTGGCAGCCTTTGCGAGCTCTCGATCGCCACTCGCGTCGGAAGCCGTCTGGCCACCCTCGTCAGATGAATCGGTATCTGTCGGGGACCCAGCGTCGGATTCTGACGCTTGGAAGTCTTCGTCTGAAGCAAGCCGATACATCAGCCTGGTGAAGCCAAGCACGTCCCACATAGATGCTCACCATCCTCGCTGTCATCATCCTCATTCCCGCCCAACCTCGGCTTAGGCGCCTCCTCGCCGCTGCTTGCCACACTCTGCATCTCCTCGTCCTCCTCGTCGCCGCCGAGAATGAGCTCACCCTCCATCATCTCGTTTTTCACCTTCACCTTCTTCTCCTTGAGATACGCCTCGGTACCCTCGTGTTCTTCTTTGTTGATGGACGTGAACGTGTACTCCGGTCCGCTCTTCGTGACGATCTTCAGGTCAAACGTGCGCGCAGCCGTCGCACCCATGCCTGCGCCGAGACGTGAGAAGACAACCTGGTGGATATCCGACAGCTCGATGAGTGTGGGCTGCTTTGACACGAAGAAGATGTATTTTTCCAGTAAGAAGAGGTCCCCTTGTACGGCCTTAAGGTTCGCTTTGATTCCAGGGTGCCCATCGTGACTGGTGCCGAAGTGAGATGTTGTTTCACAGAAGGATACTAAGGAAGACGTACCTCTGGAAACTACCCGCTCCAATTATCTTCCTCCCTGATAGAGCTCGGAAAACACCAGATACGACCTCGAAGGTAGGGTCCTCGTAGTTCTTCTTCAACCTGTCGTACTTCGCGACTTCCTCTCTGGGAAAGATAGAAGTTAGTCCAGCAATGCCAATGCAAATCCGCCGGTGATCTACTCACTCTGACATATTCAGCTCCGCGGTAATCTCTTCCTCACGGCTGAACTGCATGACAAGGTACTGGTACCGTGTCTGGCCTTGCCTGATAGGCGTGCTGAGACCCAACTACTCAAGCCTCGATTAGAAGTTGACAATGGAAAGGGAACATTCTACCCACAATGAACAGCACGTGTTGATCATCCTTAGGTAGCAGGAACAACCTTGAGATGCTGTTGTACAGGATTTTGTAATCGTACGTCTTGCCACGAAGCCGTAGGAATTCCGGGAACATATCCACATCATATCGGCCTCTCGGGGTAAGTACAAGGACCTCTTCGAAGCTAAGGATGAGGTCTCCTGCAACCTGGCCAATCTCGGCCTTGTCCTTCACTGCGTCGTGGAATGCCTGCGCAGCGCTGATCTCTTCTTCTTCTTCTTCTTCTTCGTCTGACTTCTGCGAGCCTGCTTCCGAGCCGCGATCTCGGGTGGCCGTTCCAGGGACGTAGAAACGGATCTCGACCATCTCGTCCGGCGCGTTTCGCGACGACTTTTTGCTGCTCGACGGTGTGGCGAATTCTAGCGAGACTTCGGTACGGCCGGCGATGTTGGAGTTGGCTACATTCGTGAGAGGAAGCTCGAAGGATGTTTTATTGGACACGAGGAATGCAAGATCTTGTCCTATTTCGAAATATGTTTTGTGCCACAATAACAATACCTGTATCGGGATTGGAACGCACCTTGGAAGTCTGTTACTCCCCAATTCCAACCCTTGAACGAAACCTCCTTAGTCTCCAGAGCCGCGCTGAAGTGTTGCTTCAGCAACTGAGCAAGCTTATCGTGATCCTATTCGTGACTCAGCATGAGGAACGCAGTTTGCGATGTGTCGAACGCGTACCTCTCGCGAAAACCCGTCGAACGTTTCTCTAGACCTGTCCTTCAGGCCGACTCTCAACTGGTAATTGCGGGCTACCCGAATCCACTGTGCCCATTTGATATCTGCGGAGGCAATGGCGACCATCTTCTCGGACTCCTCCCCCTTCCACGCCATGCCGCTGGCTGCAATGCGGAATTCTGCGATTACGAAGCGGTTAGCGGGTGATCCAGAAAAGCCGCCACGCCTGGTGAGACCCGTGAAGAGTAAGAGTCTTACGCACTTCCAACCTCCGGAGAGAGGCCATGGTAAACTTGGTCGAACTGAGTGGTCATGGTGGTTGAGAAACAAGAGCGGAGGGAGGATGTGGCGAGCGAAATGGCCAAAAACACGATCGCCGCAAGGACGCGTGGCGGAGTTTAAAAGACGCGCTCACTGGTGCGCAGGCGCCCACTCCCGCTGCTTGCTCGTATAACCTCGCATTCTTTCTCATCGTCCGCTTCAATTCCTGGATATACCCAGCTGAAAGGTAGTTGGATGACAATGGTTACTGACACACTGGAAGCGCGCTCGCGCGACGTGCAGGAGAGGACATTTTGTAAATGGTGCGCGACGCCTGCTCTCAGGATCGGAGCGCATGTAACAAGTAGTATTGCAAATGCTATAGGCTAAACACCAAGCTAGAATCCAACGGACACCCTCCCATGACATCGCTTGTCAAGGATCTATCCGATGGCGTCCGGTTGATCCAACTCATGGTGAGAGCCCGCACGGCAATATTTGGCCCACGAGCTAACAAGCTGCGACACTCCGATTGCAGGAAATTATGGGTGCGTGTTCACGAGCTATATCTACTACATAAAATTGACAGTTCCCGTAGGCGACACGTCCTTGGGACGATACAACAAGAACCCAAGGATGCGTGTCCAGAAGGCTGAGAACGTGAACAAGGCTCTCGAGTTTATTACAGCAAGAGGCGTCAAGCTAACCAACATTGGGCCTGAAGGTACAAGCTCCCTCTCTCGGTCGGCGCTTGTCCTGAGAAAAGTATACAGACATTATTGACGGGAACCTGAAGCTCATACTCGGAATGATCTGGACACTGATCTTGAGGTTCACCATCGCAGACATCAGGTCTGTAGCAGTATTCTAGATTCCCTACGTGAGACGCTCACAGTCTGAAAGTGAAGAGGGCCTTTCTGCCAAGGAGGGCTTACTGCTTTGGTGTCAACGGAAGACTGCACATTACAAAGAAGTCGATGTACAGGACTTCTCGTTGAGCTGGTCCGATGGGCTTGCACTGTTCGTGAGCTGTTCTCTGTACCCGTGATGATTCAATTGACTGTACCTGCCGACAGATGCGCCCTTATACACTGTCATCGCCCTGACCTGATTGACTATGACAAACTGGACAAGGTGGATGTCATACTGTCTCCGCGCCGACGAGGATGCTCACGTTCTTTGCAGACTGATAGGCATGGCAATACCCGCCTGGCCTTCCAAGTCGCTGCAGACTACTTGGGCATCCCGGTACGTCTGGTGTTATCCATCACGTAGAATGTTTGCTGATCTCAGTTCTGGCTGACAGCAACTGCTTGAAGTGGCGGATCTATGTGATACTGCACATCCTGATGAACGCAGCGTCATGACATACATCGCGAGTTACTTCCACGCATTTTCTTCGATGGGTGAGCAAGCAGAGAAAGTGCATCGAAGATAGCATTTTACATGATTCAAATTACTTTAGACCAGGCGGAGACCGTATCACGCAGAGTAGAGAAGTTTGCCGAACTGATGCACTCGGTGTGGCTGAGCAGAAATGACTATGAACGGCGCGTCCGAGAGGTACGTTCTAATGGCTTCCTCTCTTCGCCCAACGTACTGACTGTGCCTTCGTTCCTCAGCTGTTGGCCGCGATGGCAGAGATACAAGCTCGTTGGTCTGCTGTCCAATTTACTGGCACATATTCGGATGCAAAAGCGCACTCGACCAGCTTCACTTCATACAAACAGACTACCAAGCGGGCATGGGTGACGGAGAAGCAAGATGTCACGACCTTGTTTGGCAATGTCCAAACCAAGCTACGAACGTACGGTCTGCGCGAGTACGTTCCACCGTCCGGACTTGCAATTGCGGTGGGTCTCCGTGAGCATCTGACAAGCCATCCTAAAAGAGCTGAGCTCGATGATCGGCAATAGGACGTCGATGCGGCATGGAACACTCTTCTGGTCTCGGAGGCCAAGCGATCCCGCGCGATTAATGCAGAGATCCGGCAGTAAGCATAGAGCGTGCGAATCGTCGGGGTGGCGGCTGCTGACTGAGTCGGACAGGATCAAGGAGTCGCTTCGGAAGAAGTTTGCAGATCTCGCGAACGACTTTGAGAAACGTCTGCGAGTCATTTCCTCCGAGCTAGCCGGGATCGAGGGTGCGTTAGAGGTCCGTGTGTCTGTTGCTGGAGGTGGTACTTTTCGACTCACGAGTTGAGATTGTAGGTTCAACAGCAGCAAGTGATGCAACTGCAGACACGGATGCCGGCGTTGGTAGATGCACTGCGTGCGGTGGCTAGTGCGGAGGAAGAGTGCCGCACAGCCAACGTTGATGAGAACGATTACACCGTCTTTACGTGTCAGGACCTGGAGTTCGAGCTTCAATTGCTGGAGCAGGCGTTCTCAAAGAAGATCGCGTTCGTTGACAACCAGGTAAGCAAAGTGTACCGGTTAAGGCTGCAGAGATAAAGGGTTAATCCACCGGACTGTATAGATTGTCTCGCGGAATATGACTAACCTCACGCCGGCACAGTTGGAGCAATTTGAGAGCACGTTCCGATACTTTGACAAGGATGAATCAAACACGCTCAATGAGTCCGAGATGGCCTCCGCTTTAGCCAGCCTCGGGATTGTCTACTCGGTATGTTTCATGCTCTCGCGCAGAATTTTCATTATTCACGACACTATAGGACGAGGATCTGGACATCATATACGAACAACTACAAGAAGACTATGGGGCGATAACCTTTGAAGCGTTCATCAACTTGTTGGTACGTGTACGTAAACGAGCATCCGGGACAGGAAAGTAAGACGTCACTTGCAGGTCGAAATCACAGAAGACCAGACTTCACCCGAACAGCTACGGGAAGCCTTCCAAGGGATCGCTGCCGACAAGGTATGTGACCCGATTCTTCACAGAATGCACGCAATGTCTGACAATACTTCGCAGCCTTTTGTGACCGAGCTTGACCTGCGCGTTGCACAGCTGCCTGCGAGTACGATCGAGTATCTACGGGGAGCCATGCCCTCCAAGCAAAACGGGTCCGGAGAGTCGGAGTACGACTACGCGGCGTGGTTGGATGCTGTGTTTGCATAAAGCGTTGGCCGCAGTTCTCCGTCATATCAATAATGCTTCTGTCATGGTAGTAATGTCCTAATACTAGCGCGCTGGTCGCTTATGCTGCTGCGAGGCTCCGAGATGTGAATGGCCGTCCCGGCTGGACCTGCATACGCAGCATGCTGTGTTTTTCTCCTCGCGGCCTGGCCCATGTGAGAGAGTAAGTGCTGCGAGTGGCGATGGAAAAGAGGACAGGAGAGAGGCAGTGACAGCCAATTACGGGCAATCTGAGTGGCAATCGCCGGCTTCATCGCCATATCGCGATACTTATATTGTAACACTCAATACTCTACCAGCACCATCCACCCGCACCTCTCTCCGTCCACCAACTCCCTTTTTTGCACTATCAACTATCATGGTACGTCGCATTGCTGCGCTGGGACGCGTCTAAGCTGCTCATCGTTTGCATCGCTCTATTGCAGGCTTCTCAGTCTGGCGTTGGCGTCGGCCCCGATTGCATGACCGCATACCAGAGCCTCAAGCTGGGCAAGAAAATCAAGTACATCATCTTCACGCTGAACAAGGACAACACGGAGATTGTCGTCGAGAAGCAGTCCGAGTCGCACAATTACGAGGATTTCCTCGCCGACCTCCCCGAGAACGAGCCCAGATGGGCGATCTACGATTTCGAGTACGAAAAGGAGGGTGCGGGCAAGAGGAACAAGATCACTTTCTTCTCCTGGTGAGTCTGTGCTGCTGCTGTTCTGCGCCGACGCTGGGTGTGGTGGAGGACGTTGCGATCTTTCGCGCCCCTCTGACTCATCACTGCTCAGGTCGCCTGACGACTCAAAGATCAAGCAGAAGATGTTGTTTGCATCGTCGAAGGATGCGCTCCGACGCTCGCTAGTGGGTGTTGCGGCCGAGATCCAGGGTACGGACTATAGCGAGGTGGCATATGAGAGCGGTGCGTCAATCTGCCTGTACTTCGCTGGCACCTACCGACTAACCACCATTCCTCGCACCGCCTTACCCTCATGCAATCATGCATCGCTCGCTCGCACAGTGCTGGACAAGGTATCCCGGGGGGCCTAATTGTTTACGATTCCACCTCGCCAGAACTTCCATTCCTACTACAAACTCGGTGCCCGCTCTGCTGATGGGCTGGCACACATAATTGCACGTCGAAGTCCTAGTACCGCGCTGGAGAGCTGAAGAAGTGATGACAAGCTGCGGATAATGACATCGATCGATGGCGTAGCACGCAGTTGAATGGAGTTATTTATGAAATCCTCCCGTCCATCGTGCTTCCCTGCATTGCTGCCACGAGTGAATCATTCTTCGGCGATTGATCCAGCATGTCCAGACTATACCCGATTTGATGTCCGGAGGCGAGTGCACCTTTGATGCACCTTGCATGCCTGAAACGGATCGCTGAATCGGGTGGCAATGCTCGGTGCGTTGCGTGTGCCGGACGTTCAACGTTCAACGTTCAGCGCTCAGCGCTCAGCGGCCCCTGTAACATGAATGCTACTGTTGTAACCACCTCTCATACTAGCCGAGCGATCCGTTCCCAGCAGATAACTGAGGGCCTAAGGTAGCTTACCGCCTTTGACTCTGCATTTAATATTTCACGATGCTGACCCCCTTTACAGCAGTCATGATCTTCGCCTAAAATACCAACGAAAGAGCGGTCCGGATTGAGATGATGGTGCCTTGGGGCGAATATACGTCCGGCACGCAAGTGGCGAGCCCCCTTCCTCATCGGCTAGGCGGCGTTCTATATCGACTTGACTTCGATGCGTTCTGCCAGGACTTGGCGGTGATCATGTCAAGGAAGTATATGGACCAAGACGCCACCAGACAGCAGATGTCCTAATGGTGCCTATGGCTGGACCAGGCATATCTTCGGCAATAGCTATGGCAAGTGCTCGTCCGGTTCGTACGCACTGTGGACGCTTGGCACACTGACAGCAGCCCTGCAGTGTGTACCGGATTCGGGATCTGCTAGGGTAAATGGCGGGAGTGCGCTGCTTCACTGTCACGCATGGGCGCTCCATGACAGTACAAATATATCAGCATCGAGCAGAAACGGTTGCTGGAAGGCAAGACGATGCAGTACAATCCGGAACCCGCACAGTACGACGCCATCATACAGTCCATTACGGACTACGTCTTCGACTACGAGGTCACTACTCCCAAGGCCTGGAAGCGCGCCCGCATCGCGCTCCTCGACTCCCTCGGGTGTGCGATCGAGAGCGTGCCCGCGTGCGCGTCTTTCATCGGCCCTGTAACCAGAGGCGCCTCTGCGCCGAGCGGGTTCCCGCTGCCGGGCACGCCCTATGTGCTCGACCTGCTCAAGGCCTGCTTCGATTTTGGCTCGCTCATCCGGTACCTCGACCATAGTGATGCGTTCCCCGGTGCGGAATGGGGCCATCCATCTGATAATATTGGCGCGATATTGCCTGTGGCGGATTGGCTTAGTCGAGAAGGAAGCGATGTTACGATGAGGGACGTCTTGGAGGCGATCATCAAGACATATGAAGTCCAGGGTTGCTTCCAGGTATTTTCAAAGCTCATTGCTTAGCTATAATGCTCATGCGGCATGTATTGCAGCTCAAGAACGCCTTCAACAAGGTCGGAATTGATCATGTTATCCTTGTGAAGGTCGCCTCTGCGGCGGTGACCTCGAAGCTCATGGGACTGTCTCGAGCGGAGACGAATGCTGCAATCAGTCAGGCCTTTGCCGATGGGCAGCCGCTGCGGATCTACCGACAGTCGCCTAACACGAGGTATGTCACAACAAAAATATATATCGTCTCCTACTGATGGGCTTTCCTCGACTGTCTTCAGTCCTCGTAAAGGCTGGGCTGCCGGTGATGCGTGCATGCGAGCCGTGCATCTTGTGTTGATGACTAGGTCTGGGCAACCGGGATTTCCGACCGTTCTGACCGATCCGAAGTGGGGTTTCTACCACTCCAGCTTCGGTGGGAATCCGTTCGTTCTGCCCGTGCCTTTCGGGACGATGGTCGTCGAGAACTTCTTTACCAAATTGGTCGCAGCAGAAGGACACGGAATCTCTGGCATCGAAGCCGCGCTGACTCTCTCCAAGCAGCTTTACGGCCGCCTTGACACGGTGCGCTCGATCCGCATCCGCACCACAGAGGCGGCGATGACGATCATCGATAAGACTGGGACGCTGCACAACGCCGCGGACCGCGACCACTGCATGCGCTACATGGTCGCGGTGGCGTTGCTCAAGGGCGACTGGCCGTGCGCTGAAGACTATGCGGACGACTCGCCGTGGGTGCGGGACCCGAGGGTCGACGCCTTGCGCGGGAAGATGACGATGGAGGAGGATGGGCAGATGACGCGCGACTACCATGACCCGAAGATGGGCAAGGGCGCGGCGGCGCTACTGGTGACGATGGTGGATGGGACGGTGCTTGATGAGGTGCTGGTGGAGAGGCCGGTGGGCCATCCGTGGAGGGAGGACACGGCGGCGCGTACGAAGGACAAGTTTGTTGAGCTGACGAATTGGGTATTCCACGACCCGTCGGGATTTTGGGAGGAATGTATGAGGGAGGAGATGGCGAACATGAAGGTGAAGGATTGGATGGAGTCTGTGGTTGGACAGCAGAAGGCCAAGGTCCAGTCAGAGATGGAGTTGGAGTCGGAGATGGTAAACTCCAGAGTCATGTATCGACTGTAATGATCACAGGTTCGTGCCCGGCTGCTGTCTAGCTGGTACTAACTCTGACTTCATACAATTGTTCAGCGTCACGTAGCGAGGACATTGACTTATCCGCATCCTGTTTACTCGACTGTAATACTTAACTATTTTCATCTATTTTGCATCGCTCCATTGAGCGCGAGTGACAGTGTATGTTGTGTCTGGCCCGGCGGGCACTGCTGAAAGGCAAGCTTATAGTTAACACTACCATAATACTGTTGCAATCTGGGGCCGGAGGGGCGCGTGTGTGGCAATGGGCAGCGCCGCCACCGGTATATTTGTATATATGTACATCGGTACTATATAGCGGGGATCGCTGGGAGACAGGGTCTCCAGCGTTTTGCCTCAGAGTAACTACGACGCGCGGGCGACTCGGTCACTCGTCGACGCCCTCGGACAGCGGCCAGCGGCGATTTTCTACAAATACTACTACATACGGCCGCGCATGAGGCCACAACTCACGAGCGTCTGATGGCAAGCTGCCGACGTCCACTGACAACGCTTTGGCGCCGTCATGCATCAATGCATCAAGTGACAGTCATCAGGGAGACTCAAATCGACTTGTCCGGGCTCGAGAACCTCCTTTTTGACCTGTTCTTGCTGGTAGTTGGCTTGTACAAGCGAATAAGCGCACAAAGATACTTCTAATCCAGAACAAAGCTCAAAACAAGAAGGTCCTGAAACTTTTTCGAGCTTACTGTCTTTTTTTTGGTGACGACAAGCGGATAAAAATGTCCTAAGCCGGACTGGAGTTTTCCTGGCGTGCATCATGAAGCTTCAAGCTCAAGTTTCGCTCTGCGGTGATATGTCATGACTACTTTGATAACGGTCCGAGGCATCCTGCCGGTGGATAGCTTTACGAGCTTACGCGTTTGTTCGGCTCCCCTGCTAGGACTCGTCGAAACCTCAAGTTCAAGGCCTCAAAATCATGCTAAGAGAATCCGCCCACCCCCCGTCTGCCATCCGCCTCCCACCTCCGAAGACCTCCCACCAAGATGGCATGCGCTGACTGTGTCTCCGGCTCTGTCCACGTTGGCGCCCCTGTCGGGACAGAGATCACGCTCGGTGGCCTGCCGACGTACGCCACGGGCGACGAGGGCTCGAAGCGTATCATCGTCATCGGATCAGACATCTTCGGCTGGAAGCTGGTCAACACCAGGATACTCGCGGATGAGTACGCTGCACGCGGTTTCCGTGTCTACCTTCCAAATCTATTCGACGGTATGTGACGTTCAATCACTTTCTTCGCCACTCAAAACTCACGATGACACGAATGATCCGGTATCGGAAGGCTGGAAGATTCCTCAATGGACACTTTCCGCAACAGATCCTAATAACGATTCACCCACGCTCTTACAAAGAGCGATTAAGCCGCTGTTCCTCTTCACGATGGTCCCTTTCCTCCTGCGCAACAGCAAGGATGCGCAGTCCGCCAAGATCGGCGGCATACTGAAGGAGCTGCGCGAGACGCAGCCCGAGGCAAAGGTCGGCTTCGTCGGCTTCTGCTGGGGCGGCCGCTACGCGATCACGATGAACAAAGACTTTGACGCGACCGTCGCGGCCCATCCGTCCCTCGTGAGTTTCCCCAAGGAGCTCGACGGCATCACAAAGCCTATCAGCTTCGCCATTGCGGAGACCGATGACCACTACGGTCCGCGTCATGCGACGGAGACGGAGAGGATTCTGAAGGAGAAGGGGTTGACCGACTTTGAGGTGGTGGTGTACAAGGGCGTGAACCACGGATGGACGGTGAGGACGAATATGGCGATACCCGAGAAGAAGGAGAAGAGGGACGAGGCGAAGGAGCAGGTGCTCGTCTGGTTTGAGCGATATTTGAAACCGGAGGGAGCGTGATGTCTTCATCGTTTCGACTTTTTTTTTTCGCATAGTAGCTGGTTCTACGGACACGCTGAAGCTCTATTTGTATAATTACGTCTTGGGACTTGATAGCATTTTCATGTTTTGTTCCGGTGTTTCCCTTCGAATTCTGTGGTGCTTGTCGATTTTATCGGATTTTTTGGATCCGGAATGCATTCAGGGATGGTGACTATTTGCGCAAGTGTCTCCGGTCATTGCGTGCATAGCGATGTCAAGACTCGGAAGACAGCTTGTTATTCCAGCCAGTTGGCAAGTGTCCTTTTGCCACAACATCGACCGCTATTCACGCACATCAGCGTACAGATCACTACAATACATCTATTCAGCATACAATGATACTACCGGTGCACAGAAAGGAATCCATATAGTGTGGAAGCAATCTCACACGATACAAATTGGAGCTTTGGGCGTAAACTACAGCTTGGACATTATCTGGTCCATAGTAATGCTCAGCGGACGCTCGATAGGCAGGCCGAGAGCTGGTTCACCGAGTCAGCATTACGAAAAATCCGCAAGGACGACGGCACATACCTCTGTCCCAGACGTACTGCGCCATAAAGCCCATCCCGCGGCTGCACCCCATAACGAGAAGGATAAAGTCGACGTCGAGGCCGTACGCATACATCAAGCATCCACTGAGCGAGTCCACATTCGGCGCCGTGCTCTTCATCTTCGGCACGTGCCTGCGGAGGACGTCCGGCACGATAGTGCTGTTGCGCGCGATGAGGCGGAGCATCTGGCCGTGCTCGCTCGACGCGGCTGCTGGCGCGGGGCGCGAGTTGATGAAGCGCGTAATGGGTTCGAGACGCGGGTCCGCGCTACGCAGGAGTGCGTGTCCGTAGCCAGGGACGACATGGCCCTTTGCGAGCGTGCGACAGACATACGCCTCGACAGCCTCCGCGGAGGGCTCGAGCCCGAGCGTCGCGGCCATAGCTTGATTGTAGCGCAGCGCTTGCATGATCGCGCCGGCGTGCAAGATGCCAGTGCCTGAGATCAGTCCAGAGGCGAGGGTAAGGTACGGGTCCGTCCAGGCCGAGCTGCTGAGGCCTAAGACATCACGAGGTTAGTGGGCGAACGTGACAGCATCAGTGATATTAGATCAACTGACGCATAGTGTGCGCTGAGACGTTCGCGCCGTGATCCATGTGTAGCGCCCAATACATGCGGACGAGCTCCTTGAAGTCCGCGTCGTGTGCGCCGCGCCCCATCCTTATCGCGAAGTTCTCTGCGATGTCGCCCTGCGAGTTCAACGGCGTATCGCGGCCGCGGCCGTTGCGGTACTTGTTCGCGTGTATGCGCGCCGTGAGGAGAGGTGTGCCGGCGTGGCTGTCGAGCGCGTCCTCGAGTGCGTGTCTCCAGAGCTGATTGCGCGGCACGCCGCTCATGAGAGCCGCGGTAAACTTGGAATGATTCGCCCAGATGGACAGGGACATGATGAGCTGCGCAGTCGAGGATATGTCCGAGGAGAGGCTGTCGCAGAAATCCTCGACCTCGGCGGGGATCTCGCCGCGGCTGGCGAGATCCGCCGCAAAGTGCTCGAGCTCATCCTGCGTCGGGACGCTGCCGCTATAGAGATACCAGAGCATCGCCTCCGGGGAGACCTGCTCGGAACCCGGCCATTTGGGCAAGGCATCCTGTAGCTCCCGGAGAGACTTGCCGTGGTATGAGATGCCAGCACCACTGGTGCCAGATATCTCCCAGAGCATGCAGGGTAGGCCCCGCATGCCCCCCATGACATTGCCGATGGTCATGTTGTGCAGAGGCACATCAGCGTATTCATTTGAAAGCTTCTGGAAGAGCTTGACGCGAGAAGGTAGGCGGGCCTCTATAGCATCGACCAAAGTGCGCTACGCAGAAAGACCCGTCAGCATGCTATGATACTGCGGCGCAGATAGGGTACATACGACATGGGTGGTGGCATGCGTCTCAAACAAAGACATAGCGATTCGCGACTGCTTGGCTCAATGTACCACAAGTAGAATGGAGGATGCGGCGATCTTCTGTCCACGGAAGATGTAGAGTACGGATTGAGGGATGCACTCGCTCTGAGAGGTCTTATATGTAGTTGTCAGTCCCTCAGGAGGGACGATATAATCGGCCTTGCACAGTCGAGGAGTCCACCGGTGCCTCAGAGGCGCTGACACCAAACCGTCACGGTAAAGCATCTTGCATGCGTGTCAATGAGGAAGCGCCATTCCGGGGAGAGATCGGAAGGAAGCGATGCCAAATCGACCCTTCCGGCCCATCTTGCGGCGAATAGGCCTCCGTATGTTCGGTAACTCTTTGACGTCGGAGGTTATGCCTCTGTTGGGGACATAGCTAAAGATCTCCGTGGGGTGCGCACTTCAATCAATGCCATCGATGCAAACACGTACTTTGCTCTGTAACCGAAGACTCGGAACTCTTCCAATGACAGTGCGAGCAGCCTTTCGAAATGAGTGTCTTCAAGAATAACACAGTGCACAATTGACAGCTGAGTCTGTGACCGTTGCTCTGGTCCATCGGGACGCATAGTCGCTGGTGCTGTCAATGGCGTCGGTCTCAGAGGCACCAGTTACGCCATGAAGACTCGTTTAACCTGCCATCCGCATGCAAACGCGCAGGGAGTGGTAAACTATAGCTCTAGAATCCATGCCCGTGCCTGGTGTCAGTCGGCGGGAGCCACAGACCATGAATCGTCGCACACTAGTAGCTTGTCTGTCAGGCTTGAGAATGATGCATCCCAGCTCTCGTTGTGGCGAACGCTGCTAGTAGCCTGCTACCTGCGAGCATTTCGCTTTAGATCCTCTTGCCGTCATGTTATATTTGTACCAGATGAAGCAATGTTCAAGACATCGAGAGTGGTGGTTCGAAGACAAGCGAAACGAGTTCAGGTCTTGACGGTTACTGCCAGATTTAGTAAACTGTAAGTGTAATGGAACGACCCGGGCTACTAACCGGGGCCACCTCACGCTCAACGGTGTCTTGGTGACGCTCATTATGTAAACACTAGACTGGAAGCAGCACAGCATGCTTTAGTTGACGTGGATTCACTCAATCTGGCGTGCACTCACTGATAATCAGGCCTAGCTGTATATATATCAGGATGTAAGCCCGAGCTTGCCTTCTACGTACCATGCCGATCCCGACATGTTAACTGACAGCGGCTATAGGTTCGTTAAACACTACAATGCACCATGCCACTAACAACACACTTCTTTCGTCCTAGCCTGTATCGATGCGTCTATTACGCGCCAAACTTGATCACTAGATCCGATGCTGAAAAGGGAAGCCTTGGCTGCCGAGCCCGATGTTTGATGCACTGGATGACAATGCCAGCGTTGTATCTGGAACAAGATGCTTTGGCGCAACTGAATTAGCAGCACATCTGGCGCAAGGAGTAATGGACGTGTGATTGTCATCTGAAGTGACGCGAAGCGACCGTGCGATCCGTTCTCCCATGATCCCGCAACCGTCATGCTCTGCACCATTCGGTAGCACAGCAATCAACATTCACGTACGTTGACCAAACCCTCACAAACAGTATCATTCGATTACACGTGGAGCTAGTCAGTAATGAGGACACAATACCGTTGAGCCCGCACCCTCTGCTACGCAGTACTTATCGCATAGAAGTTACTTTGACAGGGGCACCAGGTACACGTTGGAGCTTCCTTTATCAGAGTACATTCTGATATCATCCACGCAGCCTCCGTCACACACTAACGATTTAAGGTGTGTCTTCTCGCAGCTACTTTTATCGCCATGATGAAGTCGCATCATGATAGTCTTACACGCTGCAGGTCCTCACTCAATGGGGCACCGAAGAACATGGAGCGCACGCCAAATACGAGCCATTTCTGACCGATGAGCGCGATGAGCAGCCGGCGCTGTAGGTAGTTTATCCGGGACACAATCGCGGTTGGAGCGCAAACTCGCCTTCGTCACCTCACGCATGCATTGGGTGAATATCTCAGGAAACCGAGTATGTTACCAGGAGTATTTTCAATTTATATCTTGAGGAATGGGATGCGGAACCGACATGCACACAGACACCCGTCGGTTAGCACGACTTGCCTTACAAACCTGGTCCTGCCATGCCGAGCAATGAGTTGCTGAACCGCGACAGCAGCTTCAGCGAGTCCCCCACGGACGTCGGGCATTCCATGGCTGACAAAGAGTCTGTCGAGGACCCGCCCGACCCTCCCAACATCCCCCCAGAGCTCGACCCGCATAACTGGACAAAGCGGCGCAAATGGGTCAACGTCGGGCTGGTCGCTGCACAAGCGATCGTGACGCCCGTGTGCAGCACGCTTCTCGCTGTGGGCGCCCTCCAGGTAGACGAGGAGATGCATGTCACCAGCTCGTACGTCTCCGCGCTGCCTGTCGCTCTGTTCGTCCTTGGGATGGGCCTGGGTCCGCTATTCCTTGCTCCTCTGAGCGAGATATTTGGACGAAAGATCATCTACATAACGTTCTTCGGGATATTCGCCCTCCTGAACGTCGGATGCGCTCTGGTGCACGACATAGCCAGCCTCGTCATCTTACGATTCCTCACAGGCTTGGTTGGAAGGTGAGGCCTCATTTATCTTATCTCACACCGGCTTTTGATGCTGTCTCCTCGATGGTGCAGTGCCGGGTCTGCGTTGGGTGGAGGGACCATCGGCGACATGTTCACACGTGAAGAACGAGGAGGAGCACAGGCGATTTACGGCTTTGGACCGACCTTTGGTCCTGCCATAGGCGGCCTCATCGGCGGGTACATCGCAGACCGCGCAGGCTGGCGCTGGCAAATGTGGGCTATCGCCATAACGTGAGTCTCTCATGACATCATCCTTCCGCGCCTGGCAGAAGCCTCACAGCATATACGCAGCGCTGGCGTGACAACTATGTTTTCGTTCTTCTTCCTCCGCGAGACCTACGCTCCATACATCCTCGCACGCACGCAGGGCAAGCGCTACGCACCCACCACTATTGGGTTCTACCACAGCATCACCCGGCCGATCCGGATGTTGCTCTTCGCGCCCATCGTGACGACGATGGCATTGTACATGGCGCTCATCTACGGCATATTGTATCTGCATATCGTCACCATTCCCTTATTGTTCGGACCCACGCCATTGTACGGTCTGTTCACCTATCGGTGGCACGATGGGAACGAAGGCCTTGCCTACCTCGGTGCAGGTATGTTTTTTTGAGTATTGTTATGCTAAGAAGTACTGAAGTATGATGACGCACAGGTTCTGGCTGCTATATCTCCATCTTCTTCTGCATCGTCACACTTAATCGCAGTTACCGCTGGCTCTGCAAGAAGTACGATACCCAAAAGCCCGAGTTTCGCATGCCGGCCATGCAGGCGAGTCATCGCACTCTACCCCTGTTGTCCACCCGTGGGCTGACGCCTGTACTTTGCACAGCTCGGCATGCTGCTTGTGCCAGGTGGGCTGTTCATGTACGGCTGGGCAGCACAGGCGCAAGTCTACTTCCTCGTGCCACTGATCGGTGCATGCATCTTCGCGTCGGGAATGATGCTCACATATGTAAGAACCATCGTCCACCCCTCCATCCATGACCTTTCCAAACTGACCCACCCTCGCAGGTGTGCATCCAAACCTACCTCGTCGATGCCTTCCCGCAGTACGCAGCCTCCGCGATAGCAGCAATCATCGTGCTTCGCTGCATATTCGGGACAATCCTCAGCATCTTCGGCGCAAAGCTGTACGAGAGCCTCGGATACGGATGGTAAGTGACTCGTGCTTCCAGATATACCATCTGAGAACTCATACGAAAACTATAGGGGAATGAGCTTGCTAGCATTCATCTCAATAGCAGCACTCCCGATCCCGTTCCTTTTCTGGACATTCGGAGAGAGGCTGCGTGCGCATCCGTTCATTGCGTGACGTGATCATCAATGCATCCGTTGGGTCAATTCGTCTCCTGGTCGTCCTACATACGCAGTATATACAACAGAGTAGTATCAACACAAAGGAAACAGATCAGTGGATCGTGTATGTGAGTTCGCGCTTTATAACTTATCTTTTGTTGGATGCTTGAGTACAAAATGCTGTTTGACTTGTATAAGCATGTAAATGGGATCGAATCTGTCTATATATCTAGAAGGTGGATGCATCAGCAGTATCATAGTTCCAAATAACAGAGTTTATTATTTGGCTATTGACACGGTGGTGAATCTCAATCCTTGCGTTAAGCCTTAATTTTGACAGGGGCGGAGTTTGCTTGGTTCCACTGTCGACTGTCACCAGTGCTCTTTCGCTGCAGCCTGCGGCCCGGTAGCTTTCACGCTGTGAGTTGGATAAGATCTCAAAGTCCCAGGCAAAGTGTCGTGAACCGCGTGAACCGGCTCATTCGGTTCACAACACTTTGCCTGAGACCTACCCTCATCCCCAATCATGTCCCTCTTGACCACCGCTCTTCAGTGCTTACGGTATCTGTGCTGTGACTGTCATCCGCTATCGTCAGAATGCTGCCTACATAGCACCCGTCTCTCTCCTCGGGTCGTTGTTGCACTCCTCTCATCTCAGTAACCACCCCACGATTCCTTCATGATGGAACCACTCATGTGCATACGGTCGATTTGATGTGCAAGTGCATCTCCTCTGCAAAAATCATGCTCACCCTTGACAAGCTGCCTGTAGAACTGAAACTAAAGACAATGCAACACATGGACATGCCCGGCCTCTTGCATTGGAAGGACGTCGCGAAGACTGAATGCCAAATGGTGACGGACGAGGTCCTGCGATCCGTTCGAGCGTTACTGCGTCCGTACTGTCGTGACCCCGACAACTTCCGAGCGACTATGTGACGGACGGGCACGGTCATCAGCGGTTCGTCTGCTTTGGCATCACTCGACAGATACGCGCAATGGGAATCCAAAGATCTGGATCTGTACACCGGACGAAATAAGTGGGATGAAATGCTCGACTTCCTACTATAGCAGGATGATTACCAACTTGAAGCCGTTCGCTATGGATCGCATGAGCCGTCTGATACGGACGAGTACCCCTGGCTGAACAAGAGCATTGAATGCTCCACGACACCTCACAACGAGATCGAACTGGTCTGCAGCCGCACCGACTCCGCTCTTCGGCCACTTTGCTTCTTCTGGACGGACCTGTTGATGAATGCAGTCAGCACCGACGATCTAGTTTAGGCCAGCTCCAATCACGTCTTCTGTCGACGGGGAGTATACTGCGCAAGAAAGTTCTGGAGCTCGGAACATAAAATTATGCCAAACAAGGTTATGCTTTCGCCCTGCTGCAGCTGCCTGAGAACCTCACTCAGTGTGTCACCGACACTACTGCTGCAGAAAGCAACGCACCTTCGATGATCCACGCTGCCTTCGTGTTACGTTCGACGACGATCACCTCAGGTGGTCGCTGCGAAGAAGGATGTCATCTGCACCTGGCGCATGGCAGACGCGCGCTGTGGGGCGAACTGTGCGACGATCACTCGTGGATCACTCGCGAAGTTATGCGGAGCCAGGCAAGAAATCGACCAACGATTCCAGGGCGTTGTGTGATTTCCGTAATTACTCACAACTTTCATAACTTCTCACATATCGAACGACCTGTAGTACGTCGTCTGTTATTTGGAACCAGCGCTGCTGCGCCAACTCCACCCAAGTCAGCTTTTCCTGAGGTTCGTAGCCACACAGAACAAGTCGTCGCGCCAGTCACGTGAGCGCGTTTTCTCTAGTTCCGGGAATCTCCTATCTTGCGTTTCTATGTCTGGTCAGACTATTGTGGTACAAGACGCGTTTTGCTTTGGGAGAATAAGTTCACAATGATATCCTACGTGCAGTAATACAGACCCCCTACTAAGGAGATCCTTAACCCTCGAAAGTGAAGCTGGCGCCGACCTAAGCCGAAGAGACGCGTCAGCAGGCAAACCGGAAGCGGACAGCGGCGGATGTGGACGGACCTTGTGGGCGGGCCCAGTGGGGGACACTTCGTTCAGTCGTTGCGTGTCGAGAGCAAGGCCAAAGGAGGCCTTGACACCAGGGCGGAGCGCCTGCGTGTACCCAAGAGCGAGGATGCCGGAGTTGTTGATTTTCGCCTTGACGAACGCGGCCGAGTCGAGGTACCTTCGACAGTAGGATAAAATCAATGCGTGTCTTGGACTCGTGGAACGGAGCAACACTCACGCCTTTGCACCAACCTCGAGGCTCACACCCGCGGTGGTCGCCTTGGTGTCGTAGACAGCCTTAGCGCCCGCCTCGACGTCAGGGCTTACGCGGTGGTAGTAGCTCGCGGCGAACGTGCTGAGGTTGCCGAGACCGTGAATGGTAACGGCGTATTCCGGCGCGCTGTAGCCAATGGCGGTGGCGTAGCGGGTGACCTTGCCCTCCGTCACGTTATACGATGCCTCCGCACCGAGGAGGAAGCCGTCCCGACCGACGACGGTGTCAGCGGTGAAGGTCGGACCCTAAGCGAACAAGTCCTTGTGTGACAAATTGGACGAAAGTACGCGTGAAGAAAGCACTGACCTTGAACAGGTCAAGGAAAGCGCGGGAGTGGAGACCGGGCTGCTTGTAGGTGGTGTTAAATATCGCGCTCTTCGAGCCGGTGTCGGGCGTGAGCGCGGTGTTGAGCTCAAGCTTGAGACCCTTGGCAATCTGGTTCTCGAGCTCGACCTGGGTACGGAGGACGTTGGCGGTAGTCCACCCCTGGGTGAAGACGAGACCGTGCTTCTTCTCAACGAACTTGGCCTCGATATCGCCCGTGATCAGCGCGCTCTTGGTGTCGCGCACACCAGCAACCTTGAACGTGACATTCGAGGGCGTGTTCGTCTTGACCTCGAGCGCGACTCCGCTAATGGGAAAGTCCTTGCCGAGCAGATCGTTGGACGACTTGCCGAGGTCCTGTATGCGGCGGTGAGATGCGCGTGCTCGCTGTCCCGCACGATGCGCAGACGTACCTTCCAGGAGGGGGGTACAGGCTGCGGGAGAGACATGGCGGAGGGCTGCGAGGTTGATGGTGACGTTGAGAGCAGGGATGGGGATTTTATGGCGCGTTAAATGCTCCGGCTAAGCCCGACTCGTGATACTTCGTCTTGCCACTACCACGTTCGCGCCGACTTGCATCGTCGTGTCTTGCCGTCTTAATCTCCCTTCTGACCCGGCTACTGCCTTGTTTGCTCTGAGAATTTGTTCACAGCCCAACTCATGACTTTCCGGCCGCTCGAACGCGTCTCACATCGACCGACATGCTTTTTATGCAATAATGCAATGCCCCCACATCACCTAGGCGCTGAATGACGCGACGCGTGCTGCCGCTTCTGCGAACCCGTCGCCGTCCTATGTAGACCTTCCGCCTCCCAGTTTTGCTCGCGTGTAGATGTTTGGGACTATGGCAACGTTAATACGGCTCATTACTCTTGATCCTCTCGGGCGGCAGGCCTCATTGCCGCAGCTTTCTCGCACCTCCGCCCTACCGCCCTTCGCACATGCTAGCCTCGATGACATAAGCTTTTCCCTATGCTCATTACCCTGCGACAAAGCATAATTCGAACCCGCTTCAGTCTTGCCGCTGTGCACCCGCTTTACACTCGAAGTTCCTCCGGCATGGCCAAGTACATCTCTCCCGACGTGTGTTTGCCTTTCTCCGCCTCAATGACGTTGATCGGCATACTAATGTTCGGTGCAGGAGCTCGCTGCGCTGATCAAAAGCGACAAGGTCCCGATGAAAGATTACTGCGTTGTGGACGTGCGAGATGATGATTACTACGGCGGAAACATCAAAGGATCGCATAATTCGCCCTCGAATGGGTTTCTTGCTCGCGTCGAAGAGCTCGTTGCCCAAACGAAGGAAATCCCGACGGTCATCTTCCATTGCGCGTTGTCTCAAGTTCGGTGAGTTCTTGCCGCGATCGAGATCCACTCCCACGGTCTGTTCACGAACGTGCCTCCTCCAGCGGACCCAAGGCAGCCCGGGTGCGTTGCGCGGTGGACCTTCTCGCTCCTGCTTGACATCTCCATCTATATAGGTATACGCCGAGACACGTGATGCTCTGGAGGCGCAGGGCAAAGACAAGCACCATGAAGTGCTCGTCCTCCGAGGCGGTTTCCAAGACTTCCAAGCAAAGTACAAAGATGATCCCGAGCTTATCGAAAACTGGAAGAAAGAGGTCTGGGGCGAGTTCGAATTCTGACAGATGCCGTTCAAAGTGGCAAATACCGCGATGCGGTTGTGGATTCTAGTGTTCAGTACTATCATACACGTTAGAGTAAATTGTAATACGTCATGTGTATCGCTATGGAACGTAGATGCCCGTTGCATAAACGGGGAGCTTTTCTTGGTCTTTGATGGTGGCGACTATGAACGGGATCCCTCCTGCGACGTCGATGCCGAGGTCTCTTCTTTCGCGTAGCGTTTCGGGATCTGCTCCACGACTTGCTGAATGCGCCTCCGCTCCTCATGTAACGACTTTTGACATACGGTCCTGCACGTCGGGAAACTCAGCGTGGCTGCGGGAGAAGAGGGGTACGACATGCATACCATGTACCGAGTGAGATGACCACGAACGTGCCCACAGCCCAGTTCGAGGCTACGAACGGGCCTGAGAAGAAGCAAGTTTTAGTCTCTCCGACGCGAGTCCGAGAATGAACGCGCCTGCACTCAGTCCTCGGATGACCCCTACACCCACACCGCTCGCGATTCCACTCAGCAAGCTACTCCTTGCACATGGAATCTCGCCAACCCGCTCAAAGTCATTCCACAATGAGATTCTCTGCCTTGTTCAAGCGCCATGAGTGTTCCAGCTCGCGAAAAGTAGAGCCGAAATCCCTGCCTTGACTGCTTCCTTGACGTCCCCCCAGTAGCTCCCCGTTGTCTCTGTCTGGTAGACGATCCTCTTTGACGACCTTGGCCCCGACTCCGACTCAGGCGCAGGTGTATCCGGGCTGCCAGACTGCGACATAATGCTTGAGGTGGATCACGCGTTCGGTTTAGTTTCTGTGCGCGGAGCGAGCACCGTGCGGAGACCTCCGGATCACTTAACATCATAATCTCAGATCTAGATCACGTGATGCCGACGCGTCGTAGCACAGCGACTTGCCACCCTTCCTGGTCGCGCATTATAAAGTCTCCATTGCACGTTGCAGTCATCGGCTTGCTTTTATGACTTGGTAATCTGCACTGTGCCACTTTCCTGATGGTGCTAGCCGACAACGGTGCGCTTTCCACCGCGGGTAGGACGTCTGGAACTCGAACGTCGGGTGTGGACTGAGCCTCTAGGCTCTATCGCAAACGATCCTGTCGCGCCCGGCTTGTTCAAGAAGGCCACAACTAGGTTTTCCTTAGTACACATCTATGAAATCTCCATCGGCGACATTCTATTCGAAGATGGGTCTCAGAGACGGTGCGCCTACGACTCTGCAGATGTCCGGCTCTCAAACTCTACGCGTATTTGACGAGAGAGTGCATCGACGGATTCATTCGTTGAATACAATGAAGCAACTAGAACTTGGCAGCTATATGCTCATTTAGCATGCAAGCTCACCGACTATATGCGCCCCCAAGGGTCCAAGTGCATCGGTGCATACAAGACCATGCCGGCAGGATCAGCTCTACCGTCGGTTCATGTATGCTGGCTCGAAATGCGGGTACGACGCGAAGGACCAATGTCACCAATCATGCTTATTTTTGCTGTGAACCGCTATTCAGTCTGGGCTCAAATAACGACAACCGCACGCCAATGTCCTTCATGAGGTCGTCTTGGACCCAACTCGACACTGGATACGACTATATGCTGGTAAATTGCCTCAGCTTGATATAAAGAGCATATATGCACGATTTGTAGTCCAGCTCGGCACATGCATCCAATGTCCTCGAATTCGTCCGTTATATGCGCCCAGGCAAATCAGATTCCCTCACTGCATGCACCAAAATCCGAGACGCTGGTGCGCGGGAGCAACTGTATGTCGTTAATCTTCAGGTATTTTCATGCTGTGGCTAATCTTTCGCATACACTCATCAAAAAAGAATTTATGGTTATGCAGCTTATCTCACGCGTCCGTTCAGGCGGGTTTTGGCGCCATGAATGCCGTTGCTCCTTCCGCGAAGGTAGTCCTTGACAGTGTATAGCAGGGTTGAGCATGGCTGTGGTGAGATGCCATTTACGCCTGGAGTTCTGTTGAGATTTGCTAACGTTGTGCTGGACTGCCAAACTATGAACTTCACGACGTCTCCGCTATCCCGGAGCATATATGCTGCGCGCACTCGCCAGCGTTGAGTGGTATTGTATAGAGGATACAAGCATACACGGCGAGTGCCCGCCCTGCTTATAGTGTCAATTTATGTTTCGCGGCTGACCCGCCTGGTCGAATGCATATAGTCTACAGGAGGCAGAATTCATTTATGTCAGCTAATCGGGGCGGATACGTGTACAGCGTCAGACCACAGCTGGCGAAAAAAGTAAATGCATGCTAATGGCGAATACATAAATTCATACAGTACGTTGGCTAATTTGCTCGTCCCCGCAGTCGACAATGCACAATATCCAACATACACTATCTAATACCCAAAGTAAAATAAATCAAGATGCGGACAGTCCGTGAAGCCATGAGAGCCATGATTCATGAAGGTCGGAACGGGACGTGTGTGTCTTGAAGGGCGCAGGGATGCGCTTTTAGACGATTTCCTCGACGCAGGCGGGCATCTTGTGTCGTTCCAAGTTGCGCGCCTGCTCGTGATGTGCGCGTGCGCGTGCATTCCTGTCAGAATATTATCAGCATCGCCGACGGAACGAGCAGAGAGTGGCTTACGGCCTGTTCAGAATACTCTCCGCCCCAGTGAAGATGAAGGTGTCGTAGATTAATACGCCGACTATCAGTGACTTATCAGCGCCACAGACGACGAGAGAAAGACGAACAAATGACGTACTCAGTGCGCCGCAGATTGGGGCGATGATCGGGCACCACAACCAGAACTGACTGGACGGGGACAAGTATCAGCATCATGAACCGTACCGCGAGTAGATGATGCTCACTTGCGGTAGGTGAACACTGGACAAACCAAAATCAGCCATGCTGCGCGCGGCAGAGGAAAGGTTAATGCGCACCTTCTTTTCCGTAACCGACCATGGCGGTCAGCAATCTCGGGCCAAAATCACGGGCGGGGTTAATCGCGTAACCTGCAACGCACCATGTGAGTCCACAACATGGCATCAGCTGTGGCGAGCTGCTAACGCACCTGTCTGCATGCCCAGGGAGGCACCGATACCCAGAATCGTGATGAACAACGCGAGAGGGACCAGTCCTGCCGGTGGGGGTCCATTGTTTTTGTCGCCGAAGGCGCACACTACAAGGAGCAACGCCGCTGCCCCGACGATCTGCAGAGTGCCGCTACATCAGTGGCCCGTCGGATGATACCGGCGACGGGGGATGGACGAACCTCGTCGAAGAAACAAGACACAGACGTCATATAATCCAGCTGCGACGAGGGCGGGCACGGTCAGCGCTCGAGCATTGAGCCGGCCGCGCACACGGCGCTCCGGCACGTAAGAAGACCGACTCACTGCATATGTCGAGAAAAGGCTTGCCGTGCCGGGTACGGTCCGAATGTGCCGACCGCCCTCGTACAGGTCGATTGCGTGGATGTAGTTCGCGTAGATGATCCCTGCGCCGCACAGCGCACCCATGATTTGAGAGAAGATGTATATTGGGACCTTGCGCCAGGGGAAGTCACGGAATGTCGCCATTGCAATTGTCACCGCTGGATTGATGTGTCCCCCGGACACACCGCCCGAGAACCAAACACCGAGCGCTGTGCCTGCAAAAAAAAAGAAATTGGGTCAGTACCTGTGGCGAAGAGAAGCAGAATCGGCGACATACCAATCGCCCATCCGAAGTTGATGGAGAGATAGTCCTGAAACGCAGAAATAAGTCAGTCATCTGAGACACTGAGTAGTCACAAGAACACCTACTCCTTTCGGGGACGGGGCAACGGCAGTATTGGAAGACAACACAACCTGACAATCTACGCCGGCTCCAAAGATGATCAGAATCATCGTGCCGAAAAACTCTGCAGCGGGCTCGCGGATAATCTCCCTAAACAAGGATGAGTGACGCATTTCGCAAACGATGCAGAAGCAACCTACCGAACCCTTGACCATCGGTTTGGATACTTCGTGTAGTGTTCCGTCGTTGTGTCGTCAATCGTGGAGCTCGTTTCTGTGCTTCCAACCACGACAGCAGTGTGTTCAACATGCTCAGTGGAGCCATCTGCTTTTGAGTCAGATCGCATGCGGGAGTGAGGGTGCTCGGCGGAGATAGTCTCGAGTTCGTGTCCTTTGTTATCATGAGAAGGCATGGTAGTGGACTGGTCAGGAACAATGAAGAACGGGCCTGGAGCGGAAGGGCTATGCACACAACGGCGGCGTTAAAGCAGGATGTCTAGGTCAGACGAAGAATAAATGTGGGTTGAGGGTCGGCTGACGGAGATGAAAGGACTCTGTCTCAACGGCTGCACAGCAAGCTGCTTGCATTTTATTCAGTTCCGGCAAGGCTGAAGATCCTGTTCGGCACTTCTACTCTGGCCTCATGATAAACGGTATAGGAGAAGGTCCTGATCGAGGTGGCGCATGGGTTTCTGTTCTGGGTCGGCCGGCTACGATCTCTGAGGTTCATCCGCGAGATCCATGGCGCCGACCACGGCATCCCCGCCAGGCCCCATGTCTCCACGGGGCTGTCCCGTTTCCCCACGTATGGGGGATACTTATCCTATCACACAGGAAGCGGACCCCACAGCCTCGAGTTCTATCGTCAAATGAAACTGAAAGGCGGGGATAGAAGCCTTCACATGATGGTCGTCACAATTTCTCGATCAGAAAAAGCGGGACTATCTCTGATCGAGAGCGCCCTGAAGACCTGTGACACGCGAGGTCAGATGTCTCCAGCGCGCTTTACGATAAAGGAAGGGACTCTGCTGCAGTTTACTTCGCGTATATGGCTCGCCTTCTTCCTGCATGATCGCATAAGTCGGTCGCGGTCTCGCGTGTTCTACGTGTTCGGCGGGTCCTATGTAGGGCAAGGTGATACCGCGACGCAGGAGCGAAGGCCATTTCACATGACATCCGACCCTTACGGCGGCCGGGCCTGACCTCCATGATCGACCATAACTGTTATATCACCCGCTGCTCATGAAAACTAAGTAGTCGGCCTCTACAATGTTGCGCGTAACACGAGTTGCGAGCGTTGATGCCCGTCCTGGTCATTTGATGCCCTTAAGATGCCGTTTTGGCGGCACTTGGGCGCAAAATGGATTTGGACATACGCGGGTGCCACAGAGCCCCACTTGCCTTCCGATGATATTGTGGGATGCTGATGGAGGTAAAATCCTAAAGTCATTGTGGTCACTTTTGTCAAATCATATCCCCTGACCGCCGCTAGCGTCCACCACACCTGCCGGCCGAGCGGAGTAGTTCCGATGTGTGCGCGCAGCTACCAGGTTGGTCAATGCTTCCCACGCTGGCTACTGCGCGCCCGCCGCCAGTTCGGAGTGGCGGCCACCTACACTCATCGCGGGTGCGTCAGCCCGCCAGGCACGGTGAAATGCAGACGGCTTTGAGGTTTACGCGATTTAAACTTTGAGGAGCAGATGTCGCAACAAGCCTAGCACTGCATTCGCGCACGCTCACCTGCCCGCCTCCTGTCCATGGGCGGGGCTACTTTGTCACCGCGAGCGATGAGCAAGAATGCGCGCACGATAACGTGCAGGCGAGTGCAATCTGGATGACCCCACGGCGTATGTTCCAGTTGCATCTCGAAGATGCGGGCTCCCCACGGGGGATACAACAATTGATGATCATTTGCGTGTTCGTTCGGTTTCTGGCGGACGCCGGAGAACCTCTCGTCCGAACAGGAACAAGAGGAGTCTACCGGATCACACACTGAATGCCGCGTCTTGGAACCGGATTGTTTTTGTCGTACTGTTAGCCGGAACGACCGCCGTTCACATGGCCCTCCGCCCTGGGTGGGAGGAATTGACGAGGCGTTTCACAGCTACGCACAGCAGGACGGGACCTGGTACCCATAGGTCAGAACAGCATTTGGCAGTCTGGATTGTACGTAAGATTAATAGGATCCGGCTCGAAGATGATGAAAGTACACGGTGTGGGAGCGGTCTCGTAGCGGGCCGAGAGTTTTGCTTCGGAAAAGTTCCAGATAGACCTATGGGGCGCGCACATAGTACTGCGTAAGCAGCCGAAACCCGAGGAGCTCTGGCCCCGGACCCGAGCATTGGTCATTGTAAGTAATAGATTGTGAAAGAAATGAAAGCGTGTAGAGCGCGCCTGGAGGTTCTGTGTGGGAGAATGGAGGCGCCTATGTGCACTTTGGCTAGGTATCTGAAATTGGATCCCGGATCTGGGGAACGTTGCGGCGGGTACCGGGTTGGAATGTGAAGAGACTGGGGGTGGGGGTGGGGAAGTGGGGATGGACCCCACACCTGACAAACACGCACTTCGTTCGTGCACGGACACGCTCTCGTTTTGAGGCATGCGCCACCGCGATTGACGACTATGACTCTAGATAGGGTAGCGGATATGTAAGTACGTCCGTCCATGATCGAATGGCAGACGTTGACCAAGACTCAACTTTAGCGCATCCGGGCATGGCATGGCCCTCCGCATTCCCACTTCCCACTAGTCGTGGAATTGACAGCATTGTATAGTTGTCGCAGCAACTCGTAAAACCGCAGGGGTCCCCAGTAACTGACGAGGAGAAACTTCTCCTGCGATGCCTTCTCGCTGTGATACGAGATGACTGAGTGGACTGTGAACACATTCATCACCGCATATACTTACCCTTGAGATAACACAACAGTGGTATCCATTTATTGGCCGCCGTATATGGCAAGCAAGGCGGGATTGACGGCGGATGATCGACCTCGGATCCAATTCGATCGCTGCAGGCGCGTAGCTTGACTTGTGGATCCTTGTGTAGGAACGGTGTGCGGACCTAATCCCGTGTTGTCTACACGTTCCGCCAGATCGACGATGCACGATGCAGTGGGCAGATATATCGTTTTTACCCGCTAATATCGTCCGTATCGATCGCGTTTGTCATCCGTCTCGTGCACGGCGAAGGTACTTTTGTCAGCGGGTGCATGACCTGTTTTGACCTTGGATGCCACGGCGGAACTCCGAAGTCTGTGCCCACAGGAAAGGCACGTTGAAGACCGGAGATGGCTCGAGAAGTGGGAGACGGATCGGCGCGACCAAGAACCCGTGTTCGACGCCGGTTACAGTAGAATCCGCCACGTGAAGTACGTTGTCCAGATCTTTGCGTGCAAGGTCCATTGCGGCTGTCCTTGCTACGCCGCTCGCTGTACCGCAAATTTGTGTTGCCTTTGGACCCCAGCATTTTCGGAGGATGCACGACAGGTGTGTGGCGTGATTTTTGAATCCTTAAGCGTGAAGGGTATTCGGATCTATCTTCATCTCGTCTGCGCGCTCGCCAAATCGTTGTTGTAGTGGGTGTGTCCGTTTCCGCGCCAATATTGTCCGCTTTTCTTCCATTTATCATGGAAGTGCGCGCGGGATGCGGGGAACCGTTTGTAACCGGGTGCTTTTTTTTGGTACAATTTCTATACCGCCAAAGGCGGTCGAAGGTGTGTCTAAATACAAGTGTAGCGATGGACTACCAAAGGTAGGAGCGTAGGTGCAGTGATACATCATATCACGACCAGGGTAGAACCTATCCGGGGTCGTATGGAGTCAGGGAGGCCTTGGTCCAGGCGTCACTATCCTGAAGGAAAGCGGCCAGGTCGAACCAGGCGTCTTTGGAACGGAAGAGCGCAGGACTGCGCAGGGTACGGTGGGGGTGTTTGAGGTGGTGTCGAGCTTGGGGGTAGGATGGGCAGTCGATGAGCAGGTGGTCGCGTGTCTGCATGTTAGCAGTGCGGCACTGGCAGGCAATAGATTCCTCGTGTACGAAACGGTTATAGTAGCTACCGACGTGTCCATGTCCAGTGAGGAGATGTACGAGACGGCACTCTACTTGTCGGGGGTCATCATTCTCGCGAAAATAACGATGCAAGGTAAGACTCGGCTCAGCCGTGACGGCTGCACGGAATGGGGATGGGTGTGCGTCTTTGCGCCAATCGCGCCTCCAATGATGGAGGGCTCTTATGCGAGCGTGGCTCTTGGCCCACACCAGAGAAGGTGGATGGATGGCCGGAGCAGACGCACCGCGTTTGGCGAGACGGTCAGCGACTTCATTGCCAAAAAAGCCCTTGTGTCCCGGCACCCAGAGGAGTTCAATCTTGAGGGTGGGGTGGGCTTCAAGCATGGCGTTAACGTGTTTTGAGAAGACTATAGAATGCAATTGGCAGTCATGCGGGCGGAGGTCCAATGCGGACTCCACAGCCGCACGATTATCCGATGCGAACACGATGTGTGTTACGTCAGGGTGGTCAGGCAGGAGGGCGGCGACGTTCGTGGCCGCTGCTGCCAAGGCAAACATTTCGGCATCGTATACCTCAGACTGCCGTCCGAGACCCCACGACTTTTCGAGGAGACTATGACCTGCCAGTAGAATGCACGCACCTGCGCCAGAACGCTTGGTCTGCCTGTGCTTGAATCGAGAGCCATCGGTGTATGCCCACATCCATCCCGGCGCCTGAGCAAAGTGCTGTAGCTTCGGGCCGAGGACATTCTCGATGAATGCCTCTGATGCGGTGCTGGAATTGCTTGGTGCCATAACGGTGAGGTGATCGCCCCAGCGTCGGTAGGTTTCCCAGGGAGGGGAGTAGTATGGTACAGTGGGCACGACATCCGGTGTCGTGCGCTGTGCTAGATCATGGATAATGGTGAGTGGGTGGTTAGCCTTGGATAGTTTCAGAAGAGGGATGGGAAAGGGATCCTGGACCGTTGTGAGGGGCCAGGGGTGAGGGAGGCGAGCGAGAACCTGTGAGTTGGCAGGCAGGGTGTGCAGGCGGATTGCGACACGGTCGCAGATCTTGTGGAGTTGCCACCGAATGGGCATGATGCTGGCAAGGTGGTGGGCAGCGTCGATCGGGGTGGTTCGGAAGGCACCGAGCAGCCACCGCAGGCATTTGTTTTGAGCCTGTTGCAGTGGTTTGATGAGCTGGCCCTGGCGGCGATCTGTGAAGTAGACTGGAGCCCCAAAAGTGAGCACGGAGAGAATGTTAGAGATGTAAATGGTGCGGGCAGCCTTGACAGACATGCCACGGATGGTGTTAGCGAGCATGCGGAATGCATTGACTCGGGATAGAGCACGAGTGGTCATCACGCGAACATGATGGCGGAACGTGAGCTTGGGATCCAGCCACAAGCCCAGCCAGCGGAGATAGGGCCTGGGTTTCACCACAAATGCATGCGGTTCACCTGGGTAGAGATGAATGGGAGGTAGAGAAACACGGTGAAGGGGTTTGCGAGGGAAGTGAATGCCCTCAGTTTTATCCATGCCAACACGAAGGCCCAACTGCGCCAGCGTGTGATTGATAACAGGCACGGCCTGAACTGAACGGTGAGTGGAGATGTTCAGGGATGGCCCGGCAGCGAGTAGCCCGATGTCATCAACATAGCCCTTGAGGCAGATGTGTGGATCATCGGCAAAGAGAGAGAAGACGGGGAAAGAGTAGATGGTAGAAAGGATGGGGGAGACCGGCGAGCCCTGTGGGATTCCCACGTTCGAGATAGGGCTCGGGTCAGAGAGGTCGCCATCAATACGTAGGCAGACGGAGCGAGAAGTGAGAAAGGAACGAGTCCACGCCACTAGAGGTGTGGGAAAACCAAGAAGGTGTAAGGAATGAATCAGGCGTTCATGGCGGATCGCATCGTAGTAGCCCTCAACGTCAAGGGCCAGGAACGTTGCTGACTCGTCACACGCCCATAGACTTTGGACATCGTGGACCAAAGAAAGTCCAGCGTCGATAACAGAGCTTTTGTCGCGACCACCAAATTGGTTGGTCGGCAGCAGTTCATAGCGGCCAATCTCATAGAGAAGGCGTTTGGCAACGACCTTCTCAATGAGTTTACTCAGCGTCTCCATGAGCGCTATCGGGCGATAGGCTTTGGGGAGCGAGTAGTCAGGCTTCGATGGTTTAGGGATAAGTACCACCACCGCCCTTTTCAAGACAGGGGGCAAATGCCCCAGAGATATGGATGCAGCAATGAAAGAAATGAAGTGGTGGCCCACCGGGGACTGAATAGCCCACTTCAGGAGGCGCCATGTGGCCTCTGAAAAACCAGGAGCTGAGGTGTTCGAGGTTTCGGCTAGGCATGCGCCAATCTCGGTAGGAGTGACTGGCTCAAATGCACGAGCAGGACGCATAGGAGGGTCAGAAGGAAGATGAACAGGGATGGGATCGGGAGCAGGGGGAAAGAACTTGTTGATGAATGCACGAGAGCGATCTGCCGTGGTGAAGGCGAGCCCCTGCTCACCCTGAATGGGAGGGAGGGGGGCTCGTCTCCGGCCTACGGACCAAGTGGTGAGCGACCATGGATCACGGTCTTGGACTTTTTCGATGACTGCGGTAGCCCAGTCACGCTTTGCGGCCTTGATGGTAGCCCGCAACGCGATGTGAAGAGGGAGACTGCGTTGCGGGTCTGCGTCAGAGTATGCGGCAGCAGCCCTGTCACAGGCGGCATTCCACCAAAGCGACGTAGCCGAGGAGCGGTGCTTTCGAGGTGGCATGACCTCAGTGATGGCGTCGTGGAGCGCAATGATGAGCACATTGGCTCCAAGGTCCAGTTCATCTATGGACTGGTAGGCGGCAGGTGGGGGGTTGAGTGTGAGGAGGAGGACAATAGCATCTGTCCACTCCTTGCGCTTTTCTGGATCGATGCGGTAACCTAGATCGATTTCAAGAGGGTCAGTATGTGGCAGCCTAAGGGCTACTGTCCATGAAATGGCTCGGTGATCAGATCCGAAACGCAGCTCGTCGCTGACGTCCCAGAGCTGGGATATGAATGAATCGGTTGCAGCGGACCAGGTGAGGTCGATAATCGAGTCCCGCTGGTCACGCTGACCACATCGGGTGGGGCAATCGAGATCATTGAGAAGGATCATGTTGTGCGAGGCAGCCCACACAGTGAGCTGCTCACCAAGGAGGGAGTTAGGCTGCTGGGGTGTGGAGGAAAGACTCCATGCCCGATGATGCAGGTTAAAGTCACCGCCGAGAAGTAGGGGGGAGGTTAGAGGAAATTGAGAATGGATGAGGGCATAGAGCGCTGCGTGGAGGGTGGCTCCAGCACGATTATAGATGTTTATGACAAAAAAGGAGAAGGTGGAATGGATAAATTGGAGCGGAACAATGTCCTGGTGGGTCACAAGGTCCCGTCGGAGATGTACGTCCCATTCAGAAAGAATAGATTTATGCACGAAAGTGATGGCACGCGGGGTGACATCATCAGTCGGCGGCGGAATGAAAAAGGGGGTCCACTGGGGATGGTTCACAGTACCAAAGATGTCCGTGCCACCTTCAGCACCATGAAGTTGGGTCTCCCCAATGCGACCCCACCAAGGCTCTTGACAAAGAAAAATGCAGGCGGGCAGAACGTTAAGAAGCGTATGCAGACGAGGGTTTTCTCTCGCTGCATTCAGTTGGAAGAAGGAGAGGTGTGCAGTCATTGGGATGCGGCAGGCTCAGGTGTCGGCTGAGACCGTGGAGTAGGATGCCGGAAGTTACGGCGGGTTGGGCATTCAGGATCATCGCTGGCATGAGGCCCAGCACAATTGACGCATTTCAGATGTGTGCACTCAGAGGCCATGCCCGAATCATCTCGAGCGGCCACGCACTGGGCGCACACATCGTTATGGGAGTCGTCACGATGGTTCACGCTGCCGCACAAGCGGCAGGCAGGTTTTCGGTTCTTAGTGGGGCACTGAGTCACACGATGACCCATTTGCCAGCAGTGCGTGCACTGGGCAAAGATGGGGCGATCGGTGTACTCCTTGACGGAGACACGTTGACAATCCAGGAATAGGAACCGAGCATGCCGGGCTAGCAGAGTCTTTGCAATGGTGCCCTGGGGGTCTTCCACTGCGAACATGATAGGCGCTCTCTGGCGCGCGTCAAGCTGGTCCTGAGGACATAAGAAACGCGGCACCATGGAGAAGTGCACCTTGGCGAGGATGGGATTCACTTTGAGATGAGCAATGAGTTCCTCACCATTGTAGGTGGGGTGCTCGGGGGTGGGTCGGGTCAAAGAGCCGGGAATGAAGAATTTGGACCAGGGGACAACCGGGCGCATGTCCGAGTTGCCTCCCGTGGGCGGGACGGGCACGTTCAGTGCCGCCCGAATGATGGGCGCAGCCTCGGTGATGAGAGTCTGGGACGAAGCGATCGACCACTGGAAGACGAGCTTCCTGGCCGGCGAGAAAGTGATTGCGAGCAGGTCGACACCGGTGAAGGTGGGCTTAGCACGCAACATGCCACGGACTGTGCGCGTGATGTGCGGTGCACCAAGGGCATGTAGCCGGACATACTGATCATCGGTGAGCGACAGAAGCGTCGCTTTATGGGTGTCTTTCCGCTTGGGAGCGGCAGATGCAGACGTAGCGCCCGCAGACGAGCCGCGAGCTGGCATGGTGGTCTGGGTATGTTTGGGAGCACGGGCCTGCGATGCAGCCACCTGACTGTAAGGTAGGGTGATGCCCAGCTCGCGGTTGTCATCAGGGTGGGGACGTTTTGGAGCAGAACGGGAAGCAGATGTGCGGGAAGACCCGGGAGAGACCCTACGTACCTCGTCTTCGAGGCGACTGAAGCGCCTCATGATGTCCGCGACAGCGGGCACGAGAGCAGCTTTGACGGCATCGGCGACAGCATTGCCAGTCGAGGTAGCCTCGTTGATGCGGGTGCCATCGGAGGTCAACCCAATATGACTGTAGGCTTTTTGCATCATGTCCACGGCCCCGGCGATGTCTCGCACAAAGTAATCCGGGACGGCAGGGTCGGCAGAGGTCAAGTTAAAGACGGAAGTAGCGATGTGACCGCAGAGCACGCGTAGTACGTCGGTGAACATGCGATAGTCGCTGTCGAACTGCAGAGGTTCGACGGATTTTTCCACATTCCGCAGGAGGTGGTGGATGGCCATGGTCAGCGGGGAGGGGCCTTCGTCGTCGAGTTCCTCATCCTCATCCTCCAAGTCCAGAGGAGGGTCAGGGACGGCGTCGAGCATAGCAGAATCTACGGGATTTGACATAAGCGCTGAAGAGCTGATGACAGTAGGAGCCAAAAAGGAAAATTGTTGTAACCGGGTGCGTGATTTGTTTTGGTGACCGACCTTGGATGCCACGGCGGAACTCCGAGTTCCAAGCACATAGGAAAGACGCGTTGATAGCCGGAGACTCGCTCAAGAAGTAGAACACGGATCAGACATGACCAAATACACGTTGTCAATTCCGGTTACAGTAGTAAGGTCGGCCAAGGTGGAGTGCGTCAACAAGACCTTGCGCATTAGGAGGGACAATCGCGTTTGGTTTCATAGTTCCTTCCACAGGATGCAAGGTTGTACTCTATCAACGATATCTTGACATTCATATATCGTTGGGAACAAGTACTGCCGGTGATAGCTGAAGCAGAGCTAGATATTGAGGCTTCAGCCAGAATACAGCAAGGGACACTCTTTTGACGAGATGTGCCGTTGTATGCGCATATAATCCGGGCTATCAGCCTTTTCAATAAAATAAATGCATTCAAAATATCTCACACGTACGCGACGACACCACAGCGAAGCGAGATAAGTTCTGCGCGGGTCGTTCAGGGTGCTGCGAGTACCTCAGCCTCCGCAAGTGTATTGGGTCACGTGCTGACGTCTCGTCTTAACAATAGACGCCGGTCCGGAAGCATCGAAATCACAGGCGCACAGCCGCAATCATACCCTTTGTTCCATCCACTATGTCTATGTTCGACAGATTCAAGAAGAGTGCCCAGAAGGCGGGCACGCAGGCTTCCGCTTTCCTCCAGCAGGGCGGTAATAGGCTCGCGCACGAGGGTCAGACCTTTGTGCAAGGGTTCTCCTTGCCAGGAGAGGCCGACAAAGCAGCCAAGATCCTGGCGAGTTTCCTTGGTGCGCATTTGAATCGCTATATGGTGAGCGGCCAATTGACATGCGATATAATCACAGCCAATCCAGATCTACCCGAATCCGCACTGAATTCCATTCCAAAAGCCGTCCTACAACAAGCAAGAGGTAGGCAGTTCTTCTATTGCGCTACCACAATCCCGATCACAAACCATTGACGCACGTCCTTCCCAGGCCTCGCCATCTTCTCCGTTCTCAAAGCAGGCTTCGTGTTCTCCGGCAAGGCCGGCTCAGGCCTCGTCATCGCACGCCTGCCCGACGGCTCGTGGTCCGCGCCTTCCTGTATCGCAACCGGCGGTGTAGGTTGGGGCCTCCAGATCGGCGCAGACATCACCGACTTTGTCATTGTGCTCAACAGCGAAGACGCCGTGCGCGCGTTCTCGATGGGCGGGAATGTCACAATTGGTGGGAACATCAGTGCTGCGGCGGGCCCGGTTGGCACGGGTGCCGCAGTGCAGGCGACTGTCGCACATCCCGCGCCAATGTTTGCGTATTCCAAGTCCAAGGGTGCGTACTATCTGCCTCAACGAGATCGACGTGAAGGTTGCTAATTGGTATTGGCGTCTATAGGTCTCTTTGCCGGTATCTCGCTAGAAGGCGCAGTCCTAGTCGAGCGCAAAGATGCGAACCGCGATTTCTACGGCTCGTCAATCCCAGCATCCGACATTCTAAGCGGCCGCGTACCTCCTCCCGAGGTCGCTTCTAAGCTCTACGAAGTCATCGAAGCAGCGGAGGGCGTTGACGAGAGCGGCCTGCCGGAGACCGCATACGTTCCCACCGCAACCGGCGACTACAAGGATGTCCACAGTGGAGGCACTGTCTTCGACGCTGGCGCGCATTGACATGTTTGTCATATGAGAGGGACGACCCAGGATGCACCATCAATGTTGTATATGTACTGTACTGATGCTTTACCAATTGAGCAGCGAGTTCTCTATCTCCTGCACGTTTGTACATTAGGTTGTTTGTTCAGTAATTAATCTCGGACTCGTTCTTCCGTACGACAAAGCCTGTATTACAAAGTACTGAACCCTACAGAAACAAGTTTGTGTGGCTAGTGCAGGTGCCCGCAGAAGACGACATGGCGGCCTTACAGTGCGTTTCGATGTTTTTTTTTACTCAACGCTAGGCTCATAAATGGGCCTTCATATAGGAAGAACCTCTAGCCACGTATTAACATCAAAAAATGATACAATACAGATCCACCTCTAGAAATACCGATCCCAAAAGCCTTCGGTACCGTTCGTGCTGGCAGCGTACGGCTCGATGCCCAGCAGCTTCATCATGAGGTTGTAGATGTTCACGTTCTCGAACGTGTCCATCACGTACGTGTCGTCCGATGTCGAGTGCCAGCCCTTATTCGGGCGCGAGAGAATGCGCGGGAGGATGCGAGACTGGCAACGCGATGCCTCGACCGCCTTGACGACGGAGGAGAAGGGACCGTGCGCGACGAACATCGCATGCATCGATGGCTCGTCGTTGTCGTAGCCATGGTTCTGATGAAGCGTTAGCACCTGATACACCGTGACGTGAGGCTCAGCGTGAATAACTTACACCCTTGCTCATGCCAGTACCATTTTCGATACGGTTCGTGAGCGCGTACCCCATCTCTGGTATGACGTATATGGGCGCAATGCGGTCGTTGTGCGCAAAGTGCCATCGTTCTGGCATAGTTTCATGCGTGTAGACGTGATATTTGCCCCCACTTTCCTGCGATGCAGCGAGCAGAGTATCGAGATACTTCTGCACATCGGCCTTCGGTGAGAAGCGCAGGCCCGCTGCTGGCCAACCTAACGGTTGAAAAAGCCGCTCATGAGTTTGCAACTCGACCATTTTACTGCTGAGTAGCTACAGACCATCCTCATGCTCGATCAGGTTGTACCCCTCACCGAGAATGTCGTCCAGGTAAATCCATTCGGGTTTGCTGGTGTCCGTCATGCCGTGGTCGCTCACGAATACGATGTCGACGATGTCCGTAAGGTTACGCGCCTCCAGACCGGCATGCAAGTCTCTTGCAAACACATCCACTTCATGGAGGACTTTCTGGGAGGACAGAAAAATCTCAGGGTACGAATGGCAAATTGAAAATCGGAATAAAGCTTACGTTCACGAGTCGTGAGTTGGGTCCTTTCCAGTGCCCCGCCTGGTCCAAGGACGGCTCATACGCTATAGGGTCATGTTGAAAAGCCCATAATCTTGAGTCGACAGCAATGCTTACCCATGATCAGCTGTGGTCGCTCGTCCAAAGGGAAGTCGATCCACGTCATGATCTGATCAAGTTTCTCTTGCAGTGGTACACGATCCTAGTTGACAGTCTCGTCAGCCTAGTTGTCCGTGATCAGTCACGGAATTTCTCACCCTCCAGGGAATGAAGTAAGTAGGCGAAGCTCCCGACGAAGTTGTAGGCGGACCGGGCCTACAGGAGGAAACAATCACTCATATTTACACTCATGTTCATCGGCTGAGTTGCAACTTTACATACCACATCAGGTTAGCTGTAATAATATCCGCGCGCTGTGCAGTCTCCCATATCTGATATATCCTTCAGCATACAAGCCGAAGAAGATGTCCAGAGCGACTTACCGGCTCACCAAACCACCACGAGGAGTTCCACGACGCCTCTGCGCTGTTATAGCGGAATTCCAAACCAGTGTCAGGATCCCAGAAGTTCTGGATACAAGATTGTCAGTGCATCATTTGCAACAGCTACTGACACTCTGGCAGACATTTGCGACAATTCCGTGTGACTCCGCATACAGCCCGGTCCTACAGTTCGTCAGCAGATACATACAGGTATGCAGTCCGACAAACTCACATTAGTGCCCAATGATTACTGCATAAACGCGCAACTCTGGTCAACATTTCCACCACAGGCAATGACCGCGAAGGTACTCACGGGAACGTTAGAGTCTGGAAAGCCAGAACGTAAGCCAATACCTATTCCAAATCATACACAGCTCCACATACAGGAAATATAGACTTCATAGACTTCGCACGCAGCCCCTTCTTGCTGATCGCAAGCAGATGCGGCGTCAACCCTCGGTCGAGGTAATCCGCCCTACGTTACGTAAACAACCTCCATGAACAGCATCAAGTACACGTATCACTACGACGCACCGCAACCCATCTATCGAGACAATAAGGGCCGTTTTCCGAAAGTCGTGTGTGCCATTACTGAGGAGCGTCCTGTGGTCCCAGTGCGGTTTTGTCCTAGTGACGGGGCGCAAGATATTAAGGAGCGGCGTGCCGAAGATCGCACCGAGGACTATCACGACCGCCGCAGCCCCGAAAGCAATAATGACCTTGCCAGAGCAGTTCCTACGCGCACGCTCCGCATAGTCTCCAAGGTTCTTGGTGGAATCGGATAGCAGTCCTCTCCGCTCCTCCTCCGAGCTGGCACCGAGCTCCTCTTCCGTCAGAGTGCGCGCGAATTCATGTATGGGTCGATCATCCGTCTGCGTGTCGCTCTTCATCGCAAGACGGGTCGGTACTGAGTCTAGCTGATAGGCGGAGAGATGGAGAGTGGGACTGAAGCGTCCGCCGAGGTGGCCTTACGCGCGAGAGAGTACTTACTCCGGATCAGCCTAATCTGGCTGTGAAGCAGCTTACATAATATAACCTAGATTACATCCGTAGTAACCTCAATCCAAAATCCATGTACAGAACATCAATCACAGCTCGACAGACACATAACGCTAGACTTTTTGAAGTATCGCAGCCAGTAACGAGTCATATCCTAATGCCAGCTATCACTCTGAGTCACGCTGCCATTGGACGGCGTCGTGATCTCGTTGTTCGGGTCGTCCTCCCACGTAACGTCTCCATTGTACTTCGTGAGGTACTTGTACTGAAGGGCCGTATTAGCAGGGAGGTAGACGGTGACTATGAAGCATCGTCAGCATCAGCAATCGACTCAGCGATGATCGAAGACGTACTCGACCAAGTGGGATAGTCGGGGTTCGACATCTCGAGCGCGTTATCTACCGACCAATCCGCAAGCTCAGAGACCGAGCCGGTGATGTAGAGGTTCTCTACAATACCCCGCCGCGATGAGCGGATGGCCAGTCTATCAGATATACAACAGCAAACTCACCTCCGTAGACAGTGTCGTAAACGACTTCGAACGTCACGGCGACTGTTCCAGAGCTCAAGCAAGACGAATTCGCGTTCGCCGCGCCCCAGCTACCGTACGTTGTCCCATTCCTCCTCGCAAATGCCGTCAGCGCCGACGCAAAGCTCCACGTCAGGTCGTAGGCGCTCGTCTGTGCGCCGTCCGACTCCAAGTACTGCTCGCTCAGAGACCCATTCGACGCCGTGTACTGCGCATTCATGAGCACGAAGCCGTCCGCAAAGTCCTTGACGAATGTCATCAGATCACTGTACGTGTCCGTGCTGGAGTCGTATGTCCCGGTAGTAAGCGTCGACTCGAATTGCTGGAAGAAGGCGAGCGAAGTGTCGGTAACGTTGATCTCGCCGGCTGCCTCCCAGACGATCAAGGCATCATAGAGCTGCTCGGCGACCGCAAAGGTGCAGAGGTACCATGGCTGGCGGTACGCAAATTGTCAACAATGCTTGTACCGTGGAGACAGCCGCTCGACTCACGTTTCCACCATAGTAGACGTCCTCTGGATAACGACCAGTCGCGACAGCTTCCGAAGCCGCAATGTCATCGTTGATGGTGTAAAGATCCCGGAAGGAGTCAACATAGACCTTCAGGTTCGAGAGCGCCTTATCCGAGCACGGCTGAAAGGTAAGGTCATCGCAGACGGCTTCCGCGTCGAACGTATGGATTGATGCCAAAACGGTGTTTGCATCCTTGCCCGAGCGGCCACCACCAGTGTTCGCTGTCATGTACAAATCATCTGGGTTCCAGAAAGACTGACAGAATCCGGTCAAGAGCGAACCACAAGATTTCGTTTCCCCCGAGAACTCACTTGCATGAAGCACAGGATGCCATCTGCCTGCGTCTCGTAGTCGCTGACATCGGACGTCTCGTCGAGCCTGGTCGCGAGCGTAATGCCCTCGCGAAGTGCGCGGTGTTGGACGGCTGAGGTGAAGTACGAAGAAGAGTCAATTTCCTCCCAGAGGTCGAAGCTGCAACATAATGAGACTCACAGTCAGACTTTACAAGGAGGCTGGTGGACTCACGTCGTATCGTTCCAGTACTCCGCGACATAACCCAGGTCAAGCTCGATCATCGGCCACAAAGTGTCAGTCACATAGGTCGCATTGTCATTGTCCAGCAGCCAGTTCGCATACGCGATGATAGCGGTGGCGCGGAGGGCAGGGCCGTCTACAAAAAGTCGATTTTCAAATACGTCGACTTCCATGCGTGAGCGTGCATACCACGTTGCGGACGACCCCACGCGCCGGTGAAGGCGGTTTCGTCGATGTTGAACTTGGGCTCGCCGAGGCCGCCAGTGCTGACCGTCCCGCTCGGGTTGCTAGTCTGCTGGAGGATCGACTCGGCGGTGACGAACTCGTCGATGAGCGTGCGAAGCGAGTCTGAGCTGTTCTCTCCCGAGGTGTACTGGTCGATGAGAACCTTGAACGTCAGGGAAGAGTCACGGACCCATGTGTAGAGGTAGTCTGGGTTCACGGTGCTGGGACTGGCGATAACTATTCCCGACTGTGAAGTGAATTGAGTGAAGAGACCATTCAACAACGGGAAGGCAACATACGTATGCGCCATCGGACAGCGAACCAGAGGCACCGATGTTTGCGAGCACACCAGCCTCCGCAATAGGCGACTCGGTGGTGATGTACGAGCCAATGCTGCCGGTCTGTGCGAGCACACCGCCGGTGAGAGCGAGAAATGATGTCAACGAGAGTCGCATCGTCGCGACTGGGGAGTGCAGTCTGCTGAGCAAAGGCACCTACCGCGTTCCATTTTATATGCGTGAAAGCATATGGCACGGCCCCGACTGGCAATTATAGCATGCAACAAAGATCGTCAGGTGGTTTCCTCCGTGCACTGGTCCCTGATTCCACCAACCGATGTCATCCTCGCCGATGACCGTCTGATCTCCCAGGCATGGTAACCACCAAACAGGAAGCTGTGCAAACAAAACTGCAAAAAAGAAGCTGGAAAGCATTGCGCGTAGCCAGGACGGGGGGAAAAAGATGCGACGAGCGCATGTTGCGCTCGGATATAGTGCCTACTTCACGTGGTCGCTCAGTCTCGTGTTGTGCGCTGCATGTGGCCTGCAGGTGGGAGGAAAGGCAGCCGATTTGGGTGGAACGAAGTCACTTCCAAGACGCTGGTAGTTGCCTTCTCCGTGGACGGCGTTTGGCGCCTCCCGTTGATCGTCCAATTCTGCGGCGCGGCGAGTGCGGCGGCACATGTATCGTCCACGAGCCTCGAGGATACCTGCTTCGAGCTCCTCGCGGAAATGTGATGGCTGTGTCGCCAGACAAAGACAAGGTTACCTTGTTGTCTGTCGAAGAAGCGCGAACGTGAAATTTTTGCTAAAGTCAAGAATAGCGCTGCAGGGACGTCCAGCTCTCAAGTTTCCAGATATAGCAATACCGCCCGTGAGTGGACGGTCGGATGGGACTGAACGCCGAGTTTGACTCTACTTCCGCTCGGTTCCAAGGAAGTCTATGAGGAGCACGCTGATGGATCGGAGACGGCTGCGTCAAATATGATTCAAGCTTTTGCCAGGGCGGATATAGGTCGGAAGCAGCAGGAACACTGAAGCAGGCATGTCGGCGAACACGTACCCGCACCGCACACGACAAACGAATGAAGCGCGCAGACTCAGCTGCAATGCATTTTACAACAATTGTCAACAATTGTGCATGTACACGAAGCATAAAACGAACGACAGAGTCCACATATGCGTCCGGCATATCCCAGCGCAGCCGTGATGCACGCCACCCACCCGTCTGGCAAAAGCAATTTGCAATCAGCATTTAGAAAGCGTCGAGCGTGCCTTCATCTTCTCTCCCGGTGTGCATGTACCGCGTCCGTCACATCGCCCTCCTCCAACTTCGCCAACGTCTCTTCCAGCCTCACCGCCCTCTGCGCGTCCATCCGCTCCTCCCACTCCGGGTCCGTGCTCATATAACTCTTCGGCCTATCCCCCGTAGCGCGACTCGCCTCGCTCTCCCGACTCGCCCTCCTGATATGCGTCCACGACATGACCGAGCCCGCGCTCTCGCGCAGCCTCTGCGCACGCAACCGCTCCGGCCTCGCGCCGGCCAATAGCAGCGTACTCGCGCGCGTATCGCCGTACGCAGGTGGCGGCGGCACCGCAATGATATTATCTTCGACGTCGCCCGTGCTCACGCCGCTCTGTGCCAGCGCAGCCGCATAGGTCGGCAAAGACGGCCGGTTCCAAGGCACGAGCGCCATGCCCGTGTGCGCCGGCGCGCGCCGCTGGCTCGTCGGCAGGATCTCGCCTGGATGCATGTGCGCATAGCGCTCTGCGCGCAGGCGGAACACGGTGCGTTCCAGGATTATGATCTGCACGAGTGTCATGATGGCAAAGGCGACGTAGACGAAGATGAGCGCGGAGCCCATGGCAAGTCCGCCTTGACCTCCCTGGCTGTTCTGTTTATTCATGGAGGATGTGGATGTCGACTGGCTGGACTGCATGCGCTGGATGAGGACGGCCCAGCCGGTTATGGTGCCCGCGAGCACCAGTATCTCAAAGATAAAGACGGCTAATGTGCTGACGCGCAGACCGGCGACGGTCGGGACGCGTTTGCAGTGCTTTGGCACGGAGTGTGGTGTAGAGTTGGAGGTGGCGTTGGGATTGACGTCGCCGCCCGAGGCTGGCGGGTTGGTGGGAGCAGCAGGACCTGGCCCTGCGCTTGTGCTATGACTTGGTATGGGAGGAAGAGGAGTGTCTGCTGGGTGTCTGGCAGGCAATGGACTGGATGATTCCGCATTACTGCGACCCTCACCGAGATCCTGCGTAGCGCCATGCACATCCTCCCGGTATCCGATCTCTCCGCGTTTAGGTGGGAGAGGTCCCGCCTGTGGTTGAACTTGCTGAGGTCCGGCCGTCGCCATGATGTGTGCCTCGTCCAGCGTAGGATAAAGAACACTGTCTGTCCGTGCAGAAAAGAACGTAAAAGGAATCAAGCTTGCGCCTGGCAAAGAAGACAGAACGACATGCAAGGGAGGGGTGAAGTGAAAGACTGGGAGGGAACGCTGATGCGCAGTCGGAGGGAGTGCATTCAAAGGAGTGTTATGTGAGAGATTGGTCGGAATTTGGTGATTCGCCGCATGTCGCGTTCACTATGGCTACGGAGCGCACGTGATCGTCATCTCCGTCGCGACGCGTTCATTGGCTGGCGATGCATCGCAATCGCACATAGCCCACTCACGTTTCTGATTGTGCATCACTGCAGCGGCCAACAGCAGGGAAGACAGATACATACGAAACACACCAGCTGACTGGCTCTCAGAGATCAATATTCGTCTCCTCTCGCGGCACGATGGGTCCCAGGTCGACCACCGTGTAGAATGCAAAGTTCTTCAGCTCGGGTTGCTTTGGGCGTGATGGCGTCCCAACTTGGGTCTCTTCGGCCGGCTCGGGGTCGTCTGAGCGATACGTAAAGGATACGAGCATGTTGAACTATCCTGCGGTTGAGCTGCCAGCTCCACACACTAACGCAATACATACCTTGACATTTCCCCGCGCCTCCTTCGTGAGGATGACCTCGCCGCCCACTACTGTCACATTGGCTCGCTTCTCCAGTATCCCGACCGTCCGCGAGCCCCGTCCGTCTCTCTGGGCCCGGCCGTCCACGTCCTCCTCCTCCAACCCGAACATGTCTTCTTCCTCATCGTCCTCGTACTCCCATGCTTCCGCGAACGCACCGATGGGAAAGGCCGTACTTGGTAGATTGACTTGAAATGCAGGTCGGCGCGGCTTGTCTCCTGTCTCCGTCGCACCCTCCGCGTTCGCTGCAGAGATGAGTTGAGCTTTCTTGAGGCGCACCTGGATGGGATCGTACAAGGGGTTGGTGAACGCAAGATGGAACGGATACGTCTTGCCCGCCAGCAAAGCGCCTGCCGTGGAACCTTGCACGTCGCCAATCGCCGCAGATGCAGACTTGTTGAGAGCCGACGAGCGTTTCATCATCTCTATCGCAGCTTGTGCGTGAGGCAGGGTGGCTGTGATCGCGGGAAGATAATTCCCAGCAACAAGCTTGATCTTGTAACGCACCGACTGTGCCTTCTGCTCTGGCTTGATGAGAATGTGCCGACAGCTGGGACAGCGCTTTGACTTCTTCGATTGTAGCGGTATCCGCATAGGCTTGAGCTCACTGTAGACACCGTCAACAGATCATTGAAGATCTCAAATGCCAGTCTCACCTCGTTTGCAGTGGATTTACCCAACTGTTCAACCATCGTTGCTCGAGGCTCGCCACTTCCGACACCGTCTCCAGATGCCGCATATATTCCACATCGGCCTCTCCTCCTCCCAAACCCAGCCCTATAGCCGAGCCCGCCTCCATACGCGCCCTGTAATCGGATATCTCCTGCTTCTGGCTGCTCTTGTAGGCCGTCAAGCGAGTGCGCGACAATGGGTTGTACTTCGCCACGCCGGGGATGTCGCGCGCGAGTGCAGACGAAGCAGCGGCTGTGATGGGGTTAGTGTGAAGGTGATGTGAGGAGACGTTCGGCAGGCCGGAAGAGGGAGATGCACGTAGGTAGGGCTCAAAGTGTTCCTTCAGGCGCTCGAACTCGAGCGACTCGGGGGCGGAGTCTTCGTACCTTTGCAGCTGAGCTGGATGTGATGTGAGATGAGGAAGAACATACAGTCGGACGCACGAAGATATACATACCTGCCAGACCGGTCGGCTTCTCGAAAGTGATGTCAATCTCTGCCGAGTCCCATCTGCAGTGGTTGCAGTAGAGAAAGAATGGGGGCTCTCCTAAAGAACTGGACACGATCGTCGATAATCGCATTTCGCTGCCCTCTGACGGATCAGAAGGCACAACAGTGAGGGTGTTTCGGCATATGGGGCACATGAAGCAGTTCCGGGCACACCTATCATGCATGTCAACAAATAATGCGGTTCACCTGCTCGCGTACTCGCCTGTTCTTCTCCGCGCGCACGCTCGCACTGGGCACCTCGAACAGACAGTTTGGGCAGTAATACCCACTGACTTCCATCATGACACAACGGTTACACCGCACAGCGTCGCATTCCTCGCAGAAGAAGAGATTGTGCAGGGGATGAAAACTGTATGCAGATGAGGGCAGATGAGGTGGCGGAGGATGGGGTGTCTCCGCCAGGCAGGGGCAGTAGTATTCGACACTTGAAGCCATCAGCAGGTTCTTGGCTACAGGTGAAAGCTGGCAAGAACGACAGCAGTTGTACGCTTGCTCGCAACGCGACAGATAGATAAGATGAGAGCAAGAGCGTCGGCAGAATGCACGCAAGAAGGATGAACGAGCTCCTCGTCGCGGCACACGTGATCAACGCGTCCCATCACTCCGCGCCACTTCCACCGCCACTTTAAGCATTTCGAACATGACGAGAAGATTGGCATTAATGACGGATGAACCGACAAGTGGAAGACCAAGGCACATATAGAGGAATCTCAAAATCTAAATGCAGGATGCTTGAGGTACGGACCCCTCCTCGAGATCGCCGTTCTTCATCCTCTCATCATTTATACGTTGAGTTGCCACAAGTACACAGTAGGTGGGTGTGGAATGAAAATGCAACAGTACATTGGTAGCAAGAGGTCTAGAGCAATCAACTGTACGTATGATCCATACAAGCGAACGGTAGAGCTCATCGATACTCTAGTGGCACGAACTTCTATTACGTTCCTCATTTCTAAGACTCCCAGAGGTGGCAAGCACCTACGCGCGAGACGCTACGACCGCTCATACCACGCCTCGCTGGTATAGTCCTTCTTTGGGCCGCTCACCTCATAGCCAACCCCAAACTCCACCAGCTCATCTCCCTTGAAGCAGAATCGGTAAAAAGGCTTGTACAGATCCCTAACACAGAGATGCTCGCTGCCCCTGGCCGCACAGCTCCCCGCGTCCCGATGGTCCGCAAACCACGTCGATGCCCGTGCTCGCACGTCGGAGGAGGTCTCCGAGTCCAAGAGGATATCGTGGAACCAATCGTCCACGTCGCCCGCATCAGGAAGCGCAGCAGAGGCTCCTGGCTTCACGCGCCAGACCGAAATCCGCGTCGATGCCGGATGGTACCGATACACGTATTTCATCTGCGCAGGGAACGAGGTACCCGTTGCGGTGGTGAACGTGCCATGCTCGCGATACAGGTACTCTTGCATACCCTCCTCCGGCTTGTCTGCAGTTGGAGCGCGGAGGAAGAAGGTCGCAGTGCCCTCGAACCGTCCATCGATGCCCTTTGATTTTCGGCCGTGATGTATCTTTCGGCGAACATGCCAATCTCCCACTAAGGAGCGGAACAGGGTGCCCGGATCCCTGTGTGCGTGGGAGGTGTGGGTGTTGCTTGCAGAGCGATCGCTCTGCAGGGGAGAGATGACCGACGAGAATGCCTGGCGAGCGTGCGAGGGGCTGCGCAACGATGTTTGTGCTTCCGTCATGGTGAGCAGTCTATAAGAAGCTTGTCGACACCTGTTCGACAATTGCAGTCTCAACGCCAGATCGTGCAGGTAGATGGAGTCGATGTCGGCGGCGGCAGTGATGGCTACCCCGCGATGAAGTAAGGGTGCTGAGCCAACACGTCGGTCTGTTTAGCGCTGAGCCTGAGACGTTGCAACGGCGCCACCGCCACAGTTCCAGTCACACCTCCAGGATGCTGCTCTTTTTAGCTCTCAATATCCAAGCCCATCCGATGGAGTCTTATAGTATTGTAGCTGCTATATGGTGCATAAGAGTGTACATACTCCGAAATATACAGTCTCGTAACCTCCGTGACGCCAGCTAACTTGATGCATGACCGTCCATGCACTACTGCATGACCGTCCATGCACTACTGCATGACCCTTGAAAATTTGAAAGCTTGAGCTTGAGTGCTTGAGCTTGCTATCGCAGAGCCGAAGATAGATGGGTTTAAGCTTGAAGGCAAGAAGTAGGGCCTTTGTGAGAGTGGAGACCTACATACCTAGATACGAGTCACAGGTCTCTCAATCCGACATCGCAGAGCAAGGCATATATGCATGTGGATCATTCATGATCACGTTCAATATACAAAGAACGGCATTATACTAGGTACGCTCTAAGCTGCAACGAGCAGTCAGATCTCATCATCACTCTACGGAGAAAACGACGACATACTCTCACAGATACACATGGTCAAGCAGCGAACGGGGTACGTACAGTAAAAGCAACTTCAAGCGTAGAGCAAGGGCGCAGTAAGTGGTGGTGGAGAATGGATGGGTCATCGTGATCTGTCTATATAACACTAGCATCTATATCCATGTCCGTGATCATCATCAGGCGTGGAGGTCAAGAACTGGACGAATGAATGTGGGAGAGGGGGTGGGATTCTACGGGGTATCGAGAAACTCGTATCGTCGAAAATACACTTGACGCAGGGGCGATCGTCATCGTCGTGTCGTGCAACCGGAAGTTACGTAGCAGGCAGGCGAATGTAGACATTAGAAGAGGAACGAAGGAACGAGCGACGACGCTAACGCACACGCGCCGACATTCAGCCGACGACGGCCCGCGACTCGCTACGACCCATACTCGCGCTCGCGCTCGCAGATGTGGAGTCCAGTCGCGGCCGCAAACTCGCTGAACCCAGGCAACTCCACCCGTTCCGCCTCGCCCTCCTCCTGAGTCTGCGCGCTCAGCGTCGCCGAGCGATGCGACGGCGACGAGGGCGACGACGGCAGCTTCAACGGCGGCAACTTGATCGGCGGCGAGCACGCCCGCGACACAGGCATCGACGACGCGCCTATGCTCGGGAAGTCCGGCGGCGGCGGCATCTCCACCTGCGCGGGCCCCGCGCGCCGCGAAGCCGGAGGCGCGTGAATGGGCGTCATCCCAAACGCGACGCGGACCGAGTGCGCGAGGTGGTGGTGGTGAGGGTGATTACGCATTCCGACAGGCGACGGCGCGCGCGAGCTCGACGCGCTACTCGGCCCATGCGACGCAAGCGAGAACGTGTGGCTGCGCGGGCTGCTCCCGCCGCTGCTCGGTCCGCTCGACAGTTGGGGCGTTTGCACCGGCCCAAGCACCGCTGTGCGCTCGTGGGTGTACGGGATGTGGAACCCGCCCATGTGCCCCGCGTAGCTGAGCGCGGGCGGCTGCCCGAACGATCCGTACGACACAAGGTCGCCCGTGCTACCCCTCTTCGCCATGCGCCCGCTGAGCACGCTGCTGCTTGGCGGGCTGCCCGCAACGCTCGCAGCCTTGCGCGCACGCGGGTCAAACGCGTGACCGTAGTCGTCGGCGGTCTCTTCGATTGTGGGCGGCGGGAGGCGGAAGGGCGACGGCGCGCGCGACGGGGTGCCGGAGTGGATGTTGAGCGTGCGCAAGCCGCCGAGGAACGGGCTTGTCGATGGCGTGACGTATTGCGACTGCAGCGAGTGCTCTTGGCCCGCGTTGGGATAATGCGGCACTGCAGCCTGAACTCCCTGCATGGGGGAGTGAGTCGGCTGAATCGAGTCGGAATCGGAGCTGATAGGTGACGGCGACTCGTCCTGCCCGACATGGAAGCGCTGGCGGTGCGGGGCGTTCGCCGCGTGGTACGGGTGCGTCCACTGTGCGTGGGCGTGGGCGTGCGTGTGGGCGTGTGCATGTGCGTGAGCCCGTACGTGCGTGTACGGCCCATCAACGACGTGTCCTGATGTGTGCGGGTGCGTGGGGAACAGCTCCCTCCGCCCGTTCATGCTCAGCCTCCTCCCCTGCTTGATGGTGATGTGATCGTCCTCCACCGGGCGCTCCCTCTCTCGCGAGGTGCCAAAGTATCCGCTTTCTTCCGCAGCAAGCGGCTGTGCGCCATAGAACGGCGTCATCAGCGGGGTCGATGCAGCACTCTTACTCAGCCTGCCATGGAAGGCGAGGACTTCCGCGTGGCGCGCCTCGTATTCGGCCCTCCGCAGTGCCTCCGAGTGACGGAGCTCATACTCGGCGCGGCGCATCGCCTCTGAGCGCTCGAGCGCATACAGCTCCTCCATCGCGACGCTCGATAACGCAGAGAACGCGTGCGGATTGGGGTTCGCGGCGGGCGCGGGGAACGATGAATCAACAGGGTGCGGGGGTGGCGGTGGTCTGCGGGGATGGTATGCGGGGTGTTCATAAGCGACTGAGGGGTCAGTGGGGTAGAGCGCCGTGGGGCGTGCGTACGACTCGCCCTGAAGCACGGAAGCTGTCAGTACGCTGCTTCCTGAAGGTGCTAGCTGCCATGCGCTGACGAGTGCGCGTGGCGGGCTCCGACAAAAATCCGAACTCACCTCGTCGTCGCTGTTCGCCCTGCTGCGCGCCTTCTTCTGCGCACGGCCCCGCTCTGCAACCGGCTCTGGCTCTCCTCTTCTGAGCGTGTCCGCAGCAATGCTTTCGTCCACGTCATACTCGGCCTTCTTGCCCTTCCCTCGGGGCCCGCTTCCGCTGGCGCCGGCGTCCTGGGATGAGTGGTGTCCGTGTCCGTGGTTGTGGTTGCTGTGTATTCTTGAGTGGCGCGTCAGCTCGTCCGAGCGCGAGAACCGCTTCTCGCAGCCAGGGAACGAGCATTCGAATGGCTTTTCGCCGGTGTGCGTCCTAATGTGGCGCGTCTGTGTGGACGATTCAGGTCAGATCAGGGTGTCAAGCGGATGCGCGAAGAGACGGATGCGAAAGGTACGTGTGGGCAGGAGAGGGGACAGGGGCAGAGGGTTGGATACTCACCTGGTGCTCTAAGCGGCTGAAGGCACGACCACATAATGGGTAAGGGCACTTGTATGGTCGTGCAATAACCTTCTCCTGTGGCGGAGGAGGGGGTGGTGGGGGTGGTGGGACAACAGCGTCCATGTCGAGGTCTGGGGTGGTGGAAACGGTATGTGTGGTATATAAGGCACAGAGCGATGGAGATCAGGAGCGAGACGGGACACCACAAACACAAATGGGTATTAGTATCACTAAATGATGTATCATGAAAGGTGACACGCACGTTTAGAAGGAGAAGCCAATTGGAAGGGTCTGCGATGGCGGCGGATATGGCTGTCGACAATGCCGGGGGTGGAGCACGTTATATACGAAAACCGAGGATGTGGAAGCTATGCACGCAGAGGCTGCTAGCCCTAGACGGGACGGTGTGAGAGAAGAGCGAAGGGTTCGTGATGGAGAAGTCCAAGAAGCAGGAGCAGCTGGGTCGTGGGGAAGCGTCAGGTGGGGAAGACACCGTGAGATAAACTGCGCGGCGGGGTAATAAGGAGGAGCGGGAAAAATGTCGAGTGTGGCCTAGGTGCAAAGCGTGGGTGGTGAGATGGTAGAGTTACTTAGGCGGCAGGCGGGCGGGAACCGGCAGCGTTGTTGTAAGCAAATCCAAATCTGAAAATCGCAGCACGGGAATCTCGAAGGCTATCCCCGCAGCGCGACCCCGCTTGGAGATGAGCCTGGAGATGATCTGCCCGGGGGCGTTGACGCTGTCGTCCCCAAGCGCTGTCAATCAGGAGCGCGGGTGCTGCTGGCTGGTTCTTCCGAGCACGCTCTCCCCGTCGAGCACAGAGATGCGCGGGTGGGACGAGAGAGGGAGGAGGATGGGAGATGTGTTTCGCCATTTCTCGTGCACCTCCCGCCCGATTGTGAATCGGCCCGCCCCTCTCCCGGTGCGCGCAGCTGACGTAAGCGACCCTGTTCCGTCTCTTCCCTCCGAAATCCGTCCGCGCTCTCTTCCGAATCAACGCAGTCCCTCCTGCTCGCTCCCCGACGTCTCCAGGCCCTCTGCGATCCCATCGATGAGCTAGCGAGACACGCTTTCTCGCGCATTCAAGTCACCGCCACCTTCCTCCGATGATTCATACACTATACTTATCTGCGACACCTCCGTGATCGCGCGACATACACCGCTATCGTATCGCCAGTCCAGAGTGGGCGGCGGTCGCTCGAGGCCCCTCCTAATCACGCAAAAATCACAGGTTTCGTCACTCCGCTGGAGAATCCCCGTGGGGACCGCCGTCGCATAACAAGAGATTCCTGCATCCAGCCGTGACCACCTCGTTGCGTGCGGACGCCGTCGTCCTCGCTGCTAATCCATATCCGCCTGTCTGGACGCTCCTGGACCAGTGCTCGCCACTACCCACCCTGCGCCGTGGGCACGCTGTCGCTCGCTCGAAGACGTACGATGATGCGTGCACCTCGGAATGGAGATGAGGTGGGGATCGAAGCTGCAGCTGCGTTCTTGTTCTCCTTGCGACTCTAGGGTCCTTACGTCGATGCACAGCGAGCGCATACATAGTCTTTGTGGCAGCATTCCCCACCTCACAGTTTCAGGAGCATACACGCTCGTTCACGTCATATCTGTGGCTGCGTGCTGCTTCGTGGACGCGTGTTGATTGCACGGTGCTCGCTACCGCCTCCTTGGCTACCACCGTCGCCCCAAACACCCAAAAACAGCTATGGACCCTCCTTCGCCGTCGGTCCGTCGCCGCGGTTGTGGGCTTCGCGCTCATGTGGAATCTTCCACTCTCGATTTGCAAGCAGCAATGGTCCCGCAGCCCGGGGGGTCCCGCACATCTAATTTCATCCCTGCAACTCTAGGCGGCGATCTGGACGCGCGAAGCACGCTGAAGCCGCCATCCCCTATCACACAAGATAGCGCGTTCTTCACGCTTCATACGTTGGTGCCCGTTCGTGCTGACAATGTGCTTCGCGCTCTACGCGTCCCTGCCCAAGCTTCGCCCGACCAAGCTGCATGACGTCGTGTCTCGTCCAGAACGGCCTCGCTGTGGCGATCTCCCCATCGTCATCCGCTGCGTTATGCAATACTCGGCGCCCCGTCTTCCCAGGATCTGTACGTCGTTGGGTGCGAGAGTGACTCGTAACTGTTCAACGGGCGGCACACCGCCCTCGAAGCTGTCGTCATAGCACAACCGCGCGGATGAGTGTACGTACATAGTCGCTACGCTCTTCGATCGCACCGCCAAGTTTTCGCCTAGCCCATCGCGGTCATTGCCCCATATGTCTATCCGCCGGCTGCGCTATTCCGCTATCGATATCCCTTCCATAACGTCGCGTTTCCTCGCGGTGGTGCCCGTGATTTCCCAAGTTGCATTCTGATCAAGCGCGTGCTATCTCCGAGATCACCTATTCGTTTCCGTATATGGGTAAACGCCCCTGATTGTGTGGACGCACGAAGGGAAGATCGCCGCCACTAGATGCGGATGGCAACTCCCGGAGCGCGCGGGGATCAACGTGGCGTAAGGTGGCTGACTCGCTGGCGCTCGCGTCCCTGGAAAAGGGAGGGCCACACCGCCCTGGTGAAGACGCATACTCGTGTTCAGCTGGACGACGCAGATCATCCTGGCTCAGCAGGTGCTTAAGGCACTGCAGCCGAGCATCCCCCAGAGCTGAACATCTAAATGTCCCGGACTCGCTATTTTTAGCGTTTTCTATCGTGCTGGCTGTTCTGTACCCCGCCCTCCCCGCTTCCCCAGGGGCAATGCGGGAGAAGCGGGGCGAGAGGTGGAGGTGGCGACCAGGAACGGCTGGAGGGCGGCTGCTCGCTGCTCGCTCTGACGATGCCACGTATGTATGTGTGCGCTCTCAAGCGTGAGGTAGCTCTGGACCTGTGCGCACGGCTAGCCCGGGCTGCCATGCGGCGCGTGCTGTTTGCTGTGTTGCTGACAATCTCTCGCAGCAGGCAAGAAGGTTAAAGCGCGGAGCATCGTTGGCGTTATTTTGAATGAACCTTGTACATCGCTGGAGCTCGGCTGGCCTCTTGGACCCTCAGCGTTGCTCGGCAGCAAACCCCCAACCGATGGGCGTGCCATGCAAGCAGGAACGGGGACCTCTCTCTGCATTGACAGAAGCGCACCAATGTAGGGTCCCCCCACCTGATTGTCTCTGCTTCCATGCCAGCTCCAGGAGCACGTCGCTGTTCTCCGCTTGCTTGCGGATCTTTCCAGCGTCCAGGAGGCTGTTCGCTTGGCGCACTCTCTGTCCGAGTCTGTCGCTTGGCGAGTTTGCATATGAATACGCGATGGATAGGCTGACGGCGGGTCCCCGCAGATCCGAGCGCTCCTCGCGGCTGATTCACGGGGCGCTCGTATCCAATGGCGTGTTTGGATATTGTCTTGCTCGGTCTTGCGGACAATGGGCTAGAGCTGCTTTATCTCCTTCTGCCGTGGTTCTTCTGTATACGACGCTCTTCGTCCTCGAAGCTTACTTCAATCCTGGTCTCGACTCAGCTCATAGTCAATCGGGTGTGCCTCGTTTCCTCGTAAATGCTCTTGCTTTGTTCACCTGCGCACATTGCTCTACGTCATAGAGTCATCTAGGTCAAAGAATCCCTGGTTTCCATATCGCAGACTGTATCAGAGCTCTCTTGCGCTATACTACTCTGGACGCCGTCCGAATGCTTCCATCCTCCGATGTCGGAAATGATTATGCCACTAATACGCTCTCGCTTCTCGATTTCCACCACGGGTCAAATTCGTCAACACGACCTTCTATACCAGCGCTGCTCACAAGCCCCGCCGCAGGACGATCCTCTCCCACGGCCTCTCTCCGCGGTTCACCCTTGTGCGACTTCTCTTCCAACTTTGTCCTACTCGCCGCTGGGCCCCAAACGTCAAACGTCAACAGAACGAGCCTAAATCTACCGCTGGCCTCGCCCGGAGTTGCCCGCATGGGACTAGCGCGCTGCTTCTGTGCTCGCAGTGAATTCGCCGATCGGACTATAAGGAGAAGGCGAGGGAGTCTTTACGCGTACGGTCCGGCGGTTCGTACGTGGATTAGATCATGTGCGCCGCCGCGGACATTCGTTCGTCTCACGGATTGAGCTTGTCGGTGTAGACTATTTCACCGTGTTCTGTATATGAATCCGTGAAATGCCACGTACGTCTTGTTTGCCACAGCTCCGGCGCTTATATGGGCGCGCTTGTGGCCCTAACAGCCTCGTGGCGTTCGGGTGGCCTCGCGTCCCGATGTGAATCACACCGCCTCGTTCTTCTCTCCGTAAATCTCCGCGTCCGGGGCAGCGCGTGCCGCACATGGCTTGGACCGCTCCAGACGATGTCTGGAACTCTGAAGCCGTGCATTCGGTGGCTGTACAATCAGTGATGGCGGGAACTCTCCTTATATGGAAATTACTCAGGGGTAGGCGCGATCGATCAACCTGGACCTGGACGCCCGCAGTGTGTGGCAACGTGGTGGCGGCAGACCGCTCTACGCTCCAGGTTGTCAATTCCATTGCCGCTCATGCGAACGCTGTTGTACGTACATGCCTCCGTGCCTCGACTGTGCTCTAATGGACGCCTTGGACGTCATGCGTTGTCATCCTTACTCGTGGCGGGGAGAGCGTCCTTTTTCATTGTATATAATTTCATGAGACGGGTGCGATGCCGCTGTGGATGCCACGAACGTCGCAGTGTGCGATGGACTGGAACTTGATCATGCGATGGCGATAGCGGTGCGGAACGCTTGTGTGCGTCATCTAACCCGTGTAACAATTTCCGGTGAGCGGTTCTTGAGCGTATGCGGATAGAGAGTTGCGATCCTGGAAGATATGAGTGTCCAGGTCTGATCTAGAGCGGCGTCTGCTTGCACTGAACGGTTCCAATAAGCTTCATAATTCATTTGGCCGCGCTGCCGTTGCCAATTTCTTTTGGCAGTGTTGATTATGGCAACCCGCTGTCAGTTTTCAATGTGAGTACAGCGGCCATTGCCACAGGTGACAAGTGTCAGAGAGCGGTGCTCCGGGACTGAATGGACAAGAGGACCATGCGGAACGCCCGTGAGTATATTGGCTCCTTGTGTGCTCCTTGGGCGTTCAACGTTCAGACATCAATGTCGTGACAGCAGCTCTACATGGCCAGACCTGAATCGGAGCGCCAGCCATTTGCAACGTAACGTATGATTTGGCACGCAAGGGCCCTGTCTCGACTGTGTGCCTTGAGATCATGACGAACCACCGTGCGCCACTGGGATACAAGCCCCGGAGCACAGCCAAACTCTGTGCCAGGAAGAGAGCCATCCGAAAGGATCAACCTGGAGCCTTTGTTTACGGTTGCGAGGGGTCCAATTGATTCATTGCAGAACCATTTGACGTTCTGTTATGTGACTGCATCTATACATCCGCATGTTATGGGTTGAATTAGGTATAATCGTATCGGGTATATACACGAGCCAAGGATCCAACGAGGGGGAATACAACACCCAGCACAATGCAAATTGTCCAAACATGCAGCCCCCATGTCAATCGCGTCGAAACCACTAGAAGTCTACGCCCCAGCCGAGGCGAACGACTCGCGCTTGTCCTTCGCATGCGACATGTCGATGAGGGTCATGCTCGACGGGTCGTCCAGCTGCCTGTACAGCTGCGGCTGGCCGGCGGAGGGAAGCACCGATCCCTTGGCCTTCTTCGCCCGCTTGCGGATGCAGCACCGCCATACGACGAAGGCGACCACAAGGAGCACAAATACCAGGCATCCGACGAAGATCTCGGGCCAGCGGCTGAGGACGTACTCTTCGTATCTGATTCGTATATCGTTAGCCTTGCCCGCGTGAAACGATAGAAATGACAAGGACGTACTGCTGCTTCTTCTCCTCTTCCGACTCGGGTGAGTGCTGTTCCTTCGACGCGGGGAGGAGCCACTGTGACGACTCGCCGGTGGTGTCGACTCCGCTGAGCCGGACTTGCACAAAGGTGTCGTGCGCCTGCGTGACGTTTGTGGTGGATAGCAGACGGACGAATGGCTCGCCGAGGTCGACGGACGTGTCCTCGACAAAGTCGCCATAGTCAAATTGAGCGTAGACGTTTCGCACTGTTGGCAGAATCAGCAAGCGTAAGGACTGTCTTCGGAACCTGACGCACTGAACGCCATGCCGAGAATCATGTCGTACTCTCCGAGGAGACTGAACGCGGACGTGCTGATCGGTTGGAACTGCGGCGGGTAAGTGAGCATAACTGACGACTTTGACCTTATTCTCATTCGCTTACCGTGCCCAGGCAAACCGTCTCGCCCACCGCGTTGACCAAGTCAAAATCACTACTGGAGACATCGAGCGGGTGGACCGGATACGTCTGTCCGCCAAACTTGAAGCTGATATTGAGCAGCTGCGTGCACGGGACCGTCCACACACTATATTCCGCGTTCCACTCCGCGCCCTGCACGCGCCCATAAATCGCATCCGACATCTCGCGCGGCACCTGCGGTAGCGTGTACCCCGAGTCGAACACCGCGACGAGCTGGCCGTCCGGCGCAGACGGGACGATCGAATCGACCTTGATCGGGTTCCCGTCCGGGCCAATCACGCCGTCGACGTCCGTGTACGCCTGCCAGTGCTGGTCGAGATCCGTCAGCTTGTGCACGTGCTCGAGGAGGAGCTTCGGCATGCTCTCGATTGTCTCGTATCCGGGCACGATATCCGAGATGGACACCTGGCCGGTGGACGGGCTGGCGGGGTCGCCTTCGCGGTTGAGCAGGATTGTGAGATAGTTGGAGGAGGACGCGTTCTGTTGGAATATCCGGTCGAGTACGCTGTCCCCGCGCGAGTCGCCGATCTTGTCGCGAATTTCGGAGCCTGTGTTGGGCCCGAGCCCAATGAGGCCCTCAAAGCCCTGTGAGGTGATGTTGATGGAGAAGGAAGAGGCATTCTTGACTAGGACTGGGCGGGTGTTAGCATCTGTCGTCGAGGTAGCACAAAGGAACATACGAAAGGCTTGATCCTCTACGGTGTAGTTACCAAATTCCAGTGTTGCTGTGTTGATGTTGCCTGTGAAAATACTTTATGTCAACCATTCATTCGACGGCCCTTGGCACGTTACAATGTTCAAAAGATCGGAAGACTGAGAAGAGCAATCTTTGGCTTAAAATCCCAACTACAACTATGCACGTTTTGAATTAAGCGCAGTATCCGGACGCGGCATAGCCAATCCGCAGCATGTAACAAGCCATCAAAACAAACTCGGGTGATGCAATCCGCAGCATTCGGGCGCATATATAGACATGAATGCACATTTGAAGTGCCTTCAGATCCCTTCCTCTATGGTGCGAAACACATCGAAGGACGCGCCAGCAAGGAAGCACCGAGGCATAACGGTATCTTCATAGACTGGCAGCTGAGAGCAGGCGAGCAAGCTATATGGCATGGAAATCCTCCGACGTCTTCAGGAAAGTGCCACATCCAGTCCAACTGAAGTGACGCGACACTCTCGCGATGTGCGATCACGACTGGCTCACAGTGGGCCTTGCTGTGAGTGGGATGCATTCCTGTTTCAGAAGACACGATTCCTTGCGTATTGATATGAAAGAAGCGCGGTCGCCTATTGAACGCTTTGCGAATTTTAGCTCGTCGTCTTCGATGATAACCGGCCAATGTCACATTGCGCCTTAGTATGGTTCTCAACTTCTTCGGGTACGCCATATCACTCTCCAACTCCTCGCATATCCTCTAACTACTGATGAAGAACAGGAAGAAGGTCCACATACCGCTGGCAGTGCCGACTGCATACCCTATCGAGTATGACACGCCGAGGTCCGTCGACGAGGGCACGTCACCGGCTACCCACAAATCCGAACTGGTCTGGTCTCAGTCGACGGCGCATCACATATGCACGGTATGCCCACACCTTCCAGTGTCCAGCAGCACGGGAATCAGCCTCCCGCCCAAGGTAATATTGCTGATGTACTCGGAGTTCTTGGTATTGAGGACAGGAAGGACCGTCTCATTTGTGCCGCGCCGTCTCAGCCCGCTGGACGTCGAGTTCTTGTAGACTGTGCGGGATTGTATTGGAAAGATGACAGCATTTACAGAGCACGCTTCGAAGAGCAAGCAGAGGAAAGCGACCGGAAGCAGAGAACGCATCAAGCAAACAAAAAACGACGATTAAGGAGCGACGGAGCGTTCTGCAAAGTGCTGGTTGAGAAGGTGGTTCAAGCTGGCGACGCCAAAGAGCAGGCGCATTGAGGCCGACGACGATTCTGCGAGACAGCGAAACTCTAGCCGATAGGCGCTCAAATATTATGAACTGGTATCCCAGGCAACAGTCTCCTTTTCGATGATGTGCATGGACCATTGCAGGGAACGTTGAGGACAAGTTGTCAAACACTTTTAAAAATGCATGCGAAGGTTTGGCAATGAGACAGGATTGAGTGACTATGGCTCTAAGAAAGGAGGTATGCGGGGGCGTCTGTCGCAGCGGCGCGCCCGCGTGATCGTTTCGCGATTGTCAACCTCGCCGTCGTCCCTCATTCAATCCAACGACTCTCATGCCATCTGCGATGAGGATCATGATTGCCTTGTTCACGATGCTCGTTGCTCACGTTGGCCGTTGCTTTTGTGAAACGCGCGCTCGCGGAACTGCCATTAACGTAGATGACCGCAGCTACGGAATCGTGCGGCAGTGCCCGGCAACCCACCACAACATCACAGCCGCCGCAACGTGCTCTACCGCACCCCTGTTCTGTTCTCCTTGCTTCTCTAGTTATTCGACAGCGTGCGGTGGGCTATCGTTGCGTGGGCACCATGAAGCAACTTTCAATCCCGCTTTTTCTTTCGTTTGTATTGCTGTCCACTGAGCTGGGGGCCGCCATTCATCTCGACGTTCAAAGCCGCTCACTTCGGCATTTGAACAAAAGAGGGACCCTTACCGGCTCTTCAAGTCTGACCGACTCGAGCAATATAGGTTACTACGTGAACCTCACTCTGGGCGGTGCCGAGTTCAAGGTCCAGATAGACACCGGCAGGTGAGCGCTTCTGTAGCTGCAGGTCCGTGTGGCACTGAGGATTGTTCACAAGCTCGGATCTGTATGTTGCTGGCACCGTCCCAGATAGCAATGACACGGGAAAGACGAGCGGGGTCACATATGCAGTGGGTGCGGTCGAAGGTGGGTGTATTTCCAGGCGCTACCTCTGTGTACTGTCATGACCGTCGATGCAGGCCCTATCAAAACAGCCAAAATGGACTTTCTCGGGTACACAGTCGATGATCAAGCGTTCCGTATGTGAATTGTCTATAACCCGAGTTCACATCTGTTCAACATCTCCTAGTCAACATCGAGGCCAATTCGGATAACGAGACGGCCGGTACAGGCCTGATCGGTCTTGGGCCACATACTGGCTCGCAGATTCAGTCCACGCTGGGAAACGGTACGGGCGACCCGCCCTTAGACCGCATCTTCCAGCAAAACACATCCACGCCAAACTATATCACCGTGTTACTGGGGCGTGCGAATGACAAGTTTGACGAGGCGCCGGGCAACCTGACCGTCGGCGAGGTACTTCCAGGCTACGACAACATCACATCGCAGCCGAGGCTGAAAGTGAGCGTACTGCAGAGCTCCGAGTCTGGGGGTCAGCATTGGCAGACGCTGTTGGATGCGGACGGTGTCATAGGCCCTGACGGGAATGTTGTGGACGTCACGACAGTTGTGTCGTCGACGTCGAATGACAAGCAGCTCACTGTCGTATTTGACACTGGCTACTCATTACCGCAAGTGCCTAGGTATGATGTCGCGCGTAACTGTAAAGCCCTTGTGCTAACGCTTGCTGCCACAGCGCGGTAGCCAGGGCGTTCTACGAAAATGTACCTGATGCAAAGCTGGTTGACGTGCCAGATCTCGATGGCGAGATCTGGCAGGTGCCTTGCGACTACGAAATCAACGTCACCTTCAAGTTTGGAGGCATCAGCTTTCCCATCAATCCTTTGGACACCTCGATGGACCTCAACGGTACGGACGGTACAGGAGACAAGACATGCTATGGATCAGTTAGTGCTCCAACTCAATTGCTCGTGTCCCCCACTCATGCCATGCACAGTTCCAGCCGATGCAAGCCGCGCAGAGTGATCTGTACGATATCATCTTCGGCATGGCATTTTGTAGGTATTCACCTCCCGTCACACAACCTCCATCTGACTCTCGCCACAGTGCGCAACGTTTACGTGCTGATCGATTTTGGTGACTTTGTCGACAACACCACCTCCCGCGCAGACCCGTACATCCAGCTGCTCTCCCTCTCCAACGACTCCGCGCAATTACACGCGGACTTCGTCGCCATCCGTGGGGACGCGAACTGGAACCCCTCGAGCAGCGTCTCAAGCTGGGTGAAGCACCATGTCGCGCTTGCGATCGGACTCGGCGTCGCGGCCGGGATCCTCGTGCTCGGTGGCGCGCTGTTCGCATTCCAGTCGTACCGCCGCCGCAGGCTCGCGCGCACGCCCGCAGGCTTCATGAACTTCCAGAGCTCGTACAAGCCGCTGACCGACCCCGCCCCTCAGGAGGCGCACGACCTCCACCTCATGGGCGGGTCGCACCAGCAGCAGTCGTATGCGAATCCTTGGGATGCCCGATATTAATGTAGACAGACATCTCTCTGACATGGAAGGACATTTACTTCGGTTGTATAGGACTTTGCTGCTCTACTGCTTTGTATCTCACTTGCTGTATAGTGCTAACGTGCATTGCATTGGATCGCATCTCGGTGTTGTCTCGCTATCGATTCTCTACAGAGTAAGGCGCATTAATTGATTTTACGCTTACAATCAATGCCTTCGGTCTTCTATGGACAGACTAAATCATTTTTTTCGAACTTCCGGATATTCCGGATATCCTGAATTCCGAGGGCGTACCAGCCTGAGAGTCGTAATGTTTTGCATAATGGTATGGAACCCCCGAGCCAGGATTTACATGGACCAAGGAATCAGACAATTCACTGCCAGATAAGTGCCGCTACCGCCTACAATTTGCGAATGGTCCGAATTCGATTGTATCTCGAAGCGTCAAGAAAACATATACCTCGTTATGAGATTATTGGCTGATGCTGCGACTGATCAAGGAATGACTGTTCGTCTGAACCAGTTGGCGGTGTTGTGTGCTCTTCAACGACTCCCGCTTGAGCGATGTAGATGCGTTTTCACGGCTGCTAGATCCTAGGTATTTCCACGGCGATGGATGACGCCGACGAGGCAGCTGAGCCAGTATTTCAATTGAGGAGCTATACTTCTTCAAACGTATCACAGTTGACGTTCCGATATGCATTCCCACCATGATCTCACTTCGACATCCTGCAGGACCAGAGCTTCTTGCAATGTTCGTACGCTCTTGCTCCCCAAATCCTACACCAATATGCGACAGCCTGTTGACGAGGAGGGATCATAAGCTCGCGTGGAATTCTACCATATGCAGGCTAGCGTTGACAAATCGTAAAGCTCAAAATCTTCATGCAATAGGAAGCTACCCAACAGGATACAGAAGATAGACGATCACTGCGAATTGCCAGCATGGTTGTCAATTGAATGATAAAGACGCTGATTCCTACTAACTGGCAATAAGTCAATACACGCGGTAAGTCGACGGTCAATGCAGTGATCATCTTACTATGCATGAACTCCTCATTTCGAATAGGATGAAATCCCACGGCAAGGTATGGGAATTGCTCGACCGAACCCAATTTTGAAATATCGACCGCCGGGGCTGATTATTATACCCTTGTGCGTCTCCTTGAACGCCAGCTGCAGGCAGAGACAAACTATATAGCTCCGTCAGCCTCTATACAGCACGGAAAAAACCACTGCGGCACTCACCGAATATGAAATACCATTGATTGGACTGCATGGATGCTAGAGGCTTTCTCGTGGGTACGACGATTAATCTTTCCGCGGCAGCAGAGCTTCTCGTACATCTTCTGCGATCGGGTTCCAAGATGCGAGGCCTTCCATACAAACAGGATTCTTTCTGACCAGTAACCAAGACGACACATTATAATGACAGCTAAATCGTTCTCAGATCCAACAGTTACGCAAATCCCACTATGCAGGACCTAGATCTTGAGCATATCGAAAAAAGCTCCATGAGTGCCACCGGAGGAAGAAAAGAGAAGGAGTGAGTCCATAGACTGCTGCAAATCCACAGGGACAGACACAAGCATCGCCAGCCGCCGTCATCCTCCATTCCTTGGCGAAGTCTTCAATTGAGCCAGCTCCGTCAACAACTTCGCCCGCTCTCTAAGAAGCGCAACGGTATACTCCGCGGGCGAGTTGTGCTTCGTCACCGGCATGAAGCGCTGCGGCGTCCCGGAAGAATGTGGCTTCCCTTGCTCGCTGGCCTCGAACGAATGTAGCTCAGACTGGTCGTCGATGCGATGTATCAAGCCAGAATAGCGCACATGGGGAGTGCTCGAGCTGGGTGGAGTAAAGTCGAGCAGGTCGTGCTCATTGCTGGCGGGTGTCTGTGGTGAGAACCGGGAGAAGGAAGTAGAGCATGAGCATGAATAGGAGTCGTCGAATGGGTGGGTGGCCAAGCGTGAGCGTGAGGAACGGCTGTCTGTTGACTGTGACGCCTGGGAGGGGGCTGTCCTAGAGGAGGAGTTGACTTCGTGGATGCAGCGTGGGCGGGAGGGACGGTAGGATGATGGAGGAGGGGAGGGCGTAACGAGCTCGTGAGCACGAGGCTGAGGAGGTTGGAGGAGAGGCTCAGATCCGAGGGAGGTGTCCGTCGTGTCTGAATCGATGAGACCTGTCCGAGAGCTGGACGGGTGCGAGTCGTTGACGGACGTCATTGTCGACCGTGTTGATAGAGAGCCAGAGCGCGTATGCGCACGCATAAGACCGTGGCTCTCTCCTGCCCGCCGCCTCAAGGGAGCAGGGAGATCCTCCACCGCAAGGTCCGCACTTGTGTCTGCGGGTATGATTCCTTTAAGCCTGGCCAACCAACAGAGCAGCTCACCGACGAACACGACCTCCTCCCACGCGCCCCTGGCAAGCCTGCGCGGGTCGACCTTGCTAAGACCGACGTCGCGCTGGATCACATCGCCGCCCAACACGCCCAGAAACACCTTCACCGCCTGCATCTTGGACGGCGTGTCGTGTGCGTGTCGGAGCGAGAGGGGGATGTCAAGAGGGGCGGGGAGAAGCGCCTCGAGGATGGTGAGCAGAAGAGAGGGTGTGAGCTCCTGAGGAGAGGTGAGCGTATGTGAAACGTCGAGGGCATGGAGAAGAGTGTTGAGGCTAGCGACGAGCTCGGAAGCGTCATGGGGCGAGGAGAGGAAGCCGACCATCGTGCTAGGGTTGTGTGAGTGCCTACGAGCGTCAATCTTCGCTCTGTCTACTAACGCTCGTCGAAATGGAGGCTCACACATGCGTATCCTCCATGTTCATATAAGTGCTAGGAATATTGTACCAAGGCATGTACAGCCGGAACATTAGATGCCGACAAATTATGCAGATACTCACTACCCGCTAGTAAAGTAGTACAATAAGCCACAACTCTGTAGAACCGCCAGCTACAAACCGACGACCTCAACCAGATCCCCATCCTCCACATCCGCATCGCCAATCTGCGACGCAGGGCTCAGCTTCTCGCCGTCGATCACCAGCGCAGGCACATTGGTCGTACCCTTCCTGCCTCTGCTGTTCTTCGGCGATGCGCTGATACCCGGGTACTGATCCGCGATCCCTGCCTTCTTCAAGAATGCCTTGAGGATAGCCACACATGTTGTCGTCGGACGAACCGTCAAGGAAATGTCCTTCGTTTCGGCCGAGCGCAGCGTGAGCTTCATCTTATCATCCTGCTCTTCCTCCGACAGTAGCTCAACGCCAGTTTCCCCGTCGGATTCTTCGAGGAGAGGAGAGGGCGTCCGAAGTTCTGATAGCGATCTCTCGCGCATATCGATAGGCTGAATGGAAAGCGAACGTTGCCGTCGAGCGGACTGGAGATAGTCAAATGTAAACTTCTCGCATGCCTCTGTGGTGAGGATATTCAAGACACTATCGATTAGCAGGGAAACTGGGAAACATACCCAGCTCGGCTTCAGCCCAGACACCTAGACTGTGAGGAGTTGCCGAGGGGAAAACACGCTTGTTGTCCATCATCAGGTATACACGGTCAGCAAGGACAGCGACAAAATCAGCTACTTCGTCGATCACTTGATCGAATGTGTCATGCTAGGCCCGGAGTCATGAAGTGTTCACGCACAAGAGAAAGTGCAGATACTCACCCGTTTGAGGACGTATTCGAACAACTCCGACTTTCTTGATGTATCCTGCGGATGGGGGACCCAACGAACCTTGATGGACACCTTCTCCGGGCCACCGCCCTCAATGACAGGTGTCTCATCCCATCCTAATTGAGATGCCTGCCTCTGAATCTCCTGCGCAATTACAGCGAGCTCCGGATCCAGCTCTACGTTGTCGACCAACTCGTCCTCGTCTGCATCGTAGGCGGGCGACACGGGGCGCGGGGCGAACCCCATGATCTCCCTAACAAACGACTCATGACATGACAATATGATCGAGCCGAGCGGGTGCGTACCTTACGGTATCCCTCGTTTTCTGGATGGTCTGCACGTCAAGTTCTGGAGGCGGCGTTATTGACTTTGACCGACTTCGTTGGCGCTTTTTCTCGGATGGCCTGATTTTACCGTTGGACATTTTTCCATTTGAAGTGCGCGCCTCCATGCTCTTCCCCATGAAAATATCGTCATCGTCATCGGAAGAGATCAGACTAGCAGGTGCATGTCAGAGAATATCGGAGACAGGAACAATATGATTCTCACATCTCTTTCGAGGACAGCCTTGTCCAGCTCGGGAGAGCCTCGTCCTTGTTAGACCTTCGCTTATGTTTGCGTGGGCGCGGTGAAGAACGCTCGGATTCTTCTTGTTCATCCTCATCCGAGCTCTTCCTGATCCTGCGTATCACGTCTTGGGCTGTAAGGACAGTTCTTCATGAGTCATAACGGCGTTCATAGCGAAGCATTCGTAGAAGGTGGCAATACACATAGATGTCCGTTGACTGCGAGCACCAGGACGAAGGTGCCGACAAAGGTGTAACGAAAGAGAATCATGTGGGTCTGGTACATTTGAACGTGAAGAAAGATGCCATCGTGTGCGTACGTCGAATGGACGTTCTCCGTGTGTACAGCCACCGGCATTCCAGGACGCATATAATCACCCATTCTGACACAGATAGTTTTCATGGAACGAGGGAAGCCAAGTTATGATCGAAGAAGCAGAAGTCCTCGACATCTCGTCAACCAAACGCGCACCTTCATCAACTTTCTTCAGCTTCCTCCAGGTCTGCGCGGTCCGATTCCGATTCCGCATGAACATAGCGTCCTCATCTTCGGCAGTTACAGAAGTCAAAGCAGTCGGTGGCGGTGTTGAGATGGGGTTCTTCGACGAGGAACCGTGTGTGGGTTCGGCCGCGGCGACGGTGGCGGGACGACGCGGTCGTGGTCGTGGACGCGTCGACATGTTCGCGGGAAAAGGCAGGAGCCGTGGGAACCTTCCTTTTTTGCGCGAAGTCACGACGCGATCACGTGGTGGAATACCTTTCTGAGCGAGGGAGCGCTCGGCGTGCAGACCACAAGCATTTCGCACTTGTATTTGGGCACTGATTAGTACCGGTTTCATGAGTTTCGAAATTAATATGTGTCATTATACGCACTGCAAGCGTCCCCGCGTATTCATCCGGATGCAGTCGTCACTGACTGGAACACCGACCTCCTGTCGAGGATCTTTCACGGGATTCTCTATGCCATTATTTGAGCCACATACTATTGCAATCTCGACACCAACTTGTTCGCTTCTTCGAGCGCTTCAGTCTGCTAACATCGAGCCACCTTCGCGATTGAGTATTGAGCCTGGACGACGCTCAGTAAAGCGAAAGCATTCGGCCTAGTGAATTACAGTGATTAGTCAGCGACAGTGGTCATTCTCTGGATACGGTCCTCACCGTATCCCTCAGCACGATGCACTCTCACAAGCAATGAAGAATGGCTTGATCAGCGCATGAAGCGCGATGGTTCGAGAACACTATTATAAAGCTGCCAAATCGGACCAGCGCCAACGCGCCCACGTGGTTCTGTCTGATTTCTTTACCAGCTGTGGCTCAGCCAATCAATCAGTATCTTAACCCTCAACTTACTTCCATCAGCTTACAGATTCATCATGTCGCACATATTCTCACTTCAAGGACGCGGGCTCAAGCTCGACACGAGAGCCGACATTGAGCCCTACCTAAAGGATGTCCCGACGACGATCGAGGAGATCCATCTCGGGGGAAACACGATCGGTGTGGAGGCCGCAGAGACTCTCGCAGAGTTCCTCACGAAGACAACGGCTTTGAGGGTACGCATGAATCCTTCCTTGTTCTCGCACAATTAGATACTAACGAATGCTTACTAATGTACTGTAGGTCGCAGACTTTGCAGACATCTTCACCGGCCGTCTCATCAACGAGATCCCGCTCGCCCTCGCTGCCATCTGCGATGCCCTCATCCCCAAAACAACGCTTGTAGAGATTGACCTCTCCGACAATGCCTTCGGCGGTCGCTCCGTCGACCCCATGGTCCCTTTCCTCACGCACAACCGCTCCATTCAGATCCTCCGGCTCAACAACAACGGGCTCGGCCCCGCCGGCGGCGAGATCGTCGCCAACGCACTACTGCGCTCCGCCGAGCTCAGCGCGGCTGCGGGCGAGAAGTCTAACCTGCGCATCATCGTGTGCGGGCGGAATAGGCTGGAGGACACCGCCGCACACGCGTGGGCGGTGGCGCTCGCAGCGCATGGGGGGCTCACAGAGGTGCGCATGCCGCAGAATGGGATCAGGATGGCGGGCGCTGCGGCGCTCGTGCATGGACTTTCGGCCTGCGTGAGTTTGATGCACCTCGATCTGCAAGATAACACGTTCGGCGAGGCAGGCTCTGTGGCCATGGCCAGGGCGCTCCGGGCGTGGCCTTCCCTGCGTATACTGAACCTCTCCGACTGCGTGCTTGCTGAGGAGGGCGTTGTATCTCCGGTACTCGAGGCGCTTGCGACCGGCTCAAACCCGAAACTGGAGATTCTCCAGCTGCAGAACAACAACTTCGAGGCACGGTCGTTTGAGCTACTTGCTGGGAGCCTCGAGATCCATCTACCGCTATTGACGGTGTTGGAGATGCAGTGGAATGAGATCGAGGAGGAGGACGAGGCGATCGCGAGAATGTTGGAGATGATGAAGGTGAGGGGTGGCAAGCTTGTACTTGATGACGAGGAAGAAGAGGAAGAGGAGGAGGAGGAGGAGGAGGAGGAAGAAGAACCACAAGAAACCGAGGACGAAGCAAAGGCGATCGAGGCGCGCCCCAAGGACGAGTTGGATAAGGAGGCAGACGCCCTCGCGGAGAGGCTCAGCAAGGTGGAGATCAGCTCATGATCATTGTAGCATGGTGCACAAGTTCCATTTCTAGGTCTTATCTGGTCTGCTAGGGGGCATTGTACAAGTTCAGACGTTGACTTTCTATTATTGCAATCTGTATCCTATTCATCATTTACGTCCTAGAGCCATTATATACGAGTTCTAAAGTGCTTCCAATTTATTCTGACCTGAGATAACGAATGGTATGAACGGTAGAATGTACCAGTCCGCGCGTCGTCTATGGATGATTTCTAAACTGAATCTTGTTTCTTCTCCAAATATTCCGCAGTCTCTTTTGGGGACTTGTGTCTCGCGAAGACGTGGGCATGTGCGAGACCCGGTATGCTCTGCAGCCTCTGCAACATATCAAGTCAGCACATCGACCATACATACGTCATTGTGATACTCACCGGAGGATTTACAAACCAAGCCGTCTCCCATTCGGCCTCTTTCCATCTTTTCTGCACGAACGCATCTATCTCCTGGCTCAGCTTCTCTAGCAGCACCGCCTCCTCCTCTGTGGGTGGCGGCGAACGCACGAGTTTGTCAAGCGTAACGTCCCACTCCGCGAGAGACGGCAGGCAGTCTGGGAGCGTGTCCGCGGACGGCGCGGGTTCAATCGAGCCGGTGAAGCCCCACATGCCGTCCTGAAGGACCCGCGGGGCGATGGACGGCGGGAGATCTGGTGGAATAATGGGAAGGCGGGCCCAGACGAGCGTATGCTCAATCTCGGGAGGTACTATCAAGTGGTGAGAAGGGAAGACGGCAATTTGAAGACGGGGAGCATACCGGAGTAGGGCCAGTCGTTCATGGTGATGCTGATGAGCTCAGGAGGCGTGTCTGCGGTAAAGTAGGGCGGTGCGTCCGCTGGAATAGGTGGGAGTTCGCCAACAACAAGGGTCTCGGAGGTGGGTCCTTGCGCCTGCGCAGAATGCATGCATTCGTTTTGATTATCATCCTGCTCGTCCAGAATAGAGTGAAGCGCAGATAGCTGGTCCGGCTTGCCCCACTGCAGGCGATGAGAGAGCAAATAGTTGACTGCAAAGCATCAAGGCTAATGGTGCACAAACACAACAAAAAATGTAAGCAAGACATACCCGTAGACCCATATTTCTTCCTAATCCCCGCAGCCCACGCATCGTACCTCGCCTGAAGCTTCCTGTCTCTCTTGAGCAAGCCCAGGTCGCTGTGTGCTGACATGAGTTCAGATTGGTCACACCGGTACAAGCTGTAGACGCACCCAGAATTGATGAACGTCTTCAACTGTGTCCACGTAAACTTCGCTGGATAGTAAACGAGCAGCTCTTCGCGGGTGGGAGGGCCGGTGCCGAGTGGCACACTCTCAGGCGTCAGAGTCGAGTCGTCGGTGGTCACCGTTACGGCCATCGCGTCCACAGTGGTGCGTGCAGCTGGGAAGGAAATTAACTGGATTGAGAGGTATATAGATGTCTGCGAGAGCTCGATGAGTGTTCTGCCACGGAGCCTGCAGTCATGATGTACTCTATACGATCGATCGGGCTCAATACTGATCCATTAAAGTATCTTGAATGCGGTATGTAGACGCTACTATCCCCTTCTTCAAAACAACAGACATGAAAAGTACATTTATATAAAACATGACGACCGGTGCATGAATGAACAATCACATTATTGCTTTGCAAGTTCAGGATCACAGTAGATTCTCCTCGTCCATCTCCTCCTTCTCGTCAACCCGCTCGACCACCACTCCTCTAGCGGTGCTGGGTGAGGGTCCAGCCAAGCATCGTTCGTATACACCCAGCCATCTGAGTAAGTGTCCGTCAGTTCTGCCGCACTATCCGAGAGGTAACACGATGCACCTACTTCCGTCTACATGACTGGGAGCAATCCATGTGCCCTCCAGGTCCGGCCGCCAGTCCTCCGTTTCGACAAACAACCATCCGGGGGCAAGAGAAAATGTGAGGTTGCTGCTGCATGGAGTCCATATCAGCTCTGCTCGGCATAGACACTGAACGGGAGATGAATCTGAAAGGGTGACAAAACCTGACCTGACATCCCCACTCCCGTCGCCCGTAATCCCGCTCCACCCATCCCGTCCTCTCGTCCATGGCTTGCGGTCCGCCGGCTTCAAGTTTGCCTTGCTCCATCCTGCATCAGGATTGCTGTGATCGTCGTTGCTCCCGCTGGCCATCCAGCGCTCGTTCTCGAATAGCTCCACCTCTTTCATCTCTGAACGCCAGTGCTTGTCCTCCAGCCGGTCATCGTCAATGATGCGCGTCAGCCGCATTCGCAGAGAGGTAAAGATCGGGTGAGCACCTGCTAGGAGCGCAGGGAAGAGGCTGAGGCGCACGAAGGGGTGTGTGCAGACGAGAGGTGCGAGGCCGAGGATGAGGAAGGTCGTGCGGATCGGTAGAAGGTAGACGACGGGGACCATGAGGAAGAGAGAGGCGAGTACGAAGGTGAGAATGACGGGTGAATACGGTGAGTGGTTCGTGAAGTGAGGAATGACAGGTTGGACGTAGTCGTGAACGTCTGAGCTGGATTAAGGCGATCACCAGCAGGTCCTCGGAGTAATGAAAGAGGACTTACTAGGCCCCCATGAGGTTCTGAATAGCCTGTACATTTGCGAACCAGTCGACACTACCTTCGCTAGTTTGTGCGGGCGGTGGAGTCGGTACTTCGGATTTTGCGGCATCGTCACTGTCTGCAGCATGTAGAGCCGGATGCATCACAAGCATCACGCTGAGCACGGCAACATGTGGGAGCAACAGCACCAACCGAGGAAAGTAGCCTGGCGACTTGTATGAGTGTCACCAAATCGGCGGCCTCGACATGAACAGCGTCGGTCAGCATACAGTAGACTTACAAAGAAATCCGTAAGCTGCCATCCACACGGTCGTATACCGCGTTCCCTTCCTCCACATCAAGATCTCCTCCAGACGATCTTGCAACCAGAACACGGGACCCACGCGCGCAACAAACCGCTTGAAATTGACGGTCGTGCTCGGGATAGAGAGCGGGTCACGCGTCGACAACAGGCGTTGCACGCCTTTCGCAGTACGTGGGGCAGGGGGTGCATTGGCAGGGACTTGTAGAGTAGAGATAAGTAGCAACTGTGGTATGGTGGTGAAAGCTAGTTTGGATGGAGAGAGCATGTTGGAGCCCGATTGGCCATGAGAGGAGAGGGTCGGAGACGTGATAGAGGAGAAGGATGGGGTCGAAACGTGCTGCGAGGGCCGCGGGAGAGAGGTGAGGACCTTAGGGGCAGGACGTATTTCCTCACCATTGCCCGAGGAAAGTGGTTGAAGACGGGTAGCGCAGGAGGGTATCTCGACGTAGTCTAGAGAGCTGCTCATGGCTCAGTGCCAATGCAGCGATAGTGAACGACACCTGGACATACAGGAAGTCACGTCGAGCACGTAGCGAGATGTAGACAGTCCGCACCTGATTAGTTCTGTAGATATGGAGCGAGGCACTCTGATGGTGATACGAGGCCACTATGTTGCAGCGTGCCGCACGACTCTACAGTAGCTTCACTGTCATGTGCGGTAGCGTAGCATTCAGCGTGAATAACGGCAATCAAATTGACGAACATCGTGAGGCTCACCAAGCTAGTGCTTGAACGTCTGAAAGTGCGATTTTTCCACAAGAGCTGGTATATACGAAGCTGTAAGCGACGGGCTGGAGCTTCAGTTAATTCGGGCCCGCTCGCAGCTGCTCGCTTCGTAGATATGGAGTCCCCGACTGATAATCCACAGCAGACAAAGCTCGAAGACACGCCCAACCTTATAAAACCGCACTTCCGATAAGACGCGTAGCGTATACAGGCAGTCGACAGGGCACGTCGAGAGCAACTCGTTGGCTTTAAGCTGTGGCACCAACGCGATGAGCGCTTATCGCTAGACTTTCTGTGTCGCACTCTCACCGCTCGGCGGACTGCTTTCTACAATCATCATGGCTGACGCCCCTGTTGTGTTCAAGCGGACAAAGCCAAAGCACACTCAGCGTCGCGTGTCGACTCCAACCGATCTCAAAAGCACAGGAGACGCAGAGGCAGAGGATGTCGAAGAGTCTCCCAGCACTCTTGCAGCAAAGTTGAAGAAGAAGCTGAAAACGCGCGAGTCTAGGTTGAGCTTTGGAGGAGAGGAGGTGAGGCGTCGGACCGTATTTCTTGGACGCGTGCTAATGGCCGAGAGAGTGGGCAGGAGGGGGACGGCGAAGTGTTTCAGGTGAAGAAGTCCAACCTCAGCAAGAAACTGACTGTTGGGAAGCACCCGGCCTTTCCAGGGTACATATACAATATTTTCTGCTCGAAGGGTGAGCTAACTCAAAACTTGCCTGCAGACATGTCGTACCGTCGTCCATCGAGCTGCCTTCCACACCCAGGTCCACTAGCACGCCTACATATGATGCAGCATACCTGTCCGAGCTCAAGGCAAGCACACCGACCGCTCGTCCGTCAATGTCGGTAGATCAGAACATGTCTTACGACGCAGACGTGTCTCTTGACGCAGATTCGCTCATGCAGTCGTCCGTTTCAAGCGTGATAGATATTTCTAGTCTGTGTCGTCGTCTTTCATTTCTCAATTGCACCAATGCTCACTGCCTCCCGCTCCCTAGCCGAGGCTGAGTCCGAGACAGCGATCCTCTCTGGCTCATCGATTCTAGCTGCGAAGCAAAAACGCGAGAGGTTACGAACACTGGGCGCAAATGGACCTGGAGAAGACTACATATCATTGTCTGTCTCAAAGCGCAGCGATTTCTCCCAAGGACCGCATCCGGACAGTCGCTTGGTGCGAGAGGAGGACGAGCTAGGAGATGCCGCTGACGGTACGTGTATGCAATTGCGATGACTCACATAAGACTCATACTTTGATTAATCAGAGTATGCCGAATACACCAGTGCTCAGGAGAGGATAGCGTTAGGCAAGAAGTCCAGAAAGGTTGAGGCGCGGAAACGCAGAGAAGAGATGAATGAAATGATAGTTGATGCGTACGTCATCTATTCTATATAGGTGGGCCACTGCTCATCGCGATGCCAGCGAGGAGGAAGACGAGGAGACCATTGAATGGGAGCAGGAGCAGTTACGGAGAGGAGGGCTGCGTTTCGAAGAGACCACAAAGGCGGCCAAGCCGACATACAAGCCTGCACCGAGTAAGTGTTTCAAGAAGACTTCTTACCCTGATACTGTTGCTAATCACCCCTCAGTCCCTCCTATCACTCCCATTCCTACGCTGGGAGCGGCAGTCACGCGACTCACACAGTCTCTGACGGCACTCACCACATCTCATGCGCAGCACTCCGTGTCGATGGCCTCGTTAGGGCAAGAACAGGAGCAGCTTGAGGCACGTGGAAAAGAGATGCGAGAGCTGATCGCGAAGGCCGAAGATAAGAGAAGTTGGTTTGCCGCATTCAGAGAATGGGTCGAGAGCGTGGCTACGTTCCTAGACGAGAAGGTCAGTCGTTTGCTTCATCTTACAATGCTCAATGCGCCGAGACTGCTTCGTGACAGTATCCCGAACTGGAAAAGCTCGAGGACGAGCACATATATCTGCTGAAGGAGCGTGCCGAGATGATCGCTCAGCGGCGGCATGCAGAGGATGAAGATGACCTCTCGCTCTTCCTCGGTTCTCTACCACAAACTCAACCACAACAAGACGAGCTGGACGAGCTCGGCCGTGTTGCCCCCCGAGCAAACCCAACCATCGCCCGTCGTGATCGACTCAACGCGCGCGACGTCCGGCGCATCCGGCGACGAGCAAGCGGTCGTGCGCAACAGCAGGAAGACGAGGGATACTCAACGGACTCCTCACTCCCACCATCGGATGCGGCCGACTACCAGACCGCGTTGAGTCGGCTTGCACGGGAGGCAAAGGAAATGATGGCGGACGTGAAGGCGGAGGAGTTCCGCGATCCGAGCCGCGGGTTGGGCAAGTGGTTCGGGGAGTGGAGAGCAAGGTTCAGCGACAGCTATACAGGCGCGTGGGGTGGCCTGGGAACGGTGGGCGCGTGGGAGTTCTGGGCGAGATTGGAGATTCTGGGGTGGAGTCCGCTGGAGGTGATGTACCTTGATATCCATTATGAAGGATATGAGCTCAATAGTGTCGGTTTACAGGATGGCAAGACATTGGATAGCTTCTCATGGTACAACTCGCTCTATCAATACTCACGTCCGCGCTCTCGAAGCGTCGCGGATGAAGATGAGGAACCAGAACTAGGACCAGATGGTGACCTAGTCTCCGCGATGATTTCCACGGCCGTGATCCCCAGACTCTGCAAGCTGTTGGAGGGTGGTGGCTTTGATCCCTACTCCGCTACTGAGCTGCGGAAGCTCACCAATCTCGCGGAACAGGTGGAAGCATCAGTGGAGAAAGACAGTTTGAAGTTTGAGGTATTAATTTATGCATAAACCTATAATCCCATCTGCTGACTATGTCCTTCCAGATGATGTTGAAATCTGTCTTCAACGTGTTCCAAGCGGCAGTGACGAGCACTCACTCCCTCATCACCACATACCTAGCGCTTAACAAACCCCGCTTTGACCCTGAGGCAATACCGGCTCGTCGCCGTTTTCTTGCTAGAAGGTATAAGCTCCTGCGAAACATCCTTCAGTGGAGGAAGTACACTGGCGAGAGGTTTGGTATCGGCCAGTTGGCGAAGACTTTAATAGATAATGACATGCAACCTGTTGCGGAAGGCGGATGGGAGGTTGGTGGGGAGGACTATATGCGCAAGGTAAGCCACACGTGTACAATATCCATCGTGATGCTGATGCACAGTGGTCGTACAGGTGGCTCAGATCATGCCGAAGGATATGATTTCTGAGTCTTTGCAAGCACGCGTACGACTATAACCCTGTCAATGCATCTTATACGACTTTCAATAGTGCGGATTGGACAGTTCTTGTGTGAGGTTCCGAGGGTTTCCATCCAGTGACTGAAGTCACTGCAGGTGATCGTGCTAGGGCAGGATGACTGTCCGTCTTCACACGTTCATCTGGACTAGCTCTCGGGAGAGCAATAGCGAAGTTTTTTACTGACCCGCCCGATGTAGCTTCGGCTGCGATATATCGTGGCGTGGCTCGTTCCGCTGTCGAACATATATCGTGATGATGAAGTTTCCACTGTATGACATGCCGCATTTTATAGATTATACAAGAATGATAGTACATGCAATCAGTTGTAGATACGAACATGAAAATTAACTCTCTGCTACTCTTTCGAAGAACTGCTGCAATGTACCTGACAAAACATCTGGGAGAGCCTCCACATCCCTCAGGACGACGTAATACTCGAAGGGGAAGGTATCTAAGTAACGTTCCATCTGAATATCCATGCGACCGTCAACGTTTCTGTAGGCCACGTTGGTCATCGACAGAATAGAGTTGTGGATTGCGGACTCTCCGTCTGCTGAGCTTTTCGTATGAAGCGAGTCGAGAATGACGAAGACGACCATGACGCGCTGCTCCTCTGCCTTTCGCAGGACCGTGCGGAGCGTCTCGTGGTCTTGACAAATACCATCAGAGATGATGATCTCTAACTGCCACAAGTCCGATGCAGTCGCAGAGCTAACTGTGCGCCTCTCCCTGGCTTGCTCGAGGAGCTGGAGGCTCGTCTCTACAAGCGAGAGCACCTGCGTAGCCTTCTGATCGAATCGAAATGCGTCGATGACCTTCGTTCCCGCCTGGTCTGTGAATGGGCCACCGTCGAAAGCGTGCAGAACGTCCACAGTTTCGCCGAACTTCGCAATAGCGATGTCGCCCACTTCAAGACGGCTGAGAGCTTTCGAAACTAGTGCTAGCGTCTCGTATGCGAGATGAACGGAGTGCGACTCTGCCATGGACTTCGAGTCATCCAGAGCGATCAGAACTTGGTACTCTCGCTGACTGGGCCTTGTCCGCCGCAACCAGATCTTGTCCTTTGTGAATTCGCTCGCGATGTACGGAATGATCTTCTTCATATTCAGCCTCTTTCCGGTGCGATAATCACCCTTCAGTCGCGTTGCCTGGGTCGGCTCCAGAATCAGTCGTAGCTGCTCGCACAAAGCGTAGGACAAGTCGTGTGTGAGTGATTCATAAAGGCGCCAGATATCCCCTGCACATTCCGAAGGCTGACCACTAGCTTGCCACTCTCGCAACTTGGATTCGACGTCTTTCGACGCTTCTTCTAGAGAGACCATGTCTAGGGTCGATGGGAGAGCTGCACTAGATTCACCGCTTTCTGTGCCCAGTAACCGTGAACGAATCTCTGTTTTGGTCATGGCTTTCTCCGTACCCTCCTCTATGATCTGCGATGATCGCTCTGAGTGGAAAGCAGCAACCCGATCCGGCGATTGTTGTGTCTCTTGAGGCTCAGTTTCCATGTATGTCATTGAGACATTTGGCTCGCTTTTCCCATCTGAGAAACTGAGCTCGTCAAGCTTGGCAGCTTGATCCTGTGGAGCCGGTCCTAAGGCCTGCATCTGGTCAATAGTGGAATCGGGATGCGAGTATTGCATCTGAGAAGTGTCATCGACATCGTTCTGAGCCTTCTCCTCAGGAAGCCCCTCAGTGTCCATGATGTCATCAAACCGCCGACTTACGTCCCGCAGAACGTCACCAAGGTTACGAAGTGAGCTCCTTGAGGTCTGTTCAAGAGCCGCACGAGAGGATGCACCGCCAGGATGGGATTGTGTCGAAATCGATGCATTTTCGCCAGTACTTTCATGGTCGCGCTCGTCTTGAGGAGCCCTAAGCATTCAACCATCAATTCTGATCGTGGTAACATAAATGGCAAATGAGCTTACTCCGCTCCACCGTTCATTTCATCGTTCATCACGCTGTCCTCCTGCTCATCGCTGCAAGCAGTGGCTTTGCCTGCCCCTATAGCTTGTTCAACAGCGCTGGTCCCTTGGTCGAGGGCACTCTGATGACTCGGAGATCCAGAAGCATCTTGAGGAGAGCCATCATTGACGCCATCGCCTGCATGAAGATCGGCCGCAGCGGTAGTATGATCCTTTGTCTCGTCTGGAGGGGCGTCGGGGCCGCCGGCATCTTCTTGCCTGACTTGGGATGTACCATCGGCTGTTTCTTCCTCTGCATGTAGCAGATCATCCTGAAGCATTTGCGGAGCATCTTCGCCTTCCTCGTACTGCTCGAGTGTTTCCTCTTCCATCCCGTCCGTATCCTTACCCATATCCATATCATTCTCATCTTGATTCTGGTCAGGTCGCTCCTTCTCAGCGTCGAAGTTCATGTCGTCAGGCAGGTCCAATATATTCGTGTCTGGAATGAACTCGTCTAGAGGTTCACCATTTTCATCTTCCTGTGGTTCACCACCGTCTCCTTGAATGTCTTCCTCTGGCTCAGCATCTGTGTCCTTTGGTGCCGCCTCCGCATCATGACCTTTGTCTGATGTTGCTTCCTTCATCGTCTCGTCCTCCTTGGCCACAATCTCAGATTCTCCGTTGCGACGTGAATGGTCTTCATTAGTCTTGCCATCACCCCGTTCAGGCTCTGACGGACCTGACTCATCACCCCAGAGTTTCTCATCGACAGCTGCAGGATCCGATGACGCATCCAGATCGCCCACTTGCTCCTCAGGGCCCGCATCGTCTTCATCATCATCATCCTCCTCCTCGTGGTCGCTTCCTGCCACATCTTGCAAACGAGCATCTACATTATCGCTCATCTCGATCGCACCATCTTGCGCAGCTTCAGTCTCTTCATCGACATCCTCTTCTTCTCCCTTCAGCCCTTCAACTTGATTTTCATCCTGGATCTCTTTGCTAACATCATTCATCCCCTTGCCCTCTCCCACTCCGGTACCTTCAGCATCCACCTCAACATCGCCCTCTCCAGAATCCGATTCTTCCACGTCAGGAGGCCGGCAGAAACCTTCTCTGGCGACGCTGAGTATCACAGAACAAGCAACGTACTCGAGCTTCAGAAGTGAATTGGTCCATGCGCTCTGACGCAACAGCTGTTCTTTCGCCATGTCCATGAACTGAACCAGGAATGGCAGGATCCGTGAAAGCCTTTGCTGCAGTGCAGCTTTTGAACAGCGAGCGGTTTCATTGAGGACCGCGTCACATTGACTCAAAACGACGTCAAGCCCAAGAGTGCGCGTCATCTTGATCGATAACTCGCAATCATGACGGATAAAGCCATTTCTAGTTTCTGTTGAACTGTCCTGGTCCTTCGGGCAGATTGCCAGAATCTCCTGGATCCTGATCAGTAGTACATCGATCAGTGCAGGTGTCCCATCAGGGCCTTGCTCGTAAGGCACCGAGGCTATCTCGTAGTGGCTGTAGTCCTGGAGCCAGATGTGCAGCTGTCGTGCATAAGCATTGATAGGATCTTGGCTCGCAGCCCACCGACAGGACATTGCAATAATCGTCGTCAGATGTTCTTGAGCTTCCTTGACCATTTTGTGCTCGTCTGTCATTGGAGGTACATGGGCTGAGCTATCAGGAGAAAAGAACCGTCACATACCTTCCAGAAGAATTGGCGTAGCACTTAAATGTATATTTACGAGAATTTGTGACAGACGCTCCTGAAGGTTACTGGATGTCTCAATCGCGAGCCTCAACTCGTCAGTAACTTCTCCAGATACGGCGTTCTCCATATATCGTCGGTCATGTAGGATTTCTCCGAGGGCGTGTCGCACCTTGCAAATGAAACTATGGACTATCGAGACTTGTTTTGCGATTGTGGCTCCTGAAGAAACTACTCTGCCATGGGTGAGCATGCAAAGGCGAGAGACTACTTTACTAAGTCGTTCAAGTGTCTGCGATGCATTCATAATGCTAGAGTTCCAATTAGTCACACATCAGAACTGAAGATAAGTACACGCACCAGACTCGAGACTCAACACCCATTGCGAAGCCAGACTCGACGAGCATAACGCCCCTCTGAACTTCTCTCGTGGTCAAGTCCTGGTGATGGTTCCCCATAACCAGTCTGAGTCGTGGTAAAATGTGAGCCACACGGTATAAGTAGTCTCCGCTCCTTGCTGCAGTATGTGCGTCGGGGGACGTCGAGCCTCCGAGGTTTTGTTCTCTGAATTGACGAGGATTTCGCATATGTTCTAACACCTCTGGCTTCGCATTCGTGGAGAAACCAATCCGTTTCAGCTCCTTGAGAAGGTCGCTCCATGCTCGCCGTTTCCGATTGAGTAGAGACTTCGCAAGCTTGTTCCTCTGATCAGTTGGGATGTCATGCGGGATTGCGGTCTTTGAAAGAGCCTTAGAGGTGGTCGCAATGGCATCCGTCAACTCATCGACGTCGCTAGGAGATATTGACTGAATGCAAGGCTTGACTTGATCAGCAATGAATTGTTGAAAGGCCCCGTAAGTTCTGCACAGATTGGCGAGGTGAGGAGATATGTCCATGGATGAGGAGAATCCGGCTAGCTGAAGGTCAAGAGGCACGCGCGGGAACGCGTCGTCCTTGACAATGGCGTGTTGTTCAGCGACAACATTAGGAGTGTTCCGCAGGTCCAGGTATTCATTCACCGGTTGACGTAACGCTTCACGGAACTTCCTGATGACTTTGTACAGCTGCTTATGACTCCTTTGGGCACTCTGTTTCAGAGCTAGCACGTTGATATCCTTCCAACTCGCCAATTTGATGTAGTCAGCGACTTCTTTTTCAAATTCGGTCTGACGACTATCCAGAGTTGCCTTGACTTTTGCCACAAACTGACCATAGTAGCGTTGATTGTACTCCACAATGCGCTGTACCCGTTTCATCGCGGAACACCATTTCCAGTGATGCACTGTCAGCTGTTTGGTGTATTCGCCGAAGCTCGAAAGGAGCTGGAAACGGGACTGATACTCCCCTAGCGGGCCAGACGTGAGGAAATCGTCCAAGAGAGGGACTAAGCTGTCGAGATATTGAGAAAGAGCGTCCATCGAGCCTTTCTGTTCCTCGCTGGCAGCCGCAGTGACGCCATGGACTATGGCTTCATAAAGCTTGTACCACCATTCATGGGCGCTGACGGAAAATTTGTGAGCCTCAGTCTGAAGCAGACCTCTCCATGAAGAAAGTTCGAGACGCCGCCATTCGACCACCAATGATACCAACTCCTGTTGATACGCTTTCAGAGTGTTGTCCCGATTTGAGTACATCTCCCAATCCTCCATTTGTAATACAAGCTGCTCTGTCGCAGAAATGACTCTCGCGATGGGACTGGAGGATTCAAGGTCTAAAAGGCTTTCACAACGTGCGTGAAGGTGCTGCAGAACCATCTGATCGGGCCACTCTTGTATCAGGCTTTGAAGTCTATCCTGAAGGCGATGAAGGATCCCGACGGCCTTTCGCACCTCTGGGACATTCGCATCAAGGTAGAAACTGTAAGCCTTGTCCCGGACGTTGATATCGCCACGCAACGAGGCTATACGCTCTTGAAGTAACGCCAACCGGAAGGGATGGCTATCGAGGTCCAGAGTCTCCGGCATGCTCTCTAGCTCGCCATCCAATAGATCCGGTATGAGGAGCCGTCGCAAACGTACGAATAGCGTAGTGATCAAAGCAGATGAGGCAGAGGCAGTCTTGTCAAACAACCAACAATGAATCTCGCCGATCTGGACCATGGAAGGACAATCATTGCCCAGTGTGAGTTTCTTCGTAGCTGCTTGTCCTGTCGCATCGGGATCTAAGGTATGATCGAATTGAGGAAATAGCGACAGGAACTCTTGTTCTTCCAGATCTGCATCGGAAATAGGCTTGTGCTCAGTTGTGCTCTGGCGATACAAGGATTGCGCTTGACGTTCTGCATCTTCTCTTCTGGCTCGATCTACAGACCACAAGCCGTAGATCTGTTCGTAGAGAATTTGAAGCATAGGAACAACGTCCGCAAGACCCATCCCAAGAGACACATTTAGTGCGATTCCAGTAGAACTTGTCGACAGCATTGAGCTGGCAATAGGAAGTGTCGACGAAAGGCTGTGACATCGAAGCAACAGGTCCACACTTCTTACTGATGGGAAGGCCACTAGGGCTTCAGCCAGAGGTGCAACAACGCTGATGCTTGTTTGCTTGACTCCATCAGCGACTAGGCGTAGTCCCAACTTCATGTATAAAATGGCTAGATGGATGGGCCCGCTGATATCCAAATAGTCCGGATAAGCATCACGAAGTCGCTGAAGGAATGCAGCCAACGACTCTTGCAGAAGACTTTCTCGTGAGATCGCATGACCTTGCCCATTTGTCAAATCTGCAATGATAGAGTCGACCTTGGCTGGAGGAATAACCTGAGACATCACTTGCAGAACTTCAGCCCAGAACGAATGCAGTCGGGCCAGATCGCCTCGCGCATGAGAGTACAGGGCATGATGTTCGCAGCACAGCTCGGCGTCGTGTAGTAGACCCTGCAGGAAGTGCGTCGAAGGGCTGCTGCTATGTCCATGCATAAGAGAGTTGAACTGCAAATGAAGCCGAAGCTGAGCAGATAGCAACGTGATTTGATCTTGCCAGAAGCCTTTGGCAAATTGTTGCATGGCTGCAGGGTCGATAGGGGTATTTGGAACATATAAGCCGAGCAGCGCCCGACCAAGTGCAATCCAACACTTCCCTACGTCCGTAAGTAATAACGGACTGGAATTCTCATGCGAGTGATGCATTTGTTTAAGTGCTGGTCGCAGATGCTGATGGACATAGGTCCCAAACGCCTCGTGAGGAGTCTTCTCCAGATGAGCGAGGGTGATGAGGATAGATCGTGACAGATCTTGGCCGGGCAAAACTCTGATGAGGTCTCCGTGGTCTCCCATGCTACTTTCGTCCTCTAGGCAGGCTGCAATCTAAGACGTAAAGTTTAAGTCGATGGCTGATGCAGATCAACGATGAGACTAACCATAAGCATGGATTGCAATAGCAGAATCGTGACTTGCGTCGCCCGTGTGACATCATGTTCAGCTAATTGAGCCAGATAGAACTCTGAACGGCGGAGCAGAGAACATTCAAGCGAACGCAAATGTTTCAAGGACCTTTCTTCTCTGCAGATGCACAAAATGACATCAGTATATTGATGGAAAGAAGTCGCAGATTGTGCCTACTCGTTCATGACAGACTCGTGCAATTCCACAGGCAGAAATAAGATAGAAGGACCTCTTGCCTGCAGAACCCGACAGGTTATTGTGCTGCATCAAAGGTTGATTGTGGACTTCAACATTACCTGAGCAACAGGAGTTAGGTCCCAAATGGTCTCAAGCCACTGTTGGTGGGCCCTTGCGAATAATAGTACCTCAGCGGAACCTGGATCAATGTCATTACTCTCGTTCCATCCAGGTAAAGTGCGGTCATACCATTTGTGTTCATATCAGAAATCCACAGCAACTGTCTATATGGAACTAAGCGTGACATTTTGAGGTGACGGCTTCCATAACGGATGAATTGGTGAATCGCATCTTTTGCAGACTGTCACGGAATGTCAGGGTTTACAAAATGGACAAACAAACGGGAAGTACTTCTGTCAACTGAGAGTTCCAGTGCCATGCTAGTCGATACATGGTGGTCAATTCAGCCATAAGCGCTAGAGCATCGACACGGTGTACGTCCATGTGTATCGGAGGTTCACCTGTGCTTAAACGCTATAATACATTGTCACGAGGGTGACCCACACCGCCGAGAATGCTAATACACACCAGGAGTAAATTCTCACTCAAGCTGACCAATTTGCGTTGTTCCGTCTTTGAGGACCTTTCTGGCGACGTCCACAATGCCATGAGGTCCAGAGCCTCAGAACGCTCGTCTGACAGGATGATGAGTAAATGACGGCATTGCATGACAGATGAACATACCCAAAATGCTCGATCCCAGCACAGCAGCCTCCAAATCAATCAGATACGTCTGAATATTACGCGGAATGTTGAGATCGGCGAGAGATGACCATATGTCTGCCAAGGCAACTCCAGATGTAGGACAAACGATGCGACTCAAGTTATCCACGTGAGATTCGATGTCTGCGAGCATCGGCGAACCATTTCGCAACGTCTCCGATACCCAACGGAGGAGAACTTGGACGGAGGAATAATCGAAGGATTTTCCGAGTGCGGCAGCTCTCAAGTAGAAGGCAAAAGATAACAATCTTGCCATGACGGCGATATCAACCTGAACTTTTGTAAGAAACGGTGACGATAGATCCGGGTAATCTGCACCTACACTAGCTGGCCCTGCATCAATGTGCTCAATTCGATCCTGTCCCACCCTGTGCATCGCCTCCAGCAATAACCTTGCTGCATCCGCCGCCCGCATTCGAAGGTGGTCCGTGGCGCTCCGCCTACGATGTTCATGCACTCGTCGACTTTCGTCCCCATGCAGTCTGTCATCTTCCTTGTCGAGCAGCAAAGTTACAAGCAGACGAAGAACCATGAGTAAGTCCTCCGCCACAAATTCTGAACGATCGTCAGGCAATTGGGATTCTAACGGCTATATGTGTGTTAGGTTCCTCCTGCGCGGCGTAGTACGTTGACGAAGACTCACCTCGTAGGGGAGTAAGCCATGACAACTGTCAGGCACTCGACTGCACTGGCTTTGGAGAAGCTGTCGTATTGCGCGAGAGGAGTCGCTGCTGAATAAAGAGCGGATAAGATGCATGATTGTCTGTGCATGATCGGCTAGACCTATGGGCGACGGCAATGCGATCCACCGAGAGATATATGATGAGAAGTTTGGTACCATGCTATTTGCGGCAAAGTAGGTGACCGAACGATGCTCCAATGTCGGCAGGGACTGCCGAATGTTCAACGAAAGCGCGGTCCGTGTCACCCAAGCATTCGGAGAGTCCTCGCCAATGAGACGTCCGCTAGACCAATCATCCATGTTTGCGACAGAATCTCGCCGGCACGTGCCGCGCCTAGCGATCTCATACAGGAGCGATGCGTCCTTCACATTGGAAGAGCAGATGGCAGGAAGATGAAGATGGTCAAGAACCCTTCTTCGGTCCTCTTCGGTCAGTGTCTCCACTAGAGAGATTTCTATGCCACGGTTTCGCATGGCTCGTGATAGTTCACCGAACTGAGGGTCCATGCACATGAACAGTTTGAACTCAGGATGTGGCTTGATGATCTCGATTTTCCCATTGAACTGGCCTCTTTCATTGAGGGTCAAGACACCGTTCGGCTCGCATAAAGAATTGAGACGGTCTAGCACCGAGGGATTGCACAGGTTTGCACCGTCCAGGACGAGCCAACATCCCTCTTTCAGGGCAGTTACAAGAGGTCCATCGACCCATTCCAATTGTCCCTTTCGACCAACCAGATTAGATATCTTTGTCACATTTAACAAAAGAATATCGCGCTGCGCCCTCGACTGCTCAGGTATGTCTAGGGGAAGTGAGAGCAGGTGAGACATGTTCGCGAGTATTTCTTGGACATCGTGGGTGAGGCGGTTCGCGTGGATGATCTTTTCGAGGGCATCAAGCTGCGCGGTGGCATGAATCTTCGAACCGCTAGTAGAACATGATATTGCGTCAAAGAATGAAAGAACGCTTCGGACGAGCGCTAAAATGCGATATTCGATATCAATTTCCTCGTAACCGCCCAAAAGATCGGCTGCATCGGTTGCACTATTGACCGCCAGCTCCTTTAGGGTCTTGCCACATAAGTGGGCCATCAACCTCACTAGTGCCGTCTTTCCTGTACCGTGGGATCCGGTCAATATGGCCAACCAATTATTCGATATGCAAGTGCCAACGCTTTCGATTGTAGCGGTGCACGCCTGTAGAGCCTGTCCCGCGCGATGACCGAGGCAGCACCCAACTCGATCAACAAAGAAATTGCCAGCCCGAAGGTACTCCGGCGAGACAGACAGGGAAGGGGATGTCGGGTGTGAGGAGTCTGCAAATACGCGGTCGAAGAGCAATCGAGCCTGTCGCCTGTCGTTTACATTCCTGAACCGCTCAAGGAATACCGAGGACAGGAACTGAGCAGGATGTGTATTTGGGCCCGAGCGTTGCAGCAGTGTGGCCCATCGTATTACATCACGGAGGTTGAATTCCCAAGGCGAGCCCTCTCTGGCAAATGCCCGTTTGACCATAATTTCTTCATTCAGTTGCGCGGTATATGAGATCATAGGCCGCAAAGTGGCGTCTGAAATGTCAGGATGAAGACTTTTACAGACGACAAGCATATCATCCGCCGTGAGTTCCTGAACGAAGACCTTGGTGAAACGATTCAGGAACGATTTTGGAAGGCCTTTACGACCACCGCCTTGATGCAGCGGGTTCTGCGCAGCAAAGATACGGAAAGATGGATGACGTGTGAATGAACGACCGAGTTCCGGTATGTAGACTGTGCCGCGATGGTCCAGGACGGCATTCAAACCCTCCAGGATAGCTTGTGGAGCAAGGTTCATCTCGTCAAGCAGCACCCAGCGGCCCTCTTGTAAAGCCTTCAGAAAATCAGCATCCTTCCAGGCAAACTGGCCGGGGTCACCGCCTTCGACGGGCAAGTCTGATCCAAATAGGTCCACCAAGTCCGTTTGGTCTGATAGATTGATACGGCAAAGCTCATACCCACAGATACTAGCGATCGCACTGATCAAGCTGGTCTTACCGACACCAGGGCTGCCCTCTAAAAGCACGGGTTTAGGCAGCTGGCATGCTCGCACCACTCGCATAGCGTTATCACGTGTTGTCGGTGCGAGGAAGCTGAACTGCTGGGACACACATTGCTCAGGCCCACGGGGAATTGAGAAGGATCCTATATGTATTTCTGATGACGACTGGTGGACAGAGGTTGATTGTGCGCATTTCTCCTCCACCACAGGAATCAGCTCCTGAAGCTTGCCCAAGGCCGCCATCGTTACTTTCTCCATGGAATCCCACGAGTATGAAGAGAACTGCGGCAGGGAATTGAGCCCATCTATGAAGGTCATGCGAGCAGCATGATGCTAGAAACCATCAGCGATGAGATTTCGGTGTACTCAAGAAAACCAGTAAACTCACGAAAATCTGGCTGGCCGGCATTTGGCCACTCTTTGTGGCAAACACTGCATTCGTGAAATTGACCCATGCCTATAAAGAACTCCCCGTCAATATGCACCTTACATTTTGCAACCATGAGACCTTACGATAATATCGCGAATGCTGACGACAGACCGGTCGGCGGCTTGTGCGCAGAGCCACTCGACGAACTCCAGGAGAGGTGAAGTACACGCCTGCAACGATTCGTGTTGCCAAAGGCTCTCCACGATACACTGGATATCTCGTCGATCCGTAAGAGGGGGCACCCATATTTCCGTGAACCGATTCCTGAGGGCCGGAGACAGTTCCTTCTTGCCGTAGTCGCCACCTGGATTCATGGTTGCCACCAGCTTGAAACCCTCGACGGCTCGAATTGAAGGAAGTTCGAGGTTATCTCCCCCTCGTTCGGCGAGTACGATGGTTCTTTCAGGCTCCAAGACACTGTTCAATCTCTCCAGTACAGAGTCGTCGGCCAGTGAGATCTCATCCAGCAAGAAGATGTCACCTTGACGCATAGCCTCTATCAGTGGACCGTCGTGCCATTCGAACAGAGCCGACAGCCGCTGCAGCTTCAACCGAGTCGCTCTTAGTGTAGCCAGTGCAGAAGCATCGAGAGCAGTCGATTTCAAGAGACCATCAACAGCAGATATTAGAGCCTGAGATTCAGCTGCACAATTATCAATACCCATCTTTTGGAGGACAAACAATGCCTCGCGCAGTGTGTCAGTTTCGATAGCGGCGCGGTTACGGATCGGCCTCAACCCACCGATGAGATCAGCTGTCTCGGTGTTCTGGTGGCAGTTCACGGTCCGTAGCGTCCTGGACAGAATGCTAGCATACAGCTGACAAACAGACGTCTTACCGCATCCCGTTTCTCCAACCAGAAGCACAGGCTCATTGAACCGAAGAGCCCGAGCCAAGAGAACAAAGAGCCTTTGCATAGCAGATGTCCAGACCAGCTCGCCCTTAGCAGGAATAGGGCAGCCCAAAAAGTCAGGTTGTTCAGCGCGGTAGCCTTGCAAGTTGTACAGGCGCTCGTCGTCGATACGAACCTTCATGATCGACTCGATAACCTCTTTCACGACGATCTTGTCATCTGCGCGCCGTGCACGCTCAGCTAGGAGCATATAGCCATTCTCTGCCAGCTCCTGATAGTTGATTGCGTCTCGCTGCGCCCATCGGAAAAGATCTCTGAGAGTGGCAAAGGCGTTTTTGCTCTCGAAAACACGACCCGACTGACGCCGTTTCTGGAGCTCTTGGAAGACGCTGACGATGCGCTGGCCGTGCGATGGTGCGATTCGACATCGCTGGCACAGAATGGTCTCTAGCTCCGTCTGAGGAACGTCCTCGAAGTGTACCTCCAGGAAACGATTCCGAAATGCGCGAGAGAGGACCTTCCGCCCGGCATAGAGTCCAGGCGGGTTCTGTGTGGCAAATAGTCGGAAATGAGGATGTGGACGGACGACCTCCTGCGTCTCGGGAATGACAAGCTCCCGGTTGTCATCCAGAAGACGGTTCAGCGCTTCGAGGACATCAGTCGGTGCGAGATTCAACTCGTCCAACACAATCCAGTCGCCATTCCTGAGCGCTCGGACCAAAAGGCCGTCCTTGAAGACGAGCTTGCCCGTCATCGGATCAGACACGTACGTGCCCAAGTACTCCTGGATGTCAGTATGCTCGTGGTTGTTAATCCTCACGAAGCGATGACCGGTCCGCTTCGCCAGGTACTCGATGGAGCTTGTCTTGCCGCTAGACGTCGGGCCCTCGATCAACACGGGGTATCTTTTCGCAGCGATGATCCGTGCCAAGTCCACAAGCTTCGTCTCCACAGAGGGCGTCATGATGTAGTTCTCGACCGGATCTTCCGGCAGGGGCCCTCGTTCGAGGTAAAATGCACCAAACTTGATATAAGCATCCGCGGGGTGAGGAGCAACGGGTACCCTGGTCAACAGCGACTTCGGGTTGCGCACGCCAGCCAGTATATGTTGCTGTGCCAGAGCCGTAACAGCTGCGGCACTCGGCTCGTCAAGCACCATGGTGAAGGCCATCAGGCAACCTTCCCACAACGCCCGTCTCAGCGAATACGTGCTTGCGAGGTCTGCCGCATACGTCAACGCGCGCGCAAGCGTACGCATGTTATAGTGTGGCCGGTGGTTCGCTCCATCCGCAATCTTACGCTCGTCCGCCAACCGCTTGACGGCCGCATAGAACTCCGCGACGTCCATAACAGCACCTCGATCCCCGACTGCGCAACCGCCGATGTATTGATCCACAATGCTCAACAACGTTTGCTTGTCAGCGTCCGGTGAAGGTACGTCGAGTTCGGTGAAGCGGGATCTGATGTTAGGCGGGAGGTCCTTCTTGCCGACATCCGTCGCCGGATTCATACACGCGAACAGGCGGAAATCTGGGTGGCGCGGGACTGGCTCGACTGCACCCTGTTCGGTGAGCGTGATCGACGCGTCCCTGCTGTGTAGCAGAGCTGAAATGCATTCTAGTGTCTCCGGAGTGGCTAGATTGATTTCATCGAGGAGAATCCTACAGCAAAGCTTGGTACAATGCCTGAGGTACGTGGCAAATAGTACTCACCAATCACCGTTGCGCAATGCCTTGATGAGAAGACCTTCGACGAATGCGAACGCGAATTTGCTGTTGCCTTGCACGTGCTGCACTTCGAATGCTTGTACGTCTTCCTCGAACGCTATCCAACTGGCCTCGGACACATTCAAGCCATCGTGTTCTGTTTTCCGTCGCTTCCTTGGTGTCTCCATACCCGCAGTGCCTCTCTCCACCCTATGGGATAGCCCGAAAACTTTCAGCAGCGCGAATCAGCTCGCGAAGCGGACAAACGTACGTCGTTCCACCAGTCTCCCTTGCCTGTATCTTGCCCCTCGCCAACTTCAGCGCCTCCCTCCACAACCCCACCGCCCTCTTCCACTTACCCTCTAACACTGCCTTCCTCACCGACTCCTGAAACTTCGCGTTCTTCTTCCTGCTGAACGTCCCCTCGAACAGCTCCGCGAACCGAGCATGGAGTTCTGTCCCTGGCACGCGTGCATCTACCGGCTTGAACCCGCCGATCAAGTCAGACGATTCTGTCTGGTTCGACAAGTTGAGGGACACCAGAGGTCGGTTGAGCAGTGCCGCAAGATGTGTCACGGCGCTCGTCTTTCCCGTGCCGGTCTCGCCTGTAAGTAGTACGGGCTCGCAAAGAGAGACGGCCGTGGCGATCCGCGAGAGGAGCTGCACCGCCGGCCGATGCATCGCGAACGGACGTGCAGGAGCCGTAGATACTTGCCCCTTCGCTGCACGTGCTCGCAGCCGGGTGCGACCCACACGCACTGCAGTTGTGCGCCCATTCACGTCTTTCTCCACCTCAAACTCCGGTGCATGACCGCGCAAGAGCCAGTCCCGGCGCTCGGGTGACAGGCCCAGGTGCTCTGCAGCAATAGCTGCGACAGCGTCCATGTGCGCACGGGCAGACGCAGTCGTTGCGCCCGCGCCGAAGAATACGTCACGCGCCTCGAGGTACAGGTCTTCGCGAACAGTCGGGTTTGGAAAGATGATTGGGAGAATGAGCGGTCGGTTGACGTCGAGATCGATGTCCATGGATTGAGAGGATGTGGGCAACAAGTGCTCCGCACGTGTGCAAAGCTTGTCCAGCTCACGTAGTCCAACGTCGCGTATGGAGGATGTCGGCCCCAGAGCTTTGATCGCCTCCCACATGCGGATGAAGCCTCGTGCGGCAACTCCGGCTAATCGCGGATATTTCGTGTCGACGATCATTCGCAGGTCCTCGGGGGTGGGCGACGAGACGATCATTTCGTGGAACTTGTGCACTCCGAAGAAGGTTGGGCTAGCGAATGTACCGTTCCTCGACGGCGAAACCGAGCGCGTAGCATAAATGGCGAAGCTATCCTCAGCGATGACGGTACCCCTGTTCGGTATCTCGATATATGCGCGCCCGCCGATCCATTTATCGAGTCTGAGCGATTCTACGAGCGGCTTGATGACACCGAGCACCTCGTTGCTTGCGCGGTCGATGTCCTCGAACACGACCCACTTTCCCTCACGCATCGCACGCACAAGCACGCCTTCGCGCCACTCGAATGCGCCTGGGCGTGTCGACGAAGACGCATATGAGCCGAGCAGCGAACGCGCGTCCAGGGACGTGTCCGCGAGATGGATCGTGACAATTTGGTTGTGGGCGTCTGGATACAGGGTGGACGCGAGGTGCGAGAGAAGAAGCGACTTGCCCGAGGAGGGAGCCGAAGTGAGCAGGGTCGGCACGTGGAGGGAGTGATGTATGGCGAGTGTGCGCAGGGATTGCACCGCGGTGGGCGTCTCGATAAGTGTAGTGTCTTGCGAAACAGATTTCGAGGAACGGAACATGAGGACGCCATGCACGTTCACGACAAGAGGACTGGATATACTGTTTAGCCTTTGCACATTCAGCCAATATGGACACCCTTACCTCAGTTCTGCCGGATGAATAGGCTCGCGTGAGTCGTTTCCTTCGAATGAAAAATAGTTTTGAGGCTTTAGGTGAGCGTTCCTTGCATTAGTGATGCGGTTTGCCTCCATTCCCGGCAGGATCCAACCGTCCATGTGAACCGGGCTACCGTCGACGTTCGCGCCGTATGCGATCGGGCTATCCACCTTGGCGACGTCGCCTACCAGCTTTTTCTCCATCTTCATCCTCTCGCCTTCCATCATGCCGGACTGCAAAGCATAGCACCGAATAGAGAGGAAGCGCACACCGTTATCGGGGTGAGGCGCCCAAATGAGTTTGGAAAGTGGGGAGAGCGACCAAAGAAGTATGCGGGGCACTTCTCTATTCGCTTGCAAAATGCGATAATAACCAAGTAACCTCCGATGCAAGAAAAGGGAGCCAATGTGTTGCACATTGTCGTTGCGCATGACAAAGGCTAGTGGGCCGCCTTCGCGGCCAGGGTGACGCAAAAACACAGAGAATATACTACAGATTTAACTTAGACCGAGAATAATATAACTGAAGGCAGCAGGCACATACGGATAGATCTCAGGATGTAACTCCAGCAAGAAGCAAAAAGCTTCGAATTTATCGTCTTCGTTCTGATCATTTTGCAACCACCGGGCGCACAAATCTACTAGAAGTGGTCGGAAGGCAGTCGCGACGAGTTCAGTCAAGCCGGGAGTCAACAGCAGATGTGATAAGACGTTCAGCAGCTCTGAGTTCGTAGAGACATTTTGGATAGCAGCCGAGTGAGGTGAGTCGGCGGGAAATTGGGAGAGCAAGAGGCGAGTCTGCCTCTGCAGGTTCATGGTAAGAGGGTCGCTGATCTCAATTGATGATGCCATTTGGAAAGTCCGCTATAGTATACCTTTGTTGAGGTGGGGAATATAGTGAGCAGGGAAAAGTAGAGGCGAGAAGGGGACGCAGAAAACTGCGCAAAATCGTCGTGAGCACAGTGCTCAACGCGCTGAGGAGCAGAGCCGCAACTCGAAAAAATCGCGTCGGCAGCAGCCGACAATATTGCACGTGACTACATTGATCCCGATATCCGGATCTAGATTCAGATCTATACCGATGAGTGCGGGCGTCTGTGGACATATTGAATCAAAATATTCTTTGATCTGCGATCATGCAATCGCAATCGACGTGGTCACGACGCAAAGCAGCGCATGTCTCTGTCTTGTTCCTCTATTTTCATAGAAACATACCAACCTCCGTATGCGGGACATTCCGTCGGTGTGGAGGACTTACGGCGCCATCCACCTTCTCTCGTGTGACATGTGGCATTATCCAAGGCCAGAATGATCAAAGCTGACGCTCATCGGGCCTTTCCTTTTCCTCTTGTGCGCGACCTCTCGGCTCTGTGTGATCCTGCCTTGCGGGACGTCTAGCTCTGAGCAGCCATGAGCACTTTAAGGATTTCCTCGGACGACAAGACCTACGACGACGACAAGCGGAACCCAACCCATGTCGACACCGAGGCACGCGCTCTGCATGCCGAGACGCAAGACGTGTACGACGAGGAAGAAGCTGGTGTGGATCCAGTCTACCAGGCGAAGGCCAGGGTCTTGAATGATGCACTCCAAGAGATCGGCATAGGAAAGTACCAGGTTTGTGAGAGACGCGATATTAGAAAGAGTTGCAGAACAATACCGAGATCTATTCCAGTGGTGCCTATTCATCGTCGCCGGCTTTGGATGGTTCTCGTAAGTGATTAGCTCGCGATCAATGCTATCTTGATTTGGATCGTTCACCTTGCAAAAGAGATAACTTGTGGCCCGTAGGTCCACTCCTCGATGGCTCGCGATAAAGCCTCACCCCATCCCAGATCGTCACAGGCCTCATCCTTGATCCCGTAGTGAATGAGTTCAACTTCCAAGGCCCGTTCCTCAAGCTCGGCCAAAACATTGGCCTCCTTGTAGGCGCTGCATTTTGGGGAGTGGCCTCTGACGTCTGGGGACGGCGGTGCGTTGTTTCCTGCTACCTCTGCGATGTCTGTGATCTGACATCTCCTCTACGTAGGTGGTGCTTTAATATGACTTTGTTCATCACCGGCGTGTTTGCTGTTGCAGCAGGAGGTTCGCCAAACGCCGTAGCTCTGTGCTCGCTCTGCGCTGTGTGGAGCGTCGGCGTCGGTGGCAACCTGCCCGTGGATTCGGCAGTATTCCTGGGTGCGTCAGTTGACTCATCTTTCCGAGTTCCTGTATAAACCCGCAGCAGAGTTCATTCCCGCCTCACACCAATACCTCCTCACCATCCTCTCCATCTGGTGGGCCTTCGGGCAGCTCGTCGGCAGCCTAGTTCGTCTTCCAAGACTCTGCCCTCTGCATCCCACTGATGCCCATGCAGGTCGCTTGGCCGCTCATCGCGAACTACTCCTGCGCGTCCGCCTCTGACTGCCCGCGCACCTCGAACGAGGGATGGCGCTACTTCCTGTATGCGATGGGCGGGCTCATGCTGCTCATGTTTGTCCTGCGCTTCTTCGTTTTCCATCTGTATGAGTCTCCGAAGTACCTTATGGGCCGTGGGCGCGAGGAGGAGGCGGTCGCCGTCGTGCACAAGGTGGCGCGGTACAACGGGCGGACGTGCGGCCTGACGGTGGAGATGCTCAAGGCGGCGGGCGGGGAGGCCGAGAAGAGCGATGATGAAGAGAGAACGGACGCGTTAGATACGAGTGCAAGAGGTGCGGTAATGAGAAAGTTGAAGGTGTTTAGCGGGGAGCATGTGAAGAGCTTGTTTGCTACTCGCAAGCTCGCGTACTCGACAACTTTGCTAATTATCGTTTGGGGTAAGCTTGCTTGTCACGGTGAAAATTCACTCAGTGTCTTTTGACTTATCTCCTCCAACAGCCCTTATTGGCCTTGCTTTCCCTCTGTATGTGACCAAATCATCGATACCATACCTGTATGGCTGACATTCGTGCCCAGGTACAATGGCTTTGTCGATTACTTGTGCGCTTCATCCCCTCTAGCCAACGAAAGGTGTACTGACTCTTTTTGTCTTCAAGCCTACAATCGCGGGGAGCTGACTTCGGAGATGGCTCGCTATACATCACGTACCGTAACGTCAGTTCGCCATCGTGACCTTACAAGATGTTGCCTCTAACAGTAATACCTGCATCATAGCAAGTCATCCTGAGCGTCATCGGCGTTCCCGGCGCCCTCCTCGCCGGCTGGCTCGTTGAGCTACCCTATCTAGGCAGGAAAGGTACTCTCGCCATATCCACCGGTATGCCTCGCGTCATGATCCCTCATCACGATTACTACCGCATCTGATTCGTGTGCCTCGTAGTCGTTACCGGCGTCTTCCTCTTCGCAAGCACGACCGCCCGCACGTCCAACGCGCTTCTCGGCTGGAACTGCGGGTACACGTTCACGAGCAACATCATGTACGGCGTCCTCTACGCTGTCTCACCCGAGCTCTTTCCGACCAAGGACAGGGGCACGGGCAACGCCATCGTCGCGTCTGCAAATCGCATCTTCGGTATCATGGTAAGCCGTCCACCTCTCCACCACATGAGTGTCTGCTGAGCTGGTTGCTTGACGTGTCGTTGCAGGCACCGATCATCGCGCTGTATGCGAACCTGGCGACATCAGTGCCGATCTATGTATCTGGCGCGCTGTTTCTTGTTGCAGGAGTGGTCGCGCTGCTGTTACCGTTTGAACCGAGAGGAAAGGCATCGATGTGACAGGTAGAATGTACATGTACAATATATCTCTGCTCAGACTTTCAGTTCCAGCCCGTTTGCGCATATTTTCTGCTGTATAAGAGGAGTTGTAGAAAAAGATCAAAGGCGGGTTGCGTCACATTATTATCTGAGCGTGCATAAAGCGCGTGGATGTGCTGGGCATCGCGAGCCATACGACATCATAATTCTACGTCAATGCCTTCGCGATTCGTGCCCCGGCGTCTGATTATGAAGTACTAGTAGTTATGATCATAGTCCTTGAACGTTGCAACGAAGTCCTTGACACATCGGATCGCATGCCATTTGGCCTCTACTGACTTTCGAAGCTCAGAGTCTGTATGTGAGCCCGTGACCTATTGGAAGCATTGCTCTGTTCAGATGAAGGCCAGCACGCCACTGGCATGCGCCGCGACGCTGCGACTCTTAACTTTTCGTCGCACGTCACCGTCAAATTCCGCGCGGAATTGTTGAGTACCGTGGTGCATAATGTTGCTCGGTCAATTAATTTACATGTGCAAAGACAGAACCAATATCGACGACCTTCAACGGGTACATATAGTCGTAACAATGTCTTACGATGAATTTGATAATTTCGTTCATGCCTGAAAGACGGCATGAGTACGATGATCAAACCAGAGCTTGCCAGATGGCACTTACCAAAGCATAGACCCTAGCCGCTAGAATAAACAACTTGACTTCCTTATTCCAGCTGCCGACAACAGTGTTCAGCTGGATCATGCGAACCCAGACTTCATTCCCGTTCTTGACGTGGAGCATGATTGCGCCGCTAGCGACCGCTTTGGAGCCCACAGATAAGGTAATCTCATTCTTTGGGTTCCCACTGGCAGAGCCTAGCTGCACGTCTCCTATGACCGGAATCCTTAAGGACACAGAGACTTCCACATTGAAGGTGAGGAAATGGATGGTGCCGGAGACCTGTCCAATGTTTAACGTTGTTAAGCGGTCCTGAGGAGACGTCTATCTACTCATCAAGCCAACGTACGCAAAGGACTCCGAAGAGCAAGTACTCGAACGCTCTCTCTCCGACTAAATCGAATGTCGTTCCAATCACGTCCTGGTTGATAATGTCCAGCGCCGTGCGCTGTTGTACAGCTGGGGAAATAATCAGGACAATTGTGACATTCTAGCTCCAGTAACAGTCAGACTTCACACCTTCCGATGGCTTGAATCCTGGCAATGGCAAAGGACGCATCGCAAGCGATTTGAGTGCCTCTTTGTTAGCCTGGCCGTCATCAGGCTGAGGAATAAGTTGAATCAGGTTGCTGAACATTGTCACGACTCGGAATGTGAGCGACGTTGCCGAGTCCAGAGGCTGCGCTGTTACAGGGAAGGAGACGTCCTTATACGATCAGCCTGCGCGGGTAGAGGAGTCAGGATGCCATGGAGATTACTTGCGTATTCATCATGCTGAAGTTCTAGACAACAGGCAACTCACCTTGCTGCTCACAAGGAGCGGAGTCGTGCCTACATCATGAATGCTGCCACCACGTGTTATCCGCAAGGGTCAGTATCAGCAGGCCAAATGACATGCTGTGTTCTATTTTCACGGACGAATCTGGACAGTGCAGATGTACGATTCTTGATATGGAGAAGTTGGGCATGTTGAGTTGATTTGGGACGCCATCGGCATCGGGAAGACCACACGAAACATCGGACATCAATTACATGTTATGCAGGAGCGAAGCTGATCCGCGACTTCCTCTGGAAGCACGCATAGGGTACGCCGCGATGGCACTCGGTTCGAAAGTTAAACCACACGCACAGAATTGTCACCATCGCACCCTCTGCCCAATGTGCTACATCGAACTAATCGCTTGAGCATACACCTTGACAATGTTTTGCTTTGCTAGTCGATAAGAGTTCGACATATGGAACCTGGCACGGCAACTGCGGGAGGAGAAACACAGTCAGCAGCGCAGCTTACATTTAGTGGCACCCTGGAATGTCACCTCCTTCGTTATGGAGCAGACTATTCGGCTGGATTCCGTTTCCTGGCGTAGAGAAAGCATTCTGTTTAGCACATTGAAAAACTCGCGCCCAGCGTTAGAAACGATTGTGAGTAAGGAAGCGCCTCTGACGCGCCTCGCCCTCACCCACGATTCATGTCGAAGGATGCACAAATACAATTAGTTTGCGATAGACGGCGGACTGTATTAACTGACTGTACGAGGCTTGAGTAACATGCGAAAACCAAACAATATAACAATACCGTAAAACATGGTGAACAGGTCGAAAGTTCCTCTATATCAAAGAGCCATGCCAGTACCCGCTGGCTCGGCTTCAAGCTGTCCATGCTCAGCCGTCTGGCTGGTGTCCATCTCGTCCAGGTTCCTAGGCTGCAACTCCTCCTCCTCCTCCTCCTCCTCCTCCTCCTCCTCCTCCTCCACCAACTTCTGCTCGTGCAGTCTCATGCTCTCCGTGACCGATGCATTGCTCATGCTGTCTCTCGCTGGCAGCGGGGGAGGCGTCGCTACGGGCGTAGAGTTGCGCGGTGACTGGCTCGGACTCCCTGTGCCGCTCGTTGACCGCGAGGACGATGATGCCATGGAAGCCCGAGACACCCGCTGAGCGAAGAACGAGCCGACCCATCCACTGAACCGACTCTGATCGGGGGGCGGTGGTGGCACAGGGTGGGTCATTGCCATACTGAGTGGCCGCAACCCGCTCTGGCGCTTTGCAGGCTGTGGCCCATCCGATGTCCCTCTGCGTAACTGTCCCAACGCTGGTCCCGGCGAGGAGGAACTATCCACACTTGTATCCGCCTTGTTCATATCATCTGCACTGCTTGATGTGCTGGTTGTACCTGCCGACCCGTCTGTTGAGGTAGTAGCAGATGCCATCGGAGTATTCTGACCACTGCTAGATGAACTCGTGGTTCGCGATGCCCATCTACTACGAACACCCTCCACAGCTTTGAAGAGGTTAGTCGAGCCAACGGCGAACGTGCGTGAAATGGCCTCCCGCGTAGGCGCAAGTTGCTGATCAAGTTTCAGTTCTTGGATGCCCTCAGACAGCCGGAGCCCTATATCAGAAACCACAGACGGCTTCTCGCTGCACGGATGCCTGCCAAATATGCAAATTCAATGACGGCAGCGGCCAATTGAAGCAAACAAGACACACCGCGCTTCGACGATATCGAAGAGCATCGGATCTGTGACACGCTCCCATACTTCGTACGCATTGGTCTTCTTGAACTCTTGAATCCAGAAAGGGTTGAAGTCTTGCGCTGAATTGGGATCCCCTTTGGATCAACGCGTCAGCTCTTCTTCCAACACTCGTGTACCGAAAACGTGTTACCTGCGCCATCCATAATGGAGACACCACCGCCATGTGCCTTGGATAAGAAAGCAGCATACTTCACACTTGCCAATGCGCCCGAGATATACTCGTTGAACTAGCGTCAGACCGTGAATAAACGATGCGTCTCGTCTGAGAATCGCAACAGATCACCAACCTTCTCTCGTAAATAGTCATCACTACCCTTGAAACTGACGACATCATTGGACATTGTTGCCGCAAGAAGACAGGACCGAACTTACTGCATGCCCAATGGGAGCGTAGGATCTTCAACGAATGCCTCGTTGACATCCTTCACGATATCATCGATCCATTTCCTGTCCGCAGGGGTCAATCCCGTCACTCGTTCGAGCTTCGGATCCCGGAACTCCATAGTGCCAGTCTCAATCTGCACATTGAGCGTTGAGATGCAGTTGACAAAGTAATCGCTTGTGAGGACTTACGTTGACCAGCACATCGACCTCCTTCTGCTGCGTCACGATCGTGTTGGTGCTTCCGCATAACCAGCCTTGCGTGTCTTTCAGCATATCGAGTTGCTGGAGAGGTAGATATGGTTGGAAGAATGCGTCCTGTCACATCCATTTCATCAGTAAGATGCGTGTGCAATCATTGCGAGATGTTGACCTTGCCAAACAAGTCAAGTGGCAGTCCGACGTATGCCATCACGCTCTTCGGATCGGAAGTACGTAATGACGTAGGGCGTGACAGTGTTTGGGCGCGAGTCGCTAGCGGCGGTGAGCCACAATCTTCGAGGTTCTGTAGCAGACCTAATGATTACCGAAATAATTCTTCAGCAATCTCGCTAGGTGATCTGTAAAGCCTCTGTCGTACCAGGAACGAGGGTGATTAACGAATACTGATATGTGCATAGCCGTTCTACAGGATGGCCAAAGAACATGATCTGCGTCGTTCAATATACATGCAGGCTAAATGAAATGTGCGAAGAACCTACTTTCTTCTGCAGCATGAGTGCCTTGAGGAGAACAAGCGTCCGCTGTCGGAATGTGTGCACCAGCTCCCGACTGAAAACATGAGCACATGAAACGATTGTACAGCGGTGCTCAAACTCACAGACTCGTCCCTGAAGCACACGCATTAGCGGCGAAGACATACGAAAACTGTTGTACAGACCCATATATAGTCCACTTTCCGTCATTTGGCTTCGGAGAGAACGCTCCAATGACGTGTGGAAATCGTCCAGTATACTCATGTCAGAAAAGTCACGCTGAGCAAACAACGCCCGTGTGATCACCCCAAGTCGATCCCTATAAGAGAGCTCATACAATGAACAGGCACATTTGAGTCATGGACTTACCGGATGAGGCCAAACACAGGCTTGGAAGCAAGAACGACGACTGCTTTCTGAACCGTAGAACGCGTCATATCGGCATCCCGCACCAGTAATTCAGACGTGCTGATTTGTCGGTTACATCTGTGCTCATGTCAGTAAGCCCAAGGCTGAATCCGGAAAGCAGTTGTGCTGACGAGATTCCGAAGACGGTACTAGGATTGGGCGAAGAGGGCACTAGGTGAAAGTAGGAATAGTCTTCGGATGTCTGTTGGCGTACATGGTCAGAGGAAGTCAATGAGAGTGCAAGACGCTCACTAGGTGGGCACCGTCAGGCAGGGCAAGAAATGGGAGAATCTTGGCTATCTCCTCGTCTTCGAAAATGTCTCCTCTCGAAAATTCGATCTTAGGGCCAACCTATGACTACGCTTAGCGTAGAGCGGCGCGTGGCTGTCTAGAACCTACCATATGATCAAAGTCCACGAGAGCAATTCCAAGCACGAGAGGACCTTGCATGGCCTGAGGTAGCAGAGACTCCGGCCTTGCCTTTCTCGAGTAGGACGTCGCCTCCGAGGTGAAGGATGCGAGACTCTCCGTGTCGCTCCTGCTGGGCACGTCCGATTGTCGAGAAGGAGGTGTGGAGACAATCGGCGATGACGACGGTCCTGCGTCCAAAATTGGAGACTTCTCGATTTCGTTCACAGATGGGGCGACGCTAGAGACGGGAGACTCGCCCTCGTCGAGCCTTTGAGTAAAGAGGCTCCGGTCATCATCTACCTCCGAGCTAAAGACCGTATCCATAGTATTGCGCTTGGAAAACGACAAGCTCTCGCGGACAAGGTTGATCTGCGCGGTCGCAGAGGACGTTTCCTCGTTGGGTTGATGTACAGCGGCGCTGGAGGCACTGTGGCGAGGCGAGTGCGGAGGCGAAGACAGCGCAATGGAGCGTTGTGATGCAGTGTCACCATCGTCTGAGAGTGCTATATCGGACGTTGCATCGTCAAAGCTCTCTTCGTGCTTTTCTCCTGTCTCGTGATGCAGGAGAGGATGGGCATTCAGAAAGACCGAAGATGCAAAATCGTCGATTGGAGAACTGGGCATCTCAGAAGGAGGTGCTTCCACTGCTTCCGGTCTGCGAGTGTCATGTCAAGAACCTTGATAGCAACGAACAAGGCATACCTCTCGGTGTTGATGCCAGCGGCAGTGCTCTCCTCCATATCAGCGTGATGCACCATCTATCAGACCTGACCAGACAAGCAAACTGTGATCGTGGATGCCGGCCTTGGCTCAACCAGAGGTCGCAATGAAAGTCGAAGAAATCTGGGCTGCACGCCGCAGCAGAGGGTGAAACGGAGGACTGGCACTTTGGCAACAGACTGACAGACTCCACGTGGCTTGTCACTTGCCGGGCACCAGCGCGCCTCCTCGCTTTCTGCTTCTCCTCGATATCTCTCTCCTCAGATGCGTGGCTGCGTCTTGTGGAGGACTGACGATGTCGACGAACCCTCATCAATTGGTCGAAACTGGTTTCACGCGCTAACATACCAAACATCCGTCGAATGCACTGCCTTGAAGCTTGATTGCGATACAAACCTAATGCGCTCAATCACACTAGTGTACGTAGAGCTCGCATTGCTGGATGATGCGGATGTTTGAGACGGAACGCATGCCTCACGTGGATGCTACTCCCTCTACATGAGAGTCAGACTTTCTCGGAGTATCGAGCGTCTCAAGATGGTGAGCTTCTCCGATAGTGCGGTACGCCTATCTCTGGCTTCACACTGAACGACTCTCTCTGGAGGTTGGCTCGCGGTGCACAGGAGCCCTAGTGAGTACCACAATTCTCGTCACCGTATTAGCATGTAGTCATTTCATGAAGTAGTGCAAGGACTCGCTATGGATCAGAGTCACGGAACAACCATCAATGCTCCTGCACCCTTCAACAAGCAAAGCGCGGATGTCATTCTGCGCTCGTCAGATAACGTGGACTTTCGCGTTCATACCACAATTATGAGCGTCGCTTCACCTTTCTTCGAGACAATGTTCGCCATGCCACAACCGGAGGAACCTGCGGGCAGTGACGTACATCCAGAAGCAGGCCTCCCACTCATTCACATGGAAGAAGACAGCGAGACGCTTGGGCGCTTGCTCCGCTTCTGCTACCCTGTCGAGGATCCCGATCTAGACAAAGTAGCGGATCTGGGTCCTGTGTTAAAAGCTGCAGTCAAGTATCAGATGGAGGACCTGTTACCGAGGCTGAAGAAGAAACTCACAGTCATCGCGCGCCGAGATCCCCTCCGAGCATACGTGCTCGCCTGCTCTCTCCGTCTTGAGCAGGAGGCAAGAGCAGCTGCGATTGCGTATCGCGAGACTTCGTCTCTCCAGATTGACAGCTACGTTCCAGAGATGGATGAACTGACCACGGGAGAATACTATCGCCTCCTCCAGTTCTATACACAGAGTGTAGATGTCGCATCTGCTCATTTCTGCGTTACTCATCAAACCACATTGGATGCTTCATTGAGCTCCTCCGCTGTCGAGCAAGGTTGTCTCGTGGCGTACTTCCGGGATCCGAATGCAGATGTCGTCCTACGCTCCTTAGATGGGATGGACTTCTATGTTCACTTACCGATACTCACTCTTGCCTCCCCCGTCATTTCGAGAATGCTTGATCCCCTCCACCGTCCAAGCCGTCAAACTATCTCTCTACCTGAATCGACTGGAATTCTGGCTAAACTGCTACAACTCTGTTACCCAGTTCCAGAACCCGAATTTACGGATTGGGATGAACTAATTGGAGTATTGCAGTCCGCCATCAAGTACGATATGAGGAGGGCTGTAGGATGTTTGAAGAAAGAATTGCTGAAGCGGATCCCGGACAGCGGTCTTCCAGCCTACTTCACCGCCATGCGTTTCGGTTGGGAGACGGAAGCTCAAGAAGCCGCACGCTACGCTCTAACCGAAGATCGGGATCAATATATGACTCTAATGGAAACCGTCAGCGCAGCGGTATATCGCCGCTTCCTGTTATATCGCAAGCAGTGCCGCGACACAGCTGCGCAAGTCTGGTCGTCCATTGCCGGGAATCTCTCTCCAGGCGACCGAGGCTCGATCAAGCTGCCGCCCTACTGGAGCGAAACCGTGGATCCAATTCTGTCAATTTCTACCAACGGAGGTACTTCTGTCATTCTTCGCCTGGCAGACCTCTTTGGGGCCAATATGATGGGTTCTCCAAAGCCCTCGTATGACGTGCCAAACCAAACATTGTTGCTAGCTGCCTTCATTGAGATTTTCGACCGAGAAGATTACGGCGTTGATGACTTCCAAGCTTTGCTGAGAAACAGTTGCAAGTTCGAACAAATACTTCGTGTCGTATACTCCCAGGTGGGTCACTGGTAGCGCTGTTCATAATTGCCTCTCTGATTAGTCGGCCGTCGGCGTCAACAGATTCGTCTTTGACTATGCTCGATACTTATATCTGACGGCCGTAACTTGTTATACATAAATGTAGTGTGGTGTGGGATAGACATTGCACGACTAAAGGGATGCTAGCAGCGGTGTAGGATATGCATCACGCATTATCGCCGGACTAGTTATAGGCATATATAGATAGTGCGTAGATAGGCTGCAAGAGACTGGATGCGATCCCAAGTATCTACGGGAGCATCGATATGCAGGCTGTGATCCAGATTTAAGTAGTCCGTTGATTATAGATAAAAGATAACTAATGCTGGTGGGAGCATAGCAGAATCCATGAAGCGAGCTATGAACATCGCAGCACAGAAGAGCAGCGCCTTGGATGGCCGGTCAAAGCCGTATGACTGTGAGGATGGCGACGAGTCCGTCCTGTTTAATATCATGGTTCACGCCTGCGTGTAGCATGTCAAATGTGTGGTAGCCATGAAGAACAATCGCGTACAAACCTCGATTGCCCCTCTCTAGTAGGCCAGCACGCCACTCGACGTCAGCCTTCCACCACATGCCGTTCCAGTGGGTTCCCGCGACTGCTCGCTCTACGAGATAATTTCGTCCCAGGTTGTACCCATCAGGTATGATTTGATGGTTCTTCGACGAGTCCTGCAACTCCGTCAGTAAGCTCTCCGCATCCCTACATTACGAATGTACTTTACCTTCTCCTCAGAAGCCCTGAGGTCTGACATTAGCATGTAACAGTGACAAGCACGGTCTTGCCCCACGTACCCAATGAACCACGCCTCGCTGTTCGCGACTGTCCCATTCTGCTTCCATGCACGAAAATGATGTCCTCCACGCACACTCTCCCAACATGTGCCCATCACGGGGAAGTAGTCTTGCCGCGCAAGAAACACCTCCGGCTTACGCCCCAGCCCGTCCCCCAGATCCGCTTCGTGAATGTCACCGTAGTGCAGCCCGAGGCATTCCTCTGAGTATCCTATCGACTTTGCGTAGTTGTGCAGGCCCGCCTCGCTAAGGATGTATGGATCGGAAAGAGCCGTGATAATCACGTTCAGCGGCTCGCCGAGCTGCGTCGTCGTGAACTGGAGGAGCAGCCGAGTCAGTTAAACCTTTTTGAGTGCTTCTTTGCTCACATCAAGTAGGCGACCGCCATTGAGCCGTGGATCCACCCATCCAATCGTATCTTCTTCAGGCGGGAGCTCGCCATTCTCGTATTCCCGTTGAACATGCCGCTGGTTCATGACATACTGGTCTGTTGCGTACTCCGCCGATAGTACCGGCTGGATGCAGATATTGAGAGCCAATGTAGACAGGAAGATGACCGCGAGGGTGCATATGAGCATGACGACAGACCCAGAGAGGACGCAGTTATCCTGTAGTCGTTGAACGGAGGAACATAGGCCGCACTGCCTTGTTTACGGGAGCGGCAGTGATATGATGGCTGTTGAAGGAGAGAATTGGTGTTGACAGGATGTCCGGTGGTATGGGGCTGTGAGTAAATGTCAGGAAGAGACAAGCAGGTACTGGAGAGCGGATGTCATTCCGGTGAGCAACAGTTGCCTCCGCCGCAGCAGCGCTAGCTCCAAACACAGCGCACTCTACGCAGTCGGTGACGTTAGTGTAATAAAGTGTACGACAACAAAGCTGCTATCGCCACCGTGTTTCCCGAAGAACGTTGTCGCGAATATTGTGTGCGCCGGATTGTACAGTTCAGGCCCCGATGAGCACGGTTTTTTCTCACACTGGCATTCATCCTACTACTTCTGAAGCTTGAAGTTCGATATATACATTTCTCTTCGATAGGCTACGACTCGCCCAGCCAAGTGAACAATTCCGTGAGTCAGTCACCAGCATGAGCGTGGCACTAGGCTTCAGCACGTTCAAGTTTGACGGATGTATCGTCGGAAACTTGAATCGCCAATCACGAACTTGAAATGACCAGGTTGGCTCGTTTACATGCAGATAATCACCATTCACTCCCGGCCGCTATCCTACTAAAATGGAATATCAAGGGAACAGAGACTCCAACTCGTTCAAAAGGTTCATGGCGGATGCACGATATGTATCCGTTGTGATTTCGACCAGAGGCGCAGGGTCGACGAAGGTCAACAATGGCGGGGCGGATGTATCAGAGCCCCATTGATCCCAGGTGATATCGGACAGTAGGCTGACACCAGAAGGGAGATCGGAAGGGGCATTCGGATTGACGTTGGTCGCAAAGTTAACTGCATCAACACTTCAGCCATGTACAAACGTATCGCATCCAATTGTTGCTTACTCAAAGCATCCACTGCGATGTAATCGACATCTGACCAAAACTCGAGTAGGTCCGTTCCATGAGCGGCGCCCAGATATGGTATGTATTTGCCGCGCTCGTACACTGGCAAGATAATATTGACTTAGTAAGAATTTCCGTAGATATAAAGAGGCTCACAGTATGCCCAAGTGTCTTGCGTTTGCGATGCGTACGAGAGGAAGAATCTGCGCGGTGCCTGCCAATAATAATCGCCCTGGAACGATGCGATTCGCTTGAACTGCGGGCTTTACCAAGTGATCAGAGCACGACACTCTGAGTATCAGACGATGGATACGTACGTCAAGGCATAGAAAATACCCGTGTCATATGGGGAACCCTAAGGATATCAATCTTTAGCATCGCAGATGCGAAGGCCCGTGTCTTCAACGCACAGCACTGAGATCAGCGGGATAGGCCTCCCCCACAGCTTCGATTTGCGAGTCGGAAGCAATCGTGATGTAGCTGTGTAATATGATATGCGGTGAGTGAGGCTTCCTACAGGTTATAGTGAGAAAACAGCACTTGGTATGTATGTATTCAAGGAACTCTTCATCAGTTCTGCAGACATACGCATCGTCCAATTAGCAAGGAGACGACAATACGTAGGAGGTGGTGACAAACGTGATGTTGGCATTGCTGAATGAGAACAAAGTTCCTTCGTCGTAGCAGTCGCCTGCGATCACTGGTACCTGAACATAATCGCGTCAGAGATGGAACGTATTCGGTCACGAAAACGCAAACCTTCGCGTACAAGCCCATCTCGATGTATCGGTACCCATTTCGGACGATTATGTCGCCATCGATGCGAGGCTCCCACGCAAGGTTCAGACTCTGATAACTGAAGAAACTAGGGCTTTCTGCGACCGCTGCGAGCAACGCCGTGTAGTCTGTCTCGCGCAGGCATGACAACGTATCAGATGCTCCAGAGCATCCTGTGTTCTGTACCAGCTGGTCGTAGTATTGCTGCCCTTGCGAAACGTTCGCAAGCGATATCGGGAAACCCGATTCCTGTTGTGGCTTGTCAATAAAATGCAGCTTTGAAGGACGGCTTGAAGTCGCACCATTACAGCGGCTCGGAACAGGCCTCCGGTATCACCGTCATTCCAGATCAGGTGAGCAGCGACAGAGTACGCGCCGGCACTCTCTCCCCAGCTGCGCTTGGTAAGTACCGCTAAGACATGCTGGAATGAGATATCCGTGCTCACATGGTGACTTTGTCTGGGTCGCCTCCGAATTCCGAGATATATTGATTAACCCATTCCATTGCAAGTCTTTCTACACACGTTGTCGTGACGTCAAGCGACTCGATTAGCCGGACGATGGGTTGCAAGACGCACGATCTCTGAGTCCAATGTTTGTTGCATTCTCTGCTGCTAGTTCCTCGCTTGCCAAGAACCCGAACGCTGATGCACGTTGTCAGTGCTGCGATCTTAGATCACTGAATCACAATATCGCTCACCGTTCACGCGATAGTTGTGTGATACGAGTATTATTGGCTCGCCCAATGCAATAGATCGTTCCACATATAGCGCGCCGTCGTACAGCGATGCATCCCCGATCTCGAATGCTCCTACGGGCGAATATTAGGACATCACCTGGTGACTGAAAGCAAAGACAGGACCTCCGAAGATCCACTGACAGGAGATGAGTCAGTCACCAGGTCTACATTTTCAAGACGCTCGACGTACGAAGAGCACAGGGAGGTTATCTCCAGCTGCCGCGGAGGCCGGTTTCCATATGTTGACGAAGAGGCCTGATCAGTCGAGGCCCTCATGAACATATGCATCACAGCCACAGCGCCAAGAAACCGGACATACAGTCTTCTGAGATTAGCGATCCAGAAGAAATGATCGAGAAGTTCGAAGGAAGCAGTTCGGGAAGGACGAGCCCTTGTTGAGGACACGCTGCTCCGAAGCTCGTCGCGTCTTGTATACCGTCCATCGTCACAGGCGGCTGGGGTGCTGCGAAGCGCAGACTTCCGATCCTATACGGCAAAGACGTAGAAACAATTGTTCCAGTGCAACACTCAGCGGCGATGACCAATAGACTTACGGTGGAGTCGCGTAGGGCATACCGAGGAAGGACGATACATCGCCGGACGTGGAGCCTTGAAACGATGCATAGGACAATGCTGCAATAGGATCCGCTGCACGAGAGTCGAGGGGATGTCCAACGACGGTCCATGCCGCCAGCACCGACAAAGCGAGCAGTTTCCGCAAAGTCATCGGAGGACTGGGTTAGCTGTAACGTTGTGTCTGCGGGAACGCCCAGTCGTTACTCCAGAGCATACAAGCATTTATACAGACGGGTCAATGACATGTTTAGCAGCGCTCCCACGTAGGCAGCGTCGAAGCGTACGTCCCGCGTGCCAGTGCGGCAATGATGTGGACGATCCGGAGTCACATTCCATTCATACATGAGGATTCTTTGTCGTAAAAAGCGCAGCCGATGGCGTCTAGTTGAATAGGATGCGTCTCGTTGCCGGCTGAACCGTTGCATCAGTTTCAGCTGACATGGTCTGTGACCGGACATCCTTGGATGGAATGAGGATATTTCTTAGTTTCGGCGAGCTCCAAGACACCTACATCAATCCACATATCCACCATGGTCACGAGGGATAACGTTCCGCGTGCAAAGCTCCGGACATTGTCCTGACATTCTCGGACCGATCGCTTGACTTCGAAACCCCGCAGCCTGCCTGTGATCAGCAATATGATTCCGGGGGTGATGAAACAGCGTGTATAAAGCAAATCGTGCCATTCGAACGCCATGTCAAGACAGGTTAATGAGCTGGGACGAATGACATTGAGTTAATATAGGAGCAGCCCGAGGCAGGTCACACTGGGCGGCTGCATTTGACACACATGGAGGTTCCTAACGGTGGGATTCTTCTGAAAGGCGGTCGGATTAGTGCATAGCGTGACATAAAGGCTTTGAAGATGTATCGGAGAGGTCTCCGTCGCGTGATAATCCCTCTTCGGAATCACATGAATCGTTCTGCAAGGTCGCAATGGCCCTTGAATGCGTGCAGCGCCCCCTTGCCCATCATGCGCATGTCTATCGGTGGAGTGCAGCTGCAAGAACTTCGCTGGACTAAAGGAGCTCAGAATCCGATCGTGGCGAGGAGGTGAATTCCCTAAAGAAGACCTGTTAATCCTCTTCGAGACCTGTGATGATGTGAATCCTCTTCCACATCATGCAGATCAGCGAGTCAAGCACGGCGCTGATCACGTTTGGGCTCGACGCATTCTGGCATTTTTGGGCGCAGAAACGCCGCCTGAGACAGCGACCACATGACCGTGACTTCTCAGCCTGAGTGGTACGTTTTGGTAGCGGGCGATAATTGTCAGCCGAAAGCTCTGACAGACAGATAGATGTAACCTCCTAGAACAAAACTTGTTGCAATATTCCCCTACAGACTACATGTACATGATCAATGAATCGGATCCACATCACCAGCAGACACTCTTTATTACATCCGTGCACTTTCACCCGGAGCTTCAAGCGTAGCACAACACACGATAGTGCTACAGCGAGATGTTTCGTGTAAGCAGTTATTGAACCCACAACATGACAGTTCGTGCACTCACTTCGCACTGAATCTCCGTGTTGTTCGCCGGGATGAGCGCACAATCATGCTTCTCGCTCACTTTACCCGGGACGATGTTGTTGCCCTGCTGCGCCTTCGCAATGTAGAGGAGCGTTCCATCAGCTTCCTGACCGCCCTCGACTGGACGGGCGCCGAGGTGGTGCACGTTCAGACGGCCGTGAACATCGACCCAGCGTAGCGCACGGGGGTCGCCAACGAGGATCTCGTACTTGGGGAGCTGTAGGCGTGTACGTGTTAGGGGGCATGAAGAAGATAGCAGCGCTGAGTGTCATCGTACCTGAGCTTCGTGGCTCCCATAACCGACCACTGCACCACGTTCGAACGCAGGCGATACTTTGCCGACCTCTGCAAAGGCTCACAGGTAAGTCATTGTTTCTAACAGGGAACCTTGGGCTGCAAAGCACGCACGGATTCCTCCCTGAGATTATGACCGTCAGCCGGCGAGAACCATCAGAAGTGCACGTGCAACTCACCTCGTAGAAACCGCGGCAGATGTACAGTGGCTGTCCATTATGTTCTCCACCAGTGATGGCATCTGGAGGGATCCTGTTGCCTTCGGACAGAACCCAAGTGACGGGGGTACGGCGGCCTTCACTGTGGTAGGCAGCGGTGCGTGCTTGAGCATCCTGGAGCCAGTTCTGGAGGCCCCACACCTGTGCCTTTTTCTAATGGGCAGAAGTTAGTGTAAGATGAGAGCGCAATAGCTGTAGGAAGAGTTCTTACCTCCTCCTCGCTCTTTTGGTGAGACTTGTATGCGTAGTAACCGGCTCCGACCGCGGCCAGGCCAGCAACTAGCCCGCCTCCAACCTGTCAAGAAGGATCATCGTTCATATCGTGATAATCACGTCCGAGGTTGTGAGAATGAGTATACCTCTAGCTGCTTCCGACGATGTTCATCCAGCTCATACCACTTCTTCTGGCGCTCCTCCTCGTGGATTTCAACGTTCTGCTCGCTGTGTTGATCCCACTGCTTCTCGTCAGAAGGCGGAGCCGCTGATCATGACACCCTTCAGTATAATGCTTTCTCGCATTTTCCATATGGCATGCTTACGCGACGGTGCAGGCTGTCCTTGGTACGGGGAAGAAGGGGGCGGGACACCCTGGGGAGGGCCTTGAGGATGGAACCCTTGGGCAGGAGAGGGCGGCTGGTACTGCCCTGGCTGAACGTAGGACGGATTGTAGTCGCCACCAGGTCCACCGCCGCGGTTGGGCTGAGATGAGAAATCCCCGTACCCAAATGAAGTCTGTGAGCTGTAATCATCTTGCATGCGACCCCACAGGGCCGGTGTCTGAGGAGGCTCCCAGCCGGGCTGAACACACGTTGGGTTAAGCTGTCGTTATATCGGAACGCTGTAACAGTTTCCACACACCTCCGACGTGTGTGCTTGGATGATCTTATACCTCACGCCTAGTAGTCCATAAATACCAAACTCCAAGGTTCGAGGAGCTGCCAGCGTACCTTGGTAGACGACCTCCGAACCCATGTCGTAGTGGGTACCGGGCTGCCATTCACTGATCTTAGACATCTTGGTAAGTTTGGCGTTGAGAGGTGTCCGATGCTCCTTCGAAGTCGAGGTTCAGTGTGCGATGGGGGTGATGCTTGCTGGCGAGCTGGATTTATATAACACCAACTGCTGCGAACTTGGCGCGATCCGAATCGTCTTGGCAGCCATCACCGCCCTTACACGTGCAAGAAGAACCGCCCCAGTGTTGCAGTTCGCTGAATACACGATACGCCCGCGAATGGTGCGGGGCACTGATCCCCGCGATTAGCAGTTTCTCGGCTACATGACCGCAATATAGATTAGGATCGCGCTGTCAATGATTTTGAGTTTGGGGACCTTCCAAGGTTTCCTCGAGCGCAAGAGCTGTGAACATGGCTCTTATCGATGAGTACCGGAAGGAAACCATTGCCTGCGGGCGGTGTTCGTGGCGGTGATTATCAAACCGATGTTGCCCGAACTGACCATCGCAAATTTGCACCTGACTTTGGAAGACAAAGAAGAAGATGGAAATGAAGTCTGGAGTATTCTAGCTCAATCAAAGCGAGTCCGCACCGATCAAGCATGCTCGAAGGAAGGAGAGCTCTTCACGCCAGCGGATTCAGCGCAAGCGCCCTAGATGAAACAAGCCGCTTTTATCACGGCAGATGCCGCCGCAAGAGAACGCGACTGTCACATTATCACGTGCGTCATGTCACACGCGAATCGCCGTCGCCACCGTCGCTTGCAGGGTCGAGCTCGCGAACCTCTGTCCATAGCCAACGCGACTTTTCTCATCTGCTAAGAAGGAAATCTCGATCCGCGTGGTTGCGAACACCGGCTGCCTTCTCCTCGCGAACTTCCCCATCATTCGGTTGCTACACCGTGCACCCACCTGGTGTATTCCACACAAATTACAGCACGTCTCTGGCTTGCTAGCCGACTATTCATGCACTGACCGACCATCGAGAACCGACACATGGAGGAGATGCTGACTGTGGAGACGTCTGATGCGGAGGAGAGGGAGGAGATACGGGCTCTCAGCCCTCGTTATTGGTCGAACATAGTGGCGACAGCTACTACGCGTCCTCGTGGGGCCTTCGCCGTGGGGAAACACTCACTGGTGAGCGGGTCCATTGACCAACACAATGCAACATTTTCATGGGAGAGTGCGCATATATCGCCGAAGACAAATGCGGAAGGGCCGCCTCGTAAACGCGTGAAGGTGAGGGTGCTGTTCATGGAAGAAGCCACCATCAACTACTCACTGTTGCTCATCGTCCTAGGTATGGCATGAAGCACCCACACATCGAACGAGCGCCTCTCTTCCTACTACGCCGACTCGCGATCGAAGCAGACCCACATCGCCGATATTACGTTCTGCGCCGTGCTCGCCTAGAACCTGGTCTCCGTGTCCCGAGATCATGTTCCAGAAACGGAACTTATCGGTCGCATTATCCACTCCGCGTCGAATCACAGATGTAGAAATGCCTGATTATGACGACTCGCTCTGTATCGACGCAGATGACATACGCCCAGAAGAAGCTTACCGTCAGCCATCATCATCGCTGCCAGTTGTTGACCCACCTGCAGTGAGTTCTGAGCGTGTTGAAGCTGCATCTAGAGCATCTTCTGCGGATCCCATTTCCTTGCTCACTCCAAGGAGGGCACTTCCTATCATTGCGAGGTCGCTGACCCGTTACAGCCAACACGAGATGCAGGGACTATGGTCGAACTCTCCATTGACTCCGATACATTCGCCAATTGTCCTGACGTTGGGAGCTGATCATGCAACTTCTCCGACTCCCGCAGGCACCAGTCGGCTAGCCATGCCCAATTTTCTCTCAGGTTCGGAAGCACCTCGAGCAGAGTTCGAACACGATGATGCAAACGATGCAAGGCATCAAGATCACGAAGACGCACACCGTCGCTACTCGTTCAGAGCACGTCAGGCATGGCAGAAGAACCCATATGCATACGACAAGGCGATGTACAAGCGTCAAATGCGTTCCAACCCTGAGGCAATCGTTAAGGTCGTCAGTCCGGCACGTGGGAGGAAACATCGACGATCGTCCAGCCGGGGAAACGCAGGCTCTGCAAACGGATCAGATGCTGAAGAAGAGTATGTGGACCAGGGCGGTCAAGAGGACGATGAATCATATTGGCAGCGCCGAAGAGCGGACCCACGAGAAGGATCCCGGAGTCGCAGTGCAGGCGCGTCCGAGACGGTTCGCAAAGGACAGGGAACGCAACACCACAAATTTAGGAGCGCCGACACTGCTGTCCATCCTGAAATCAGCAGCGCGGCATCGCGCTCACATTCTACAGCATCTAGCAATCATCTGCAACGTGAAGGGCAAGAGAAGTGGCTTCCAGCTGCACTCAATGAAACCTTCAGCAGCAGTTCCGAAGACGATTTTGATGAACGCATCGAAATGCCGCCAAAGCAGCCCAAAGATCCAGCAGAGGACGCGTTGAAACCCGCCAACCCGAAACCGTTCCCTATGAGGAAGAGGAACGTCGTTCGACGCTCTCCTCAGCCAGCGCGAGGTCTTACAGTTCAGTCTCTCGTTCGGCTCTTCGAACTGGTTACATTTCTGAATACGGCATCTTCTTTTGTAGGGCTCTCCTGTAAAGGAGCATAGCGCCGTCGACTCGACAATAAATGATGCTCCGGAGGACGATGAGAGCCAATTCATGCCACGATGGCGACGCCGGAAAAGCGCTACGGCTATCTCTCCACAATCATCACCTCCATCTATTGCTAGCTCAGTTGCTCAGGACCATCCTGATGCGGCCCCGGACGATGACGTCCTGATGAATTTCGGTAGCCCTCCGGCAATCGGATTTTCATCTCCATCATTCACTTCGATAGACGCAGATGCCTCGCCATTTGGAACCAGATTCAGTTCGAATGATGATCTGTCACATCCTCTGGCTCTCTCAGATACGGAGATCACTTCGGAGGGCAACCCTGAACCTCCGCAGACGTCCGACCATGTGTCAGACGAGGATTCCGGATTCGAAAGCAGCTCATCCGTCGAGGCGTTGACGGCGAGGGATCGGCGACGTCTCAAAGTGCTTCAGCGGATGATGCCTCGCGTTCTCGTTCAGCGTCACTTGCAGAACACCTCTGCCCATCGTTCGAGGAATTCCGCTGACCGCGGTCATAATCTCACGAATGGCGAGGAGACCCTACGGCCTGGGCAGTCTCGAGTTCGGGTGAGAGCTCCAGGCGACCGCACGGTAATCGAGATACGTGGCGATTCCGAAAGCTCGGACATGGACAAGGTGGAAGAGAACACGGACGCTGCTGAGTCAACAACGTCGGAATCAGAGGTGGACGTTGATCACTTCTCGAGATCTCGTCGCAAAGTTCCAATTATTCCCTCTCATTCGCATGCGGATGTGGATGAGAGTGGGAGTGATAGTAGCATCGATGACGCGAAGATTGAGCGATGGGTGTCCGAAAGCCATCCTCCACTGCGCAAGGACGGCCGGAACGATGCTGTGAGGGAAGGTGATCTTATTGATCGTATGTTGTCTCGTACCAGGGTCTCGGGCGGCAAAGGTCGACGACAGCGTGGCTCAACACAACATGGCACTTCGAAGCGGAGAAAATCAGGTGGAAGCATGCACGTTATCACTTCTGGTGCCCGACGTACTGGTGTAGGACATCAAACTAAGCTGCAGTTTCCTCTTGTCGACGTCCCTCGTAGCAAACCGGACGCCAGACATCATGAAGATACAATCTCAGACGCAGGGCCCACGGCACATCCACCAAGTGTATTAGCGGCGGATGTGGAGGACACTCATATTGACGAAATGGACGCTGACGCTTCTTCTAAGAAGCGTCAACGCAAGAAGTATCGCCAGCCAGGCGGGTTGTTCACCTTTGCCTCGGAGGGCGGACGCCTAATCTCAGGGAGAATGCATGACAAACCAATCTCCATGGAGACCGAGGAGTCATCCACTAATGTTCTCGCCGACTTCTCCGTCCACGAGCATTTGCGGGAGAAATGGGCAAGCCCGTCTTCAAAACCGCATCGACTAAAGAATCATCTCGCTGGGCAGACGTTTGGGCAGACGTTGAATGAGTACTGGTTACCAGACGAGGACGACCGGCTTGATGCCCCGCAAGTAGTGAACGTTGAGATGACTGTATCACGTCGTGTTACAGTCGACTTTGGTATCCGTCCCTTGCCACCGGGGATCGCGTTTGGGTCTGATACCTACCTTGGCCTCGGGTGTCTTCATGAAGTTATCTCGGTGTTCTCAGCCGACTACGTGCCTGCTCGCCCTAATCTTTCGTCTTTTTTCGACATTCACTTGAACCCAATCATGTCGCCGCGAGACGTCGAGGTGTGCTTAGAGAAAGTCCTCGATCTGGCGCGCGACTGGATCACAGGACGGGACAACATCGCGGTGCAAGATAGTCAGCGTTGGCAGATGTTGCTTCATTCTCTTGCTTTGCACGTGTCCTGGGTATACGACAACGCTGTCGACGAAGAACGAGCGGGATTGGACTCAGCTGTGGAGAAGCACATTTCGCATTTGGATACACTGATCACCACGCCGGTCGTGATAATCTCTGACGAAGAAACACCCAACCGTTTGACGTTTGACCTGCGTTGGTTCACTATTGAATTATTAACCCATCTCAATAGCATCCGCAAGACCCGTTTCGGTCAGGTTCATGACCAGACTCATCTCGTACACGCGCGACACCTCATATGCGAATTATGGAAAGCTGGCTTCCAAGACCTGCTGAAACCCTTCGCGGGTGAAGAGAGAGAGGCCACGCAGTCTTCTCTGGCCACACGGATTGCGGAGCTGTGGATCTGCATGATACATCTCTTGGGTGCTTGGGCGTCGATTCTGCCGACTTCTGCGGACCTTGCTGCCCACGACATTACATTCTGGGGTATCTTTTTGCAAACCTTGAAGAGTGAGCACCTCCTGCAAAAGCTGCCTTCAGACCTCGCGATCAGCGAGATGGTCTGGAGGAGCATATTCTGCTTGACATCTTTGTCACAATTTTCCATGCATGGTATTTCTACATCGTCACCAAAGCTTGGGTCTTCGTGGCCACTCGTGATCGCGGCTCTCGAGGAGATCAACCTAGCTGCAAATCCTGTAATCGATGGTAGGCTGCCGAAACGAAGTCTGCGGAAACGGGACGAATATATTCGTATACTCGTTTCGCGATGCCTCACGCTGACTCAGCTTTGGCGATGGCAGCTAACCAATGCATCACTTTTGTTCAATCGCCTGCTGGATATCTTTAAGAGTCGCCACTTTGCCAACCTCTTGGATGAGCCTTCCGATTACCCCAGTTTTCTTCGACATAGCAACCTGGAACTACTCTCTGAGAACAAGCGCAGTGACACTGCTTTCACGCTGTTTTTGAAAATCGTCGTGCAGGCTGCGAAAGACGTCGCGGGTTTTCGTCCAGGCCAAGATAACCATCTTCCACCGCATGTCAAGAAGTTGCTCTCGCTGTGTGTCCCCGTCGGCTCTGTCCCGTTCACTAAAACCTCTCCCCCAAGTAATCATGAATTGTCCATGCTATATAATCGCTTCAGTGCTGTCGCCGTCGCCATCTATCTTGAGCCAACGATCTCAAACTTGAAATACCGCCTATCGAATGCTCGTCGTTATGTCAATTTCGAGGATGCGGACAGAGAAACTCGTCGGGCTTGTATACGAGGGCTGATGCACTTAGCGATCCTGCTGCGACACCTCCGGCTTCCCTTGCAAGATGCTCTTGAGTGGCTAGCTGACATGACAAATATCCTTGTGGACGAGTATCAAGCACCTGAGGTTGCCGAATACATCAAGAACTGGGCAGTCGTATCAGTGCAGATGCTCCTCGGTTGTGTTCGTCGTATCATTCAGACCCCCTTGATGGAGAACACACAGACTCCGGCGCCATATCCGGAACCTGAGCTATTAGGAGGCCGTGAGTGAAGTTTGAGATTGGTGTTGGCAATCACTGATAAAGACCAGCTTGGGTAACAAGGGTTTTCTCGACGTCAACGAAACTTTCGGCCGTACCGACCACGAGCATGGAAATCCGTAAACTAGTCGAGGCGTTTCTGAATGCCAGGGCAGCCGTCATGTCGAGACCCTCAAATGCATCTCCTATGCGGACAGCAGAGGAAAGCCAAGAGAGCCAGGATGAATTTGCGTCGTTGGACAACTCAATGTGTTTCGATGATCCCGATCTGATCGCGGCTCTCAGCACTCCGGAGGAGCTTGCTCTCCTTCAGGACAGGAAAAAGAAGGACGAGAGAGTATGTGAGGTAAGTATTGTTCCGTACTTCGAGTCAAGGCTCTTTTGACCGTTTTCTGTCAAGATTATCGACAAACATATCATGCCTGCTGTATACCGCTTCGTCTGTAAACATGTCAACGTTACTCATGGTTCAGGCGTGTTCCCGCATCAAACAGCGGAGACTGATAGATGGATTGATTGTTGGGTTGGTTGCGCCAATATCATTATACAGAACGACGACAGAAAGGTAGGCAAGAGTAGAAACAGATCATATGTCCTCGCTGAATGATTTCTCAGAATTGGGACTTCTATCTCTTAATGGGGCCACAATCATGGGAGAAGATCATCGATGTTGCTTGGCGACGTCATGTTGGGCTGCGATTCATGTGGAAGGTGCTCCAGCTAGATCCCATTGCCTACTTCGTGAGTAGCCGCTCTTCAAGGCCTTGAAATCCTGCTCAACTGACTTGGTCAAAGTCTGAGCAAGATGGTTTTTTGAGTGTTTTCTTTCAAGCAATGGTGGCTGGCAAAATATCCATAGAACACGAGTATATCTCTGAACTTTTCTCCATTGACAAGCTACGCCATCCGCTGTTACGTGGTATTCCATGTGAACCGAAGCCGGGCGTTAACGGCTACAGCATCACACGAGCTGAATTACTTGACAACAGATTGACCTTCTTGGATAGTGAGTCTCTTGGCATTGCAGCTGTTCGAATAACTGACATTTGTATTTAAAGGGATCTTCGCCAACTTGACGGAACAACTACGCAAGGAAAGCGAAGGTGACATTTCGTTGAGACTCCAAAATCAAACATCCATCACTGGCGTTTGCACCATGTTTTCCACTATGCGGGACATTCTGCAGGTAACTTGTATCTGCTGCCGAAAGTGCGTGCAACTCATTAATGTCTCGATCACAGGAATTGCATGCAGGTTCAGAAGATCATCGTGGCTATGCATCTTTCTGTCGACAAGTTTACAGCCGTTTTCTGAATTTTCCAGCTCTCAGCAGCCATCCTCGCCTACTTTCAACAGCGTCCTGGGCAAAGGATTTGCCGTGATCACCTGTCCGGCCGGGCGCGATATCTAACTCTTGCTAAGATGCCATGGACTCATCGTATACTATCAGCAGCACTCAGTCCATACTGGCAACAATGAGCACATGTATCAAATACTCACATAATGCGAATGTACATGGATTAGGGATTCAGACCAGCGATAGAATCTTTTGGAAGCTAACATAACAATGGCTGCGTTAAAAGGCCACTACCGTTTTCGGGCATTCCTCGGAAGATATCATTCGTGGAAGCATGAGCTGCGAATTTCAAACACAGTTGGCAATTGCCGATGTTCTTCATCACTGCGAGTACTTATAAGTGATGAATCGCTCCCCCAAGGGATTGTCTTCTATCACATACTTTGTCTGTCGGCTGACTGATTTGCTCCAAATAGCTGGTAACCTCTGCGACCCATTGCCGTGTCGTCCAAGCATCTTGATGCAGGGCATCGCGGATTACGACCCTCCGTCGCAACGGGTGAGTTGGCAATCCTTTATTAGCGATTTTGAGAGTTTTACTAGCTTGATAGATGTCGTCTCCCATAGACGTCGGCACGATCTCATCCTTCTCACTGAGAAGAACAAGCATGTTCGTTGATAGTCGTGCGAGCAAGCTATCATGCCTAACGTCCACGGACCGCATTGCGGCAACAGCATCCCATTTGTCGAACGTGAGAGGTGCGAGGTAACGGTAGGGAAGCCATCGCTGAGGATATAAGGCCCGCACCATGCCTGGAATGGAAGCAAACGGATTTTCCAGAATGAGCCCCTTAACGGTGGGGTAGTCGGAAGCCTTCAGCTGGGCAGTGAGACAAACTGCGATCGCGCCACCAAGCGAATGCCCGTAAAGCACTATCGGTACATCAGGGTAGCGATTGACAGTATACGATAGGACGTGCGTGTAATCGGTCAATATTCCACGCTCTGTCGGCGTCCGTGATGATGATCGCCAGTAGGAGCGCGGTGCTGCCGCCACGACAGACACGCGCTGTCGAGGTGCTTGAGCGAACGGCATGCCTAAGAGAAGCCTCTGAAAGACGGGTAAACGTGCTAAAGAGTTGCCGGCATTTCCTATAACCAGCTCAGCGCATCGTTTTCGAGGTTGCGGGTAAAGTACCTTGGAGATAAATGAGGACAATGTCAGGCTTGCTAACCTCGGTACTAGCAGACTCCCTCTCGACTTTGATGCCGCATAGCTTGATGCGCTTGTCACTTTGTATTTGGATCTCTTCGCACTGCAAGCCCTTGGGAACTCGCACATCAACACCCAGTCTTTCACTTCGTGATCCAGGAGGAACATATCCTGTTGACTCGCAGAATTGATGGAGATCCATCAAGACAGAGATAAGTTAGCAGTAGAAGATGACGCACCCATGTAAATGATTTTACGTTGAAATATGACCATCATCAAGCACTCAAGGGAACAGTTCAGCTGATTTCACTACTGCAACGCAAAGGGCTGACCTTGTACGTCCATAGCACGATAGGCAGGCCAACTATCGCAGCTATAGCGAGCCATGCCGAAGGTGCATCGGATGATGGCTGCAACAAGGAAAGACCATTGTAGAGCACAGTCTCGCTAGTGATAATACCAGAATGGAGGTAAGGTAGCTTTACACCGGCAGAAACTCTCAGGCGGTTCAAGATATGCGGGATTGCCCTCAAGGACTTTCCACAAGGTTTGGGGCTATTGAGAAGCCGGCATAGTCCAGCGTGGCGAAGAAGCCGCTGCGATGACATGTTCCGACAGATATGATTCGAAAATATGGCCAAAGAAGTGGTTTCGTACCGATATCGGAATTAGCACGGCGTGAAAATGTGGCACCGCTCGGAACTTATCCATAAAAGGAAGGTATCCAAGAATGACCTTGCTGCAAGGGCGATTAGCTCAAATGAATTCTAGCACATTGAATTCTACACTGGAACACTTCGTAAAGTAAAAAATAAGTAAGTATAATGATATTAACTCAGCAAAGCTTCCATCGCTTGCGTTCGCCGGCCTTGTTCGCTTTGGCTGTCCAGACACTGAAGACGCGGGATGACGAGGCCGGGTCTCTCGCCTCGACCTACCCTATACTTGATATCTTCATAGACTTGGCGAGTTCGATTCATATCCATCTTTACCTGTACCGATCCGGCTGTTACGTCATCTTGGAAAGGTAGTCTGTCAGGAAACGCATATTTACGGGCACCTGATGCTGCAGACTTTGAGAGAATCCCTGGTGCTTCAACCGAGACGGACGCGTAGGCGTGATGCGTTGGAAGCTGCATAGAGGAAGCCGTCTCGTTTACTTCAGGAGCTTGCCGACCAAGCGCATGGGCGAGTTTCTCTGCTACCTTGCGCCAGCGGGGTTTCAACTTCGCAAGTGCACTGTTGAACTTGACTGGTCTTGTATACTGTAGCGATAAGACAGAAGCATCGGTAACAGGTGCGTTTGAAGCACATTTTGAAGCATTGACCTCAGGATCATTCATTGAATGAACACGACCTTTGATCTTCCGCTTTCCGGACGGCTTAGGGATGGTTGCGTTGCTTAGCTTGACAGCATGTTTCTGGACAAATGTAACTGTCGTATCGTCACGCAGCGTAACATTTTTGGAGTCTTCAGCAATTCTGGGCCGTTTCGAGCGGTGACCTTCCTTCTCAGTTTTCTCAGTTTGCGACTTAGTCGTCGGCGAACTCTGTATAAGATTTCGCTTATCGAGCAACGGGCTTCCTGACGTTCCAAAATACTCCTCCGCGACTACCTGCATCGAGCTCACGCTCATTGAGACTGACATGGTCAGTCCATTGCCTTGTCCAGAAGTAGTACGGCCGCTAATACCTTTCGTATCCTGGATTCTCGTGGAAGATATTGTCCTCTTCCGTTTCATCGCATTGCCTGACTTCTTATGTACTTCCAAATCTTGCATAGGAGAAGCGGACAATTTTTCAGGTTCTTTACCCGTTGGAGTGTGAGGGCTTTCTGGTGTAAGAGGCGGACGTTCCGACGACCGAGCCGGCGTTTGTGTAAGGGCGTCTTGAGCGGCTGCGGGCGACTTTCGAACAGGACTTATCAAAGGGGAGGTATCCTCCGACACATTGAGGGGATGGTCCGAAAAAACACCCGCTTGTTCGGCGAACAGGTAATGTGCGGTCCGTCCTCGTTCGTCTTCAGCATCTGAATCTTCCGTATCCTCGTCACTTTGATAAGGTCTTCGGGGAATATTGGGCCGAAGTAGTGCCATCGCCCTTTCTGTTTCAGCCCTGGTGGCCCGACCCTGAAAAGTCCGTGTCGCGGCCACGTTGTTCGCACTTCCCTGTCCAGTGAGCCTTGACTGCGACGGAGATTTCGAGTCACTGCTGCCAGCACCACGAGAACCTCGATGGCTGCCATTCAGAATACGATCGACGAGGACCCTCTCTACACCTATGAGATATTCCTTCATCACCTCCAGCTTTCTCTTGGTCTTGCTGTTCTCGGCCCATCTCATTGCCACCTCAAGTGCACCTTCTCCTTCGAGGTTCTTCAAAGCGACGTCCCTATCGTCTTGGTCTGTTGCAGACAACGCCTCAACCAGCTCCTTAGCCTTCAAATTTGCAACCAAGGCATCCCGCTCGGCATCATGACGATCATCTGAACGGAAACAACCTGAAAACATCTGAGGGATGCACGCCCAATCCAGTCCTTTGAGCGTCGGATCGAGAGTGTTCGGGATCACACATTTCGGTTTGAACATGGAGACGAACGCTCTCAGTTCTGGCAGGGGCGAATGTCGCGAAAGGGGCACCAACTGCAGTGAGACAGTATGTCAGCTGATTTTTCCGTCTAATTATCGAATACTTACGAGATGGTTGATGATCTGGCCTTGAGCCAACTTCGCCTTTGTTTCCTTTAAATAGAGGTCCCAGCTCGTGGCGCCCATTGTGACGGGATTGATGTACACAACGTGCTTGCCCGTCTTGCTCAGTGTTGCGGCCACACCCCTAGGGGAAAGAACACCATTACCGTCCACGCTGACGTACTCGCATCGGTCAAAGCGTTCACAAGCGTGAAATCGCGTGCCGCTAGGATCAGATGTGATGATGGACCGCAGCAGCGGATCGCCACGTATGCGTGAGAGGACCGCATGCTTATAGCGATCGACATGAATCTACAGAAAGACTGCGATTGGCATGAAACAGATAGGAAATTACATTCGCGGGCGTACTGGACTGTTAAAGGCTCTAGCGATGGCCTTCAAGACGTCTTCATATCCCCATGTCCAGGCATTGATAAAGAATAGCGTCGTCACGGGAAGAAGACCCATCAAAGAAAGAAGCCCGGAGGTTGCGTCGTCCTGGACTTATGGCTTGAGTAACGGGGATAAATGACAAACAGACACCATACCTTGGTCGGAACGTTAATGATACTCAAGAGGCATGCAGTGTCAAGATGAATGGCATTGAGTGTTTGATTGAACGTATGTCTTTCCTCTGTTGCGGACTTGTGCTCTGGCACTTCAATCTCCGGAGGGACTAGATACTTCTGCAAATACGGGTTCTTCCTGAGCGAGTCGAGAAACCATGGCTCTGCTCTGAAGTCACCGGTGTGAAGCACAGCGCCATATTGACCTTCTATCAAGAACCTGTGGATACATTTTCGAATCGGTATCGTGATGTGATTGAGTATGACCCAAAGGGCTTGGTGAACGTGATGATGAACCTACATCACGGATCCTGGGCAATGATTTGCGTCGAATGCAGTAATCGTCACTCGTTCTTGATCGTCGATCTGAATTTCTGTAGGCGTATTCAAAGGAATCGTCGTCTGAAAATTTATACCAGCATCAGAATCATAATCTCTCAATATACATCCAAGCGTCTGAACACTTGACGAAACAGACGAGCGTTAGTGACGGTAACTGACCAACAAATCTCTGGAACCCGTGTAGTCAATCCCACCATCCTGGAGTCTTCTTGGGTTGATCTTCAAGTGGCTGAATGTCCGAACAGGCTCTGCCCTGACTTCCGTGTCCTTGAGTGCTCTCTCGATATAAACTTCATGCTTCAAAAGCATCTCTTTGGCATCATAAGAGCATATTACGTTGCCAGAGAAGGAGCGAGCGGACAATCCGTACAGATGGTCAGTGTGAGTGTGTGATAAGAGATACAGAGGTTGCTTCGCATGAGGGTCGGCCGGTGCAGAGAAGTCGTCCACACGAATACGATAGGGGCGTACGACGGAGTTGTACGGGGTCGCCGGTGGCATTTCTGGACGTCTTGCAGGTAAAAAAGCGCGTCCTTGAAGCTGTATAAAGTGCTTAGTGGGTATATGCACTTAATGAAGGGAGTTTTGTAGACGCTTGATTCAGTCGTGGCGGTGGCCTTGTCTTCGTTCGAGTAATTGATGATGTGGCGTTCAGTTAATTTGACCATAGGCCACGTTTCACTGGCTCTTCTTGATGCCTCTTTCGAGCCAGAAAAATGTGCAATCAATATCAGAAATGTTGAGCGTGGCGTGTGGATGTTATGCATGGGAAGACGCACCAGAAAGTCTGAGAACGAATCTTCAAACGCGCTTGTGGCGGCCGGAACAGACCAACATTTGTCACGATCATGTGATAAAGTAACAGGCTGTGACAGCGGTCACTCAGTGAGCGCTACCGCTTCAAGTCTGACCTCCGCCCAACTCAACTGCGAGACACCATGGCGCCCAAGTCAAAAGCACGGTACGTCTGCAGTTCCATCATGTATGAGGCATTACCTATATCTTTTGCACCACAGAACTATTATTGTTCGGATGATTTCGACAGCCAAAACGGGCTATTTCTATACGACGCAGCGGCTGCGTGTGGGACCTAGGCTAGCTGCTGTGAAGTATGATCCGAGAGGTGCGCATGCTGCAACAATGTCACATTAACCTCAAGGTATTCATTCACACCTCAGTGAAAGCTCGCGTACTTTTCGTGGAGAGCAAGAAGTCCGCAAAGGGCTGAAGCTCATGCTCCTGTACCGCTACGGAACTCATACGTTTGCACTGTCAAGTTGATATAGCCTTGCATTACGTTGGCACAGCAATATAAGTCTTGCCGTAAGTGCGTTCGGGATGGCTGAATCGACGGTTAGCTATAGGAATCAGGACTGATGCTCCATGATACAGTGCGTCACCAAAACTGGTTCACCCTGCACACGGTGACACCTGATGCTACCAACTAATGCTTCCCCGCATTTCCAAACGCAGTCCTTCGCTATGCTCATGCAGACTCACTTCTCTGCTGACGGACAGCTCAACATTCCCTCGCGAAATACGTGCGGTGTTGTTCATTTCAAACAATATACGCAACCGCGCCGAAACGTTTAAGGCAGATGGCATCGTCACATTGTCACGAAGGGGAAAAATAAAATACGACTGTCTTACGGAAATACTCAAGGAAGGTAGTAGACGGCCATGTCGATCTACGCAATCAGCGCAATTCCACAAACGAGGGACTATGCAAAAAGGAGCAAACGCACCAGATAAAAGTCCATAAAACGACATTGTCAGTCCATATAGATTATTTGACAAGCGGTCGGACGCCAATACCGTCGTCCTTTAGGCTACGACCAGCGTAGCTCTTGACCTCTTTCTCATACTGAGCTGTGAGGTTGGTGAGACATGACCAAATGATAATTCTGCATAATATAGCTCACTCATTGGTGTATCCACTTTCGACTTCTTCACGGGAGGCTCTGTGGCAGGAGTTGAGTTCTGAGCATCAGGAGGAGGGCGCTTGCCCCGCTTTTTCTGAGAAGAAATCTATGAGGAATGAGGCAATGGTGCATCATATACAAGTAACTCACAAATCGCTCGTCAAAGGTTCGTTTCCTGTGAAGACGATTCATGAAAAATTCGCATACATAGACATTGTATAGCGACTAACCTTGCGACTGTATCTTCTTGTTCCTTCTTCTCTTCCTCGTCCTGTACAAAACCTTCAGCTCAGCAGCGTGTGCAGATCTTATAATGCGCGTATGCATGCCTTCTTGAGGCGCTGGAAGCGCTCTAGGAACGAGCCGTCATTAGAGAAGATATTAGTCGGTTTAGGTTTCGGGTGTGTATGAGCTTTCGGGACAGGCGGTGTCGTAGACAAGGGGGCTGGAGAGGCGTACCCGCTACTCAGAGGTGGTGGCGACGCACTATAGCTCGACATGTCGCAGGCGCAGCGAGCAGAGATGCAAATGGGAACGAGGTGAGAGAGGATGTGGGGGTCTCGGTCTCGAGCCGACGGCCACCTTTATAACTGTGGGAATTTCGCTAGAAAGCTCCGTAGTACTTGTTCGTTGCGCTTCCTACAGTATTTCGATTTAGACTAAGTAACAGCAATCGCACATCCCTTGCTTGTATCAGAACCAGGTGCAATCCGGTCATTGCAAGCACAAGCTTCGGTAGAAGGCAACAACAAGCGTAATAACGAGGACGTAGTAAGAGCTGCCGATAGAGCTCAAGCGAACATGACCACGAAGATGAAATGACGCAGAATCTATCCTCGGCTACGGGCAACCATCCGTCTGCTCTTCCCCGGCCGCTTTGCAGGTCCTTTGCTCTTCGGGCCTCCTTTCGCTGGCCGCGTACCTTTCCCACCACCACCACCACCGAAATTATCCGTCGAGGACTTGGTATTTTGTTTTGATCTCCTCTGAGGACCACCAAAGCCAAATTTCTTGTCCCTGGCCTGACGTGGCATCTTCTTTCCCCCAGACGCAGAGGTTTTTGCTTGTTTCGATGGCCGATCTGAAATAGCGTCCTCGACAGCGACATCGAAACCATCCCCGTCTTCTTGCGGGTTGTCTAAGACGCCCTTGCGCTCTACAAGCGGTCAAATCATAACGTTGAGTTGTTGTTATCGCTGCAACGGAGTATTGTCCACGTACTGCGCTTGAGCCCTCTGAGCCTTTCCTCCATATCCTTCTTGCTCCTCTCCCGCTCTCGCAACTTATCCAATTGCACCTGCTTGCCGAACTTCTTCCCTTCCCGCTCCTTTCTCTTTTCCTCGCTCCGCTTGATGACCGCACTCTCATCTAGCAAGCGTTGACGGATGCGCTCCATATGCGCATCTGATTTAACCATCTCTGCAAAGTAATCAGACGGGCGAGTGAAGGGTAAATCGTGCTTTGTGGCTAGGGCTCTGGCAGCTTGAGCACCGTGCAAGGCTTGCTTGTAGCTGTGAGAGATCTGAGCGCATGGTTGGCCAACAAGACAGACAGGACATACAAAGCGAGCTCCCTGTTCAGGTCATCATCCACGTCGACGTCAATGGTCTCAGGATATGATACCACCAGAGTCTCTGTCCATGGAAGCGACTGGTCCAGTTTGATTGTTTCCCGTATCCGTTCCAGTGCGATCTGGACATGCTCAGTCAGGAAGGCACGTTGAGCATTGGAACTGAACATACCTTATTATCAATTTCGACTTTCTGTTGAGGTACTACGTCCTCCTCTACAGACTCGGCGTCAGACAATTCATCGACCGGTATTATTTGCTCATTGTCTGAAATTTCGATATCTGGTGCCTCCGATGGCATGCGAGGAGCCATGAGAGCTGCTTTAGCACAGAGTAAGGCGTAGTGAAGACTCCTTCGGATTGCCTAGGCTGAGATACAGCTATGTAAAAGGAAGACTTTCGAGAGCCCAGAAACAACCCAGAAACTGTAGTGGCGCGATCATGTGACCATACCATTTAAAATAGGGCTTATTTTGATACGAAATATTGAATTTAACTGAACTTGCCTGAACACTAATCAGGAGCAATATTCGGCAAACCGTACACGCCCGCGTATCGCACCTCAACTCGTAGCCATGTCTGACCCTCCCAAGAAACCAGGATCGCTGCGGGATCGTATCGCAGCATTTGAGCACAAGGGTGCAGCATCAACACCCCCTCCGGCTCCCGCTCTACGGCCGAAGCCAGCAGGAGGCGTCGCCTGGAAGCCCCGACCACGCTCACCGCCGCCTGCCGACGAGGCCCATGGATCAGACAAGTCTGGCGGCATGTCCGCTGCAGACGCGAAAGCTAGCATCGGTCAAGGAGTCAGCTTGAAGGAGCGCATGGCCGCCCTGCAGAATCTCCATGCGTTCGGTGGTGGGCCTTCTCCTCCGCCCAAGCCTGCCACCGAGAAGCCCAAGTGGAAGACACCGCCGGCGGTGGCTGCCCCTCCTGCGGAGGAATCTGAGGAGACGGAACATCACAAGTCTGCAGCGACGGAGGTCAGTGATGATGCCCAAGAACAACAGCCTACGGCGCCCGAGGAAGGCGAGCCTGTCGCTGGATCAGAGACGGCTGAGGCGGAGCCGGATCCTGAAGAGGAAGAGCGGCAGCGACGCGCAGCTATTGCGGCGCGCATGGCGCGCCTCGGAGGAGCAAGGGTCGGAATGGCTCCTCCGGTATTCAGAAGGAAACCCGAGGTGAACAAGCCAGAAACCTCGAAGGAGGAAGAGCACGAAGACAAGTCTCAGGAATCCGAAGGTAAGCCAACAAAGTGTGTAAGAAAGTCTAGTCGTCCTGACAATTTAGCAGAACCAGTAGTGTCACCCCCGACTGCGACATCTACGTCAGAGCAATCAGAGGATGCCACCACAGGTATGTGCCCAGTTCTCGAGTTTTCGAACGCATTGATGAAGCGATCGCAGATTTTTCTGAGGGAAAGGACCCTGCATTACTCTTGCCCGAACCCACTACCGCCGCGTCCACGCGATCAGCCTCTATGCCCGTACCTGTGGTCCCACGGCGTGCTGCGCCTCCGCGCAAACGTGCAGCCAAGTCCCCCTCTCCGGGTCCTACCAAAGTGCTCCAGGACAAAGTGTTGGAGGGGAGCCCGTCGTCGACGCCTGGTATTCCAGCTGTACCCGAGTCCGCTACTAGCGCGGAGGCAGTCTCACCACACGGGGGTCGCGAGTCTGCACTGCACGAATCCCAAAGGGAGAGATTGTCAGAAAGCGTGGAAGCACCTGTGACAGCAAATGAGGAAGAGACCACGACAACGTCTCCAAGAGTCCCTGCTGAGCCATCGGAAGCGCCGTCGGCAGAGGAGGCGCTCGCACATATCGCAGGAGGCGAAGAAGAACTGTCATCGCGTATTGCAGCTGAGCCGGTTGATGCTCCAGCGCACACCCCGAGCGATGAAGCCGAGATCCTGTCCGTTGCCGCCGAGGTTCCTGTCCCAATAGCAGAGGTGGAAGAAGTGACCGCCTCTGAGGAACAGGCGGAGGTGGTGGCTGCTCCAAAACCCCTTGCACAGCCAGAAGAGGATGAGGATGAGGCATCGCGACGCAAGCGCATTGCAGAACGGCTCGCGAAGATGGGCGGTGTCAACCCGTTGGCCAGCACTCCTATCCATGCGCCTGTTTCTCCTGCATTCGACCCTGCCGAGTCGGCCACCATCGAGCGCCGGCAGAGCCTCAGAAGAGATAGTTATGATGTTGCCCCTACTTCATCGCAGTCCCCTGCGCACGACAAACCTGCTGTGTTGCGCCGTGAAAGTACAGACTCGCAAGTGCACCATGCTACAGATGCACCCAAGTCGCCCCCGATGCAGCAGACATCGCCTAAACTTAATGCATTGGGCAGGAAGGGAAGCGTAGGGTCAGTGAGGTCAAGCACGAGTATTGAGCCTCCGGCAAGGAGGGCGTCTCAGGATGGTGAATCTTAATTTTATCTGCTGTCTACACGGTAATGTGTAGGCCGCTTCAACTGTACAGTAGTCATTGATCAATCTGCTCTCATGCAGCTCACTTATCCATCGCGTCTCCGACGCAGAACTTCGGGGAGGAAGCTCACTATGTGACCCGAATGTCTCATGGAAACACGACAGATGAGGAAGTCGGACCGCATGAGCCACACGAGGCTGTACACGAATTGCAACAGGTCACAGAAGAGGAGGAACGCGCAACAGATAGCGATTATGAACGTGGGTACGAAGATCAAGAGACGCAGCTGACCAGCGAGACACCATCTTCGATTCAAGTGGTGGACGCTGCAGCCGGTGGTGAGGCAGACACCTCGCAACATGAATACATTGACATCGACTCGCCCGTGGAAGCTTCGCCTCCTCCGATCGCACGAGCACCACCTCCTTCTCATTCCGCCCCATCAAAGAGACAATCTTCGGTTCCGCCTCCTCGAGCATTGCCACAACCACCGGAAGAAGAATACACAGAGTCAGCACAGGGTCGGCCTCCGCCTGTGCGTAAAGACACACGTCCGTCCTCATCACACGCGGAAGTAGTCGAGGCTCAGGCGCTGAGTACCTCCTATAAATACGGTCCGCCTTCCTCGCGTCCTGTCACCTATCTCGAGGTTGAAGAGCCCGAGCAGCTGATCGAGACTTTCGATCATGACGTAGATGATTATGAAGGTGAGGGATTCCAAGGAGAGAATGTGCAGCCAGAATACGAAGAGGAGGTGAAGGATTTTGCTGGAGACGATGTTGCTATAAAGACGGCCGTAGCTTCGCAGGGGACAGAGGAAGCTGAGGAGGAGGAAGCCCCTCCTCCGCCCCCTCCGCGGAGGATATCTGTACCTCCTCCTGTGCCTGTGCATACTCAACCTGAGCGCCGAGGAAGTGTACGGGAGCCAGAATATGCCCATCCCGCGCAGCTTTCTCCTCCTCCTCCTCCTCCGCCTGAGCTCAAACCTCAACCGCTATCTCGCCCTCCGGTTCCTCATATTCCTGCCCCCGTTCAACATGTCTCTCAAGCTCCCCCCAGTAAAGTTGTGGCTCCTCCACTGAGCCGGCTTCTTACCAGCGAACGAGAGGTGCTGCATGAATCCGACGGTGGTGAGTGTGGCATAACCTCAATCTCCTTGGTATATTATAGTGACTGGCCTGTAGATCCCATAGATCCCACCTTCCACAGCCCCAGAAAGTCTCCCACTGTGACAGCAACGTCACCTTTACCTCCCCCGCCAGCTCCTGTCTTGCCGTCGGAAACAACCGAGGCTCCAGAGGATGAGCTTATTGTCCCTCAGAGTTCGGATGAGCAGGAAGATCCTGAACAGGCACGTCGGAGGACCATTGCTGAGCGGATGGCGAAGCTGGGAGGCATCAGATTCGGTGCGCCTATGTCTCCGCCCGTGCGCCGTCCTCAGCCTCCTCCCCCTCCTGCGGAAGGCCATGCCGAGGATGTCTCTGCTCCCGAACAAGAACATGAAGCTGAGGATGTCCCCGCTGCTGAGCAAGAACGTGAGGCTGAGGAGGCACCCGAAGAGCAGGAGGATGAGTTTGCGCGCAGGCAGCGCATCGCGGCTAGGATAGCTGGTATGGGTGGAATGCGTTTTGGCATGTTACCAGGAGCAGTACCTCCAGCGCAGCCGGTTCAGCCGCCTGCAGCGCATGAGCAAGCGGACGAACCTCCAGTAGTCAAGTCGACTCATCCCCCACAACGTTCAGCCCCTGTCCCGCCGCCAGCACCTGCGCTACAGCCTCCAGAGAATGTCCCCGATGAGGGCGAACAAATAGAGCAAGAAGAAAGCGAAGCTGAAGAGATCTCGCATGATGAAGTACAGGACGAGCAGCCGCCGCCACCTGTCCCACCGCGGGAAGGCAGACATGCCTCTACTGGACGTCCACCAGTACCTCAGATTACTCGTCCGCCTGTGCCACATGCGCCTGCCCCTGTGGCGTCACCAAGAGCTGAGAGGAGTTCTGCTGTTCTTGAGCCAACTTCCCCCCACACGACCTTCAGCTACCCACCGCCACCCAGTCGTCTACCTCCACCTCCCACTAGCGACTCGCAAGGAGAATACGTGATAGTGGAGGGCGAAGATGAATTACCTCCGCCGCCACCTCCGCCTCGCACAGTGAGTCTCAAGAAGCCTTCCCCACAAGCTGCTCCGCCACACCCTCCTTCTGCACCTGCAGAAAGTTCAGAAGTTCAATGGGTGATACCCTCTATCCCGAGTGTAGACTTCGGCGGTACAACCGATCTGTCTTTGTCTGCTCAATGGTCCGAAGATTCTACCAACTACCCACCACCTCCGCCACCCTCCAAGGCTGAGCCTTCTGGATCGCCCAGCCAGCCGCCAGCACAGTCGCCGAGCCGTCCACGTTCCGAGTCTCACCTCACCGCCGACGATCTGATGGCTCAGTGGGGCCGTGTCGGTGTGCAGATTGTCGAGCACGCCACGACGCTGTTTGAAAAATCAAAGAAGTCCTTAGTCGGAGATGGGTCGTACATTGGATTCGTGACGAATGTATTGAGTCAGGTCCCCAACGCCGCCCAGCCAGAACCACCGTTCACGTCCTTCGGTTACCTGATCTATGCACAGAATGGCTCGTCTGTGCAGCGGCGCGTTAGCGAGATCATGCCTGGCGATGTCATCGTTCTCCGCGAAGCGAAGTTCAAGGGTCATAAGGGCCTGCAGATCTATCATCAGACTGTTGGTGCTGGAGAACCACTATATGCTATCATTGCGGATTACGAAATGAAGAAGGCCAAAGTCAAGGTCTTCCAAGCCAATCAGCACGTTGGGCAGCAGGTGAGTCGAATCTGAGCAGTCGCTTAATCTCTACTGTTCATACTCATTCACTATACAGACTGTCGAGTCCGCTAGTTACCGCCTCGAAGACCTAAAGAGCGGATCCATCCAGGTTAGTGCTTCATGTTGGCAATCCTCTACGGTCGTTAACGTCGGTTTATCGCAGATCTTTAGGGTGCTGGAAACGTAGAGGCCAACCACATTTCAAGCTAGCGTCCACGTTCCTCTACAGAATCGCATCTCTTATAATTTCTGGACAATAATGTGTATCTATAAAGGTGAAATGGAATGGATTTGATAATCTGGTATGACAAGTACTATCCTCGTCAATCGGCAGTTCCAATTGTCAAAGTGTCCTTCAATAAGGTATGTAGTCGGTGCAAATATAGCGTACTATGTCCATATCGTCTCTAAAGTAAATCAACGGACACGTAACATGGCTCTTCATCATCGAAAAGATTACTGCTAAGAGACAACCTCGAGGACCCGAGCGCAGCTGGAGGATCTACTATTCAAAATCCAGTCGCAACCTTGCTCTGGGGGAACTGAAATGCTGAATATTGCCCCAGCGACCCGACATATGAGATTTGGAAGTGAAGCGTTGCTAGCTAGCTCCCAGTGGTCCGCAACGCATGACCATACCGACCTTTCGCGATACTTCAGAATCATCCATATTTTAGGATATTTCGCCGTGTACTGCTTTAGCAGGGTTGATCTATGAATCTATCGCGTAGTAGAATCGCGAGGCATCATCATTCCAACGCGTTTGTGTACCATAAATGCCGGCCGCTGCGATATTAGACTGTCAGAATGAGGCAAAGATCTTATTCAGGAATTGATCACTCCATCGTGCGATCGCTGGAGGCATATTAGCGGCGCGCACGCTGTTCGGGCACAGAAGGGCTGACAGCAGCAAACAAGCACATAGATTGAGCGAAAGCACAAACCATCCTTACAGTTCACTTCATTCAGACGTTGCATCAGTTAACTCATCCGGCTGCAGCTTCCTCAACCAAAATGGTCCTACATCAGCGATGAGCTTCACCTTACCACGGCAAAATTGAGAGGCGTTACGCACCAACAGGGTCGTGAACGGCGTGATCTACAGTCGTCCACGTACCCAAGACCCCGAAACTTGATCTTACTCCGCCGACTTGCACTCCCTCCGAGCTGCAGCGATAGAGACAATCCACATCGACCACGACCACGATATTTCAGGACTAACCTCCATATAGCGTTGCCTTCCTCTCCGGAGACCTGCAGTACGCACGGTCAGGATGTCGGCAGCGCAGTAGGCAAGCCAGGAAGGAGCTTACAAAATGCCAACGTATCTGGTCGTCCGGCGTCACCCTTACCCAGCCAATCATTGTCGCTCCGCCCTCAATGGCACCTGCAAAGTTGATCTTCGGACGCTTCCAATGCAGTGCGTCGGTTTCGAATGATATCACGCGCATATCCACGTCGATCGTCCTGAAAATCTCTTGGAAGTCGGGCGCCTCGAAGATAGCCGGATGCAGCGGCACGTTTGGCGAGATCTGCTTCGATACACGTCAGCTTTCACGAAGTACTCAAAGTGCACGCGAGGCGGCTTACATTGAGGTTGTTATACACTGGCAGACGACTGAGTTGAAGGCTCTACATAGTGAAGACACTCACTTACCGAGAAGCTCGCGATGGTCGCAGAAACAGAACGAATATTGCCACTTGCCCGCAATGCCCGCCCAGTCCTTCTCCTTGTCCAGATCCAACTCCGCGGAGATGACGCTCTGACAGAATGGCAGGCTCATGGGATAGATGACGAACGTGCCCTCGTTGAGCTGCTCAAGGTCCTCGGGGCGGACAACGTGCATGGACATTATGTGATGGATTGCCTGCATGTGCTCCCAGTTGACGCATCCGCTCGCGTCCATCATGAACGGGCCGAACTCGTTATCCCATTTGTACCGCCGCATCGTGTACACGTACGCGCGCGCCGCTGTACGCCGCTCCGGCGCCGCATCGCGCACCGTCAGCCCGAAGTAAGTGTGCAGCCGCGCGCGCAGCTGGCGCTCCTCCTCGGATGCCGCATCCCAGTCGCCATGCTCGAGGAAATTTCCACCGTGAAAGTATGCGGCGAGCCAGACCAGGTTCAGAGAGACGTCATCGCTGAGCAGGCCGGGCGTCGACGGCATCTTCGTGCACATCTCGAGCACGATCTGCATGAGTTTGAAGCGTTCTTCTGGATTGCACTTGTCGGGATCAGTGAGGAATGTCCGTGCTCTTACTGAGCGCAACAGCTGTGTCTTCCAGTTTATTTCTGGCGGGAGAGGCTGGCCGAGGTTGGTGCGGCGCTGGCGTGGATCGTCTAGACACTCGGTGAGGTATAATTTGCGCCAGAGACGCTGCTCGGGATCATCGATGTAGCTGCGCAACTCCGAGCAAGTCTGAGCAACACTGGCTACGTCCAGGGCGTCGAGCTCGAGTAAGATCTGATCCAGGAGTTCGGGGGGTAAATCAAGGAGCTTCTCCATCTCACAGTACTGTCGATCCTGAGCTCAATGGGGGTTTAGGTCTGCGCATGAGATGCTGTCTCTCCTGCTTCGCTGAACGGTGCAATCAGTGAATTCGGGCGCTTACAAATGGAATTCATTCAACGTACGGACCAGTGCCGCTCGTAAGGAGCTCCTTCAAACAAATCAGGGTGAAAGGCCTATTAGCATCCATTGCCAATAGAATCAGTCCCTTTGTGTGAACAGTCAAGTCATGATACAGATCAGTGCTTACCGTCTATGCTGAGAATGGAGTGAAAAGAGAGCGATACCGCTAGGCGATGTCGGAAAGATCAAGGTGTGCGGACATTGCCGGAAATCATATGTCAGGTTGTGGCGCCCACATATGCGCCCATCTTTCTTTCCTCTCCCATCATATTATCAGAATCTCTATCGATACGTCGAGCATCAATCACTAGAGACATGGAGGTATTTTCGAGCGTGCTATATGCTGTGACAAATGTTAATTAGATAGTCAACCTTTAACAATAATAAGTGGATGTTACATGTGCCGCCGCAAATCTAGAATATGATAGCCACAATGAAACTGTGGTATATTACAAACCATAGTTTGGGAGTATTATACTTCCCATAAGAAATTCAACATAACGGATTGGCGGGGGTTGACATTTATATTTCCATATTTGTGACTACGCGCATTCTGCGAAGTTTGAATTTGGCCTGTAGGATTTTGCACAATCCCATGTATGGTCTCAAATGTTAATTTTACTAGACAAATTGCGACCAACGCAAATAATGAACTAGAATCTGACTATCTAATTATCATTTGCTAAGCATATTACACGCTTGAAAATGGCACCATGTCTCCCGTGTTACTGAACGGCGGCTGAGTGAGTTCAAGACGGGATTGTACGCCATGAGACCGTCCCGCAACAGCACGAGGGCAGTAGAAGCCCGCTGGCACGTGCTTTTGTCCGAAATGCTCGCGAAGCCGGGTTTCGATCTGCTCGCGGAATTGGTGCAACGCCTAGGACATAAGAGATTCCTTCGGAGTCTCGATGAATGCACAGAGCTCAACCATCCCGGCCTGTTTGTTGGTCCGAAACCCCCGAAAGGTCCTCAGCAACGGATGTCGCTCATCGCTCTTCAGCGGATCATCAAGGTCGCAGACGAGTTCACTTTCCCGCATGGTATCGAATTTCGGTATATGCTCTTGCGCACAAACTCCTCCTTATATGAGTGAGCTCTCTCCTTTTGGGACTGGTGCGGCATCGTATGGCTTAGCGGGTGCACTTAAACCCTTGCCTGTGTGGAGTTACGTCGACTTCGACCAAAAGCGTCGAGATGTCGAGCTCAAAAGCGCGGAGCACGCTCTTCTGATCCATTTCCTCGCAATGTTCGGCAGGCCTGTAAATAGCGTTTCCTTCGATCTTCGTGAACTGTCGCTCATGAAGTCGGTATGCAGTATTGGTATACCCTTGGCGACTCTCCAGACGTTGTGCCTGCTGCAAGGAAGAAGCTCATCTACGACGACGAATTCAATCCTGAAAACCTCGATCATGTGTTCGCCGTCTTCGCAAACCGTTTCGTGCTACAAATCAGTAATACGAAGTAATCGATCCGGATCGCTATGCATGCCGTACGCAGTCATATGCGCCTCCTCACTGGCGTTTTTGATGGATTCATCACCACCACCGCACCTTCGGAACCTATGCTTGCCATCGCTGCTGCAGATATCTTGAATAAAAACCCGCGAAACTACGCAAAAGCTGTGGGGACGCTGATTCGACAACTCATTATCGACGGGGTCGTGACTGACCGAGGACGACAAGGTGAATTATGCACCAGGCTCTTATTCATCCTCGCGCGCGGCAGGGCGACGCTTCCCAATGGAGGAGAGTTCGTCGACTGCTCAGAACCCGCTCGGCGCGGTGTCCGCCCTGTGCAACTGAAACTTTCTTACAACCTTGCTTGGCGACGACCTCGGCGTCAAGCATCCGCACAAGGGTAAGGAGGTCAAATATCTTCTTTCTGATGCAGGGAATGTCTGGATGAACTTCACGCACTGGACTCAAACCGACGAGGGAATCAGCATTGTCACTCCGGACTGGCTTTATGAGCTGTGTTGCCGAGGTGTCGCCGTACAGTGCACCCATGGTCAGTCGGTATTCGATTCACTGGTCGTAACATACGGCAGAGCCCTCGCCTAGCCTTTCAACAAGAGTTTGAACTTTGCTCGGATATATCGTGGCTCAGACGAAGGTGCGAGTGAACGCGTCTGCACTGAAGCTAGCTGCTGGAATGGCAGGCCCCAGTGTGATCGAGACCACTGACGAATCAGGCCAGCCTCTGCGATATAAACCCACCAGCTACAGATGCTTTTTATGAACTTCGCCGCCGATAGTGCATTCGATCACTCTGACGGGTCTCGCACTGATATCCAATTTGGGAAGCCTCAGAAGTCTTCCGAGGGAGGGCATAGCAGCTAGCTAGGTACCTTCCGGACTTCGAGGAGGAGAAACGATACTGCCTGAACATTTCCGGGGGGCATGATAGTCAGGCTTACCCTGTATTTACAAAGGATTTCAAGACTCAGTTTAATTTGCTTTTCGCGCACACGATCTCCATGCACGAGCACTTCAAGAAGGCCGCGGATGCCATGGAATCGGCTATCGACCCTATATCATCGAGACTAAGTGGATACCATTCGACTACTAACCCTGTATCGATGAGATCCGAGAAGGAAGCGGAAAAGGAGAAAACCAGGAAAGGGAAATCGAAGCCAAGAGGGTCGGATACTAAGTGGATGCGGGCTAATGATTCCATTGTCTGACGATGGATGCTGCCAATGATGACCATCTTCTGGTGAGCAGATGGTCGTGGAGGACATGATCAGTCTTGTATTCTCGCAATGTACCATTGCTTTGGATTGTGCTCTGTGATGGATCGTCAGTTGGAATAAATAATCATGAGTCGCCCGCCGGACGTGCCAGTTCGACCTTATAATCCGCCGGCACGATCATGGCGCCGCATTGGCAGGGAGCTCAGCGCTTCAATTGCCGCACATGGCAGTGGTAATATCATGACGGTGCAGCCTGCCGCGGTCGAAGACTTGATATCCTCTTACAGCACCCAGAGTCGGTCTGACCTTTACGCTAATCGTAAGGAATTTATCGAAATATTGGGGTCATTCGTCTTGTCGAACTGACTAGGAGGAGGCAAAGGCGACCAAAACTGCGTCGGCATAGCGGGAAACAAGCCGCTGTGACATAATGTGAACAACGAATTCAAGCTAAAACGGTACAGCAAAGACACTGCTAGAAAGCAACTTGCTAGCATTCCTGATCACCTGCCAAAACCCCTCTCGCCCACGCCGCATCGCTCCTCAGCCTCTCCGCGAAGAACTCACCCAACACTTCTTTCAATTGCTTCATCACACTCGCGTCGCCCTCTTGGGCTTCATCCAATGGCACCGGCTTCTCGCTTCGGGGATGAAGCACCTTCAATGCATCCTAGATAAACGAAATCATCAACTGAGACAAACGTGGCATTGCTCACACAACAGCTCTCACCATGACAGACTCCGCAATTCCGCCCTCCTCGCCAGGCATGCACTCGCTCCCGACCACCTTCGCCCCGCCACTCTCCACGAGCCCCTTCCGCACTGCTTCCTTCCCGATGCCGACGAGGCCCTGAATCGCGCCCTCGCGCGTGCTTCGACTCTTCTCTGGGGACACGAGCGCGAGCAACAGCGTCTTCATGATGCGTGGCGGCAGCGAAGGATATGTCGTGGAATATTGAGTGAGGAGGTGAGAGAGTATCTGTGCGGCTGTCGTGCGGAGTTGTGTTGCGTGTGAGGGCGGGAGGGAGGAATGTAGGAGGATGGAAAGGATGGGTGGGAGGAGTTGATGTAGCTATAGCGAGTCGTTGTGTTTCGTTCATATACCGGAATGTAGCTGATGGGAAGACTCACGTATGGCTCGACGAACAAAGTCGGGTTATCCAATATCGCCCCGATCACAGCAAGCAGCACCTCCAATACCTTCCCGTCGGCCTCGTTCTGCGCCCCGCCCTTCAATGCGCCCACAACGCCCTCTCCTACCCACCGCACTAAATACGGCAGCAGCGCCTGCAATCCTGCATCGTGCTGCAGGCTCGCCAGTGCCGCGGTACGCTTCGCGTAGTCCGCCGTCGGCGGGAGCAGCGACGATGTGAGCCGCGTATAGTACAGCTGCAGCTCGCGCGAAAGTACCTGCTTGACGAGCAGCTGCGGCTGCTGCTGCTTCTTCGCTGGCTGCACGGGCGACGGCCGGTCGGACGACGGCGGGGTGGGAGGAAAAACCACGCCCGGTCGCGCAGGCGAAACTGTTGTGGGCTTCTCATGGTCAGTTTCTTTGGGTATGGCAGGAGGATTTTCGGGTATGAGCGGCTGCACGCCCTCGACGGCGAGCCAGTGGGCCGTCCAATGCGGGCCTTTCGGGAGAGTAAGCTTCTCTTCTCGCAGCACGCGGTCGAAATCGATTTCCTCATCCTCGACGAAGTAGACGTTGCCCGCAGCGGAGTATTGTGGAAGCGGCGGGACGCGGCGGAAGGTGGGGGGATTGTGTGGGAAGTGACCGTAGAGGGGCTCGATGTTCAGCACGCGAAGGGCCTGGTCGATGTCGGAAGTCGTGAGGGTGGTGCGCCTGGCGTGTCGCATGAAGCGCGCTGCTTCCTAGTAAGAATCAATGCGGAAGGAAGGCGGAGAGGAGGAGGAGGGACATACCTCGACGACCTGATGTATTCGGTACTCGACGTCGCTTGCCAGTGCTGACGAGACTGTGTCTGAGAGATTGGAGATATTGAGAGATTCCGCGACATCCTGTGACAGTATCGTGCGGTGAGAAGCACGGGATTGGTAGAGTGTACCTTAAAAAAAGCATACCTTGATGATGTCCGGCTTGAAGATGCCTGTGTATTGCGCTGATGGCACTCGCATTCTCTGAGGCTGTTTGCTCATTGTGACAGCACAGGAGGATTCGTTACTGTTCAGGTTCAGTGGGATTTTGTGCAAGGGGGACACGCAGGTTGAGTAGAAATACAAGCGTTTGTGTGCGGGGTATATATATATATATACGTTGGAGTGGGAGGACATAAGGACACATAAACGCCCATGGCCACTAATGCGCATCGCGAGTCGGTCACGTGGACCGTCCATACACGGCAGACATGATGCGATTTATCAATGTGGGAAATTGTGTGTGAATGTCGACTGATTTCTTACACATGCGTCAAACATTTGCAACCATGGCATTTCATGTTGAAAATGTTTCACTTTGGCTGTGAATGTGCACTATTTGCCATTTAAATGCTAAATTGGCAAAGCTTTGCCACAAATGTAAGACATCAGCTGACATTCCCACACGATTTTTCACATTTATAAATTGCGTCATGTCTGCTGTGATAATGGCCGCGTGGCGGCAAGTGTCACTGCAGACATGATACTTGGTTGAAGAGGCGCCGGGCACCGGTTCCAAATGACACGAAAACTCAATCACAGTAGCGGAAGATGCGGTGTGTATCACTTACATATGCGAACGTAGCTCTATATTACATCTCTGCAGCCTCATATTGGTGAACAGCAACAACGCAGGCAAGAGCCAAATAGGATGGATCACTTAAAGAAATGAACGACTTCGAGCATTGTCGTAAAATGATGAATACATGTTGCAGCTATGGGAAGCTGTCCCAGACTTCTTCCATGTCATCTCGAGACCCTGCCGAGACGTTGGGCCCTCGTTCTGTTGCCGTACACGGCCTACCGCAGGGTAAGTCTCTGATCCACCACGAGATGAAAACATCGCTGACTGTGTGGGTGCATGCATTGTCGAAAATGAGGTTGAGGCATCCATCATCTGAGAAGAACCGTCGCCAGTGAGGGCAGCTCCAGCGAGTGCAGGACATGGTGCGGATGTCGTCGAACGAGAAACCTCAGTCTTCGTACTTTCTCCTTGCAGTGAGTGCCTTACCGATAATCACTGATGGTGTATGAGCAAATACCGCGACGGCTGAGAAGATGTGTGGGGTATGCCAACACGATCACGTCAGCGAAGATTGTGTTCATGATGATGGTCGACCAGAAGAAGCATAGTGGGTAGAAGGCCGATTCATTGTGGTTACGCATAAGATCAACGCGGATGTTTGGTCCAGTGATTCGAGCTATAAGGTCCATTCCCTGTTTCAACCAGAGATACGGTTGCTCCTGATTCTCCTCGTCCGATGCATCTATGACATATTCGATCACGAAACCCGGTAAGTTGCTGATGTAGTCGAGTACCACATCCCACTGACTATGTGGCGTGTATAGATCGTAGTCATTAGGCTGCCACAAAGCGTCGACGAGTAACAGTCTGGCAGCAGCAGAACCAGACAGTATGGTGCCGGTGTCACGCATCATGGTGCGGAAGTCATCGGTGTCCTCGGAGACGATGCATACCGGTGAACATAACAGTTGCATGAATAGAAAGCAAATATGATGAACTGAACATGACGAAGAACCCGCTGACATTGTCAGAAAGACAGACGCAAGATCTTCAATTGGCTCCCCCCACCGGAGGAGTAGCCAGGCCCATAACGTGATGCGACCGCACATGCTTAAAATTGTCACCTCCCCACCAGGAGGGTGCTATAGACAGGAGCATAATGAATACGCGAATCATGTAACCCATTCACCGAAGACGGCAGAGGCGGCAGCGGAGGAATGAACAAGAACAAACAGGTGTAGTACACAACGAGAGCGACGACTGTGAAGGAAGGAGACACGACATAATCAGCACTGCAGACATCACCACAGAGGAGTGGACAAACGTACCGGTGAAGCAGATATCGAATGCATTAATAATACACCTGGTGAACAACATGGAGAGCGACATGAGGATGTCCAGCACAGAGAAGACAGGAGGTAGAAAGCAATGAAGGCTGAGGAGCCGGATATCGCGAATGAGGGCAAGTTGTGGAATGAAAACAATATTTCGTAGGAGAAAATATTCCATATGAACCAAAGCAATATTTCGTATGAACCGTGCACAAAACGGGCCAAATCGCAACTTAGGGATCATGTAAGCACAGGCCATCCCCATACGTCAATAGCCAAATTTGTCATTTGAAACCATTTATCACTGTGAAATATCACAGCCTGCACAGATTTATTTTTCCAAAACCTGATAAAAAATGGTGAAAATATCTTTAGTCTGGATATAGAAACAGTTTGAAAATCGGGTGGAGACAATTGAATTATATTACAATTGCTTCACCGAAACATATCGGTATCACATATTTTTGGATTGAAATATCTTCCTTTGAGAAATAGTTTCACTATTGCTGATACGTTTCGGTAAAACAATCGTAACATAATTTAATTGTCTCCGCCCAATTTCCAAACTATTTTCATATCCAGACATAAGATATTTTCACCATGTTTGCATCAGGTTTCCCGTGGAAAAATAAATCTATGCAGGCTGTGTATGTTGATTTGATCCTTTGCCTTTAGAAAATAAATTTACCTGTGTGACAAATGGTGTTGCATATTCTTACTTAAGGCCTCAAGTTGAAACAGCTACAAATGATGCCACATATTTTGCCTTGGCCTCAAGCCGGAGATTATAAATATTGCATACAAAATATAACAGGGTTGAGAATAGTACCACAAATTGACAAATTTCCGCTCAGAACAAAGCATATAGATGTACATTTGCAACAATGCTACATTTTGTATGCAATGTTCAGGATTTGTAGAAGAGGCTTAGGCAAAATATGTGAATATAATTTGAAGCCATTGCAAATCAAGCTTCAAGTTCATAATATCCAATGTCATTTGCCACAGTGACAAATTCAGTTTTCTAAAGGCAAAGGACCAAAGCAACATATTTCATAGTGATAAATGGCATAATGTCTGCAGTGTGTAAGTGGCCCGCCAGTCTTTCCAAGTTGTACTCTGCCATTTTATCAAGTAATAAAGATAAGCAATGAGCAGGAATGCATTGAGTATCTCAATTGCAAATATAATTCCTGCTACGATAGTATACATACGTGGGTCTTGTCGATTTGAAGCTTACAAGGCTCTTCATGAAAATTAGCGATCGGTGGCACATGTCTGCCCTGAAGTGATTGCTCCACCAGCTCGTCATTATCTCATGACCTTCTCGATGTGCTCATCTCTGTCAGGGTATGGCCTGAGCTGATGGAGGCTGGTAGGACATTTCGTGATTGACAGTCGATCGTAAAATGTCCTACAGAGTCGACAGATCTCATTTTAACGTTATCCTAGACATCACGGCCCTCAATGCAGATGTCAATCATGCTGCCTGTGCTGATGAGATCGTGTTACGGATTATGCAAACCAGACCTTCATGTTTCAGGTTTCTATTTCACCTGTACTAACATTAGCTCACCAATTACTTGGCTCGCAGCGGTTAGTATTTGTCTTGGTCTATTTCATTTACTCTATGAATAGCTGTAGGAGCCCCTTGTACTAGTACCCCAGACTATAGGTCTGCGACTATATAAAGGGGCGGAGCAGCAGCTGGAAGATAACCTCTTCCACCTGTGACTCTGAACGTTCTCAGTTCTAGAACCCT